GAAGTTTTAAAAAAGATGAAGACGATATGACGCAACTTGAAAACTCGACTTTTGTCCTCTGAAAATACACTGTGGTTTGCTTTAAGAAGCTGTATTTTCAATTTATTTTAAGCTCTCATGGTTTTTCAATTCAAAATTACATGTGTAGTTGTGTTTGTGGATTTGTGATTTGAAATTATGGCTACTATGCCCCTCGAAATTTAGAATCCGAGCAGACCGAATTCAGTTTTTCCTTATTTTCAATCATTTTTATTTTATTGAAATGAATCATCAATATTGGCTTATAAAGAATGCAAAAAAGTTGCAAAGAAAGTTCAACGCGAAGGAAGATGAAAATATCGTAGCTAGGTGAGTAGAATAAATCAATTTATAAGTTTTTCAATAACATCCATATTTTAATAATTTTCAGTGATAACGAATTGGATGCAAAACTTGAATTGTTTAAATCAATAAGTGAATCAACAGCAAATCTATCTAATATTGTTGACAAATATAGGGATGGACTACAACTTCTTGCAGTTGAAACATCCAGTTTGGGTAATTTTCTAAGAGATTGTGGAAAGAACAGTTCGTCGTCGGAGTCTCTTATGTGCAACACAGGGAAAGTTGTTTGTTACTTAGGAGCACAACATACTTCTGCTACAACATCGCTAAATAGAACACTTAGCGAACTTAACACTTTTAAGCGTGCAGTCAACGACACCAAAGAAACCATTGCAGCAATGGAAAAAGAGAGAACTGAATATCGTTCAGCTCTCACTCTTATGAAAATTTGTAGCACTGATGTTGATCCTGATAGTGGTCGAGGGCTGGAAAAATTTCGAACGTCACAAAAATACGTCAAATACGCCAAACAAAATTTTGATAAATATTCGCTTGCGTGTTTGCAAAAAGTGAGAATTTCTTTTGTTCAAACTTTGATAATTAATTTAATTTTGTCTTAATTTACAGATTGACTTATTGGCAGCAGCTCGATGTAATCTCTTTTCTTATTCACTGGCCGCATACCAAACCAATTGGTTAACATTAAATGAGAAAAATCGGGAAGTTCTGGAAGCTCATGTGAAGATAATTGACAAAGAGCCACGCAAGCACAATTTTGGGATTTTAAAAGAGTTGGGACAGGAGGCAGAAGAAGTTGCTGAGAAAGCTCTTGAAGAAGGCGACAAGAAAGACCTTAATCAAGAGCTTAACGATGACGATCAGCGATTATTCTTTGGAAATGAATTCAGCGATTGTGGTCCAAGCACTGAAAAGAAAAATGAAGATAATCAAACATCGAGTGAAGACAACAATTCAAAGACAACAAACAATGACAAGCTCATTGATTATGAAAAAGATTTTGACGAGTTTATGTCATCATCAAATCTCTTGTTACCATCACAACTGTTAATGGACGATTCTTTATTAAACAACATCCAATCTGGTGATTCAAACCTTAATTTGCTAGGATCGCTTAATCCATTACATGCAGCAAGTAACATGGACCTGTTATCTTCATCAGATTCGAAAGAAAATTCAGTTCAGTTAAACAAGAATCCGTCAAAGAAAGCAAACGACGTTAGTAAATGGTTCAGTTTGTTTTCTGAGCTTGACCCATTAAATCAACAATCGGAACAAGACAATGCAAACAAAAACCTTCATGCAGCTTAGCTTAAAATGTATCATTCCAGATTTAATTTTTATGATCTCAGAAAAGGAAGAAAATTATTCCAAAATCTTGTAACTTGTTCTAGTCATATTTTACAAACAAAAATCTTTATGTTTATGTTTTCATAATATTTATGTCTATTGTGGAATTTTTATTTCTTGAATAAATGAACATGATCGTAATGAATTCTTTTTTTTTGACATTTCTTTTCTTCCAGATATCTAAAAACCAAAAATCAGACACTAATCGCAAGGATTAAGAATCTAATATAACTCTGATCTAATCTCACTTATTGAGATCCTCAAAATCCTTTTTAAAAACATTCATAATTTTGATATTGTTGTTGTTTATTTATCGGATAAAAACAAATTTTAACATCTTTTAAATTGTAAGTTTTTTACGATAATTAAATTTTCTCTTTTCTTTTCTTTTCTCAGGTTTTTAAAGTAAGATTATGAATGTTTCTTTTTAATTACTCACAATGAAATGAAAATCATTGTAATTAATATTCAAGTTAAAGTTAATTATTGATTTTTGTTAAGGATGATGAAGACAAAAGCAAAAAAAACAGAATAATTGAAACCTTTTGTGACTTACTCATCAAATTGAATATCAGTTGAGTTTGATTCGAGAAGCTCATTAAGTTTCATGATAATTCCGACTTCTTTCAACTTATCATGTTGTGATGATTTGTGCATGAGATTTTTAATAGCAAACAAAGCTCCAGTTTGTAGTTTATGATCGTCGACAATCAAATAATCTTTAAGTTTTAAGAGAATTTTCTCATCAGCCATGATAAGTTCGTGAGCGCCAGCCGCCAGATTACCGACAATGCAGAGAGCTTGTTCCTTGATTTCCGATGAATGCTGTGGCGAATCTAAAACCATCATAACAGCATTAAGAATTTCCGACGCATGACTTGCCATTATTGATTCAATATGAACAGTACTTGAAAGAAGATTTCGTAACAAGCCTAAAGTCTTCATAATCACACGCGTGTCAGAATCACTTAACAACTGAAAAATACGGTCAGTGCCAAGTGCGTTAATAATTTCTGTTTTGACATGTTGTTCTGCTTGAAATGCCATATTCATTAACGCCCACGCTCCATTCAGTCTCAATGCCGCATTTGGACTCTTCGTCAATTCACATAAAATGCTAATCGCACCGGAATCCAACAAGCTCTCCTTAGCTGGTGAAAATTCAAGCAATAAGTTGCAAATTGTCGATGACACAACTGTCATCAACTCTGGTGATGGTTTATCATGAATTAAATTCATCAAAGGTTTCCAAATTTTATGATCTTGAAAAGTTGTTCGCAACAACTGAACTGAACGTGACAAACTGTGCAAGCATCTTACGCCAGCAACACGAACACTTCCAACCTCTTTCAATGCATCGAGTACAATGTCGATTAATCCTCTCATGTCAATAATTCGCTTTCGAATTGTTTCATCATTCGCAGCAAGTGAAGCGAAACATTTCAAAGCTGCTTCCTTCGATGATTGATTAGAACAATGCAAAAGATTTGTCAAATTACTGATCAGATGATTACTAATCGCTGCAAGTTTCTGTAATTCCGAATCAATTTCAGCCAGATATGCAAGAGATTCAGCTGCTTCAGCGCGAATGGATTCATCAAATTCAGGCGCACATAATCGAGCTAGACAAGGAAGTGTTTTGTAAACAATTTGGCTGTCATTTGACTTCAATGCTGATGAACCCGAACGATGAATGTAAGTCAAACAACGACTCGCTGCTAATTGAACCGAGGGTGGATTTGATCGTGAAACCAACGACGTTAAGACATCCAATATTGGTGGTTTTGAATGCATATTTGTCGCGCAAACAATGTCACTTACTGCTCGATTCGTGAAACACATTGACGCTAAACATTTTAAGCCTGGTAACTGCAACTCGTAATAATCAATTTGAATGAGACGAGCTAAAAAAGGAATCCCTCCAGCTTGACATAAATTCATGCTTGCTGATAAAACATTTCCTTGGGACAATCCACAAAATGAGAGTAAAATGCTCACAACAAATTGTTGACAGTTGATTGAAGTGTCAGGTGATGCAAGTTCTAAGAAAAAAGGAAATTAAAAATCTTGACTTTTATCGTAAACATTTTTAAACTTACTGATTAGCCTTGACAGAGTATTAATGTCCTCAAAATGTTGAAAGAAAGAGTTACGAATTTTACTGGGATACTGCATGCTGGTCTTAATAACACTCAAACATATTTCAATCATTTTTGGATTAGTATTGGGACACAATGCGAGATTCAAGAGAAGAGTTGAAGTTCCAAACTTATCAAGATCTTGCACGTTTGATTCAGTTCCTTTCGAAAGTGATCCAATGATGATTGCAACATTTAGTCGAAGATTCAATGGTTTACTTTCATTCTGTACAAGTGCAATCAGACGAGGAACGAATCCTTGCTCAATAATGAAACGTTTTTGCTTGTTGGAGCCGATAATTAAATTCTTAATTTTATTAGTAGCCTCATAACACTCGATGTCGTTCTCGGAGAATAAATTGTCCAGGTACGAACGGAAGCTTTCAACCTCCTGAAAAACAAGAAGAATTTAAGACACTTGTGAGATTTTCACTTTTCATTCTATCATTTCTTTTATGCAAAATGCGCCAAGTTTTTTTTTCTTCCTTCTTTCTAAGGGGTGAAGGTTATGTTATCAGTAGAATGATAATAAATTTTAATCTTATTTTATAACACAAAATTTTCATAACACAATAAAACTGCACTTCAACACTGATAGATTTGTTTGTTAAAATATTCTTAAGATATTGTGAAATGATGACTAAAATAAACAATAGCGTTTTTTCGCCTAGCGGAAATTTAATTATTTTCTCCGTCTTACCGTTAAGCAGCTAACTTCCATCGCCATTTTGATCCAAAGAATAAATACTGTACAATACACTATAGGATAATGATATATAAAATTTAATATATTAATGTTACGCAAATTAATAAAAAATTTTGATTCGGAAAAAAGTAATTTTTGTTATGAACAATATTTGAGGCGTAGTTTTATGAGGGGGCAGCGGGGAAGAGCAAAATTTCTATTGTCAAGCGATTTCTTTCCTTTCATCGTTGGTGCTAAGTTTGAAAATTGTGTAAAGTTGAATTTTCTCAGTTCAGCGCAGGGCTAATGTGAGAAAATTTTCGAATGTTTACAACTTCGGAAAATTTCTAATTAATTCTATTGTCGTAAAATCGTGTCGATACTACTCAAATATTACTAAAATGCCATCTGCCGTAGTTGTTTTACCAGCTGGAGCGGAAGAGATGGAATTTGTAGCTTCTGTCGATGTTTTAAGACGAGCCGGGGTAAAATTTCTTAAGAAAATTATCTCAAACTATTTTTATTAGCATAATATTGACGCTAATGTTGCTAGGTTACTGTGACCGTAGGTGGTTTAGATGGAACTGATCCAGTCAAATGTTCTAGAGACGTTGTCATTGTTCCAGATGTCGCATTGTCTTCAATTGACAAAGATTCTTTTGATGTTATTGTAAATGAAATTTTTTTTAATATTTTAGAGGGAAATTTGAATTTGTAAAATATTTAAAAAATTTAGGTTCTTCCTGGAGGTCTTGGTGGAGCAAAGGCAATGGCAGCTTCAAGTTTAATTGGTGATTTATTGAGAAATCAAGAAAAAAATGGAAAACTCATCGCAGCCATTTGTGCTTCACCGGCAATGGTCTTGAAAGCTCACGAAATTGGAGTAGGCAAAAAAATTACTTGCTATCCATCATTCAAGGACCAGCTGGATGATAAATTTACTTTTGTTGACGAGATTGTTGTTCAGGATGGAAAGCTCATAACAAGTCAAGGTCCTGCCACAGCTTTTGCATTTGGCGTGAAGATTGCTGAAAATTTAGTCGGAGCTGAAAAAGCAAATCAAGTTGCTAATGGAATTTTATTGAAATAAATTAATTAAATAAACATTGTCTTACAGTTTCTCTCAGAAATTATTTCTTTTATTATTTAAAATATCACTCAAACTTTTCTTTCAAACTTTCAGCTTCTTTTAATGATTTTTATCCTTCAATTCGTAACGTTTCCAGCAACTTCTTTTCAGGTGCCGTCAATTGCTCAACAAAAGCTGAAAAGTTTTCATTGTGACTGAAGTTTGTGATGAATTTTGTAAGTGATTTCTCGGTGTCTTCTTGGAAGATTGGATCCTTCATCAGATCTTGAAGCAATTGATTGTCATCTTCTTTCGATTCATCTGAAATGGATAAATGATTAGAAAATTATGAAATCGATTAAAAATTTTCATTTACCTTCATCAAACAACATGAAAGCGTTCAAATTCTTTTCATGTTCTTTTGATGGATTTTCTTCGTCACTTCCATCCTCATCACCATCCTCGTCTTCGTCTTCATCTTCTAATGTGTGATTAACAGCATCTTTAAACTCACGCAAATTACTCAATTCGTTAATGAGAAGTTTAAAAATCTTCACCATTATTGGAATTGAAACCCATTGATGATCCTTGTTTGTGTTTTGTGAACGAGTTCGAACTTTGTTGCTTGAATTTGGAACTTCAACTAAATCTTTGATTGTAACTTGCATCAATCGTTGATCTTTCGTCGTAACGCCGTATTCAAAAATCTTACACAATGCCATCACACTGACTTTCCTTTCGTACGTTCCATAAAACAAATGTTGACGACTCAACCAATTTGTAAAGACAAAATTCATTGCAGGCTCTCCAGTCGGTCCTGGCACAGAGCTCAGGAAATTCATAACAGCATCCATTTGAATAAGGAAAAGATGAGCAAAAATCATAACAAGTGACATAACAACATTCAATGTTTCAACTAACTGCATCTTACTGATTACAGCTTTCAATAACAAATCAATTTGTTCACCAAGGAAATTTCCAGCTTTTGTGATGAGTGTGATGACAAGACGACCGATAAATGCAGCAGAGAATTCAGTTGACATTGGATTGAGCAGCATTGTCGTCACTTGAAGAATATTATTTAAACCTTGACCATTTTGATATGAACAAACTTGTTCTGGTGAGACGTAGAGAAATGCTCGTAAACATTCACCACCCGATTGCATCACTGAATGATCTTCACTTCTTAAAATCGCATGAATAGCTGCAGGGAAAGCACTTTCAATTAATTGAGCACTCAATGGTGCTTTTGAATATTTCACGATTGTTTCAAGTACATCAAGTGCAATATCTTGCATTGGCGCATTAATTTGCTCGTCTTGAAGATTTAAAATGTTAACAAGTGTTGGAACAATTTTCTCCTGTAGTGGTTGACTGCAGAAAGGATTTTGTGAACAAGTTTTAAGAATTGCTTGAACATGTTCAAGGATAAATCGATCGTCATGATACTTGAGAAACAATGCTTGAACTAAAGGAATAACGCGTGATGCTGATGAAGCTGTGAAGTTGATATCGAAAGCAAGTAATTCACACAATGCTTCCAATGTTAATCCCATTAGCGTACTTTGAGCTTCAGAAATGATTTGAAGAATTCCATTGAGAAAGATTTCCAATTTACTAACAACAAAAGCTTTTCGATCGTTCTCAACATCTTTCAAGTTGTTACAGAACGCATAGACAGATCTAATCGCTGATATTCTCAAAGTTATTGGTTTGTTGCTCTCTAGACTTGAAATTGTTGTGTTGATTGCATCGGCAAAATGTGGAGCGCAAGATTCAGTTTCAATATATTTGCTTAAAGTGTAAATGCATCGTCCACTTAAGAATGGCGAGACTTGATATCCCAACAACCCTTTCACTAAATTCAAATATTCTTGTAAGTTGAACTTGTCGTGTGTTAGAATTAATTCTTTAAATGCTGTGGAACCAACAGCAAGCATTGCTGCTTCATGTGTTTTCCACCAAAATTGTCGTCCACTGTTTCGTTCCGCATCTGCAAGTGCAACATGCTTTGTTATTGCATCTGTTAATCCAGCAAGAAACTTCTCTTCAAACTCTTCTCCCAAGCACATTAAAATGTCATGGCCGGAAGTTCGAATGTTAAAATCGACGCCTTCTTCATCTTCATCTTCGACAAATTTCTCGGAATCTTCTGACCATGTTTGAATTTGATCTTCAGTGATTTGCATGTAGAGAATTAAGATGTAAGTCAAATCACCGACGACATCCTTCACAAGTGATTTAAATCTTTTACTTTCAGCAATTGAATAAACAAGTTCAAATATTTGTAAAATCATCCGAACAAAATGACTTTTCTCTTCTGAATTTCCATCAAATGGATCGACTTCGCCTTCATTTACAATTGCTTTGACATAAATATCAGCCATTTGTGTGAGCAATGACCAGATTGGAGGTAAAATTGATGAAATGAATGGCTGAATGAATTTTGGCATATCGGAAATCATGTAAGTGAAAACTCTGAGAATCTCAGTCTTCAGGTTGAAGTCACTTGTCGGTCCATTTGGTATTGTGAGTCCATGAACTAATTTCTCTAAGAAGACTGGTAAAACGGGATTTAAAAGCCCAGCTTGATCTTTCGCTTCGATATGATTGTTGATGCATTTCAAAAGTAAAATCAGAATATCAACAGAACAACTTCTGGTTTTAACAGTGAAAATTGCTTCTGAATCGAAAATTCTATAAATTTCAGACAGAATAATTGGCCCAACATCTCTGACACGTTCTTCAAGTTCGTAAGTGAATTCAACAAGTACTTGCATTGCTCCATGAACGGAATCTTCGTTTCCAGATAAACAACTAACAATGATATCAAACAATTCCACCCAATCACTTGGCCAATCATATCCAGCAATAGTAGATATTGTGTATGCAACAGTGTTTCTTATCTTGGAGTTACTTGAATATAATCCTTTGGGTAAAATTGTTTTAATTGCTTGCTTAGCTTGATTTGATGCAAGTGGAAGATTTTTTTCAAATTCGTCGAAATCCACAGACCAATGATCATCGACATATTTCTTTAAAAGAACTGATGAAAGTTGTCGCAGACCCAAATCAAGGGATTCATCTAATGTTAGTTCCGCCAAGTAAATTCCATAGCCTAGAATTGACACGAAAATGATTTTTGTTTAATTCATAATAAGTAAACAACACATCAGCAGATTTTTGTGTGGGAAGAGAGTTTTGAGTAAACAATCTTTTGCAGTCATTTTAATTCCATGGAAGTGTGTTTGCAAGTTTGTCTCGAAGAAATTCATTTCACAGCGAATTTCTACTAACCTTCAGTAAACTTAAGCTGTTTTAAACGCTCTTCAGCTTTTTGACCAGGTTGTTTCAATATAATGCTGAGTTCGTCGTAAATTGCTTGTTTAATTGGATCGTTCATTGCTTTTTACAGTTTGGTTTTTGATAAAAACTTAAAAAGATTTTTCACACAAAGTTTCGTACCGTGCCCGGCAAAACTTGGGGGAACGTAACTTTACTTGGATGATTGAACATTTCCTCAGAAATTTTTGAATTTTTTGTGATCGTTAAAATTTAGTGAAGCTTCAATTGGATGCCATTTAAGTTAAATATTGAAATTGGGTAATAAGTCAGTAGATTTACAAACATAAGTTTAATATAGTGTCGTAAAATAGTTGTAAGTATGTGTTTGCTAGTAAATATTGACAAGATGTGCATGTTCGATTGATGAACTCATGTTTGAGTTGAGCTTTTCTTCGTCAACAACTTTTGAATGTAAATATTTGTAGACATTTTTTTTATTAATGTTTGTTTTGTATAATTCCCTATACGTAGAATAATTCTATCATTGAGTGAATTGAATTTCAATTTATAAAATCATTTAATAATAACTTTTAAACATTTTTAATTCAGCTTCTTTTCTTGACATAAGATTCTTCAAACTTTACCGCATTCGTGTCATGACCTGATAAAGCCACAGTGCCAATAGTGACTGGCATTGTAATTATTGGACTTCGATGCATTCCACCCACTTTTGCGGTTATTGCAACTTCATAAGTTAAGTGAATGTATTTACAATTTTCAACAGTTGTGGGCTCTACTTGTGGCACTTCAAAAGAAAACGAAACTTGTTTCTCAAATTTAGACAAAACACCTTCAGTTTCATTTCTCAATAAAAATTGTGAATCGTTCTTGGTAGAGATCCAATCACTTTTAAACAAACATAATCGTTTAAACTCCACAATTATTTTGTTTACATCAATATTTGTATCGTTTAGCACTTTGACCAAAATATGTAAAGTTTGCCCTCTGGCATAACCACTTATGGGAATTTCTGCTATTATGGTCAATGCACCTGAACCAAATCCCATGAAAAACTTTTTCGAGATTTCCCTTTTCAAAGGTTTTGCAAGTTCTTCTGTTGCTTGATTTAAATCAAAGTTGGTGATGACAGTGAATGGAAATTCAAAAGAGTAATTGAATTTAATTTGACGCCTCATTTCCACTTTAATTCGATAAAAAACTTTTCCGTAAAGGTTTGAGAAGCTCGAAGGAATTTCAATCGGGAGTCTGAAGGAGAAGTTGTATCTATGATGTCCCGCTTTAAAGTCTTGATAATCTAAAGTAGGAAAGTTTAATAAAGATAAATAGATTAATAGTTCTTTTAAACTGTTTACCTTTCGCGTTCCCCATTAGAAGTGTCTCTGTATTGATGTACGTTTCTGTTCCACGATAAGTTGTCGTACTTTTATCATTTCCCATTCCACTTTCTTCTGTCCAAGATGTTTCAGCTGAACCTTCAGTTATCATTACAATCGCTCGAAGTGATCTCACTTTTTCATTATATAACGTGATAGTTCCTGACACTTCCTGGCCACTTAAGAAAACTCCATTTGAATTATTGTAAAGAATAGTGCAACTAACCATCGCTTTCAATTAGTCTTGTCACGACAAGTACAAACTATCGACTAAATAAATGCTGACAACGCTCTCAAAATTAATAAGTATTTCTCTTTATCTGGATGTAGATAAGAACATTTTTACTCGTATGAACGTTCATACACCCGTGCGCTTTTTAAAACGATGTTATGTCTGATTTATTAAGAAATAATTTCAACATGTTGCCTTCAATATGTATATGTAAATAAGGTGTGAAAAATGTCGCATCTGATTATTTACGCTCGTGAAATGTCAAACAAAGTTAAGCTTATTAAACTTTCTACCCTAAAAATGTATAATTTACGCAAAAATTTTACGCTGAATTTCAGTTTACTCACTTGAACTATCTCATCATTTCATGCTAAATTAAACAGTTATTAAAAGTGATGAGTGGAAACATTACCGTTTCATTACTGCAATAAAATCCTGTCGTTAGTGAATCCGTCATCATAAACATTCTTTCTTTGATTCATTGATTGTCTTCCCAACATAACCACACAGGGAAAATGATGAGAAGATTTATGTCTAAAGCTTCAAAAAGGCATTAAATCAAGCTACCAACAATTTACCCAGAGAGAGAAAAAATTCTCCTGTCACAATTTTTGAATCGCAAACAATTTTTTAAAAGCTCTTTTCATATCGTATTTCAAATGGCATTCGAAAAGAAAGTCGAATAAATATGTATGCGCGAAAAAATTTATTGCATTGCATGGATGATTAATTTTTATTGCAGGAAATTTTTCACACAAATCTATCTTCGGTCTTGAAGAGTGATGAAGAAGATAAAAAAAATATTAAAGTGGAAAGAGAACATGATACGTACAACGTGCAAGGATGAGAATAATTGAAAGATGATGATGATGATGAAAGTCAAAAATTATGAGATAACATATTTCCTTATGAATGAGCATTATTAAACGATAGTTAGAGCAGATGGGAAACTACAGATTCAACTTCCATTTGATTTCCCTTCTTACCGTGCTGTTGTGAATCTATTTTCTCTCTTTTTCTTATTCTTCATTTCTCGTATGAATTGAAAGACGCAATAAGGAAATTATTATGTTGAACAAAGAACATTTCACCTTCAGAGCACACATCTGGATGCATGAGATGAGATTCTCAATGTATCATTAGCTTGTCTATTCACCTGTAGAGCTGTTGCTTTGCAATTCGACAAAGCTTAAAAGCTTTTCTTTTATTTTCCATCCTATCGTAAATTCAAATATGAAAATGTATGTAGATATGACATAAAACTTTTATTTTCTGACGATATTCTCATTTCTATCACTGCTGTTGGCGCTAATGAAGACATGCATCATGATTGTAGGCAAAACACTGCACTAGCATCGAAAGAAGCCTTTCATTCATATACATTTATATGCAACATATTTTCTCGACAAATATAATTCTTTGTTTTCTAAATTAAAATTGTTTTCTCACATCATACATATTCGCTTCTGACATTGTCCTTGTTGCTTCAGCTTTTGTTTTTTTTTATTTCGTTGGGTTATAAAATTGAATAAAAATGAAAGGAGAGAAAAAGAATAAAATAACAGAAAGAAGAAGATTGAAAATATGAAAACGTTTTTCCATGGAAGAAAATTTATTCTTATACATATTTAGTCACAGCAAGGCTCACAGCTGCAACATCATCAGAGACAATAAGAAGATTTCTTTCTTAATTTATGGCATTATTATCGGAAGCAAAACATACAATTCGGATGTCATTTAAATAATATTTAAGATGATTTTCACTTTACAATCTCACTCTCGTATTTTATTCGAAGAAGTAAATTGTAACTTCAAATATTCTTCAGATATCTCGAGACGAAGTTATATGTTAGCAAATGAATAATAAAACTTTATGTTACAGTTATGACTACGTTAACGACGACAGTGATAATAATGCAAATGATGATAAGGTGAATGTGACATGTTGCATATTTATTTCACGTTTTCTGTTTCAACTATCATTGAAACATTAATTTAAGTTTTTACTTCACCTCATAATTTATCGCATTATAAACGTTATGGAAGGAGACATGAAGATAATGATAGAGTTATTGTTGTGTAACAAATTGCAATATGATATTCAATTAAAATTATTATTCTCTCCACATTTCCTCAAACCATGGTTTTCAAATAAAATATTCCATAAAATGATAGAATTGTGCATTGAATGACGGCAGTCTCGCCCATCATGCTGGGGTAGAAACAAACATTGTTATCTCTTTTAGTAATTCAGAATTCATTTTGTTTCTTTGTTGTTGACGGTCAGGTTTTAAGTGAGAACATATTTGTAAACTATTTAATTAATTGTATCAAATATGAAATATAAGTAATTTTTGTGAATGGAAAAAAGAAGTTTGAGGAAAATTTTTCAACTAAAGTGGCAATATATAAAGCTGGTGCTCATGATGCAACGTTTCCACACTTTTACAAGTTATGAAACTTGCTGAACATATTCATAAATAAAAAAAAAGTAATGTTGAAGTGTAGTAAAACTTTTTACGTTTTCAATAATGATAAACTTTTGAAAATGAAAGTTAAATGATAATGTTTTGACTTTCATAAGAACTGAACATGTACGAACGTAGGTGTTGACAAAGAGTAGGAAAGACGTTAATGAACTCTAAATTTATAAAGTGTCGTCAACTTTCATCTCAATTAACTTTGAGTTTGAATTTTTCATACTGTCAATATTAAATTAAGAGAAACTTTGAATTGAATAAAAGAAATTGAAATGGCGAAAAGTGAGAAGAATGAAAAATCAAAATTAACAGAAGATCAGGTCGATGAATTGAAGGAAGCTTTTGCTATCTATGACCTCGACAAAGATGGTTTGATAACTACACGTGAGCTAGGAACAGTTTTACGACAATTGGGTCAAAACCCAACTGAAGCGGAAATTCTAGATATGATCAAAGACATTGACAAAGATAGCACAGCAACAATTAGCTTCAAAGAGTTTACCATGCTAATGGAAAATAGAATGAATATTGCTACAGACCCCGACGATATTCTCGATGCTTTCAATGTGTTTGATGTCAATGGAAATGGTTTGATTTCAGCTAATGAGTTACGTCATGTTGCGACAAATTTAGGTGAAAAATTAACAGAAGATGAAGCAAATGAAATGATTCGTGCAGCAGACGTGGATGGCGATGGATTCATTAATTATAAAGATTTCATTAATTTGATGAAATAATTTCCAAATAAATTTCACGTTCATTAATAAAATATCTTCTCGTTTCCACATGATTCAATAAATCAAATACGGTTACTTTCATTTACTCTAATGAAAATATTCTTGACGTGAGGGGGAAAGGAACAAGAAGCAGCAAAAATAGGAAAGGAATTCCCATCAATATCTTTCACATTTGGCTCTCACATAAACACTTTGCAAAAGCAGTGATACATGACAAATGAACAATCAACCTCGTAATTACATAATAATAATCATTGTTTCCCAGAGTGACATTACACTGTGAGCCATTAATCTAAAAGCTCTGAAAGTGAAAAGGTGGGGTGAAGTTCTATAACAATATTTTGTAGATCGAACAAATAAACTTTTTTTTACTATTTTCCCGTTTTTTCTGGTGAAAATATAAAAGTAAACAACCTGAACTTTCTTATAAGCAAACAATTTATCTTCGCTTTCTTTTTCTTTTGCTTCTTTTGCGTCCACGAGTCAAACAAACTAATGGTGAATTGTCTTAAATTGTTATCTTGCAATTTCTCACACTTGTAACTTTTTTTTATGGATGAATGATGAAGAAGGATAGAAACAAGTTTTGAAGTGTTTAAATAGCATGTATTTGGAAATATTTTTCTTCGACATCCACAATCGTTCATACATGTCATCACTTTTATTATTTTCTTTTCAAAATGACAACTTAAAAGCTTATTTGGAAGTTTAAAAGTTCAAAAGTCATCAGTTATTTGATATCAACAAAACAATTTGTCATTTTGATATCAATATCCGATTTAAGTTTTATTCGCATGATTTTCAACACGATAAGAAATAAATGAGAATGAATTCTTGAGTAATTGCATTAAAATTCTAACAATGATTTTAAAGTGTGTCAACTTATCAAGGATTTTATGGCAGAAATAAATGTCAGAGGAAAAAAAACCATCAACACTACATTCATATTTATGTCATTGCCATACGGAAAAAAAAGAATATTCCGCTTGAAACAAATGAAAAGTAGAAAATTGTAGCGTTCTGTTTATTGCAAACTTTAATTGGTTTTATTTCGAGCGTATAATCAATTAAGTTCAATCCAAGGAGAAACTTTTATAGAAATGAATATTTTTGTCACTGTTTGTGAATAAGTATTGAAGTGATAGTTCTTAAGAAGAATCATCAAGAACTTAAATTATTGAATGAAATATCCCAAAATATTAAATTAATGTTTAGTTTTCCTTTAGTTAACTATTTCTCCACGCTCCCAATTCAATTTTAAAACGCTCTGCAAAATATTTCTCATCCATGTAAGTAAGTAAGCCAATTTATCAAAACTTTTGTCATCAATTTTTCTATTCCCTCATTCAACTGGAAATGAAAATCCTTTCTGGTCGAATGGTTATAAATAAGCTATAAATTCTTTCTCATGGAAGCTTCAGAATGAAGAGCTATTTTGCATGCGATATTATAGGAAGCGAATAAAAAAAGTTTCTCTTGCCACCTTCAAAAGTTCTGCTTCGATTAAGAAAGTGAAAGAAAAATGAGCAAAAAGAAAGAAAAAGACGAGATTTCCACGCTATACAAATTTCATATTTAAACTTTTCATGTGGCTCACAATGGTGGGTTGTAGAATGTCGGGAAAATGGATTAAGTTTTCAAATCTTGTTAAATAGATTTAGTAAGAAAAAAAGAATATAAATTATTAAGCATTTTGTGTGTGAATGTGGGAGGCGAATAAGTCGTAAATATGCTCATAAATTTGCATTCTCATGAATACGGTTCGCTAAGTTTAAAGCGATTTTTTTGCACTCTTTTGAAATATTTATTGCATTTTTCTTTGCATTATGCACACATATATTGCTTCTTTGAATAAATACACTGCTTCATCTGTTTATTTTCGTGTTAGAAATGCATTGATTTGTTTGAATATCCTTGCAGTTGCATGTGTACATGTAAAATTCTCGCTATTTAAGATTACAATTTCCCTTTCTCCTTTTCAACGTTGCTAACGTCTTATCCTCAGAAGATTTCAGAATAAAGTGATGAAAAATTTTCCCTTTACCATCTTCAGATGAAAGACGAATAAGTAAGGAAAGTTCTTTTTATTTTCCTTCTTCAAAGGATTTATTTCGACGAATCGAAAGGAGATTTCTTCAATTTACATTGTATGTAACAATAATCCTGCATGTTCGTCGTCTCTTGTTTGCCTTCTTAGTCATGATTGTGTACGATGTGAAGTGGTTGTAAAAGTGCTGTGAAGAGCGTAGAAGCACGAGAAAGATACATAAAAGCTCATTTGCATTTCTTCAATTTCAAGCTGAACTTTTAAGGCGCATCGCATCGTTTACGTCTTCAATCTTTTAACATTGATTAAATGCACCTTTAGCTTTGTAGAAGCATGAACGCTTTGTATTATGCATGCACTCATTTCACAGCAAATTGAATTCAATTCATTGTCTGGGAGAAATTTCCTCCCTTGATGCCATCACTTTGAAATTGTCTTTTAATTTTGTTATGCCATAAATCATACAACATCAGATGAAGTGTTCATGAAATTTTTAGAACAAGATTTTTGTTTTATTTCATAGAATAAAAATCATTTCATTCCAGATCTTGAGAGGGAATGCTGCTTGAAGAAAATTCATGCTATAAACTCGCGCTTTGAAACTTTCATTGCATTGTGTTTTTTTTTCTTCTTTTTCTCCTCCACCGTTGCTGCTCGTTTAGATGGGAAACTTTTCCATAAATTAGCTCTCACGATTGCATTGGCAGGAAGAAACTTTGGAGAACATATGCCGTTTAACTTCATAAAAAGCTTTCGATTCACGTTGAGCAATTTTATTTTCATTGATTTAACATGCTACAACCATCGACGTTAGATTTTACCTTTCAATTGGAAATCATTTGTAGAGCTTTCAAAGTTGAACAATTTTTTTATAACTAAAATAAGTAAGAATTTTACGACACTTATTTACTTCGTGCTCAATGTTCGTACATTTTATTCTAAAAGCTCTTCGTTTCTGAAAAAGTTTTTAGTTCATCTCCACTATGAATAATTTATGCGAAGCTGTTAGCTTAAAAAAAGAGACGAGGAAATTGAGATAAGTTTTGGAATAAAAAGGAAGGAAAAACGGAAAAAGCTTATTGAAGTGAAAAGTTTTGTTTGATTAGCTGTTTTTTTGAAAACGCTTCAGATTTGGAAGATTTAGATAAAGTGAGTGATTAAGCAAAATGCAGAAAAAGTTAGAAACTGGTTTATGTTAACTGCAACTAATAAATATTAATGAGACTGGAGTTCCAAAGATTTCTTCTTTTCTTCAAGACAAATTGAGTAACAGAACAAGAAATAAAAATCTGTCTCTCGTGGCTCCAATAATAACTCAACATTTACAGAAGTTTTATAAAAAAAATTTAATAATTTGCAACACAAAAAACATGATGAAGGTATTAAATATAATTAAATATTAAATGAATTTAAAGAAAGGCGTAGGAAAATATAATTAGTCAGATTTTTCTATAATCACTAATTAATATTAATGATGAGATTCAATACATGAAAGTGATTGAAAAGGTTCAACTTGATTTGAAAATTTGTATCTTAGCGACGTTGTGATCGAGACGTTGAAATATTTTTAATTGAAAACGTGGAGCTTTGCTTGGTAAAAGTTCAAAAGTTGTAATAAACAATTCAATCCTCTCGTTTTTCTATTTTCAGCGCTTTGTGGCTGATAAAGGTTTCTCAATTCCAGTTGCGAATAAAAACAAAAAGAAGAATTTTAACGATGACATCGATAAAACGAATGTTTTATTGCTTCTTCCGATTAAGATCAATGAACATTTCCAACCAATATGTTTGCTGAAACAGACCAGAAATTTTATATCCTTAAATAAACTACTTTAAGGTAGTTTCGTAATATTTTAACTTTAATGGAAAAAAGGGAAAATGTCGCACACACCAGAGAGAAAAATCCCATGAGCAATTTACAAAAGCCTTTGAAAAATTCGTGACTAATTCATTCAATCTTTACACAAATGTCGAAAAATATGTTTCCTGAATTCATGATAGAGCATAATGTCAATCTTGACATTGCCGAAGCAATTATTCTAGGCCCTCGGTAAGACCTTGCACTTAGGTGTCTTAAATTAAACACATTATCTTGACATTCATGAACATTCCAAAAAAAAACTTTTAAAGTCATTCAAACCTAGGTTAATGAACATTTGTGAAAGGAAAAAGAATTCATTTCTATTGAAAGCAGTTGATTCCAATTTTCTGTCATTTGCCTCGAAACATATTTGATTTGATTGAATTTATCAATCCATTCACTTTTCTTTCTCCATCAGTTTCTTTGATGATCACAACTTGGCACGTTTCCAATGAAAGAAAAAGAAATATTCTACGCATCCCCAAGCTGTAGATTATTTATTTAATATCACAGGAAAATATTGTCGCAAATTGATTGACATTTATAAATCAAATATATGTTTGGAAAACGAAAAATAAACGTTTCCTATCGATAAGATGCGATCCTTAAGGCTGAAAATATTCGAGAAACGTGCTTACTTTGTAAATTTCAGGAATTGACTTTCTACATCGATTTACAACGAAAGACATAAAATAAAATTTACTTATTTACCACATCAGGTCATTGAAATGAAGTTCATCTAAAAATATCGTCAAAGGTAAACCTGAAAATACCAGCAAACATCAATTGCTGCTCCTTAAATATTGTAAATACTTCTACAACGAACCTCCAAAGAAAAGACTTCAATCATTTCCTTAACACTTTGATGCAAATACAAATTAGCGAAGGTAGAATTTTGATTATTAAAACATGAGTCATAAAACAAACCACCCGCCAACAATACGAATCAGCACGCAATGTTTCTTTACCGTTTGAGTTTACTTTAGGAAAAGTAAAGTAAAGTAACGCCTGTGAGTAGAAAACAAAATAAAAACTTTTCCCTGACACCACAAAAACAAAGTTTCAGCGCTCTTTGGAAAGAAATGCCAAACTTAGCATTAACACAAACAGGAAATATCATAAAACTATCGAAGCACAGAGTTATGCGGCAAGTTTGCTCAAAGGTGTGTGCTTTTGCTTACACCATCAGGTTTAAATCGAGGCTGAGAATGAATATGGAAAAGTTAAGCATATATTCAAATGCTTGCTTCTTATATTACTTACCTGAGAACACTAAGAGCAGCGATATTTCCTAATCAGTAATGTAAACTGTTTGTTTTATTTATTATCATTAAGGAATGGTTTATCCAAGTTAAACTTTCGCTTGCGAACTGCGATTTTGTCGGCAGTAAAACGACAACTTCATGCAATAAATAATTGTTACATAAAAGTCTTTCGACTGTTATAAGTTGGGCAAGTCATGTAATGTCGCATATCTTGCCTTGGCCACCAAAAAAAACCAAAACTTTCTTTGTCTAGTTTTATCGCTCGTGTAATAAAAACAGCAGTAAAAGAATAGAGAAAGAAACATTATGCAATGTCTTTAATTCTTGTTACTTAAAGACTTAACGAAATGCCTTAAAGTCAAAAGAAAAATAAAATCATATTTCTTTTTACTTAACGTAAGCCGCTTTAATAAAGCTATTATGTTATCAGGTGAATTTGCATTGTATATTTGAATGAAGAAAAGTAAAAAAGTGAAAAATACAAACGAAAACTTTCTGACGTTCATGTTTTGAAGGATTATTCTTTCAGAAATATTTCTCATTTCTTTATTTTATTTATCGTTGCTTTCCTTTTTTCTTTTTTTGCAAAAAAAGTAAAAGTTTGTTGTAAAACAATTGTGGAAACATTCAGTGTTGACTTAAACATTATTTCAAGTACTTTGAAGACAATGAAACATAATTTTAATGCTCATCATTTTCACATTCACCCTTGTTTAGTATCCATCACTTACATTCAGTGGAACAAACTTCATTATTTTTTTTCTCTCTCTCGCCCTCGCTGTGAATCAAGTTGAATGTTGGTTGGAGAACTGCTGCAATGCATTAAGATACGATGACAATTTTTGTATGTGAAAAACAGAAATGGGAAAATAAATTGTGTCAAGTGTAATGCTCATACATTGACCGTAGTTCACGTTCCAACAATCAGAATATTTATTTACTGACAATGGGAAAATGAACATCAAGAATCCATAAATTTTGTTACTAAATCGTAAGCTGTCCAAACGGTCCGATGGTGGGAGTGGTGGAAACTTCGAAAGTATCTTAAGAACAAACTTTTGATGGATGTTTCAGCAAACAATCAGCAATGAAGTTTTTCTCGTTTTTATTCTTTTCTTTTCTTATTTTTTGTCTTCCCTTTGAAAGTCCAACTGAGCGAATAAATAAATATTTTTTGTGCTGTGAGAAAAACTGCCATCCCCCATTAGTAGGACAAACATGGTGATCGGTAAACAATGGTGGATAAGAACGAGATGCGAGTAAAGCAAGTTTTATTAGTTATCCATATCAAAATACCACATCCGCCTTTCAAGAGTCGCTTTCACTCACCATTCTTCTCCTTTCTTTTTTTTTGTCTGCGTGCGAGTGCTTGATCCACATTCCGTAACATGTCAAAAACTAAATGGACAGAATGGTGTTGCTTTTTATCATTTCAGCAAAGTCTCATCTTTCATTGTACTTTTTGGAGAATGGAAATAAAAAAAAGGGAAAGCTGATCTGGTCCTAGACTAAAATGTAAAAATGATTACTAAACTTTGACAAATTGTTAACAGCAGCAGACAAGGATATGTGGTTTAGTAAAATCGAAGTCGAACATTCACATCTGTAATTCTATGGTTCATTTGATAGCATGATATATGTTGATGCTATCTGAATAGCTTCGAGTGCTAAAAATATTCTTCAGGGGGTGAAGTTGCTTTCTTCTCCTTCTACCTACATGCATGTATGGGAAAAAGGAAAAATGTAATAAAAAGCATTGTGATAATGCTACTAAGAAAAGAATAGAACGAAGAAGAAAAAATTTGAGACAATATAAATTGAGTCGAATAAAAGAAGAGCAAAACAAAAAGAATAACAGTGAGACTCATCATCTCAGTCTTATGAACCTTCAGCCATCTGTCGTCGAATGAAAGTCATAACGTGATTTTTGAATTATGAAATATTGTGAACCTCGTGAACCGTAGTGCTTTGTGCCTCGACAGTCGACACAAATGAAATATATTTTTGGATGGTTTTTGTGTGCGGTATACGACGACATCAGCGTTGATTGAAGAAAATAAGGGTTGGGGGGATGAAAGATACGAAAAAAAATGAATGATAAATTCTGTCCCACACAATCAATAAATCTTAATGGAATTCGCCTCTTTTATCAAAACTAACTTAATAGAAAAACATTATTGATTTGATTCAATCATCGTAGATGAGGTTTTTTTTTCCTTTTTAAGGGGTGAGCTCGAGCTGAGTGAAAAGGAAAGAAAGAAAAATGAGAAGCGTAAAATATATGACGGATAAGAGGATGGAGCTGAATGTATTACAGTTATATGCTCTAGAAACGTCATGAAATTGATTGTTGAAGGAAAGCAAGAATGATCTGATTACTTGACCAATAACAATTTCTGAAGTTACCAAAGTTTATTTTTTCTCATATTATGACATCCCTAATGTCATTGAAACAGAAGTTGCTACTTATTTGTCGTTTTGTGACTTGTGAATCACAAGAATCATCTTCATCAACGTTACTCTAAAATCAAATAAAACACGAAAAGCTGAAAATGAATTGAACATTAAGTTTGAGAAAGAAGACAAAATCATTAAGCTTACAATTTTATTTCAGCTGTTGTTACGATAATTCAATGGAGAAGTTAATAAAAGCGAGTTGTTCAGATTGTTAAGTTGTTTCTTATCGTATAACGTTCGAGAAATAAAGAAGAGAAGCAGAAATGTATTCATTTACTCGCTACCGATATCGCAGAAATGCGAAGGGAAAAGTTTATTGAATCAAATTGCAATAAATATTTTATGGATTATATTTGTACGAAAACCATGGGAAAAATATTACAATCACAATTGTTGTTAAAGTTTTATTGAATACACTTTAAGGCTCGAGGAGTAGACATTCGTTGGAAGTTTATTTTTCTTTTCTTACTTTCAAAGACAAAATTCTCCTGTTTCAGTGAGTGAATGAAGGAAAGGAGGGAAAAAGAAATTCTTAAACCAAAGTTGTACACAAGCAGAAAGTTTTGAACAACGCAACTGTTGTTATCATAAATAAAAAGCAGAAGAGAAGAGCTTTCAAGTACTTAGTCATTCTCTTTCTTTCACTTGCTTACTCGCTCCATGCTTTGCCTCGAATGGCATTTATTTTAGCTACAGATATTTATTCTCTAAACATTCAAAAACGTGTTTAAGAGTCGAATATCTAAGGCGTTGCCAGTTCAACGAGAAAATATTTTACAATTCTAATAATTTTTCTTTCTTAAACAACGAGAATTCGAGCAGATATTTTCATGTACGAAAATGCCTCAATTAAAATTGTGACTCTACATAGACGATTTCCATCTGCTTAAGATGTTTTTGTCTTCATCGCTTCCAAGTGGCAAAGGAAACTTTTCAATACGCTTTCGCTCCGTTCTCTTCTTCGTTGTCTTGTATCTTATTACTTTAGACGACACACCAAAAATTCCTTTTCACAAAATACATGTGCTGATGAATAGGAAAATTTATATTTTTGGAATTCATTTATGCATGAAATCGTTGTCGAAAACTTCCAGAACTTGTGCGAGAAACGAGTTGTAGAGTGAAAATTAAATTCTCAGCTTAAAATGGAATTTCCTTCAAGATGGAATTGATCACGAATGGTGTTCATATTATAATTTAAAAGTTTTTAATTTCTTTAAATTTATTATTATGGAATTTTTAATTTAAAACGAACGATTGAATGGAACAAGAAAAGCTATTCTGTGACAATATTTATAAATCCTCCCTAATCCTTAAAATACGTTCTTATTATTTTAATGGAAATTGCAGATAAAATTATGATGCCAAAATTAGAAAACAGATTAGAATAGATTGTTAGTAAAAGCGATTAGGTATAACTTTGTTGGCAAACTCAATGGAAATTTTGAATCACCGAGTGAAAACAACAAGAACAAAAAAAATTGTTTTTTGTATTAGAGACACAAATTCGGGTCACGGGCTGAAAGATTCGCTTTTATCCGATCTTATGTTTTCATTCAATTATTTTCTAAGAAGAAACGCTTTAAAGTGAGTTACAGATATCTTCGCAACCACTTTTTAAAAGCTACTGTTGCTTTTTGGCGGGATGTTACGTGCGTGGGTGGTTGAATCGTTTATTTAGTATAAATCTTGTTTCATGGTAGGAAATTTAATTTTGTCGTAAATTTCTTTCTCGTCATTCAAGAGACATATGTCTTACTTGGGACCTGACGACTTGCTATTTCTATTTTCCTGACTTTAGCTTAAGTTGAAATGCCACTGTTAAGCGTTAATATCATCAAAGCGTGAAAGGAATATGCTCTGTTTGTCATGCTTTGCTCTGCCGTATTCATTTAGTCGTGTTCATTGAAGGAAAATCAGAAAGAAAAGCTTTTAGGGGGAAAAGAAACTAAGAGAGAAAAAAACAACCTTTCTGTAAGAAATTTCAGATTTTTTTGGTTTTCATTTTCATTTTCTTTCTACTTCGGTAAAGCTACATTATAGAAGCATTCACATTTGTTGAATACGAACACAATTTCCCTACGAAGCTCAAGAGAAAAGTCTACTAAATTATGTATCACCTCTGGATATCATCCTGAGTTTATCTTTGACCTTTAAACTTCTCTTGTTGCTTAGAAAATAAGCAAAATGAATTTAACTTTTCTTTTCAAATGCAAAAGAGAATTTTTAAGTGAAAGCATTGTTTTATGAAATTGAAATTTCTATAATGTCACAAAAACAACATAAAAGTTTGCTTCTCTCCCTTAACTTCCTTAATTAGGTAACACAAAATATTCTTTTTTATCGTAGCGATGATCATCATCCTTGTTTCCGTAACTAAATTCATCGATAAATGTCGGAAGTTGTTAGTTTTCTTGTTGCATGAAAAGCACCAATAAGTAAGTTTAGTAGAGATGTTAGGAGGGAAATTGTAGTAGTGATGGGAAATAGCGAGTAACCGAATTCCTATAAGATTTTATTTCCTTGAACCCACATTTAATTGATTTTTATGCTTCCGTATATTCTTCTTCTTCCACTCTGTTATTCTATCGTCTCATCGTCATCACAAATTGAAATGTTTAACGTGCACACTCGTTCCGGAAACTCAATAATCCTTACAGCTCTATTCCTATTGCATGCACAAAACTGTAATTCTACCGAGGATTCCCATCGCAATCTTCTTTCCATTTTCTCATTTTAAATTTAAATCTCGATTTTATTCGTTTTCGATTGAGAAGTAGAGAGTTTGGTTGCACTAACACCGTCGATACATTCTGCTAAACTGAGTGATGTAAGCTGTCTGTAAGCGGGCATTCTTTCCTCGTATGCTGTCGTTCTGAATAGAAAATTAATTAAACAAAATAAAATCACATAGACATTGTCAACTTGTCTGAATGGTGTTGGAAGTTGTAGATGATTTCTTATACTTAGAATGTAAAAGGGTTGAAAGGAGGTTAGAATGTAAAAGGGTTGAAAGGAGGTTTGAAATATCAGAACAATTGTTTGTTGAAATAAAACTGTTAAATTTATTAAATATTTCAACGTTTTAATTTTAAATTCGAAAATTTGAATTTTCTTTGCGTTGTTGTAAGGTCTCAAATTTTTCTAACTTAAACAGAGTGCCGTGCCAACCCACATCAAAAGTCACTTAATTACCTCGTTTTTTTCAATCTATCAAAACAGCTAAGTTTGCTTTCTCTTATTTGACTTCATTTCTGATTCTGTCATACAAAATGGATGGTATTAATTATCTCCTTTCACTTGATGAAACTAGAAAAAAGGTTTATAATGCCGAAATCACTTGTGAAGTTAATAAAAATCGTTCAATTTCAAAAGACATTAATATCGGTGATTCAACTAATCCTGTAACTCGCGGGTGAGTAAAATATATTCTATTTATCATCTATAACATGCTATATATGATAACGGGTTACTATTATTATTAATATTTACATTAATATTAGAGTCACGCTTTAATAAGGTTTCCAAAAAAAATTCATGTTTTTACCGTTTTCTCCAGAAAGTTAACCCTAGCAAGTGGCTATAGAGCATTGGTTATTACTATTACAATGGATCGTCCTAAGGACTTTGAAAATCGTTTCATTAAATTTGAGGTTAGAGCAAAATCTCAACCAGACTCTCATGAATACATTTTTGAAAAAGATTACTTTAAATTTCAAAATGCAATAAACGAGTGGAAGCAAGGTTTTGCTCATTTCGATTCCAGCTATTCATCATTGTTAAAAATAGAAGCAAAGGTAATTTTTATTAATTGTGAATTCTTATTGTTAAATAGCATAAAATTTACTGAACTTTTTAATCTTCAGTTCACAGTTATTGAGGAGATACCGAGTCACATTTATGAGACTCCAGAAGAACTCCAGGTCAAAAATGAAGCTCAAACTTTCCCACACTTTGCAGAATTTTATTTTTTGAATGACGAGCTTTCAGACTTCTCATTCACAGTAGGAGAAACAAAATTTTCAGTTCATAAAATGATTCTTTCATATCGCAGTCCTGTTTTCAAAAGAATGTTTGCAGGAAATTTTAAGGAAAGAACTTCAAGTTCTCAAGTAATTTCTGATGTCAGTGCTGAAGTTTTTGATGAAATGCTTCATTTCATGTACAAGTCGAAAATTAGTAATTTGGAGCATGCGGAAGATTTGCTTGCAGTTGCAGATCGATATCAGATTGATGACCTGAAAGCAATTATTGAAAATCATTTGTTCCACAAACTTGAAGATGATAATGCTCACCGATTTTTTCAGTTGGCACATCGTCACAATTGCTGCAATGAATTTAAAAAAGAATGTTTTGAAGTTTTAGAAAGGTTTGAATTTGAGTTCGTTTCTTGATGTATTTATTAAAGATTTATTTTGTTAAACAGACTTTTTAATGACATTAATCATATATTACCTGAAGAATTTTTGAACCAACCAGAGAAGGTTCGGGAAATCCTTGATGCTAAAGCTAATTTTGAGAATCTACTCAAAAGACCATCTACTGGTGAACATTCTGTCGGTGACGTCCTTGTAACAGCACCATTAAAAAAGAAAAGTCGAGCTTCTAAATCAAAAAATCAAAAAAAGAAGGAAACTTTTTCAATTCACTCCAACTGAAATTGTATGAATGGTGAGCAAAGCTTTTTTTGCATTCATGTCGCAAAAAATAAATCAAATCCCCAATGGTACAGAACATAAAAATGTTTTCGTCACTCCTTTACCGTACTTGCTTCTCTCAATGAGAAGAACAAAATAACATCATATGTGTGACTTCAGTCAAACGTGAAACTCAATTCAATTTTTTCAGCACATACACGTCCGCCACTGTGAAATTAAATCAGTTGAAAACGTCATTTTTATCAAACGGGGTTGGCAAATAAATTGAGAAATAATGGAAGAAATAACTTCGAATTATGTTTTTTTTCTTCGAAATCTTGTACAATCATGGATATTTAGAAGGAGTGGGGGAGGGAACGAGCATGTAAGTTGTCCCAAAGAAAAAGATGATCTTTCTGAATTCTTTAAAGTCTTATCGTTGGCAACAGCAAGGAGAATGGAATGAAAAAAAAAACGAATTCTTAAAATTGTTAGCAACAAAAATTGGATTTTCTCATGAAAAGAAAATTCAGTTTTCCGTTTTCTTTTCTTATTTTGTTGCGTCTATGAATATCAACTACATTGTTGGATTGTACCTTTCGCCACTGATGTGTGTATGTTTTCGGCACAAGCAAGCATTTCTGTCACAAAAGGATTTGCAAGATAAGGTTTTCTATTTTCCCTTTTTTTCTTCTTTTTGTATCCCTCGGACAATGAAATCATACAAATTTGAATCGAGGGAAAATATTCGAATCAAAAGGTTTAAGCAGTTTCACCAGCTATGAAGCATTCAATTGCTAAGGCATAAAACAAATTTTAGATTGAAATTCTTGTTTTCCTTTTTTCTTTACTAAACACGGAAACTATAAAGTTCACAAAGTGCTTCTCACATTTCCTAAACTTGTGTGCTTCCTCACAACATCAGAAGCAATCACAAACAAACACAAAACAGGAAGTCTTTGAAACGAGAACAAGCGTGAAGTTTTTTATTTCTGTTATTTTCACAGTTACTAATTATGCTTTACAAGATCCTCTCAGAAAACTTTCCTTTCAACAAGCAAATTTTCTTCTTTCACTTCAACAAAGCTTTATGTTTATGAAAGCTTCGTAAAAGTTGATAGAAGTGCTTTACGATGTAAACGTTAACATCTTTATATACTCTCATTTCATGATCAACAATTTGAGTTCAAACAATTCCCTTAAATTGCTTAATGGTGAAAGAAGAAAGTCTCTAATCCAATTGCATAAAGCGATGAAACGAAGTTTAAATAAAATTGATATGCTACAATGATGAAATATTTCGATTTTCACATTGAACATCGAGAGGGAAGTTCTCGGGTAAAGGGTTAACGGCAAGTAAGTAAGTATGCTCTTGTTCCATGTGGAAATATTCGTATTCAAATTTAAATTTATTGTGCACTTACAAACAATAAAATTTATTGTATGATAGGATGGTGAGGGAAAATATTTGTGAGCTTTGTTTCAAATATTTTCCGATATATTTTTAAAAGCGGGTAAAAATATTTATTCGTTTTTCAATATACATATTTTTGTCTTTTTTACTACGCAAAGGCGCTGCTTTTGATAGAAGAAAAACTGGAAAAATGCGGAGATTTGAGGCCGGAAGCATGGAGAGAGAAGAATATTTGCTGAGTTAAATCATTGAGCTCATGTGTTTCCTTCGTAAAAGCTTCACATCAATTGAGAACACGGACTTAAGATTCTTAAGTTGTGGAAATTGAAAGAGAAGAAAAAAATCTCGAATTTGAATGAAAAATTTTCCGGATGAAGAAGTTTATCGGAAATTCTTCACATAATGCAAATAGTTTCTGCAGTTGTGAGGAAGAAAGATGGAATGATGTGGATTTAACAGAAGAATTCAACTTGATTGAATCAATTTTTCTTCACAGATGATTTGTTTTGGTGCTTTCAAGAAAGTTTCTGAATGGAAATTCTGCTGCTGTTATAAGACATGAAATATTTTTTAATTTTTAAAGTTGAAATGACAAAAAAAAAGTTGAAAAAGAAATTTCTTTCTTGTCTCGAAGAATCTTTAATTATTTGTTTCTCTCTACAATCAAACTGATTACAGTACATATGTCATTGAATTCTTTGCTTTCCATTGCTCATGAATATTCATGTTAAGCTTCTTTTCATTGAATCATGAAACGAACAAACAAATGAATGAATAAAACGAAATAATTGTAACAAATAATTTGCTGCTTTCTCACACATGTGATATCATCAAAATTAACTTTATCTATCGCTTGCTTTTAATGCTATCAAAGGATAAATAAATTAATTTACGTTAAGGGTCACATTGTGGCTATAAATTAGTCTTGCATGTGCTCGCAAGAAGAGAGAAACATGTAAATAAAGTATCGTTGGGCTTAATTAGCGTAGCCTTACAATACTTATCCGATTAAACTAATTATTCACTACGGCATGACTAGATATCTATAATAAAGTTAAATCTAACTGAATATCTTTTACAAAGTAAGGCGTTATTGAATGATTTTAATGGGGTTCCGTTTGTAAAGTTTTCCCTCACTTTCCCTTCGTTGCATTTCCTTTCATTGATAAGTATAAAAATCAATTTATGTTACCATGCAACTTTGTAACAAAAACAGGAAACTCAGCATGAAGGCAAATTGCTTTAAATTAAAGACTTGTGGTTTATTGTTGTTCGAAAGATAAATTTGAAATTATTAAAATAAGAAATATGTAACAAAGAGCTTTTATAAATAAACAGCGAATGATTGTAAGTTGAATATTAATTTCATTTCTCTCAAGAATACTCATCATCAAATATTTACATAACTGAAGTTTATCCTCGTAATCAAGATTTGTTTATGCATTCTGTAGAAATGAAACATGTATTGATCAAAGCCAGTAGCACTTACACCCTAGAGATTGTTTATGAAAATTTAATTTACGAGTTTAATCAAATTTTTAAAGCTTTCTGGAGTTTCTAGTTCTTTCAACCATTGTTTAAGATAAACTTCATTAAAGTTTAATAAATTCCGCACCAATAAAGTTTTCGGTGATTTATTGATCAACACGATGACTTTGAAAGAGAAAAATGTTCCAAGTCCGGTAAGTTTCTCGCTTCTTCTAAATATTTCCAAGCTCATTTTTCTCCACTAGTGAGTTAACATTGAAACGTGTAGTAAAACTAAGCAAGTGACCAGCAACATTGAGAACGTGGTACATCCAAATGAGGTCTACAAATATGCATACATACCACAAATACGTGACAAAGAATAATGTAGATAAATGTTTGAAAAACTAACAGACTAAAAGCACAAATGACGATAGCCGACGATACATTTCAAATGTTGAATGAAACATGTGTAAATGTACTTGAGATAATTTACATTCACCCTACATGAAAACGACTCGTGTTTCGCAGTAGAATATTGCGCAATGATTTGCTTGCATATTGGACACGGAATTTTAGTTCATTTTTAGCTTAATTGTTTTTCTGCTCATTTCTCGGTACTATATATGTTTGCTTTCAAAATCGTGTACCTTCAATTTAGTTGTCAATGTTACTATTCATTTTTTATGTTGAAGTTATGAGCGTGAACATGTTTGTTAACAAACAACATTACATGTCTACCGACGAAATTCATAATTAAGTGCCAAAAGCTCTTCGATTATTCACAACGACAACAAAATGATAAAAGAGAAGTTTAAAAGGCAATAACAGAAAACAAATTTCTATCATGATATAAATCAAAATTATAACTTATGAAAAATTCAAAAGTTGATTGTTTTCTATCATTACGAAGTAAACTTTAAGAAGGGGAAGACATTTCATGTATTCATTACAACATAAAATTATGAGATTATTCAGATTGATTTAAATTCTATTTAACATTCATTTTCACATGCTGCTAATTGAATTCCTTAATAATGCATTTATTTGAAGTGTGAAATTCTTAAAATCCTGAAGAAAACTAAACAAGAATTTTGAAAAGTTCGTAATCTAGTACTACAAACTTTCTGACTCACGCGCAGTTAAGATTAAAGGAAATTTTATCCACACTCAAAACTTAACATAGTCTTGCTTTATCCAATGTTTTCTTTTTGCATAAAACGATGCTCGTACCTATGTTTTCTTGGTTCACTACCACAACAGTATCGATTATCCTCCGATTTGGAAAACTCAAATGTTGACTGTCAATTAAAATTGATCCGCACTGTTGATTGCTTCTAGTTTTTCTTTTCTCTCTGGAGGACTTAAATAGTAATCTCATAGATGACACACATAGTTCACACAGCCTTCATACCGAAATAGCTGGAAAAACTTTATTTTATGTTTTTCTGTGGAAAACCTTTCTTTTTCCCTCCGGTTTTCCTTAGAGAGTTTTTCCAAGTCAAGGTCAGGGATGAGGTTGTATGTGTCGGAAATACATGTTAACGCAGAACACGCTTTTAAATGTTTAGATTTCATTCATTCACATTTTATATTGTTTTTATTCTAACAAACTGGGGTATTTAGATATGGTTTTCATGAAACAAAAAAAGCGACAACTTTAATTACGTTCTAGTTTCGTATAATCTAATAGCAGGATAATTTTTGAAAAGTATTTAACCACAGGGAGCAATATAAGTTACGGTTATTTTATACGAAAGCAAAGCAAAAGAAATCAAATTTTATATTCGTCCGAGTTTTCACCTCTAATCTTATCAATGCAATTCAAAGCGATATCAATCACTTTTTCATTAAGATGAAGAAGACAGAAAAGTTTTTTATGGTTGAAAACAGTATTCGTTATCTTCCTTTGGTAACCACCAAAGCAAAGTATCAAAAGGAAAAGTTTCAACTTGAAAACTTTCACAAAACCTTAGAAGACGATTTGAGATTATTTTTCAGAAAACTATTAAGTTGCGGTTAACCGAAGACTAATTCCAATGGAAAATCGAATAAATTCGTGTTTGCTTTGGGAATCTGAGTGGACTTTCTAACAGAATGATGGTTTTGAGGTTGTTTGAAATTTTCTTCAATTTCAACCATATTCATACATATTAAGGTAACAAAATATAAAAAGATTTGTTGTAAAGCTCATTCTTACATTTGAGTTAACAATGCTAGAAAATGAATTCGAACAGAAATAAATTCATTTGTAGATAGAAAACGCCTTTTCTTTCGTCTTTACCATAAACTCTTTGCTCTAAATTGATCTTTGGTAAGTTTTATAATTTCATTTGTGTGCATTCGTTTGAAATGTGGGAAAATATACTGAGAATATTTATCTTTTAAATTATATGCTTTCTTGGTTTTCTTACATACTTATATAAATGGCAAGCACAATTGCTGCATCATCCGATGAATTTCATTTATTTTTATTCCTTCACCCTCGTCTTCAATTATCCTTCCGCTATCCTTATGAAACTTTTAACACACAGCATCGGACAATGACGATAAACTAACCAGAATGCATGCAACATTCTTCATCATCCTTTGTTGAAAAATTACTTCTTTTTTATCCTGTGGTTGTACTAAAACTTGAAGTTTTTAATATATGTGAAAGCCAAAGTTAAATGAAAGGAAAATTGTAATAGTGCTGGTGATGGTATCACAATTACTTAGAAATGGTTCCAAGTAAATGGTACAATTGCAGAATAATGTTCAAATGTGGTAAAGCACAGCATAAAATTTTCATTATTTTCCTTTTTTTTATCAGACGTTATGCATTAACGATTGCAATGGTAAACTAAACTTCTCATCTATTCCCAGCATATACGAAGATATTTAAGATGTGAGATGAATTCTGTTTTGTAACCTCCTGATTCAGTTTTATGTATTTCCAAAGCTTAATTGAATAAACTTTCCGCTTCTAACATTTCAACACTCATGATGGTTTGTGGCACTGTGGGTGTATGTTCGGACAAGGCTGCGGAAGGGAGGAAAGTAGTTTTTCATATCATTCACAATTTATTCTGTAGTAGAAATAGATCATGTAGAGAACCATGTACAAAATTAAATCAACATGATGTTCAACAATCATCAATTGTAGTGTACAATAGTTTTCTAGTTTCACTTTAATTCTGATGAAATATTCTTTTATCATCATCATCGTCCATGGAAGAATTCTTCAGTCTTTTATTACGAACAATGTTATTATGAAATAATTTCAAAAGCTTTTGCGGTTATTCATGCGATTGAACTTTCTTTTCAACCAACCACAAAAGCCTTAACTGTTGAAATTGCATGTATGTAATTTGAAATTAAACTGAACGCATGGAAAATTTATAAACACAAAAGTTGAGAGTGATTTGCTAACAAATTTTGAATTCCTGTTTTTCACCTCGACTTTATGGTTTAAATGCTGCAGAGATAGCTTGTGTGTGTGTGTGAGTGTGGATGAAATTTTCAATCAAAATTACCGCAATCGTACTCATGGTTTCATGCTGTCATCCAAACGAGCGATGTAGAAAATATTAAGCCATCAGCTAAATGTTTTTTTCCAATGCCTTCTCGATTTTCCGCTGACAGATGAGAAAATCTGAAAATCTCAAGCAAATCAAATGTTTTTGACATTAACTTTTGCCTTCTGGAGCTGTCATAACTCAAAGAAACGCAATTGCAGACAGATTTATTTTGTTACGTAATTTCAAAATATTTCAACAAAAATCAATTGCTTTTATAGCAAATTAAAAGCCATTCCTGATTCAACATAAAAATTCCATTCATCCAATCGTAAATTTTAATTCATTTGAAGCAGATTAAATTAGCGCTCATATTCGGGTTATTTTTTGTTGACACAATGACACATTAAAATGTATTCGTTTAATTGCACAATGCTCGACGGTTGACAAGACACTAAAATTCACTCATCACTCATCACGATGAGTTAAAATAATTACAACAATTTTCAGCATTCACCAATCACCAAATATTTAAACGAGATCCGCTATTTCCAGCCTGCTGCAAGGAAACTACGAAATAATAAAAAAAGATTGCGAGTTTAGCCGAGAGAGAGTGAGATGGGGAGAAAATTTGATGGGAGATAAATTGGTATGCGATTCATTCTGACATTTAATTTTAAATTGCCTAAAGGGAGCAGAGATGGGCAAATTGCACGTTCAACTCGATTGACTGACTGACTGACATGTCAATGTCTGTCAGTCAGTCAGTCAGTCAGTCAAAATCGCAAACAAAAATGTTCTTATGTTGGGAAGCGTTCATACAAATGTTCCGCTCAAGTCGTTTGACTGACTGACTGACAAGTCAATGTCTGTCAGTCAGTCAGTCAAATCCCAACTCTGAAAGGGAGCATCAAGTGTTGAAAAATGTTCAAATTACAGTTCAAGCTTTTCACTGAAACAAAAAATGCAATCATTCTCAAGTTACAATTTATTAATTTTCCCTTTTTTCCCCATTTAATATCCAACACAATATTTAAGCATCATCGATGTCGATTTTTAAGAGTTTGATAACACTAAACGATTGACAAGTAAGTGTTTGCATTTGCATGAGATAATGTGAAATTGATAGAATCATGACGAGAAAGTTTGAGCTGATGCAAAGATGATGGAAAGCCATTTTATCACATTAAGTTTGTTTGCGATCTCAAGCACATCCATTCAATGTCTTTAAGAGGTTTTTTCAAGATTCTCAGGCAAACCGCTTGTACAAAATTCATAAGATGATGGAAGGAAATTTAAGTAGATAAATAATTTCTGTACATGAAGCTCATTAACTTATTTACCTTGCTAATTATCTTTGCTCAATTTCATTTCTATCTTCGCAATTAAGACACTTTGCATGGACTTTCTACGCTTTATTTAAACTTCTTTTATTAAATAGTATTTAAATGGAAGTATTTTCAGTTCATGCTTTTGTGTTCACCATCATTAGCAGTTACAGTAAATTAAAAAAGAAAATGCTTAAAGTTTACATCTCATTAGTTCTTCCATTTTTATTACTGCAACTTCAGTCGTTTAAAGTTCACGAAGGTGAAAGAAAAAAAAAGTACGATAAAAAATTAAAAGGACTTTGTGCCTTGATGGTGTTCTTCTTCAGGGAAAGTTGATATGAGACTATTAAGTGGATTAGATGAGCCAAATGATCTTAGAGACAGTATCGATGACGATGCCACAGCAACTGAAGAAAAGGAAAAAGAAAATCATCCCACTTGGTGACATGATGTTATGATGAACTTTCTATTTTCTATCAGCAATTCCGAGACATGGACTGGCAAGTGGTTTGAAGCATTGCTCGAAAGGAATTGCTTGGGTAAAATTTCGAAATGATTTTGTCGAATCAAGCATGCCAATGCTTTGCTTCATCATGAACATACATTGGAGTATTGACAAATGCAACAGATTATGTTCCTGTAATGCCAGAAAGTGGTTGCAGTTCAACTGTCGGCTGTTCACATTACAAGAAAGAAAGGGAAACCATTCACGAGTTGCTTCTTGTACTCGGCTCTCTCCACATGCATACAGCGATTGAAAGAGATAAGTTTGTGAAGGTCAACTACGGCAACATCCCCCCAAATGCTTTAGGAAAACTTTGAAAAGTTACGAGTTATGTCGAGATGTTCAACACTTAATATGATTGTAAGTGAAAAGTTTACTCACCACTTTAATTTTTTACTGTAACTTTGTTTTCTTCGTTCAACATTTTTTAAGATTGATTTAAAAACTTTTTCTGTTTACTTACAGATCGATCAATCATGCACTACAGCAAGAACGTTTTCTCGATAAATAAAGCAATTTCAACAATAATTTCATTTAAACGCGTTTGAATCATGGGTCAACGAAATGGTAGAAGATGAAAGATAACAATTTAGGTAATTAGATATCATAGTTAATTTTTTTAATTATAGAAATAACAGAAGGTGACATAACAGAATGTACAAATGTCCCAACTTTGTTGAAAAAGATTTGCTTTCATCCCAGACAAGTTTCAGAGAATTTAATGATGAGACGGTGGGAGATGAGTAAGAAGAAAATCAAGACGACGATAGTGAAATGGCCGATGAAGATTTCATAGAAATCGTTGATGATTGCCAAGCGGATGGCAAACTGGAAACGGAACATTTAATAGTTAATAAAATTAAGAATCTTTCAGAAGTTTAGCTAAGATTACCAATTTGATTTGCAACCCTCGGAAACAATTACAAGACCTGGCGGATGTTTTAAGAAAAATTTAAATTCAATTTTTTCAGTAAATATATTAAATGTTTGATTAATTTAATTTATTATATGAAATATTACAACCCCGAATTGATGAATAGTATCATTATGCTCGACATTTGAATAAATTACCATTCAATTTACTTATGTCAAACATGCACTTAACTTGTCTGACACATGATTAAATAATAAAAAAAATCTAAGGTTTCCTTTAATCCAATATTGTTCTTGCTCAACCACCAATGACCTTTATTTACAATTGATTGAACATTTATTTTTGATGCTAGTCTGAACATAAATTCTCCTTAAAAACATTTTCTTACACAACTATTTATAACGATCTATCAACCTAGTTAGCCTTCTGAATGAAACAATAAAAGTTTTATGAAATAATTTAATAAGCTACAATTTCCCAATCCATTTTGCCATCGATTCATTCTACAGATTTTGGATTAATTTGTGCAATAAACAACGACACAAAAAAATAAAAAGAAGAAGGAGAAGTCAGGCTTGAACGATGGGAATCGAGCAAACAAAGTTGTACAAGTTCTTCGAAACCCAGACCGAAGGCAAGTCCTTTTGTATTCTTTATTACCGCAATAAAAAAGTGAAAACCATTTTCTACAATGTAGATATTATGTAATCTTTAAATATTCATGGAAAATACTGGTTGCGCAATATACGCTTATTTAGGTTGATTGTCGAGAAATAAAACTTTCTTTACTTGTGATCAATGACGGTTGAATTCGTTTCTTTAGTTTTCTTCGCTTCTTCCCTTCTCGACATCAATTGGCAATCAATTTCAATATATATGAATAAATTCCCGACGTTTTGCTAAGAAACGACACGAGAATAGGAGAAAGAAGGAAAAAACAAGGAGAAGGAAATATACATAAGAAAGGAGAAGACAAGAAAAGCTTTCCTATCGTTTCATTTTGACATTGTTTATTCAAGGGGAAACTTTTTCCTCCAAGCTCATTTGAGATAAAAATAAATCGTTTTCTTCTTATCCAAATACGAAACGAATTCAAGAAGAATAAAAGATCAAACAACTTTCTTTCTTTTCTTTTTGTGTGATCGAACGAAGGGAGTATATTAAGGCGATTGACATCTTATGCTTGATATGTGTTTAGACTTTCATATGGTATTTGATAAAGTCCCCTGTTACAGTCGACTCGACATGGGACACGGACGATAACAATATTTAGGAGGTTCTAAAGTAAGAACCTTGACTAAATATTCATTCATTCATTCATTCTTTCGCTTTCTTTCAAACCATCACGTTTCTAGGTTTTTATCTTCGATGCCATTTTGATGAAATGATTGTGATGTGTTTATAGATGAGAAGAAGGTGTTACAATAAAGGATGAAGGTTCAACTGGCTTCTAATAAACTTTATAGCATTTAAATGAAAAAGTTGAATGGCATGTGAAACTTAGAAAAGTTGTAAAGATCTTGGGATATCTATGCATACATACACACGACATCCTTTCCCTTCCAAACTTTTATTGTCTTACTCATGTTTCAATCTCTCTCAAACATTTAAGTTCACGTCATGACGCAGATAAATTTTTAACTACACTTATACACAATTCAAAAAGTTAATACATTAATCTTCCAACTGCGACATAACTGATTCCAACATTTTTTTAATCATTTAACTACTTACTGCTGTTTCCTTTCCATGCAATGACAAAATTTTTTAAGAATGCCATAACTAATGAAAAACTTTCTTTTTGCGCAATGATAGCAGAAATAAAGTTTTTAATGACTTTGAAACCATAAATTCATTGAAGGTCTCAAAAACTTTAGCTCCCGTCTTCAAATATAAACTTTCTTCCTTTTTTTAACTTGTCTCCATATTTTTTTTATCTTCCACTGCCTTACCTGTACGTTGAATGTCGAGAAACAACAGAAAAACGTCAAATTAACAAAAAAAAAAAAAGACTTAAAAAGATAAAATATGCAAGCTGTCACAGCCGTTATATAAATTTTCATTTCTTGAAACTTTTCACATAAATTTTCATTGCAATAAAAAATAATTGTGAAGACCTCGCCGCAAGTGCGATCATAAGCAACGAAATGAATTCGTTACAGATGTTGTTTTAAACTCTCATGTTGACTGATAAGCCTGAAAAGTTTTGTTTGAAATTAAAGCTTAAATTAAACTGCAAATTGAAAGTTCGTTTTGCTTTTTATGTTGGTGAGAGAGAAGTTGAAGTTGGCATACGCTGGAAATATTATCCCCAGAATGCTTACAGGCATCAAAGTGTTTTAAAACAGATTAGCTCTGTAGGGTTGCATGTAAAAGCTTCACTTCCTTCAGCATAAGCATGAAAATAGAGAACTACTGTTTGCTAAAGTAATTTTTAATGGACTTTTAAGAACTCCACATTGGGCGAATCACATATTTGAAATAATATTAAAACTAGCTTCTATCTCTATTTGCTACTATACTTATGTGCAGATGTTCCGTTTACTGTTCACATGCTATCATCGTTTGTAATTTCATTTCAAGCGATATGTCATGTAAATGCAGTTCAAACAGTTTTTTTTTATAAATCAAATTGCACATTCACTTCAAATCGTCTGTCGATTTGTTTCCTCGCAAATGGATTATCTTCTGTGTTGATTTTCAAACACCATCGAGATGGAAAAAAAATGAAATTTATTGAAAATGATTTTACTTTTTGAAAGCAGATGCAAAAATTTCCTTCCATCATATAAAAATTTCACATCACTTGATGGCATTAAACAAGGCATTGCGATAGGGAAAACAAGTGAACTTCAGCGAAAAAATTTATTTTATTTCTCTAAAAGTGGATGAAAACAATTGCAGAGTATTCTGACATAACACAAAAGCCTCGGATTTTCTCTTACGTCAGTTTTATTAAAGCGAACAGAAAGTCAGCAAAGATAAAAACGAGAATAAAAAAAAAGTTGAATAAGAACGTAATCTTATTCCACTCCACTTCATAAAACATTTGTCTCAGACTTTATTTCAACATAGATTCCTGACATACAGGATAAATCTGATGATTAAATGTGTAACTTATAAAACACACGATGAGTTAATTTAGCCCTGTTGTCACATGAATTTTCTTTGTTGAATTGTCGTAAAATATGACTTGGGAATTAAGAGATAATTTTTTTCAGTGAACCACTCCTGCATCCTAATCTAGGTCTTGATAAAGACTTTATTAAATAATAATGTGCGGAAGGAACTGATTAAATATATACTTACAAATCAGGGTTAATATTTCTTTGTTTCCCAGCAAAAATTGCTTTTAATCAGCACAGTTTAATTCCTTTACTAATGTTTGGTTCCTTGTGCTGTTGTCTAAATATTTTCGTCCATGGCTATTAAATGATTTTTTACTCTAACAAATTTTTGTTTCATTTTTTCGTTGTTTATGTTTTCTTCTTTCTATGTTTACTCTTCTTTAAACATTTGCAACTACATTTGCACAAGTGAATTCATAGTGAATAATGCGACGAACTTCATTTGAAATATTTCAAGATAATATCAGTGTAGAAGCAAAAGTATTGGCAGAAAAAAATGTTTAAGACGCCTAGATGGAAATTTTCTATTTTTTCTATAATAATTTTCTTAGTGTATGAACTAAGTTTCATGAAGAAGTTAAATCAGGAACACCCAAATCAAGAACGTATTTTAAGTGATTCTTTGACTTCACGCAGAGGAAATTTCACAGGAAATGAAAATTATAAAATATGTAATTTTACTATGGATCCATTCGCAGAAGCAGTGATGAAAGAATTTAAGCCTATGAAACATAGAACATGTTCGTCATTAAAACCATTAACATCAATCGATCAAGATTTCGATGCAGACGTGGCAAAGTTGTTGATACATGAAGAACGAATAAGTCAATTTTTCAACGAGTCAACTCAATCAGGGTTCTCAGTTAGTTTCCTAAAATTTAGAAGAATTTAATGTACACACTTTTTTTATTTACATTTTGTAGTGCTGCTATCATAAAGTTGAAGACTCTTCTAATTCTCTGGTTTATTCTAATTGCATCCAATTTAAGACAAACCATCAACTCATGCCAGATGAAGAATTTTTGCTGGTGAAATGTTCAGCTAGCGAGAATTCGACTACTAAACTGATTTATGTGAATGGACATTCAATTGTGAGAATGAAAGAAAACGTGAGACAACGTATAGAAAATTCAACAGAAGACAAACTCAGCATACTTTTACTAGGACTTGATAGTGTGTCGAGGATGCAATTCATACGATCTTTCCCAAATTTATTGGATCATTTGAAGAAAACTGGCTGGTTTGAGTTGAAATTTTACAATAAAGTCGGTGACAACACTCTGCTGAATCTTTTTCCGCTAATGACTGGTATAAGCACCAGAGAGGCAAAAAAGATCAAAGATTCTGGGAAATCTGATGTTCTTCCATTCCTTTGGGAAGACTTTAGAGATGCTGGTTATGCAACTATTTCTGCTGAAGATAATATGCCGTATAGTACATTCCATTATCTTGAAGGTGGATTTGAGGAACATCCCATTGACTATAATTTTCATACTTACGCAAGATTATTAGAGACAAATTTAGAAAAGAGCGAATGCGATGATTTAAATCCAATTTCAACATACAGAGCTTTCCTTGGTTTCCATTACTATGTTGATTATCTCTATGAATATGCATTCGCCTTTCTTAGAATGTTTCGAAGCAAACCAACATTTTCATTCATTTGGTCAGGATCATTCACACACGACAATATTAATTTGCCATCATCAATGGATGACAAAATGTTGGATTATTTGAAAAAGCTTGAAGACTTCGGAACTCTTGGAAACACTTTCGTTGTTTTCTTCAGCGATCACGGAATGCGTTATGGCAAAGTACGATATCATTTCACTGGATGGATGGAAGAACGTTTACCTTTTTTTTTCATTTGGGTACCAAAGAAATTTCAATCTTCTCATCCAGAAATAGTAGAAAATCTAAAAAAGAATGAAAATCGTCTTTTTTCTGTTGTATGATGTTCACTTAACTTTGAAGCATATTCTTAAGTTGGTTGGAGGAACCGAGAAAAATTACATTGAATGGAAAGTCACTTGTCCTAGTTGCCAAAGTATTTTCGAAGAAATTCCAATCAACCGAAAGTGTGCTGATGCTGGTATCCCTGACGGATGGTGCGCTTGTAAAGATTTTGAAGAAGTTAAGTTGAATTCGGAGATAACTAAGAAACTAGCAAATATAATTATAGAACACTTGAACAATGGTCTTGCTTCTTATCCTAATTGTGCTAATTTAACGTTGGATTTTGTTCGTTCATCTTACAAATCAGAATTGGAGGTTTCATCTGAGAAATTAACAGATTTCCTTATATCGTTTGATGCGAATCCATCAAAAGCAGTATTGCAAGCAACTGTTCGCTGTGAAAATGGATCAAATTGTGATCATTATAAAATTATTGGAGGTGTTTCGAGATTAAATGCGTACCATGGTCAAAGTGACTGCATTGCAGATGCTCATCAAAGAAAATATTGTTATTGTATTTAATCACTGTTTTGTTATGAAATAAATTAATTTCATTGCATTACTAAAGATTTTTCAAAATTTTTAGTTTTTCAATAAACTTCTACATTTTGATGTGGAGATAAAAGTTTAAAAAAAAGAAACAAGATGCAACTGATTATCAGGATATTTACTTCCTTAAACATGAGAAAATTATTTTATCTTCTTCCTGCCAAGAATTCAAAATGAGTTGAAGATAATTCAACACTCGAGGGTTTTCCATTAAAATAAATTAAAACTTTTTTTTCTCTTATTACGTATTACTCTGTAATCAGAATTATTGCATTTTATAGGAAAATGCATTAAGTTAACTTCATTTAATGATTCTTCAAAGTTTTATTTGTTAGAAAAGCTCTCTTGAAATTAAAGTGAAGGAAAATATGTTTAAAAATAATGAGATTCTGAGTTTTTCTTTCGTTTGTTCAAAGGCCATGATTTAATTTCATCTTTCATATTTATTGAAACATTGCAGATACTTCTTAGTGAAGGATCTTTATGAAAGCCACACAAACGTAAATAATTATGAGTTGTGAAGACTCTGAACGTAAAATGTAAGTCATCAACTGATTTAAAAGATGAAAGAAATCAAATTATTTCGAAAAGTAAATTTTCTTTAACAGTTCACAGTGTCAGCAACATTCAAGAAATTTATTCATTGGAAGAATCTCGTATATCTGAAAGATATTTGTTTACAAAGTATTAAACACAATCCTTAGATGTTCCCGTAGATTTAATTAAGATAATCAACTGAATGCTCAGGAATTTTATATCTTGTAAGTTTATCTTTCGTTGTAATTTTATTTTAATGAAAGAAATTGCGAGAAAAGCTTTGACTCAAATAAAATATCTACATTCTTGCATTCGACGAAAAGTTAATGCTTTTTCACGTATGCATTACTCTCAAGGAACGATTAAATATCGCTTGATGTATGTGACATTGTTAACTTTTGCATTCCCACATTTTTTTGTCATGTAAACTGCATTACAAATCGTATAAATGTTGATATAAAGTTTCTTAAAATTTAAAGCACGTTTCATTTTTAATTCCTTTTTTACTGTAGAAAGCATTTACGACTGCAACCGAATGAAATCAAAATCCTTTTTCATTTTTCATTGTAATTATCGGAGCAATTTAATTTGAAAAGTTTTCGATTTCCATTGGCGTGCAATTTCCGGTTTTGTCAATTCGGTTTGAACGTTTAATTTCATTTCTTTTGTCTTTGACGAAGTTTTAAAGCAAAAACATTATTAAAATCGCAGAATGGGAATTTTATTTGATTCCAATGAATTTTTGTAAAGATCAAATTTACTTTTATCGGATTGTTCAACTCTTTAACGAAAATAATAATGAAGCTCTTTCAGCAAAGTTTTGATGAATAATCAAGAAGCTTTGCAAACGTTCTTTAGTTTTTAATTATATCAATGTTTATCTATTAAAAGAGAAATCTCTGCAGAAATTTTAAATTTGTTGAGACACCATCGTGAACAACTTCAGTGTCGCTGCTTAAAATTTTTTATCTCATAAATCTTTCAGATCTATAGAATTGAGTGAACAGGAGATTAATTTCACACTTATTAAACACTTGAGATGTCTAGAATTTTTTCTGATAGAACAACACAACACAATTTCTAGCAGTTTTTTAGCAAACTTTCATTTCATGTATGTCAAAGCGATTTTACTCGAATTTTGTTTCGAAAAGTTCAACGAACAATTTTCTGATACTTGAGGAAACAACTTGCAAAGTGTTTACGCTTGAAATGTTTTAGAATTAACACTGTTGGCTTTATTTGAACTGCAAGTTTGCCAAATATTTTATCAATAGTTGCACAAAGATATAAATAATAGAAATTCACAGAATAATCACTTTCATCATGACATTTTAAATTAGATACTTTTGCATTGTTATCAAAACTTTTTTTAAATAAAAAATTCTTAAACATAAATAACTGAAAAGAGATGAAACTTAGACAAACATATTAAAAAGTAACAAACAATGGAGCCAAAATATCAAATGAACAATATTGTCATAGTTCGATTTTTAGGTTTGCACAATTTAAAAATCTGCTGAGCTTTATAAATGTCGTTTTGTTCTGTTTTATGCTTCTTTTTACTTCAATGTTCTCGATTCTCATTTTTTGTATCCATGATCATCCTTATAACCACTTCAATTGTCGTGAGAATGCTTATTTGGATAAAGACTGCTTTCTTTTCTTGTTGTTTCATAAAATCAGTTTCCTTCATCCGTAAAACAGCTTTTGTCTGTCATAAATTCACAAACAAACGAAAGAACAAGAGAACAAAATAAGCAACTGAAATTTTTAAGACCTTCTAATCTTTTGAAACTTTTCAATAAGCGACAAAATTTGCTGTTTTTAATCTGGCAGATTTTCTCAAACACTTTTTTTTATTTGGCACAACATGAACGGAATGATTTGAAGTGTTTTGTAACATTTTAGATTTAAAAGTTCTGAATGGAAATTTAAAATTTCCCTTAAGTCGACATCATTTGCTTACATATCATTTGTGCTTTCAATTCGTTTCCAATAAAATAGAATGACATGATTTTAAGTCGTTGCTTACATTCTTCGACAATCATTGAAGAACTTTTAAAAATCATTTACATGCTTATTGTATATTTTCTTCTGATATTTTCCTTTCCAATGATTTACAATTCATGTTGTGACACTTGTTGATTGAAATGTGATATTCACATATTTTCCGATGTCACGAATCGAACTTTTCATTTGACTAAAACTTCCTGTGCTGTGTCAAACGCGAAAGTGATTTTCCAATTGACATCTAAATGTTGAAAGCAATAATGACGAGGTAAGGCGATTACATTCATAAATTGTATATATCGATTGACTAATAATCACTTTTATCGTTACCTACCACTGCAGTTATATGATAAATTATTTTGTTATGTCGAAGGCGGTTGTTTTGTTATGCAATGACATCGGCAAATGTGAACATTAAAATGTCTTTGTAAACTCCATCAAATTGTATCATTGAACTACTGCGGTTGACGAATGCACACTTAATCGCAACATTTGTAAAGTAATAATTCATTAGATTTGATTTAAACATAGCAGAAGCACAAATGATTGATGATATTTCATCCCGCAATTTAAAAGAAACTTTAATTGTTGCGATTAAAAAGTTTTCTGTGCTAGTAAAATCTTGAAATTTCCATAATTAATAAGGATTGTGTGAGTGCTTTTAAAGTCCATTAAACTTTGAATAAATGCTCAACAATAGAGTTAGCTAACATTTTAACTTCAGACGCTTCGACTTCGATCACGCAATGCATTTGCATTCAAAGAACTTCTCTTGCTTTCGTTTTCGAATTCGATATGAAAGCTACGTGGGATATTTAATCAGAAAAACGTCTGGAGAAATTAAAGTTCAAGCGAAGCGAATGTAAAGCGAAATATGACATCAGAATAAAAGTTATAAACAGTGGCGTGTAGAAACTTATTAATAACCGTCTTCAAATAAGCTTTTTTCATTTTGTAATCACAACTACACTGATTATCAACTTTATGCTACCTAAGACGATGAAAGAGAACATTTGAATGAGTGAGTTCAAATGACTTGAAACACGCTACAAAGTACATACAAATCGACGGTATTTTAAATGCACTTCACGATCGTTTATAGAAGGAATGAAGAACTCTTGATAAAATTCCTCAAATTGAACATTTGAATCGAATGCAAATTGCTAACACAAAACATAAACGAATTTCAATATCAATCTGTATTTCTTAACCATCTCTAATATTGACATCGAATTCAAAACGTAAACGGATAAAAACGGCAAATATCTAAGGCCACACATTGCTTTCGATAAAGTCTATGAAACTCGTAACATTCGTGTACACTCCATATGAGCTTGCAAATCCGCAAAACTTTCCAAACGACGTGATTCCGACAATGTTATACATACAATAAGGCTCTCTCAGCACAACCTAGGGTAGGGCGGAGAAGAAAGAAAAAATGTAAAAATAGAAATATTCAGAAAAAAAAAGATTTTCTTCTTTAGTCGTGAAAATGCGAAAATGATTTTTCCCTCCTTGAAATCTTCGCCGTGTTTTATCCGAGTTTAACAACCTGGTTGTTTGCTCAAGAGTCATGTTTTCCAACCCATACTTTACTCGTTCACAACCGGATGAAAGAGCAAGGGGGAGAAGGAGAAAAAATGTTTCGTGTCATTGCACATCATGTACTATACCTGAAGTGGTCCTCCTGCACAATGGCGATGATGATGTAAAGTCAACAATGAAATGAGAAAAAATGGAAAATAACAACAACTAAAAGTTGCTATAAGCTATTAGTATGCTCACCGCTATCTCCCTGAAGCATAAGTGGATAAAAAAAGAAGGTTAAATTGCATGAATCTTAATTAAAATGATGCTGGTTTGAATGGAAAAATCGTTTTAAAAATTAATAAAAAAATTTTCTTTAAAAGAATATTTTGAGCTTGTAAAGAGAATTTCTTATAAAAAATGAAAATTCTATCCAAACCAGCATCATTGAAATATGTTAAAGAAATCTCATTGAAGAGAAAAAGTAAATTTTCTTACCAGACATGTATCCTAGAGATATAAAGAAGAAGAAAGAATTAAGGAAAGAAAGAGAAAGTAAGGAAGAATTTTCCTTTATTATTACTTAATGAAAAGCACAATATTATGCAATTTTCATCTATATACAAACCTTGTTTCCTTCTTCTTCGCCAGCACAAAATTGCGAATCAATTATTCCATTTTTAAGCTGCTTAAAAGTCTACATGGATGGAAAAGCGAAGCATGAGGGATTGAAGAAGGTTAGAAGCTTCAAAAACTTGAATTAATTTTGTTTATAAGCGAAAGTAATGAAATTTCATGAATAATATAACGTCAAAGTTTTTCACAATTAGGAAAAATATTTCGATTGGAATTTTAGGAAATTTCTAATTAATTTAAGTTTCAAATTTCTTCATTAAGTTTATCTAAGAATTCTGAAGTTTCGCTACAAAACTTTTGAATTTCTCCCAGTAAGAAGAAAAGAAAATAAACAAACCTGGTAAGTGCGTTTGCAAGTGTTTTGATCGACATTACTCAATAGGACTTTGTTCAAATTTAAGCTTCCGAAGTCTTCCACTGAAACATGCAAACAGATAAAAACCAACATTATTCTTTCTCCATTGAAAAAGATTCAGCGGATGAGAGAATTAGTGGGAAAAGATCAAAGAGCTTACAACATACCATCATCAACCAGATATTCTCTGAATGATGAAAAATCAATAAGCACATTTTCGAAATACATAATAAAATTACGAGATTCCTGCTATGTTCAATATCTTTCCTTCCACATCCTTCTCACTTATGCTTGATATTCGTTTATCTTTCACTCTGATACTAACCATAGTTGGTTTTGCCGAAACCGATGGCAATCATTTTATGCCATGTCTCAAATCTCGTAGAGAGACAGGCAGGCCTAACATGTTCATCAAATCTAATAAATGACTTCAATCTGATCAAAGCGATGTCGTAATATTTTTCACTGCTCTTGTACAACGGATGCGAGATGAACGAAGCAATATTAATAATTTGTGCATTCGACCTGTTATCATCAATATAAATGACTCCCAGCTTGACAACGACAGGGCCTCCACTCTCTCGATCATAAGCACAATGAGCCGCTTGGGAAGGCAAAGGAAATGATAAAAGAAAATGAAAAAATCATTTTTTGTAATTATCCACTTTTCAAAGTACTGTCCATGACATGAAACGGAACAGAATGACGATGTAGAAAGGACTGTTACACTCATACCTTACCTGTCAAAATAAACTGTTCACTGATTACCGTACCACCGCATTTGAACGCATACGCTTTGCTGAAGTCATTGGAAGGATAGCCGATGGCAGCCTTTAAAAAAATAGAATTAAATGTTTCATCATGTCAGAAAGCGCAGTAAAATTCTCGTTCAGTAATTTAAAATTCAATCCCCTCGTCATTTCACGTTTGTCTCTTTTTTTTTGCTCTATTCATGGGTGAATTGTGCTATGCTCAACTAAAATAACAGAAGAGCTTAGAACATCAAATGATCGATTTATTTTCAGGGAATCAATTTGAAGTTTGTCTAGGAGAGTTTTAGAAAAATTGAATTAGAATTTATTTCAATTCCAAGCCCTGGAGAATAGCAATTTATAAAGTCGCAACGAGTCTGAGTTTACCATATGTGGAAATTCGTTTTCATTAACTCGTTGACCTCCTACAATCAGCGGCGTTTCAACAATGCCACATTTTGAGACTCTGTTTGATTGGAGTGCTGTTGCTGATAGTACGGGACTGACTTCATTCACAAAGACAAACTTTGAATACTCTAAACATTCTGGGAAAATGAAAAATATTTTTAAATAATTGTGGAATTTCGTCATCATAATAAATTTCAATATAAAATTTACTTTGGCGCGCTTTCTCACCGCCAGCCGCCATGGCTGGATGAAAAATATGGAGAAGAAGAAGGAATGTTGAGAAAGTGACTTTTAACAATTTCATTTCACCAAAAACAACACTTTTCTCTCTTCTGTTCAATGTCTTAAATACATCACAAAGTAACATTAATTTAAGCGATTGTGAAAGCAAAATGAATGCTTAAATTTAATACCGGATTATTATTACAAAGCACTTTAGATGGGCTTTCAAATGGGGAGCAAATGTTTTTTGTTTCTCCCAAATTATTTACAGCAATTTAATTTTACAAATTTTTCAATTAACAATTGCTAAGGCTATTAAAAATAATTGTTAGAAATTTCTTGAAGCATGAAAACATTTTCTCTTCATTCTCAATTGGAAATTAAAAAACTAGAAGATTTGGGTGAGCGAGTAAGTCGAAGTTATTTGAACTCAAATTAATTTTTTTTTCCTTTTCCTTTCTTAAGTTAAGAAAGAAAACAGCTGAAAAATTATGGAAAATATTTTCGACAAATCGGAAAAGAAAACTTTTTCATAATATCGATGATGAAATTTTAAAATAAAAGAATGTCAAAGTTTCAATCGTAGTGCTGTTTGTTTGGAGGAACGTCTAGGGCTAATTCAGAAGTTTTTTCTTCTCAAATTCATATATAAAATATATCAACACTTAGCATCGAAAATTTACGCCAATTTCTGAATTTTTTTATAAACCTTTGTAAGCTTCCAAGGTAAATTTGGAATTTTATGTAAATAAATATTGCAAGCTTTCAAGAAGAAGTTTTTAATCCATTTTCCCCCAAAATGCTTCTGCTATGAAGCTTTAAACTTCATATTTATGATTCGAGTTTTCCCAGATGACGCTTTATTTGAACATCCTTTGTAAGTTATTTTCGAAAGGAATTAGAAACAAAGTTAAACTACATAGTAAGTTCCAATGGTCATCGGGGAACGAATAATTGCTTAATGTAGCGTTAAGCATAATGAAACTTGATAGTTTATGAGTGCTTTCTCTAAGCCTTTTCAGCAACCGCTATTCCCACGGAGATTGAAACTCTTCACAAACGCTCGAAAATTAAGTGTGTAAATATGAATAAAGACTCGTAAAAGTTTTTAAAGCCCCGAAACAAACAACGAATGATTATTTCGGCAATGTTCAATGTTTCTGAATGTGGGAAGCGGAAGGAAAGAATGAAGAAAGATTACAAAATTAAATTTCATAAAGTTGTGTGTTCAATTAACAGGAAAATGCGTGGAAGTGGCAAATAAATGTAGTAATAAACGCATTGTATCGTTTTATGCCTTATTCCTTATTTATAACTTTGTGGGTCATTTAGGATCGTTTGAAAATGAAGGCATTAGTAATTAGCCTGAAATCTCAGTATGCGCTACCTATCAACCCCACATATTTTCCTATGCTAATTAGAGGATTCATTGAAAGTTCAACCGTGATGAACTCATTTGAAGATTCAACGTACTACTTACATTTACATGGCAAAATACCTTAATTATGTTATTCCATTGTTAATGCGCCTTTTCATGCACATATGTTAGCGGGCCGTCAGTTTAACGCCCTTTTTGTTTGGTAATCCTATCGTGAGTTTCATAAAAAAAAACAAAGGGAAGAAAAGATTTATTAACCCGATTAAAATCAAAATTATTTCTCGTTATGAGGTTGAAATTCTGTCAATGGTAATAAGTGTTATCAAAGAAAGCAATCTTCGCTCCTTAGATTGAAAAAAGTCATTACTGAGCCTATTTTTTATATTCAATTAAAATTTAATTTATTATATTTCAATGACGAAGCATTAAATCACTAAGAGAACGAAATATTTGTTGACTTTTATCTTATTAAATCAGATGATTTTAATTTTTTCTTTCATTAAAAGTTTTTTAACATTCCGAGAGAGTTTAAATTAATTTTTAATTCAGAGACACTTTGAAGATTTGTTTCAAATAGTTTGTTAGATGAAGAGTTGTGATTAAAGCTTTTCAGCTTTGCTGTCCTTGACACATTCAATTGAGATCAATTTTTGACATGAATTTATCACAAATTCCTTCATGAAGGTAAAAGTGATATAAATAGAAAATGTTTACGCCATAAACCAACTACAAATAAACAAAAGATTAAAATGTCACTGCGGTTGCTGTTATTTTTATCCATCGAATACAAAATTGTTGGCGAGAACAAACCAATGAATAATTTCACTTTGACTTCTTTCCTTCAAATCCGCTTCGCTATCGCTATGCGCTTTCATATTCCGATCTCAGTTGGCAAACGAAGAAAAAAAAAAGATTTATTTAAATTATTCATGACAGACAAACTTAAAAATTTATGATGCTAAATAAAATGGTGGTGGAGCGTAAAGCTAGCGATGAGAATTATTGAAAAAGTTCCTTTATTTTCCATTTCTTCTATAAACTTACAATAAATTTTTCAGCTTATCCCAATGTTTTCTCTCGCTTTCGCTTCGAATACGTTCTGTGAATAAAGCATAAACTATTTGAGTTTACTTTTCGTTTGTTTACTCTGAGCTTTCACTAACTGAGATGAGTGAAAGAACGGACTTGGATGAGTTTTATTAAAATGAAGAACAACTACAACAAATCTCAATAACTGTCACAAGGAACTTCATTTTGAGTTTGTAAACTTGAAGAACATCAAATGTAAGTTAGACATTTTCTATCAAATTTCTTAGGTCTTTGCTATCATCAGTTGAAACATTTCACTTCGAAGGTAGAAATCATGTTTTTAGTTGTCAATAGATCAAATTTCCATAAATGAATTTGATTGCTTCAATTAACTAAAATAGATACAACAGAAGTCATTCAAAAATCATAACTAAATACATAATTCTATTCAAAATTATGTTTTGTATTTGAAATTTTAATTACAAACCGGCCTCGGGCTTGTTTCGATACTTTTTCAAATAACAAATCAATTCATAATCAAAATTATAATTAAAATTTATTCGATAATTACCCGAACGTCAATTTCAATTTTCAATCTTAATTGATGTAAAAACTTAACTTCAATGAAGCTAATTTAATATTTTCCCTGAATATCATCAATCAGATATCAACTTAGCTCTAAATGGAATTAATTCATGTAAAATAAAATCAAAAATATAACAAACTGAAAGCGAAACATTTGCATGAGCCTTCAAGCTAATATTTTATTTATTTTTATCGTTCTGGTTGGCTGTACTATAAATTTATTCTTATTGTACATTTTCAAGGCACATTCAAGGGTGAAATGAAGAACCTGAAAATTTATTTTGTTTGTTGATGTTTTCTTTCCTTCTTCGTGCTGTTTTTTTTCTTCTCTCATTCTTTTTTTGTTATACATATTCAGTTGATATATTTAACAGCTTTCAGAGGAATGAGAGACACGAGTGAAGAGATTAAAAAGTATATGCAAAAAAAAGCTTCAAAGCAGCTACTGCTACCCTAATTCTCTGTGAATATGTCAGTAGTCAGCGATGTGCCGCACTTTATGACATTTTTATTGCTGTTTCCGCATGTTTAAACACAACATTTGTTGGAAGAAGAGCGTGGAAAGGGAGGAAAAGATTAATCTTTATCAACATTAATTTGATAAAATATTTAGAGTAGCTTTGTTACGTAACGCAATTAAATTTATGTGTATGAATATTTGTGATTACATTTTATTTATTTTTCTTTTGGTTTGTATTTGGATAACTTTGATGTAATATCTGATCACTTTTACTGTCATTCAATATGAAAAAGTGAGGAAATTATTACTTACTTTACCATTAACATTCATCGACATTAATTTGAGAATTTGCTGACCAATTTATTTCATCTTTTGTGTCGATTCACTGCGGAAATATTTGGAGTGTCATGAAATAACATTTCAGTTTTAAAAGAGAGTGAAAGATTAGAAAAGAAAGCTTCGTGACGCTATCTAATTGCGTTTTTCATTTCACTTGACAAATGAAGGCATTCATCTTACGAATCGTCAATAAATACGCTGAGTTTATGGCCTTGACAAGAAGTGCTTGGCAATTTATTTTCTCAGGATTAACTTTTGGAGTTGTGTAATAAGAAGTTGTGATTATAGCGGGCAACTGTGAGTTGAGCTGTTTGCTTGCTGATTAATTAGCAGAAGAAGTGAAAATGTCTATGATATCAAATTAATTAATCCTCACAAGGACGACGAAATCTTTTTCTTATGAAATGAAGAGGATTTGTTTGTTCTGAAGTTTATTGCAACAAAAAAAATAATTGGAAGATATTTTCGAAGTGCTTTTCAAATAATTCTTACCTCACTAATTCCAAATAAATTAATTGCGATCCCATAAAATTCAACACAGTTTGCGGTTGATAGCTTGAAGGTAAAGTTGAAGTACTTGTTTAATTGAAAAGCATCTTGCTTAAATAAACATGAAAATTTCCTTCCCCCAAAGTTAAATTGCTTTTTTTATTGAGAAACTTATTTTTCTCTCTTTATGAATCGTTTCACTTTAAGTGTTAAATCTTCCTGGTTACCATCCTTGATGTCTAAAAAGCCTTATTAAGTTTAAAAGTGTTTGATATAAATATCTCATGCAATCATTCAATTAATCTTGAAAAGTTAATAAGACAAATATTTTTAAAGAAAACTTTCTTCCGTTTTCTAACAACACAAGATTCCGTTTCAACAAGTTTCATAATTTTTTTATTTCTTTATGAAGAAATGTTAAGAAAGAACTGGGAAAACTTTCTCATTATTTATTTCTTGAAAGTTACAGAAACATCACGTGGCGATTTTACTTTGAAATTGTGATTTCATGTCGTGTATAACTTTCTGAAATGCTTCTTGTTTAGCATCGTGACCTTTTAAAGAAATTGCTTTAATTCATACTTTAAAAGATTTTAAAACGCTGAATAATCCAAAAATTGATTCTTTTTATTATAAAGTCATCTCGTCTACGCAGATTGGTTTCCTTTTACCAATATTTATGCTTTACAATACACTTTGGTATTTTATTTCAATTGATCATAAAAACAATGAAATTCTTACAAGACATCGAGCTTTTAGAAACAAATACAACTCGGGCCCTTCAGCCATTGCTATGTCTCGGTTCTACTGTACTTATTTTTATTTCTCTGAAAAAGACACAATAATACGAACGAGATCCTTAAAACGAGACGAATTTCTTGAAACTGAGATTATTTTCTGAGGGCAGGCAATAAATTTTATTCAAATGGAATTCAAACAAATATACTATGCTGTCGCTAAGCTATGATCGAGCAGGAAAAAGCTTCTTGTCATGATTGAACAATTTATTGAATTGTATAAATCAACATGAACAGCGAGCGTGTCCTCGACGGCAAAAACCTGACGATATTGAAATGAATTAAAGGATGTAAGCTACAAATCTTCAATTTGTCTTCTCCCTTCTCGCTTTTTGTTGAAGCTATCGTAGCTAGATAGACAAATTAGATTACTTTACAGCTAAATGTCATTAACAGATACAAAAAGGTTTGGAATTTAAAACAAATTTCTTTTAAATCTTTTTCTCTCCCAAAATTCCTTTCGAAGGTCAAATTAAATTGAAATGGCAATCACTGACGTTCGAATTTCTTGCAAAAGACATTTGCCTTAATTCAGAGAAGAGCTTAGACAGAGATATCAAATGTTCAGACATTTTTTAAAATTACCGGTTGGAGAATGACTTCCTTTAGCAAACTTCCTTCATTCTCTTTCTTTTTTAAATTTCTGACTGCAGATTGATTGAGTTAAAATCCCAACAAAGGGAAAGTTTCTAGAGAAGCTTTATCATCTATCACTTCGAAAAGTAAAACACATGTGATGCACACTCGACTGAACACGAATGAAAAGTTTTCTTAAAAAGGGACAATAGGAAAAGTTTTCAGTAATCCATAAAGCAGCCCAAAAATTCTTCAATTTAATGACATGAACGGGATTGGAAGTGAAGCTGGAGAGCTTTCATTTGAAACAAGAAACATTTCAAACTCTCAAGATTTTAATTTCACGTTGGTCTTTGAGTAACATTTATAAAAGAAAACTTGTCAAGTATTTATGAGTAAGGATTTTTCCCAAACATTTTCCTTCCTTCAGGCTTTATGAAACTTTATATAATGATGTAAAATATTTAAATAATTCCAATGTTAGTTTTATTTCCTTCCCTAATTTTTTTAACTCTGTTGATGATGTTTTCTTATCAGCAAAACTTTCTAATATAAAAGCCAATAGATATTTTATTGAATGTTCTTTGAATATGAATTTAGAAACTCATTTAAGTAAAAATGGTTTTCCGTTAAAGCTGCCGATTGTTATTCTCGTGTAATATCATTGAAAATTCTCTCCGCATTCTGACAAGAGGGAATGAAAATGCTGTTGTCATGACAATGAATTAGCAGTAACATTATCACTTTTATTGAATTAAAAACTTTACCCTGGAGCATCAGAAAGTTGTTGCAAAAGTAGAAAAAAATAAATTAATGCTAATACTATTCAGAAACTCAAGACAATTAGGAAAGCATAAAACAAAATTCAAGTTTGTAAATTTCCATCACTTTCATTCAAATTACAAGCTTCGCAACATTTTTCCTGTGAATAATTCTTGTTTAATTTTTTTAGGAAATGATCATTCAAATAAGATAAGTTTGAAGGAATGTTAAAATTGTTTTTCAAAGTAATTTACCGACAATTACATATCCAAAACTTCTAAGACTTATTAATGTCTTCTAAAACCCATCCTTGAGTTCCTTCCAAGAAAATTCGAGTCAATATAATTAATGTAAAGGGAAAATCTTTGAAATTTACGCTTAGACCACCTGTTGTTGTACTTTCCTTTATTACAAATTACAAAATTTTTTAGGATTAACTCGTCTTACCCAAATCGAATCTGTTTCAACCGAACAAATTTAGTTCAATAAAACAAGCTTTGCGTTGGAAGGTGCCAAAATGTAATAAAAAAATTTCCTGTACGCATAACTAACACTCGGTTTCATTGTCCCACAAAGTGTCGATAAACTTTGTGACATTTCTTTGATTGATTATGGCAAGCAAGATGGCAAGAATAAGCTATCGTAATTTTTTTATATTTTTATGTGCTGTATAGTGCCATAATCTCTTAACATGCATTTTCAAACACAATAAACGTAAAAGCTGAGTTTCTAGCAAGTGACCTGAGGTTGAACGAACCTTTACGTACACATGAAACAGCAAAATCTTGTTGTGGACGACGTAAGTGTTGTATAAAAGATGATTATAAGCGAGATAGCATTGCCTTTCTTTCGAAAGTTTGCTGATCCTTCTCAATAAGATAATAAAGGTTCTCAAACTCTCATTATATCAGATATCATAGAGAATATTTCACAACTTTTTCCAAGCAATGACATCCTGTCGAGACAAATCTGCTGCAACGTATCGAACCTTGCACAAAATAAGAGAAAATTTCCTTAAGCTTTTCAATTTTATGAACATCATAAATACTTGTAGTTTGTCCTCATAGATTCAATTGTAAAGCTGAAAGTGAACCTGATATAAGTAGAGACTTAGTGTGGTAATTATATGTTTATTGGCTTCCAACAAGACTCACATCAAAGATCGATAACAAAGAAAAAAGTGAAACAACTTCATGATGAATTTATAAAGATCAAGAAATGAAATTCTACGAAAATATCTGTTAACGTGTTAAGTTCGCGTGTTTTCTCTCACCACAGATCTTAACTAATGACAGCAATTATATTCACCGAATTTGAAGAGAAAAACGCCAACCGAACAAGTCATCAGTAGGAAGATTGACTTTGACTTCCAAACTTCTTAACTTTTTGCTCAACATTACAAAATAATTGGACACTTCACGTCAGAGAAAGCCATCAAAATTACAAGCTCTTGATACTGAATCGTCTTCTTTAAATCTTTTATCGTAAAGACTCTCGGAAGACTAGTCTTCTTCACGAAATTAACAGGAAATGTAAAGATTACACTTGAAGGACGGATGAAATGCCTGTTCACTTCCAACATTGTCACTTGAAAACATTTCTTGCTGCCGAAAATGAAATCTGATGTTCACGTCAATCAACGATTGTTCGGCAGGCATGTTTTCGTGAAAACAGATCATGTAAATAAAATTATTCATCGCATTTTTCTTTAATTTGATTCCAAATATGTCGTAAAATGATTCGAAAGTGGGTGTTAGGAAGTAATTGAAAAAGTTCAAAATTCAACACATTTTGAAGTTCTCGTTTTGATGAAATCATTTTCCGGGTTTTGTCATAGTTAGGAATAAAGTCTTTGTTGTAAATTCTTCTTCAGAATAAGAAAAGAAATTTTTTCCGCTTCTTTTCATTTCAAAAAATCAATAAATTGTGGATGAAATATTACAAAACATTCACGACATTCCACTCTACCACTTGGACGTCTTTATCGGACAAAATTCTAAGACTGTCTTCATTCATTCATTTCTCTGATGTATCAACAATGGACACAATGAAGATAAGTTGATGACCAAGCAATTTTCACGATATGATATCCATTATTTATAAATTAATGTTTATATAAAAATTGCCATTACTTTCCGGTCAATCTGAAAAATTGCTAACTCATAAAAAAATTTCTGTGTAAGATAAACGCAAAGTTTTGAGTCAAGAGTTTTTCTTTCTTCTCCGTCAATATTTTCATTTGAGATATTTATCTAAGTATCTCGCTTTGATACACAATTTAGTGGAACATTCCTATCCGTTTCATATTATATAAATTGAAGTAGAATTTTTTTTAGCATTCAACAACTTTTATTTCATAATTCAACGATTTCCGCAATAAACAGCCGCTTTCTGATTAATTCTTGAAGCTAAATAGCGTATCATCAATGTCAACAAGTTGCCATAAATCGTGCTTCTGTTCTCCGGCAGCATAAAGTCTCACTAATGGTCATAAAACGTAGCGGTAGTTAAACGGAACACACAAAAATAAAATGGGAACGAAACGTGGGGATTATAAAGGAAAAAGTTATGAGCCATCGCTTATTTAATCATCATAATTCTGCTTTATAATGCATTTTAAAGCTCTTCAACCATTCCGAAATTGAATTCCGAAAAAAATTATTGTTCTCGTCGATGGTAGATAAAACATAAATTCCAAGGTTTGATAAATCAAATCATATCTGGTTGCAAATGCACACCAAACATCATCAATTTTCAAATGCTCTCTTTTATTGTACTTTCAGCATCATCATTAATTAAAGGAATTCACGAGTCGAGATGGAAGAAAAATCTCACCATCAGCACCATGAAAGAGAAAAAAAACATGAAGCGAAGTGAGAATGAACACTCTGGCATGGATAACATCAGCAATCATATCCGATGTGTTAGATTTTATCTCTCGCTTTTAACAACATTTTACAATTATCCATACATTTATCCACATCTTTGAACATCAACATCGATAAAGTATTCTGTGTTAATTTGAATTTTTTACCCTCCATTCGTTTTATGTTCAGTAACAATAATTCTTCGACCCATTTTACCTGTTTTCACTGCAGACGCTCGTTCTATACATGCCGATGGCATCAAACTTAAATAACAAAATTATAGTCGTTTGTTAATGCTAAACACTAAAGAACAGAATCTTTTTAATTATATTCAATTAATTGATTTACTTTACTGTTATATTCTTTAGAGTGAATCAAATCTAATTATTAAATCGTGTTGAAATTCACGTCAGATAAAACCGCATATTGACTGTGGGATGATTAAATTGAATTTTTATAATGGAAAAAGCAAAGATGAAACAACAACGCCTGTAGGGCTTTTAAGATTTTCCTTCCATGTTTCTTTTTCTTCTGTTTACCCACGCTGTGAGATGAGGGAAAATGTTTCTTTTTTTTTTGTTTTTTAAAGTTAATGGCAAACATTTCTCGTTCTTTCTTTTTTGTCGTTGTATCATGCTACCTTACGTTTATTTATTAATGATAACATCTCAAAATTTCACGCAGCAACCAGAACATGAGCGGCTAAAAGCTTCCGATCATTGCATAATGGAACAGTTTAGCTTACTGACCTGCCTAATTAAATATTTACAAGACAACTGCCTGTGTTTCGTTTTTCAAAAAACAACAAAAAAATACATAAATAATGATGTACATTAAATTCAAACATACAACAGGCTAGTGTTTTCTTTGTAGTTAAGAAAATAAAGCTCTTTTTTCGAGCATCTCAGAATATCTTATTTCAAAAATTCATCTTAAAAGCTTCTAAACAAAGTAGCTTTTATTTGAGCAAACATCAAAGGATTTCATTTTCTTTCGCATTTTCCATGCGACGGAAAATTAAAAGAAGAAGTGAAAGTGGATATCTAACTAGCTATTGAAATTAGATACGCAAATATTTGCACGTGCCAACGATGAATCGAGCAAATAAAACATTAAACGAAAATTTAATAAGCAGCTCATTTCATTTCTCTTATTTTTTAGGCTTCTTTTAATATTTGAAGATCGTAGGACTAACATCAACATTTGGTGTACAATTTGTTAGTCTTTTAATTGTCTCATGATTGAATCTTGATGAAAAGTAAACAATTTACATAATTTAGGAAATTCTCTTACGTCTTAAAAGATTTTTTCTTGGAATTCAAACCGCAATTAGTTTACACAAGTTTTTATATCACTTGGATAAATTTTTATATAAATTTACAAATATTTGCAAATATATTCCCAGATTAAAGATGAAAATAATTTATATTAGCATTTTTGGGGTAAGAATTTGAGAACACTTTCTTTTGGCTGCTTTCTCCAACCCTTACGAACCAAATGCAAATTTACCGGTCGAATTTAACAGTCATAAAGTCAATTTGTATGAAAAATGTATAAAGTATAACTGACACCCCCACCATTACATTTGCCTCTGCACGAGAAAGGAAAAAAGCCTCGTTTGCTGTCAAGAAATAATCCAAATCTTTCATGGAGAAATGATTTTGTTTACTTTCACTGGATTATAACATGAAGCTAAGAAAAAAAAAGAAACTTTTTCTTACTGTCGCTCTTTTGCTTATTCCGGCTTTTTAAGAACAATTTGAATCTTCGTATCAGACAGTTTTCCATAAATTTAAAAAAATAAGAAGATATTTGCTGGACATTTTTATCCCTCACGTGAAATTGCTTCAAGTGTTTCCATAAAAGAGACATTCCAGCCCTAAGAAAGGAATGTGATTTTATAAATTTCCTTTTTCTTTTTTTTTCCTTCACATACCCCCGCACACAATCTTTTGCATAATAACAACTTTATCCTTCAGATTCTTTTTGTAAAAATTCAACGACATAATCAGCAGCAGTAAAATGACAAATTGTAAGAAATCAAGAAAAAGAAGAAGATGGAGGGAGAAAAAAATTGTAAATAAAATTGTAAAACGCAAAAATTAGAAAACTTTTCTTCTTTTTTATTCCAACCCAGTTGATCGCTCTTGTAAGCTTTCGTTTTCAACTCAACACAACATACGAGAATATAAGGATTTTCTATCTTAAGAGAACGTTGAAATTGACTGAATATTTTATAACAAAATCTGCTTAAGCTAAAGTAGAAGACTGGGAAGATGGAAGATGGAAAAAATCGATAGAGCATAACTCATAAAAGTTTCCAAAGCGAATGAAATTAGATTTGACTTGTGTCGTGAAGTAAATCTCGGAAATTTTCCAATACAACAAAACGACATAAATTACACAAATAATTTACGCAACCTGTCGATGTCGCTGAGAAATAAATTTGAGTGGGAGAGGAAATAAAGTGGAGTAGCAAGATATTGAATAATGAATAAATTTTCTCCCTAACTCTTTATTACGACAACGAAACGAGAAGATTTATGTTTTCAATCAAAATGTACATCATCTTCTGAGACGTCTTCAACGCTTGTAAATAAACAACAGAAAGCACAGTAAGTGAGTGGAATTAAAGCCATCATCAAGCTGTCAATTCTTTAATGTCATGTAGAAGTTCACTTAAGGAAGAAATCCCGACATGAAACTGAATAAGAGATTGCAGACATATTAAAAGTCATCTATAAATTATCTCTCTTTACAAAACTTTCTAGACATTGTGGTGCTTCAGATTTATTCAGAAAATGTTATTGACTAACATGAGTATTAAATATAATTCTCTGCTTATGAGCTTCCTTTTTGGCGTTTCAAAGACATTTCGCTGTCAAAGAAATACGCTGCCTTATAGAATTTGTTAATTGATGGCTGTCAGAGATATCCTCGATCCAGTCAATCAATGAAAAAATTGACAGCTATCAAATGAGAAATACAATCTACATAGTCTGTCAATTAACATCTGATTACAAAATTTCCCTGTTGTTATTGTCGTGAAACTTGAGCGAATGTTTTTCGTCATTTATCAAACTAAATCAGTAAAATTTTCCAAGAAGGATTGAAATAAAAAAAAGGAAATTTTATTAATTTTCATTCTAAGGAATATCATCTAGTTTAAATATAATTCTAGTATACAAAAAATCTGATGTGCAGCTGCCATGTGCTTGTCATTCATTAATTTTCCGGAGTAATCTTATAAATAAACATTCCAGGAATTTAATCTATTTTTATTTTACTTCATTTCATTATTCTCAACGATGAGTTCCGTTGTTGTTCCTATTTTTGTTGATGTTATTGTTGGATCAGTTGAAGGATTTTCAATCGTTGAATGTTCAAAGTTAGAAAATGGCGGTTGACACTTGTACAAACGATTCAATCGAATTACATCACCTTCACTCATAGCTATCGAAAATGGAGAATAATTGGAAAATTAATAATAGTAATATGCATTTGAAACGCTTTTGGAAATTGGATTTTGAACTGCGAAGCGATTTTGGAAAATAATTTGCATACCTTCATGCTGTCGCATATTTTTCACTTCTTTCAGCGGAACAAGAGTCGGGATTGAACGGTTGATTGCAAACTCTGATGGACTATAATGCATTATACTTCCGTAATCATATTGTGTGGAGAACATGGAAACATCTGCCGCAAAGTGTTTGAAATTAACTGGAGCTTGTTCTTTAATATTATCCCAGTTAACTTTGATGAAATTGTCACGTTCACTAGATGAAAGGAAAATTGTTTGTAGAGTCAGCGTGGAGGGAAGAAAGGAAATCAAACAAGAAAAACAAATTGTTCTTCGACTCAAGCGAGACAGAGGTAAAAAAGAAGAAGAATTGAAGGGTGACCAGCACTTGTAAATAATTAATTTCAAATCTCTTAATGCAAGAATTTGGGAAATCAAAAAAAGAAATTTAATTCCCTGGATGGAAATGAAGCTTTTTGCGAAATAAAACAAGAGATAAAATATTAAATTATGGTGGGTTGTTGGTGTGAAGAATCGTTGGGTCTTTTTTAACAAATTTTTAATAAAATTTTCATGTTTTTACATTTCATTTGCACAGATTTGTGAATTTCGAAAGCTTGTGAAAGCTCCGAAATTTCATGTTCGAATCTTTTGGATATTTTTCGAACATGAAAGCTTCAAATCTTGAAAATGTTTCGTATATCGGAATATAAATTCCTTAATTATTATTCGAATCACTATCAACAAAATAAATTCACTGTAGAATTTGTATAAGCATTCATCAGGAATGCATCAGTGCGATGAAGATTCTTTCCCATGTGGATAGAATAAGAGAAAACAACAACAAAGTACTTAAACTCTCCATTCCACAACATGCATGCATAACAACTTACTTGGCTGTGTGCATCTATAAGAAAAATGTGATAAGAATTTAAAATTTGTAAGACAAGCTGAACTCTCGAAGAAAATATTTAGATAACTTACATGTAGGAGCCCCAACGAGTGTAAAAGCTCATGAATAATTTTACCACGCGGACAGAGTGACTCATTTATATTCATCAATTGTTTTCCGTGTCTCATGCCTACTTCCGAGCTGCAACCCGGACCCTTAGTAATGTAAATATAATTTTGATTGTGAGGCGTCCTTGGAGTGAAGCGTATACACGAGCGATTGCTGATGTAGTTCATGGACTCGTAAATTGTTGAAATGAATTCGGGATCTGCAAAATAGATTGAGTTTGTTCTTCTTTCTCTTTTTTTTCTCAACATGGGAGTTGTGTTTTAATTAGGTCACGTGTAGAACAAGTTTACTAGCAATTTAATAAAGTTTCTCAATGTTATTTAATTTTTTTATAAACATTCTGTTACCAAAGTCCCAAATAACTCCCAATGTTTTTTTCTTTCTCTCTTTTTTTCATTTTACGATTTTTGCTTTCCATCAGTGAGTTCAGGCAAAAAGAAAAAGAATGAAAAAAAAACAGAAAAGTTTTGAAAAGGAGAAAAAATGTAAAAAAAAGCAGTAAAATCCTTACGAAAGGTCGGATCAATTTCAAATGCTACAGCTCCCAAAGGCCAGTGATGAAAGGCAGACTTTAAGCCATTTCTTTTTACAGAATTTACCGAATACAATGCATTGAATTGATCCTTGCTTAGTTTCATATCATCTTCATCATCATTCGTAAGAGAATTGTTAGAGTTCAATTCCATTTCATATTTCTCAGTTGACACCGTGAGTTCACGACGAGTCAATGTAACATCTTCAGTTTGATTAAGTTCCACACGTTTAATCTCAGTTCCATTAGTGAATTGAATTGGAGTCATCGTTGAGCTTTTTAATGTTATCGGTACTTTAAAGTCCGAACAATTGTACATACGATTTAATCGGATGATATCACCAGCACTCATCTCTAGGGACAACGAGGAGAATAAATAGGTGGAGGTAAGAAAGTTCATAGAAGATGACATGAGAAGGTTTAAAGCATTAATTTTTATGGTAACAGAGATAAGATCCATTCCGTTCCTTACCTTTTCTCTGTCCCATATTTGGAGCAGGATTTTTCGGAACGATTGTGGGATGTTTCTTGTCTTTGGCAAATGCAGTGCTGCTGTAATGTGTTATAGAATCATAATCATATTCTGTTTCAAACATGCTGACACGTGTTGTGAATGGCTTGAAATTCAATTTAGCATCGTCACGAATGTTATTCCAGTTAATTTTGATGTAGTCATCGCGATCGTTAGCGGTGTGCATGTGAAGGAATCCAAGACAATGAAGAAGCTCGTGAATGATGCTTCCTTTCGAACATAAACTGCCATCAACGATTATTTTTTGCGGGCTTTCACGTCGGAATCCGACTTTTGAGGTGCACGCTCGTCCTGGCTTAATTAATACGTAATGCCACGTCCAAATATCCTTGACATTGAAACGTACGCAAGACACGTTCTGAATGTAATTCATCGCCGCAATTACGACATCCGATGTTTTCTGGTCCAACGATTTGTCCAATGCGTAATGCACGATTGCTTTTGGCCATCGTGTAAATGGACTAACGAGTCCTAATCTTTGTGTGATGTTACTTGAATACAGATAATTCATTTGTTCGTTCGATAAAATCATGTCGTCAAGAGGATTTTCATTTTCGCCAGTCTCGTCGTCAGTCACTCTTTCGTCTGGTGCTGGCGTAGAGCGAGCAGTATCACGAATTGAATCATAAATTAAAAACAAATAATAAATGAGAAACTTTCAGAATGTACAACCACAGTACTTTACCATCATACTCAGCATAAGACATTGCCATCAACATCAGCATCAACGAAACAATATCAATAATGGCAAACCGAAATTTCCGCATTGTTGTTGCCGCAGTTTTTGGCTCAAGTTACAAAGCTTTTCAAACAATACGTAAACTAAACAAGAAAATGATATTTTTGAGATGGAAAGCGAATATTTCTCTCGTGTTAAACAAAACATTAATGATTAGCAGCGTGAAATAGAGTAAACAGTCGTGAAGAATTGTGTTTTGGAATTAAATAATTTTTTTTTTCATTCATTCATTTTGTGTTTTCTTCGTGCTTTCATTTCCCTCGCGCTTTACTCGTAATTAGATTTAAGTTAAATTGCAAAATAAATTGGGTTTCTCTCGCTCCAAATTTACACACAGTAACTTACTTTGAAATTGAATTTTAATTGTTTTTCTCCGTCTGCAGCTGTTGTATGAGAAAATTTTTGTTTGGCTTGGGAATTGCTGAAGGAAGCAATGTGAGAAGCTTTCATTCAACGATTGATTTGATGACTAAGGGAAAATTAAGGGAAAATGGGAATTGAGATGGAAGTGAGATATAAAATTTATTATCTTTTCTGACCACTTAAACGTGTTTTGATTATTTGATCGTCTTGTTCATTCATTGTTGTTACAAAACACTTTTCAGATAATAAATTTAAAAACTTTTCAGCTTTTCCTTTTAACACAATCTTTGAGTTTTGCAGAGCTTTTTATTTAGCAGACATAATCTAAGAGCTTAACAAACTAGTTTTAATTGAACAAACATATAACACACAATGGGAAACAGCTTGGCATGATTTCTAGTACGTGAGAGAATTCTGACTTCTCCCGATAACGAATTAAAGCACTTCAAATAAATACTTTTGACTTATTAACGTTATTTATGTACGTTGTAAAAGCTTTAAATCTCAAACACTTTCAAGCTTCACTGATAAATTAAATCTGTACTGAAGAAAGCTTAAAAGTGTGTAATCAAAAACTTATCTCGGCAATGAAGCCCCACACTTAACATAGAATCTTCATCAGCAGAGATAATTTTGAAGTCCCTTCGTAACTTTCCAACCCATTCTAAGCATAAATCTGCTTAGATTTCACTTTCATTCACTTCGCTTTCGTCCGCTATAATGCTAATTTATCGACGTGTTCTATGCTGAAACTTTCATCATGATGAATAACTCAGCGTTCGTAATATATTTTCTTCACACGAAATCGTGCAGTGCTAGGTAACTTTTTGTGGACGACGAGGTGCTCGAAAATTACAAATTAGATGCCAATTCAAGTTTCTGTCCAGAGTGTTGTGTTGAAATGTAAATTCTCGACATTCACATCATGAATATTTTCTGTTTCGAGTCGAATGTTGGAAAGAGAAGAGAAGCAATAAAGCTATAATGTTGACCGAATGAATTTTCATGATTACATACAATTTTCGTCTCTTGTTTTTAACATTTTCCTTCCCCTTTCAGTTTTGTTAGTCTAATTTCAGTGTTTTTACATCAACAAAATTCCTCGACTGAGGTGAAAGGACACGAAAAGAAGAAAAAGGAGAAATGAATAAGAAAAAAAAGGAAAAAAATGAACCAAACTTAAATTGTATGTAGATTTCAAGTAAACGTAATAAAAACTGAAATCTTTATGCAAAAATTATGTTACGAGAAAAGGCAAAAAGTTCTTTTTTTTTTCGATTTCGTGACAGGGAAGCAGGGAAATTTTAAAGTTATGTCATATTAATGAAATTTCAAAGTAAGAAAACCTTTCTGAAGTCCCATGAAAAGATTTTTTTAGGGTTTCTTTCACATCATTTCAAAACATTCCTGCATGGATTTTTCCGTTTTTCCATGAAAATTACAATTCTTGTTGTTTCTGATTTCTTCAGCTGCTATTTTAATTTCATTTGTATCGTGTGAAAAGCGGTGAGTGGAAAAGCCACGTGAAGTAAGAAGAACATTTTCATCGGCAGAACAAAAAAAAGCTTTCGAATGAATGCAGCGCAATTTCTATGTGAATTTAAATTCAACTCAGCTTTGCTGTTTCTTTCTTTCTTTCTTTATAGCTAAATCGATTTAAAGTTAAATTGTGAATTTATATCAAAACAGTTGAGAAATTAAGGTGGATTTAAAATTATTTATCTACAGAAATTTACTCAAATCGTATTCATGAAAGGATTGAAACCAACCCACAAGCTCAAGTGAAGCAAAAAGTTTCTAACTAAGAATAAATAAGTTATTACCTGTAATCAGACTCTGAATGTATGACGCTTCAGTTACTTTTCTGGTGGGATGCTGTGGAAAAGAAGAAGATGTGGAAAGTCAGCTGCTGTTACGCCTTCACAAAGCGAAAATGAATTAACGACTAGAAGTTGTGTGAATGAATGATGTGAAGTTATACAATAACTCAAGTGACAGGCGTAAATTACATTTTGGAAAGCATAATGCGGGAGATATTCATAAGCCATGTTAATAGCGCTAAATTCCACTCCACTCAAGTTTTATGGTGCGCTATTAATGGTTATCACTTTTCAGCGAGATTTCTGTGTTGATTTAATTACTTAGCAGCGGTTCACATTTTTTAAGCGACTAAATCCGTCCCCTAAATTTATGTTTGCTTCGGCTTTGAAGTATTTGAATAAAGCATACTGAGCGATTGTAGATATCATAAAAATTGAAACTAATTGAATCGCACAATTCCATTACCCTTATTGTCGTTGATCCAAAAACCATAAACCCAAACATCAATGACGACCTTAAACGTGATATCGACCTTTTACCGAAAAAGAAACTAATGAGTTCACATCGTTAGACAACCTGCAACTCTCTTGACTAATTGAAATTCAATTTCGAAATGTGAAACTTCATTTAAAGTTTGCCTTCGTCGTATTTGACATAGGAGAAGACGTAAATTCTCGCATCACTTCTCACTGAGACTCTTCTTTTTTTTTTTGGCAAACAAACTGAGTTAGAGAAATGAAATTAGTTCGTGTTACCACTGTTCGAACAGAAGACAATTAAAGTCTGCAGTGAAATTTTTCGTTTTGTTTTTGTTTTTCATTTCGAGTTGCAAGAACAAAAACGAAGAAGAAAAAGTCAAAAGAAGCAACTTTATTCTCGTGTGATTACTCAACACAAAAAGCAAGCTTTAGTTCGGTCTTGTGGAAATGAACATTAATTTCCATCGCATCTTCTCCGTCTCGATTGCCTTCTTTCTTTTTTATGAGCATTGGGAGAGTGAGAAAGAAAAGTTTAAGCGATTTAGAAAGGAAAGGGCGGAAAATTGTTTCACTCGTTATGAATGTTAAAATGGAGAGAGACGAGTAAAGACATCCGGACCCATATTCAAAGTTACTGTAATGAAATGTATGGACTGATGGTAGGGGAGTTAAGGAAAAGAAATCAAGTTTTCATTCAAGCTTCTCAGACCACCAAAAGCTTTTCTTGCACATAAAATCATCGGAATTTCTCTACAACATATTAAACTCATGATACAAGTAAGAAGCTTTGAGCAAAACATAATAAAGAAAGGAGAATTTTCCTTTTTTATATTTTTTCTCTATAAATCATTTCAATGACATAACTCTCGTTGCACATGCTTCTTCTAATAAAGTTTGACGTCATAATAAATGTTGACAAGTCTGCTATTAATTCACGTTGTTATGGTGGCTTCCAATGAATAATAAAAGTTTCATCATGCATCATGTCGGTCATAATTAATTTTAGAATCATAATCAAACATAATTGCATAGTTGTTTTATTTGTATGTATCACATCATATGCAAATTAGTTTGTTTTATACCAAACATGATGAGAATTATAAAAGACGATGTCATCTAATTGTCAATCAATAATCGCATATGCACTTCAAACTTTATTTGATTTAGTTTCCTTTTGTGGAAATTCTGAAAGTTTTAAGATAAAAAAAGCTTCGCAGCAGATGAAAAGAAAAGATGAAAATGTTGTTCGCATCACAACATCATTTTTCATCCGTTGGATTGATATGAAAGATGGAAATAAATGAAAGAGATATCCAAACCCTTTGTGGAAAAGAAATGTTTACAAGCGAAAGATTTTCACAAATGAGAAAAATTTTCCCTTTTGCCTTCAAAGTGGAAAAAAGGAGAGAAAATTAAATGAAATAAAACACGAAAATTATGGTAAAGTTGAACGAATAAGTTTGCTGTTATTTATCATGAGATATTCATGCTTAATGAATGCTTATACAATTTCAGACTTTAATATCATAAACTGATATCATTGGCATTTTTTAACGCATGCTAACGTGACTTTAAAAAGAATTTTAATTACAGAAATGTAGAAATTAAATTCATCGTGACACTCGCACCAATGATTTTCCACCGTTTGTAAAAACATGCAGAAATCTAAATTACAACAACTTTTAATTAGCGTTCATTTTTATGCTATGTACAATTTGCATTCATGTCGCGGAGAACTTTAAAAAATTATTCGATGAGATTTTTTTAAAAGAGGGAAATGAAAAATTTCTGACCTAATTTCAGGTTACAAATGGCCTTGAAGTGGGGGAAAACAATAAATACTCAGGCCACCGTGAAGCATTTACACGACGCTGCATGAATTAATTCCGGGTTTCTACCATAATAACGATGACGTTTCATTATTTATTTTTATGGTTTATTTTTCTTTCTTCCGCTTCTATTTTTTTCTTTCACTTTTTGCCGATAAATTTGTTTATAAGCATGCGTTTTGGATTTTCTATTTTCAAAAAGCCTAAGCAATTATCCAACGAAGAAATCTCAAAGATATTTTTGTAATCGGTTCGCAGAAAATGGTAGTGGAAGAACATTAAATGTTATTTCTGGTGGAAAAGTGGAGAACAATTTCCACTTTCAACTCCCTCGAGGCTACGCACGGCTTATTATCTTCATCTTCAACTTGAGAAAGGTTCTCTGATAAATTTTTAATTGATTGATCTTAGAGATTTTAATTTCATTCATTAATATATTTCGTCAGTGATTTGAAGCGTTGTGGAGGTGGTAATTGGTTCACGCTCGAAAATTCTTTGAAAATTCTTAAATTACAGTATTATTTTACAGTCACTTTTAAGGGCCATGATTCGTGACAGAATCCTAAAACGATGATTTTATTAAGCTAAAAGATGCTTTCATTCCATCTTATCATCTCCCAGGACGATCGCTGAATATTTCTAGTAAAAAATTATGAAATTTCTTTCGCAATCCTGTAGACGTTCCATAATCTTTTGAAGCGTTCAACGAAGTGGAGATTAAGCGATGATTTCTTGAACTCTTTGGATGATTTTAAAGTGTTTTTGTGAACTTTGCAAAATTATCTTTAGCGTAATCTTTTCATTTATAAAAGCCTTTGAAAGTTAAACATCTACCTACATGTTTTTTAAGAAAACTTCAATCATCGTTCATTACAAAAGAAATCAACGCTGTTTACAGACATTTTCGACGTAACCTTCAATAAAGGAAAAATATAACATAAAGATCATCATCATCATTCATTTGTAACCTTGAGATTTTTTTTCTCGAAAATATTTTGTGTCCCTTCCCTAAAGCACGATTCAACTCAGTATGACAAAATAATTTGAAAGTGAAATCCCATGACATGCTCAAATCAAACCGTCTTTGAAAGCTTGGGGTGAACCATGTGTGTGGTTCAAGGTAATTGACTAAACTTAAATTTTTAAAATAATTTCACGATAATCATGGGAAAAGTTTTGACTTCAAGTTCAATTTCCCTGAACATTCCGAAATGGAAATAAGTTGAAGAACTTTCCTTGGAAACGTTTTCTGTGTGTTGCGGTTGCTTTGTGCTTGTCGTCAAGAGACAAAGTCTCGAAGAATTATTGGTCTTTGAAATGTCATGTCATTCGAAAATGCTCAGTTTGATTGTTCTTCTACAAATATTTGCTCCAATAAATGATGATAAATGTTCGCAGACATGGAAACGATATTGATTAATGTTAACTTCATTATTTTTAATTAGAATGTAAGAATTGTGAGGCAATGTAAATGCTTAATTAATATCGAGTCTCTTTTAAGCTACTTCTCACTCATCATCATTGCTTTCGTGTTCGTCATTAGACAGAAAAAAAACGGAAAGAAAAAACACAAAAGCGACAGAAATGTCGTGCGCGCAACAATTCAATTGCTCAACATCACGAATTTAATTAGATAATATATTTGTGAGAGCTGTTATTACTCAAACAAAAGTGTCATGACATGAAACAATTACGAAGCTTATTGGCGGTCAAATAATTACAGTAGTGCGATCGATGGGACGAATGATTAAGGGAGAGTTTTACAACTTCCACCTCTTTCACCAAATATTTCATTGAAAAAAATGCTTTCAGTTCTTCTATTTCATTATTATCAAATGTAAATACCAACAAATCATCAAGGGAATTTAATATGCATCGGTGATTGCGTCTTTTTTTGTGAATTTAATTATATAAACAAGCTTTCCTTAAATATTTAATTTAATTTCTCATAGTTACATTTTGTATAGGAAACATTAGCCTTTGTTGTTTACTTATCAGTGATCCATGTTTTGTTCGCTTCTTACAATTAACATTTTGAGTCCTTTGGCAAATTTTTTGTACTTTTTCCCCTCAAAAAAAAGGTTGTCAAAAAGATTTTAATGATTAGTCTTTAAATTCTTAAAACAAACAGTTTCTCATGTGAAAATTGGTTTAGTTTACGTAGGAAAACCTTCGGGTGTTGCTTTTCTTGGTCAAACTGTAAAAGGACATGCTCATATAACACTCCGGAGTGTTTCATACCCTTTTTGAATGAGGTAAAATTGTAAGTTTTGGACTCTTATTTAAGGAGATTAAATATAAATTGATTAAATTTATTTCTGGTGGGCGTTCATTGTTTGCTGTTTATGTGTTTGATTTTTTGATATTTCTACTTTTATACTTTGTCGTGATTTCTTTTTTATGTCATAATATCAAATCAACGTGAAAGTTGTGATTATTATGTTCGCCGCATATTCGCGGAGGGCGTGTACGGTTATAGTTGAGCGTATTGTATTTTAGAAACGAATATGAGAACTCTTCAAAAGCACCAAGAGGCAATTGGGTGTAAACGATTTTTCTGAAACTTTCAGTTCATTGTCCACCCACACAAAACCCACGTAGATATGTCCAAAAGTTTTGTTTCAACGGAAAGCAAAATTTACCACATGAATGAAAACAACATCACAAGCATTCCCAGCAGCATAATTATCCCGTCAAAATTATTTCTGATTAATGCTTGGCAAATTCTTCCGTTGGTACGACGCTCAAAGTTTTAATGTATTGTAATGAGAGTTGAAAAGTTTAACATCGTTATTCCCCGCCGAATTCTTTCAAAGCTTTTCTGAAAGAAGAACAATAAAAAGTATTATTCTAAAAGAAATGTTTTCGCATACTTATTGAATGAATTTACAATATAAAAGTATATGTACATGTTTCAAAGCTTTTTCTAAACGTTCGTTACACAAAACATGAAAGCATCGCTCATGAAATAGAAAATAAGAGAAATTTAACAACCCCGAGAATCTCAACAATGATAACAACAAGCGCAACAAAGCAAAGAATTGCTCAAAGGTACTGTATTGACATGAAAGAAAGTAAAAGATCCCAAGAAACAGAAAACGCTCGCCAACTTATATTTTCAGTCGCACGAGAAAATAACACAAAAAACAAGAAGAAGAAAAATCAAGACAAAAACATTTTTCATAATTAAATTTTCATGTTTTTATCTCGGATGCGAACGACCAACAGCAAAGAAAAAAAATTAAATAAAGAAAGATAAAAATTTTCCGTCGAACGACAATATTTAAATTTCAAGCTCGCCAAAAAGGGGGATGAAGCTTTTGACCGAAATCATTTTTCGTCCTGTTTTCACTTGTTAAATAAAAACAAAGAGCTTCTAATTTTGATAACGCAGACATGAGATTAAATGCTCTGAAAATTATAACATGAAAAGGTTAACAGGGAATGTAAACAAGTAACGTCTCGTAGGATTTTTGACAAACAACATTCAATGTAAACGCAACTAATTAATGTCTCCATCTCCTAAACAATGCGAAACTCAAATCAAAAAGGCAAAATCTTTTCGTGAGTTGTCTTTGTTTCGCAACAATTCCCAGATTTTATACACACAATGCATGTTTCTAAATCACATTGTCCACAGGGTTGTGACTTCTCTTACGTCGGTCTCTAAACAAGCCATGCCAACTTTTACGTGATTAATTAATAGAACAAATTACTTCTTCACGTGTACATAATTAGGCTTTTATGCTAAGAATGTTTATATATAGATCACAAATACACACACACACACAAGAATTCCTCCATACGATACAATTTAAATAAAGTTGTTAATCTAAAACTTTGGCATGTTCATAAATACATAAATACGATGATTTTGGACTTTCGGGACGTTGTGATGACAAGAATTACGCATTCAGGAGCATGAACAATAAAGGTTTGACATCGAAGAAAGGAGCAAGAAAATCCTAAAGATTCAAGGCGTAAAATGCGTGACACAAATAAATTGCTTTCATAAGAAATTTTGACACGGCAGTTGAAAAGAGTTGATGAGATTTTCTTTTACTTCCTCACAGTCACTTTGCCGGTTTTTTTTTTCTTCAGCCGTCGTAATACACCGCGTGTTGCCTTACGAACATTCATCATGTATTATGGTTTTATTAGCTTTTCACATTGCGCAACGTAAATGAGTCTTCTTCTTCCTCTTTTTCTTCTTCATTATAATTCTCATTCAACTGTTTTAAGCCCACTCCGAGTTTCTCGCATGAAAGCATTTTCAAGTTTATAAAATTAATTTAGGGAATGAACTGAGAAAGGCAATGACAATAAAAGTTTAAATAAAATTATCAAAGGAACGTCCTTTTTCCATTGCATAAGCGCTAACATTCTTAACATGGCATTTGGACATAATTTCTCTTTTTATTTATTTTTACTTCTTGTGGTGGACAGTTATGAATATTTCCTTTCAATTCATTTAACTCCCTCCCAAAAAAAGAAAGAAGAAAAGCAAGCATGCTTTTGGTGAAGTAGATTGTAGATGAGACATATGAAAAAAGCTAAGCAGAAAAAGGGAAAATGTTATTCTGGTCTATTTAACATCTATTACAAGACATTCATGAAGCTTTATAAATATTTTGGGAGTGAATTTACATGTGTTACATAACTTTTATTCTTTTTACATCTCTCTTTCTCTCTTACTCTCGGTTATCCCCAGATTGTTTGGCTTTCCTTTGGGCATGAATCTTTGTTTAACGTCCCAGAAACTATTGCTTTTGCAAGCGATTTAAAATTGAGGTTGAGAAGATTTATATAAGAGCGCAAGATCTGAATATCTTTCATTGAATTTATAGAGTCTCAATTTTTGATTATTTCCCTTGTAATCCGAAAATTTTTCTCGATTCTTTCGTTTTTTTTTTGTAAATTTCTGACTTGAGATTTGAATTGTATCTTCGGAGAACAAAAAAGTATTTTTTTTCCCTTGAGTAGCTGCTCTTTCACCTGTTGTTAAACAAAGTATGATTGAAATTCTAAATTGAAATCGTTGGAAACATCTCTAAGGAATGCCCTTCAGGGAGAACAACGGATCGGGTTCTTTGAATGATTTGATGTCACTTGCAATGACAAAAAAAGGAAAGGAAAGAAAAGAAAGAAAAACATTTGGATGTGATGCTCGAATTTATCATTTCCAGAATATTTTCTCAAGTATCGAAAACCATATTCATATGATTGTACATAACATAACTAAACAGAAAAACAACATTTATTTTGCTTCACGGGATGTGATGAATCATTTCGTATGCTTCGTTTGTTTTCTATGTTACCAAATACGAAGACTCATCCTCTCCATCTTTACTTTGACGTCATAACTAACAACAATCAGTTCTCATCTCGTCGTAACCAATTTCTCCAATTATTTCCTTAAAAGAACAAAATATTGCATCTAAAAGCTTTTTCTTGGAAGGTTTTTATTATCTTTCTGAGCCAGAAGTACTTTCGTAAATAAAAAATAAAAGTTTTATTCAGGTCAGTCAACAAATTGACTTCTTCATACAACAAAACATGCACTTTATTAATTAAAAACGAAAAAAAAGGATCAACGTGAATAAAATGCTGAAATGGTGTAGTAAGAAATTTTCTAGGCTTACGGATGGATATTTTAGTAAAATATAAAACAACTGCTTCAGTACACAGTTTTGAAAGGAACAAATGTGAATTATCCGATAACAAAAGGCATTTGCATTTATACATGAATTTCTCACTTCACACTGTTATTCTGCGCTTTTCTCTATTTGTACGTTATGCCTTTTATTTTCTGCTTAGTTATTTACATGCACAACGCATCGTTGCATATTTTTGCATTGAATTAAGTTTTCATACACGAAATCTCGAATTTGCTTCATGATTTTAATTTCATGTTTTCACCGGTTTAAAAAAAAAGCATGATAAAATTGTAGTTATTTGTTAGACGATTCTTTTAAATTGAAAAAACAGAAAAAAAGGAATGCGATGAATTTTTTGCCATTCTATACATCATAACATTTTAAGTAGGCTTAGGTTGTTCTGTTTTTATAAGAGAAATGTGTCAGCACTTAAAATTGTTTACTTAATCTACAAACGCAAATGTTGCCTCGTCATTTTAAAGATCGTAAAACAGAACTTCGCTTAATGTCACATGCCAAACCATGATTTACTTACGAAATATTATTAAAGTTCATACTTGCACTTAGCTTGATTTTGATAAGAATCTCTCATAAAAATTTACTTTTATTCAGCAAGAGCCTTGATTCAACAAATATATTCTTATGAAGTCTGTGGAAAAAGGAAAAACATGGAAAAAGGTTGAAAGTAAACTTTTCACGATATTTTTTATACATCTAAAGTTTGGAGTAAAAAATTTTTCCTTCATAAACAGAGCTTCGAGTGAAATCATAAACAAAAATATTTAGGATGAGCATGAGGCTTTTTATATGAGTGATTCTATGATTTAAAAGCATTATCAGTGAACTTTACAAAGATTGTTGAATGCGTCCATCTGAATATTTGGCACAGATAACTCAAGACGAGAAGTTAAGTGAATTTTCCAACAGAATCTTACATTTGCACACTTTCACAACAAACATTTAATTCCCTGCAGCTCGATAAAGATTCCGAATCAATAACAATTTTAATGTTAAACTTCCCCAACACACGATTTCATAAAACCAATACATGAAACGTTATATGGTAAAAATTCGCATAAATTACTGATAAGCTTTACGATGGGCCAAGTCAAGAGGAAATTTACTCACTAGAAGTTGTGAAAGTTAATCAGGGATGGCGATTATGCGATGTTCAGCATTTGAAGTGAAAAGGTCAAATGTTAATCACATCAACAGCCCACAGACTTTCTCATCTTCTATTTTGATATTGATTCTAATACTTTGATAACAACATCGAAGACGTAAATGAAATAAATCTCATGCCTTACTCATTTCCCAACCCTGAAACGTCAAAGCTCAAATGGTAAAGTTTCTTAAACATTTCTCCTTCATGACCTGAATATACATAAAAAAATGTTTTGAAATAGATTTACTTCATATTCGCATTCAGATTACTTTCAATCATTGAACACTTCGTGTAAGTCAAGTATTTGCTGAATTTACATAACATACAAATAGTATTTATTTGAGTATTTCGATAACACAACGAATAAGAATAAATTTATTTAGGAATGATGGCTGGATTTGGCATCATGGTAAATATGGATTTTTTCTTATTTCTTTTTTGGTATTCATCCCGCAACTTTCGGGAGATGTGAGGAGACGGTGAAGAAAGGAAACCAGATGAAAATTTCTGTGAAAAACGTGAACATGAATGTTGAAAGATAATTGCGATTTGCTATGGCAAAAGCATATATTTAGATAGAAAAATAAAGTCGAGCTTTGGATGAAAGTTGAACAAAAGAAACTTCACTCGATGAAAAGACATTCATTCGGCATTGACAAAAAGCCCCCAAGGAATAAACCAAACGTTTTCATCTTTTTCTTCATTCACCCACACAACACACAAGTCACTTTCAGCAAGCAAGTTTCATATTTCATGAAATTAGTTATGTTGCAACTTGTCTCATTCGATAAATTTATTTCTCTCGCGTAGACATTTCTAATGGACTCCTGAATGGAATGTAATAAACGTTTGTCACATTGATGCTCTCTGTCTGATAAATTCGTATGAGCTCTGACGATTTCAAGCTGTTGCTTGAGGGACAAAATTAATAAAAGACGAGAGAAATGTTGAGAGATGAGAAGCATATTTGGATTTCTGCTTTTTTTTGTCCTCCCTCCGTCTCTCCCTATTCTGTTATTAACGCCAGACTTGATGTGCCCAGAGCTTTAATTGCTTGGGAGTTGCTTGCTTTTATAAACTGAATGTGCTTCCTTCTCTCACTGTGTGTGTTGACAAAAAAAATGAAAAGTCAAATTGAATTATTCACCATACAGATGGTCACATAAATGAATGTATGGAATGTGCGGAAATTGTGCTAATTCATTCTTATTATCCTATGCCATTTCACGACAGAAATTAGTTGCTGGGTTGAGTAATTTATGAGCAGCATCACACGAGCTGTTATTATATTCCATCACTTTGCAGCTTTGTATTAAATTAAATGTTGAAAATGGAAAATTTTCACTTGCAAGTTGCAACTCACATTAAAATGTGATATGGAAAAAAATTAATTGTGGACTACTAGGAAAAGTTGTGAAATGTCACGATTAAATAAACATGTAAAACAAAACTTTTAACAATGAAATTTATAAAGAACATTCATGATAAAAACAATGACAAATGAAGTCTACTTAAATCTGCATGATTAAATATCAAATTTTGCTTTGATCACTTAACATGAAATTGTGCAAAGGATTTGTGAGGATTTACTATTGATTAAATTAGTGCATTCAAATGCTTTTTTCCTATGTCGATATTGAGTGGGCTTAATATCGATTTCATGATATAAGTATGGAAACATGAAGTTTAAAGTAAACAATAACAGCATCCATTCGCGAATTAAACTTTCAAAAACCGAACACGTAAATCTCATAAACAAAACACCCACACTAAACATTCGATCCTCAAATGAAACTCGTGAAATTTTGATTTGTTTTTTTAAGAGTGGGTGGAATGTGAATATCCATATGAGAATTATATATGAATATGAATATGAATTCGCATGATTTAATTAAAATAAATTTATCATCGTTGTGCGTAATCCCAGCGAATTGTTAAATAAAATACATAATGGCACTTTTATTACAGTAATTTTACACTCGATTGTTGTTGGGCAAAAAATCTCTTCAGTTGCTTGTTTCGATGTGGAAAATCGAAATGAAAAAAAAAGAAAGACTTAAAATCTAATTGTGAAGAAATAATTGGAAGAATAAATGAATAAATATTCAAATTGTTTCAGATTAATGTTCAATCTTTTTGCAAATACCAAGAATGATGAATGGGGCAAAATATAAGACGGGAAGAGGGTGTGAGACTTAAATATTTGAAATCCTTTCTTCAGTTTTCCTTTGCCAGCAGCACTCTTTACGTCAAGAACTAAAATTAGAATTTTAGGACCTTTAACATGAATTGCTAAGCTTCTAAAAACAAAACTCAACGAGAAATTCTGAGAAAAATCTTTGATCAATGAAAGCTTATTAACTTTTTCTTATAAACCTCGATACAAAATATTGTAACGTTTATAATTCCCAATTGATGATAGCAACGAAAAATATTAATTATCGACAAGAAGAAAAGCACGTAAAAGTCATAAAATAGCAAATGTATTGAATATGAAACCATTTTCTACCACAATCTTCTTGGTGCAATGGTTTCATTCCCACTCTGCTTGTTATAAATCAGTGACGTTTAATTATTATCGCTTTTCTCTCACTTCCTACTTTCCACATATCGTTCCACATATATTTCCCTTTAAAAACTTTAATTAATTCTTATTAATTTTAAGCTTTATAAGTAATTAAGTGGAATGTGTTGTAAAGATTAAAAACGAGCTTTTTATATTTTCTCTCACTCTCTCATTTTCAATGGCGGATCATTTTTATTAAAGCGAGATAATCTCAGTTTTCGCTTGAATGATATTCATATTACTCGGGAGAAAAGACAAAAAATTACCTGACGTTAAAACAGCACAGGCAGAGCAGAAAAAAAGTCATTTCATTCAACCATAAAAAAAAAAGCTCAAATAATAAACAAACTTGCGATCTCTTTTCCATTACAGTAAATATGTAAACTTTGAAAATCACCTCCAATACGAAGCAAGCAAAATCGTCGTCGTTATGTTGTTTATGCAGCACAGGAAGAAATGGGATTGCAAAAGAAATAAAACTTAATGAAATGCCTTGATATCGTTTGAACGCGGGAATAAATACGAGGGAGAAGGAAAAGCTATCGAGTAAATCTTTTATCGACATATTTATATCATGACATTGCTTCGGTGAAATGGAATGAATGTTTTGAAGCTATAACCATGAAAATGAAAAAAAAAAAGAGCGAAAGCGAACGAGCAAACAGCCTATAATTAGCAACATAATTAGCAGAGTCTCGGCGTTTATTTCCTTTTTTGTACTAACTATACAAAGTCTTGTTGTTGGTGTTGTGTACCCAAACATTGATATTGCCATTAAAATTATAGATAACTTCGACATGAGCGCGAAAAATAAATCGATTGAGAAGAAGAAAAAAAAAATAGATTTTCTAGCTTTCTTTCTAAACGAAACGCCAACGACGTCAAGTAAGAGCGAAAGAAATTTGTTTGTTAACAACATAGATGGTGAGGAATCAAGCAATAGGAAGGAGAGAAAAAAAGTTATTGGAGTCGAGGAAATTGATCGTTAAAGATTACGGTGTACACAATGAATATAGATCTTTTAATTAAGGCATGCTTTTGTGAATCTATGAAAAAGAAAAGTATTTAATGCTCTTATTTTTATGTTCTCCTTCACTCTCTGCACAATATGCTGTTGTTGACGAAATGCTTTTTCATGGCATAGCGAAGTATTCAAGGCTTCTAATTTGTATTTTTTTTCTTTTCTTCTTTGCAACGAAAAAATGTTTTTCATTTGAATTTGTAAGCGCTAATTTTTCTGTTTTCCGCATATTCCTCGAAATGAACATTTCCACACTAATCATTTGCATACGTTTCAAGTGTGAGGAAAAAGCAAGGCAGAAAATATTACTGGATAGAAGAAACAAAAAACAATATGTTGAAAGTAAAGAAAGAAAAACGGCGTAAAGCACTCGGTGCAAAATTAAAATTTGCATATTGTTAGCGGTTATTTATTTATGTACATTCATTATGACGTAAAATGTTCTTTTTCCTTCGACGATGTTGTTTTGAAAAATTCCTTATTTAATTCCATTTTTCACAGAAAACGTTTGCGGCCTAACAAAGCTTTTAAAAAGCTTAGCAATAACTTCACTTCGTTTCTCATGTAGATTTATGTTTGGTAAGTAAAATATTTGAGTTTCCCTTTCACAAGATTCAACCTTTTGTTGTGAGTATTTTTCTTTCAATTATTTTAAAATCAACGCAGCTAAAAAGATTGCGGAAGCTTCTGCAGTTTTTATTATTCTTATCTTTGCAAGATTATCTGCATGTTAATTAGTGAAGAATGGAGAAGCAAAAAAAAGAGAATTTTTGCTGACAATGCTTGTGATGTTCAACTAACTCGATTGCATTTTCCCTCATAAAACTTCTAATTGCTATTTTAAATATAGCATTGTTAAGCTCTAAAGAGATTTCATCAGTCTCTCAGCACTTTCATTAATTTTCTTGCACCTGAATCCAACATAAGCTTTTCTGCAACATAAAAAAAGAAGAAAATTGAATGGAGGAAAAAATCAATCTTATTAAAACTTTTCTTTTTTTGCATTTTAAAATTCTTTTCTCATCTTTATTCCACTTTGTCTTATTTACAAAAAGAAAGAGACAAAAAAGAAACATCGCCTTAGCGACTCGACATTAGATATAATAACAACAGAGGAACTTAAAAGAATGACAAACAAAAAAGAATCTTTAAGAGTCGACTTAATATAAAATAAGATTGTAAACGTTTTTCTTCATCATCTCTTATTTTTTTTTTGCTTTTTATCTTCATTTACATTACACAATAATTTAACAAAATTACATTGCATTTAAATATGAGTTTTCTCTTCTTATTATGTCATCCTTCCTTCCTTTAAAACTAATTACAAAAATTCGTCTTCGGAGACATTTTCAAGTTTCCATCTTCAATTAAAGTTTTTTTTTTCTTTATTTTTTTATTTTAATTTATTTCCATTTCTTGCGTGAGAATTGCCTTTTAATCCTTTAATCGTGTTTAATGTAATTTCATGTTTAATTACTTTAATCCGTAAAATTCTGTTTTTGCTTTAAACATTTTCTTCTTCTTACTTCAGCATTAAGAACAAATGAAAAACGAATATTTTTTTTGTCTTGTTTCACATTTTTCGCATTTTACTCGGGGGTAGGTAAATTTGTAATTGTCTTAAATGAAATTGTGTGTAATTTATGTGTAAAGCATCCTTTTTCGCGTTGGCGTTAAGATGGAGAAAGTAACAAAGTAAGTATGAGAGAATGAAGATAAAGTTTAGTTTTTTGAGGCGCTTCAACCATTTCTTAATTTGATTTCAGTTCCGGTAATTAAATTTTGCTGCTATAGTGAATTTAAAATGGTGCGATTTAACTTTCTTCCTACTTCCACTCTTCATGATGAACATCCTTCTTGATCCATCCTTCTTATACTCCATCGTTATTAAAATAATAATAATGAGCGAGCACCGGAGCGTTTAAAGCAGGCGGAGGAGTAAAATTAGTCGATGTTAAACTTTTCACCGAGAAAATATATGATTAAAGTGTCTCTGCTTCTTTTTTATTCGCCTTTTGGACCGACAATGTCGAACTTACTTTTTTGCGGTCTATGGCGTCGAACACTTTCCCACCCCCGCTCAAACATTAATGTTAATTTATTTATTTAAGAGGACCCCATTAAAATTACATTAACTATTAAAACAAAAAATGATGACAATAAAAGTCCTAATGAGTAATAACTTGAACATAAAAATGCTGCGGCTGACGATGTCACTGCTGATACTGAAGACTCATCTGCCAAGAGAGAAAAAATATGCGAGAAGAATGAAGAGAAATGTATAATAAATTTTAGTCATTAATTTATGGCTCTTCATCGTCGTTTCGTGTTGTTCGAAGACGACAACAAAAGGGAGAAAAATAAAAAAGAAAATATGAAAATTATTCGCGAGCAGGAAAATTTCAATGATGAAAGGTTCCTGTCCACAAGATTATTAAAAATCATGTCAACAACAAGTGACAAGCGAGACGACGACGAAATCTCATGTAATAAAAACAAAACAAAAATGTTAAACTATCAACACAATGAAGACCTACCATTGATGACGTTGAGGGTGATTAGCAATGGAGGCGAGTTAGATGGTGAACAACTGTAGTTGCCGGAGTCTCTTTTATTTACATTGTAGATTAAGAGCGAGCCAACCTTTTTGTGCGTGTATCCGAAAATTGGGATTAAAAAGGGAAGAACAGAAGATAAGTGATTGATATTTAAACAGTTCATTTATCAAATCATTGTGTCGGAAAGAGTATGGGCAGTTTATCGTATAATTAATCAATTAATTAAGTGACAGACATTCGCAGAAATAAACGGAAGCGATAACTTACAACATTGGGAATATCGCCATCGCTGTCAGGCATTCCACGATCCAGCTTAATTTTATGTTTCTGTTGATTTTCGCTCAGTAGCTGATGGGCGTCATGATACCAAATGATGTACGACGGAGGCTCAAGAGCGCCTCGAACAACACAATGCAATGACACTGTGCTGCCAGCTTTCACGTATCGGTCGGGATCGCCAATTAATTCGGTACGCGGAACTGTTTAGATGATAAATGTATTTATATGAGAGAGAAAGAAAGATAATGAAGGAAAAGTGAGAGAGAGGAAGTATCATAACATAATTTTATTATCATTGTCGTCAGCGAATGTAGGTCGTCGATATATTTTATGGGAAAACAAATTAGATGACATTATGGCGTTTTCATGGTGCGGCGACTCAAAATGGTTGGTAATTAACTGTAACGTCGTTAGATATCGTCGTTTAATTACATAATTTCATTTGATGAAAAATTATTTAAGCGTGGTTCCCATCAAAACGTAAAAGAACAAAAAAAAAGCACAGCAAGTCTCCGGAAAATTAAAGCTGTAATAATAAATGAATGAGGGACGGAAACTCACCAACGACATGCAGATGAACTCGAGCGCTGACTTTTGGCTCCGTCGAGACCTGACATTCATAAAGTCCTGCGTCACGCGCCTGTTGTATAAGTTTAATGTCGTTAAATGTTCACGAACGAGATAAGGAAAGAAACTCACTTGAACATATTTAATTTGAAGAGTCCACAGGCCAGTGTTCTCCACATAAAATGATTGGAAACGCTCATCTGCTATGAAAGTCATTCTGTTCGTTTGTTGAATATTATTTCGTGTGTGGGTGGAAAATGTTAAACATTTGTTGTTAGAAAAAATAAGCGAAGAATCAAATTGAAACGCATAAAGAAAGAAGAAGGAAAGAAAAAGTTTTTTCTGAACATTTTTTGAGGCAATTTTCGCATATCAAATTGTTGATGGAAAGAAAAAAAATGAAAAGAAGAAAATGATTTGATTGCCTGGGGGAAAATTTCCTTTAAAAATGTTGTTTTTCTTCTTTCCATTTTATTCCCATCACAGTGATTCAACTCACCTATCTACAGTCAATATATGGTCGTCTCTGACACGAACCCATGATACAGATTTATTAATTATTTGCTTCACCTGTAACAATAACAATAAATCAATTAATAAGAAAGGTAATTAGATAGATTTTTCTTCTCCCACTCTTTCTTAATTTCTACAATTTTCCCCAACATCTCAACGATTTTCTATATAATTTTAACACTGTGGGAGTTCAACATCAGCAAGTTAAATGAATCGAAGAATTATTGTTATCGAATGAAGTCGATGGAAAGTAGAAAATTCAAATTAATACGATCGAGCTTTTATCGATACAACAACGTGAGGGTTGAGATGATGTGAATGAGTGCATGGGTTAATTGTATTAAATAAATTGTAAACGCTAACGTTCAACAATGTGAATACATTTTATTTGCATCATTAGCTTATACTTGAGCTTACAATACATCTCACCAATGATTCGTAAATATTCGAAGTCAATAGCTTAGCCGATAAATCGATGCTCACAAGTCGAAGTCGAGTCGAGGCGGAAGGCAATCTCATACTATCAATGTAGGATGAAGCCAAAGTCTAAGAATTGATGTGCAAAAGGAAAGGAATCGGACGTTCTATAATGAAACCTAATTTACTATTATTATCATTACGCTTTAAAGGCAATAATGTAACGACATTGTGCTGATGTGGGTCAACATTGTCATTTCTCAAATCGAGAAGGAAGAATAAAAATAGAAAGGGAAGTGGAGTGTTCGACGAAACGTCCATTTCCTTTATTTAAAGAAAAGCTGTTTCTTGCTTGCTTACTTTTCATCGAGGTGAAAAAAGGATAATGTTAAATTCGAGACTGGTCAGACGACAGCAGACATCGGAGAAGAGTGAAAAAAAAAACTTTTCGATAATTCTTTTTCTTTTATATTTCATTTTATTTATGGTTGAGTTTCCTTAATTTAATGATTGGTTTATCGTGTTTATTATAGCGGTTTAGTGATAGACTTTTAATGGTTATCTCTTTTTCTCGCCACTCGTTTCCTTCTTCCAAATAAATTTCGATTTTTTTTTCTTCCTTTTTTTTTCGGTGATGGGAGGGAAAGCAACCCAACTCGGAATCGACTATGTTCATCAGTGTTTAAAGAAAATTTATGACCTAATTATTGCTTTTGGAAGGCTGCACACTCACAAAGACTCGCTTTGCTCGCATCTCTAAGGAAACATGGTATTTATGGCTATAAAGTGAACAGTAAAGATATATGAACATGGCTTATCTAGAGCGTTTCTTTCTCTTTCTCTCACCCATTTCTACCGCCCTCATTTACGCACATTACAGGGATGTAAACTGATACTTAAATTGAAGTTTAACTTTCACTTCTCCAAGATAGTTTAAGTATCTAAGGACATTAATATCAATTAGTAACAGCTGTAAATAGTCATTTTGGCAATTAGTTTTCCCCTCATCATCCCTGACATAGAGTTAAGTACTTCAGTTATGGATGAAATTCATTGTTAAATATTCTCCAACTCCTTTCGTAATAATCAACACAGCGATTATTTCAACATTTTTTATATTTCCAACGCTGTGCTTACATAAATATGTAAGAAAGAGTAAAGCGTAGAAAGATGACAAGTGGTGTGATGAAAAACAGAAGACGAAACAACCCACCCACATACAAAGAATGGTGCACTCGTAAACTCAAAGAATTAAACTTTTTTATGACATTTCATGGCTTATAAGGAAAATATTTTTCATTTCTGAGGTTTTCTGTTCATTGTTATCCTTCAAACATGCTGCAAAATTAAAGCTTGTGGTAATGTTTGAGAGAAAGAAAGAAATTTCAAGATGAATAACAATTTTTGGTGAGTTAGAAATATTTATTTAGTTAAGTTTACTTTAGCCGAAATTTGGTGAAGGAGAAAACTGCCACTTTGCGACGAACGACATGAGAACAACAAGAAAACAAATGCAAAACCCATAAATTGTTGTACGGATGTAATTTATGGGAATTATATATTTTTTTTCTTTTTATAGTTCCACGCTTCCTTTTACTTCTTCTATTTTCTCACAGAAGCTTAGAGCAACCGATTCAATGCGGGGGAGGAAAAGAAGAAGAAGAGAAAAAACCAAAAAAAAAAAACTGTTCACGTTCATTCAGTTTCCTTTCTTTCTTCTCATCGTCTTTTATTGAAATACATTTTGACGCGTCTTGTGCAAAAATTTATTAGATCGCTTTTTGTGCTTCGCCATACGAGTTTTTCTCGTTTTCTTCTTTCTACTTCTTTTTTTGGCAGACATTGAATTCTTTTCTTGTTAAATTGTTCAACACGACGACTTGAAACATATCCACTACACTTATCATCAACAATCAGTCACTCACCTTACAAGGAAGATAAGCATGTGTTCCTATTTGTGTGGTAACATTGCTAACAAGATTCCATTTCAAATGTGAGTCAGTATATGAGTTGAAACTGTTTTTTCCTAACGATGATAAACTAATGTCTGCACATATAAAATCTGAAAAAAAATAAATATTTAATGCTTTTTTTTATATTTTTTAAGAGAGAAAATTTAATGACCGGAAATTGAAAAGCGTTTTAGTCCGCAAAAGTTTTACTCTAAAGTCGACTATTATCAAAAAGCAATTGCTTTTCTTGCTTCTCTGACCACTTCAGCATAAAAATGGTGCAGTAAAGTATTAGAGTAGAAATTGTCTCCTTCGGACCAGATAAATTTATTGTTGTGGGAAGTAAAGAATGCGCCATCATCATCATATAATATTATTATTATTATTATTAATATTTGTTACCAATGAGATGAATGAGGAAAAATGAACAAAATTCGCAGCCATTTGAGACGAAACGGAAAGAACTAAAAAGAAAACGAACTTATGAAGCCAAAAGTTATTTCAAAGCTGCAAAACGAATTTATTCAACTCCTTGCTACGGACTCTGGCTCGTTTAATACATTTTGTTGCCAAAATAAATAAAATGTAATATTTCCAGTTTCCATAAAAAAGTTGCGCTGTAGTTGAAATTTATTTAAATATCCAACGATATAAATTTATCACATTTTACTTTTGTTTCTGTTATAAACATTATTGTGACGGGGTGGAAATTCATTTAAAAGCATCGCTGATTTTCCATTGTCTGGCAATCTTCTTTTTCGGTTTTCAATTAAAAGGATAATTGCTTTTGATATCTGCATGCAATCATTTAAAGTTCACAAACCTCCGCCATTAGTCAGCTACTAAAGAACTGATAAAATCTCTTTAATCACCTCCCAACTTGATTGCTTTTCTTACTCTAATAACGTTGGTGACACAATTTAATTTAGATTAATTAGTGGAAATTGACACTTTATTATATCAAAAACAATTTTATGCTTCTTTTTTTTTGAAAAACCTCCACAGGCAATGGAGATGAAAAGAAGAAAAGAAAATCGAGATGCTAAAATAAGTACCGAGGAAATTAATTAAGGAATATTATTATTTATCAAAAAACTGGAGCTACGGAAATATATTTTTATCTCCTTCCGCTCCCTTTGGCTGATAAAAGTTCATTTATTCTCCAAATTTCTCGTACTTCCGCTTCTTTTGTTTCACGCTAAACTGAAGAGTTCAAAGCCATTCATTTTCAATATTTCATAACCATAGAGAAAAAAAAGTTTTCGTTTTCGATTTCAATGAGTTTCCATAACAAACGAATGTCTGCTGATAGCCTGAGCTGCTTGCTACACGAGGAACTTTACTTTTCTTCTTTTTTTTTATGGAAATGATGGATAAATATAGTTTTCTTAATTGAATTTGTGTTTTCACGAGAAGAAAGCCTCCCCTTTTTTCAACAATAATAACAATAACATCGTCAAAAATTATTGAATAAATAATGTTTCTTTGGCACGAAAAATAAATATCCTTGTTCGTTCATTTGCCCTTTCGTTCTTTCTTTCCTCAAATGGTATTCGTTCCTCTATTTAGCTTCATATAGTCAAGTCGTTGATGTATTGATTGTGTAAGGTTGAGTCGCGAAGACTTCATTAATTATGCATTGTTTATTGCAGCAATTGTCCCGTTAAACTCTCTATGGAGGCGGTGGAAATTTCATTTATAGCTGGCGTTTGTAAAAGTGTTATCACAATCATCATCATCATCATCAAAAATTTAGATTAAAGTTAATTACATACAAGTTGTTTACTTCCATGAAAAGTTACTACCTACCACTATTCAATGAAAATGTTTTTTAATTAAGGTAACAATTACTTATTAAAAACCTTCGATTATTAAAGGTTGTGTAGGAGGGCGAGATATAAAATAAAATTGTTTAGAAATACATTCATCCGTTAGTTCCTGTTTTCCTTCATTAAAATGCCTATTAAAGCTACCTTCAATAATTCTTTGATGATATGTTGAAAGGATTTCTTTTATTTATGTTTGCGCTTGGTTCGAGAATGAATTAATGAATTTTTTAACAAGGAAGTGAACGCTTTGGGGAAATATTTCATGATTAATAAAGAAGTAAGTTTCATTATAATGCATTTTAATAAATTTATTGGTTGGCTTTTGCATTAATCGTTTGCTTTGCATCATATGCTAGCTCGAAGCGTTTCGGTTGAATTTGCATTCGAATAAAGTGTAATGTGATGATCGAAAACCTTTTTTTTTATTAATTTTTACGCAGCTTGACGTCATTAATTAACCTTCTGTCATGAAATTTCATGCTTTTTTATTGGATTATGAATAATTGCAGTGAACAAAAGTTTCAAATGAAAAGCTTTCATCTGCTCAACAAACGAGTTTCCCTTGAAAAAATTTATGATGGAAATTGTAAACCACTGGAAACGCATCGAGTTTATTGCTTAATATTTGAATAAATTCAATAGGCTACATGTTTCATTTAATCTCTTCCATAATTATATGTCGATTGGGAGATTCAATTGTTTTAGAATACTCCACTTTGTGGGCTTTTTGTGGGAAACCGGATATCTAATTATCATGGCACACATAACTTTGTCTTGTTTTCCAATATTTTATGGTTCATGAACCGTAAATTATATTCAATAAATCATTTCAAACCGAATATAAAAACATTAATTACAAAACTTGGATTCATGATGGCAACAACTTACCTTGTAAAATTATTGTTAATATTTCCAGAACCAGATATATTTTAAAACCAATTGACATTTTGACCTATTAACATGTTTCTCGGTAATGAAGTCATCGAACCTGAAACAATGAAGAAAAGACATTTTTATTAATCTGAAATTGAGAAAATTCATAAGAAAGAATCATGTGGAGAACAACGAAAGTAAATTAAGCTCAAGTGAAGGTGAAGAGCTTCTTTTCTGAAACAGAAATTGAAATTGAAATGTCAAGAAAGTTTCCTAAGAGATATTTCAACTGTTGATGATGTTTTATTAAGAATTTTATAAGAGGACATTTGTAATTAATTTTCCGAGTTCTTCGTAAATCTTTTCATAAATTGAAAGTTTGAAAAGTTTTTCATTTCTTTTCTTGTTTATCAAAAATCATTTGAAGAGAGTTTTCTGGCTTGTTAAAGTTGAAGACTTGGAAAATTATTTTTCATTTCAATTATTTTGACAGAGAAAATAAAGTAAAAAGTTTTTCTTTTTATTTATGAAAAGCCTGGGATGTTTCATGTGTTGTGTTTTATAAATAGAACATGTTTTCAACTTCTTTTCCCATCACAACATTTCATTTCTTGAGAAATATTTGAAGCGTTTAATCCCCGAGCTTTGCTGATTTCGCCATTTCACCGACTTAACTTATTTCGACAAAAATATCCTTCGTAGAAGAAATGATCGGAGAAAAATTACCCTAGCAGAAAAGATTACAAAAAGATAATCTTTACTTTGAAGATGTCGACGAATTTCCTTAAAGTTTTAAAACTAAAAACCATAACGAAATATGTAAGGCCAAAACACGTCTTTCATTCTTACACAACATCGTATTAAGAACATTAAGTTAAAGCGATCCGTTGAGATATTCTCTCAAGCCATCAAAATTAATTGAATTTATCAACTTCGTCTTTCGCTTTCATTCAGCATTAATAACTCCTGTCAAGCTGAATAATTTTCAAGAATGCTTCTTCGTTCGCTGCCTTCAATTTTCGAATCTAAAGTCATTTATAATTAAGTAAATTTTCTCTAAAATTCCTGAGTGGTGGAATGAGTGAGCCGGGAAAAGCCTTAAATAAGTGAACGAGATCGAAGCCATAAACGAAAAACCTTCATTTAGATTTCACAGCTTAAAAAATCCTTTCTTCATGAACATGCAAAAGAACTTAAAATTTAATTATGAATTTTCTTCGCCCTCTCCAGATGGATTTGCGAAAATGACTCAATTTGTAGTGAAAGCTTTCACGAAATTGGTTGAGACTTTAGTAAGATTCAAAATTAATGATGAAATATTACAACTCTCAAGTCGAAATGGTTTTAAAACGACGCAGACAAAAGAGATTTTCTTGAGTTCAAAAAGATTTGTTTCCGAACTCGTAACCAGAAAGTTTTTCCTTGACATTATTAGTGAAAAAGTCTTCAGCTTCAGATTCAATTCACTGACAAAGTTTTTCTTTATAAATTTTTGTCTCCACCGAACCTTTCTCAATTCGGAAGTTTATTTTCTCTGAAGTAAGTTAGAGAAAATTTCGCTGCAGTTCAAAGAATTGTTTCCGCTACCCTTTCCACAATTCCAGGCAAGCTCCATCCAATTCCTACAATAGAAAGGTGTATTTGATGCCAACGGAGCGTAAAAGTTTTAATGGATTATCTCTGAATAATTACTTTTGACTTCCCGCGTCCAAACAAAGACGAAAGAAACTTTTGCTGCTTTCTTTCTCTTGCCTTCCTTTCGTGCGTCTCAAAAAGAGAAACAAACAAAAAGTCAAATACTTTCATAGCCTCAGGTCACGTATTTTCCAACATAATCGAAAAACAAGATGGGCATGAAGAGAAGTATAAAAAAAAATTAAATGTGTGAATGAAATGAAATCGGTGAGCCGTTCATGAAGTGTGTTCGTGGGTCTCAGAGGATGGAAAAATAACGCGGACGTTACGAGGGTCGAACTTTCAATTTGTTGCCTCGTAAACTTTGAAAGCTTTTATTTTTATTCAATTGAGTCTGGCTTCGTTTATTCTTTATCAAGTAGTTGAGGGCAAAACACTTTTCATAAGGCTTTGATAATCTCCCTCAATTAATAATTTTTGCTTTAAACGCTTCAGAAATTTTTCCTGATTCACACAACACTTCAACGAATGTTACTAATGCGTTTCTGTTGACCAAGAAGAAGATGAAAAGGAATTCTACTTGAAAACATTTCGTTAGGAAACGTAACAATAAAAAATCAAGCTCACATTTCGAGAACTTTTCCTTTCCTTTCCACCATAATGAGCACAATAAACTTTTTCGCACACGTAATGAATCAGATTTCTCTTTTCTCTTCTTTTTTTTGCAAACTTTTAGAAGAGGCAAACTCACGGATAAATCAAAGCTTGATTAAAGTTAATCGATTGCCTTTAATTCTTCTCTCTTGTAGGTATTTGCGATAATCCAATTTCATTTTTCGATGATTGCACGTTTCTGTGATTCTTGCCATTTGGTGTGGTGAAATGGAAAGAGAAGAAAAGTAATTTTCAAAACTCCAGGCACAAATTCCAATTTCCCTAAAAGCTTTACCACAAATCGCTGAGAGAAAAACGCAGAGTTGGAAAAATAATATAAAGTTTCCTAATGTACTATGGAGGAAAAGTTTTACATCATCAACTACCACCACAGAGCTGTTAAAGTTCTTCTTGCCTTGCCGTTATTCTTTTCTGATATTAAACTTGCGGATAATAACAACAAGCGTGTTGTCATCATGTCATTGTTGTCTTCTTTGCAGACTTTCTCATTTTTTTATGTTGTCACCCTTGCTTTTCTCAACGCTCATTCGCTTACAAAACTAAACTATGTCGAGGTGCTTGGAAAAGCTTAAAATACAAGAGGGAAGAAAAGAAAAACTGCCGAGGTGGCGGCGATGAAGAAACGACGAGAAAAAGGCGCATCTTAAAATGGATCCTCAGAGGCGGCAATGGGTAAAGGATAATCTTAATCATGCCATATTTCATTGTGTGTGCACGGAAAAAATACTTTTTCTCGTCTTTCTGCTTTCTCGCTTTTCTTTCTCCCTCTTATAATTTTTCTCCCCATCCAAAAACCATCCGAATAACATTATTTACCTTTTTCCTTTTCGTTTTTTTTTTATTTATGTTTGCACATTTTTTGGCTGGGTTACATAACGTCTCTCATCGTTCTTTTCTCACTGTATTATGCGATATATAGTTGGAGAGTTTCCACGATCCTTTTTCGCCTACTTGTGTTTATATTCCAGCATGATATCACGAAATTATTTACAACAAGCAGTACGTTTTCACTTTAGGTATTGATTTCTTATCATAATCTTTTCCTTTCACTGTGACCACGCTTTCCTTTCTATTTTTATTTTACTTTTTTCTGCTATTTATTTATTTTCTTTTTTGAAGAAAGAATAAGAAAAATTTCTTTTTAAATTAACACCCGTGAACTATTTTTCTTTTGTGTGGAGCCAATAACAGGTCAAATGAGCTTTTCTTTATCTTTTTGTAACACGACTTTTATCCAAGTGAAGTGGCTTCACGTTTTTACGTTCTGTTTGACGCTCAACGACACTTTAACCTTAATTTGAAGAGGTTTTTTTCCAGTAAGTGTTGACACATAAATTGAATGTGAAATAAGTTTTCTTTCTATTTTTTCCTGTTCAGCAGGTGAATATTTACTTCAATAATGACTTTATTTTGTCGCAATATTCAACCATAAATTTGAACCTTATTATTCATTTATATGTTTGATTATGCCAGAAAGGAATTTCAGTGAAATTTTTCCCACAATTTTCACATTTCACTTCACCACAAGTCCCGCTATGATTTTCCAATTGGTTTAATTAATTTTTAATTGAATACTTCACTGCTTTTTGTCTGATGAAAGAAGATTTAGAGAATAATTTCACTTGCACAGAAAGCAAAAACGATACTCATTATGACACGGCACGCTCGTATCTGCCGACAGTTTTTGAGACTTTCCGTTGCTGCTTCCCCGCTGGCGAGGATTTCGTTCGAGTCAAGACTATGATAAAACATTCGGATAAAATGCTCGTTCTGTTGAGAATTCATTCAATATTCTTTATTGCGCACGCCCGAAATGGCAGACTCGAAATATTTTAAGACTAGTCGAAAACCTTTTCCATTCTTCTAGGACGATAAACGATTTTCTTTATTTCATTCTACTTCCATCTACATACTCAGATGTTCTTCACTTTGTTTCCTTTCATTTGCTTCTGCAACATCTTTTTTTTTCATGCAGCACCTGATTCACAAAGGGAAGAAAAGGAACATAAAATGACACAAAAAAAGAAGTCACACATTTTAAAATAGGCTAGAATAACATTCGGGATTATGTGGAGAAAATATTTATAAAGCTATTTCCATTTGCTTTTCCTTTTTTTCTTATTTTCTTGGCATCAAGTGTGAGTACAATCACATATATTTATATAGCTTTAGACTAAAGGATGAAGCATCGGAGCGAAATGAAATGTGCAATTATGAGGCTTTTGGTGCTGAAAGCCGTCATAAGTGCGATTATTTTTTTATCTTTTTCCATCATTGATGGGGGATTTATTTGAATGAACATGGCGACAGAATATGTTACTCCAATACATTCCTTGTGAACACATTATTCGTTTCTCGCTTACGCTGTTTGTCATTCTCATTCTTCATTTGACATCGAAATATTGTTTTCTTATTGATTTTCTTTCTTCGTCTTTTGTTGTAGCAAAAGGTGGAGATAAGAAATGAGATGAGAAGATGGGAAAGAAAAGCATCTGTACATGTCAGCTGATAGTGATAGCATGATAACAAATATTGTATCACATAGTCGATAAAATTTTATTAGTGTTTAAAATTGAAAAATATATTTATGCGACGAAATTGCGATCCCACCCACGCTTCACTATCATCCATGAATTCGCATTCATTCAGATTTTTTTCCTTTATTTCGTGTGACAATTTATTAAGTTTTTCATATATTTTTTTATTTTGATATTGGATATGCCTGAAATTTATCTACTTATGCATTTTCAATATTAAAAATAATTTCATGAATGCAACAATAGATCGAATTTTATTTATTTTCCAAGCTTCATTTCAAATGAAGATTCTCAATCATGAATTGCAAATAAAGTTTAAAAATGTTAAAGGATTTTTTAATCAGATTGATGTTGAATTGGGATGAAAAAAATTAAATTAAAAGTTCATCTAAATTCTTTCCCCAAATCAAGTAAGAATTTGTTCGAGGTGAGAATTTTATTACTTATTTTGCAATATTTAACAGTTGAACAAAAGTTTTTAATTCTCAAGCGTTAAATTCGGTTTGACATGGAAAATTGTTTTATTGTTAGGAGTGACTTGTGGGTGAAAGCTTAATTATTCAAAAGCAAGACTATGAGTAGTTGGAAATTGAAAAAGTAAAAACAAAAATACACAAAAGGAAAATGCTTCTCGTTAATCATTTAATAATAACTCTATTTGTATATTTAGAGCGTTGTACTCACAAAAATGATTCAAATTCGAATTTTCTCCTACAAAATAATTTATCACAAACTTCATTTACGAACATACAAAACATAATTTGACTTTAAATATTTATTCCTGTGTCAGAATTTCTTACTAATTCTTGTTTATCTCTTAAATGCACTTCCATTAACTAAACTTCCGAATCAGCTTTGGATCTAAATGCTGACACGTCAAAATTTTCAATCAATTCTCATCGAACTTTTCATCATTGTCACGTAGACTGCCTGTCCCTAGCTGTCCGCATTACAAAACCAGTAAATATCGATTTGGTCCTAAAGAGAAACGACTCGACCGGCATATGATCAAGATAGGCCATTTAAGCAATGACCTTGCTAATATAAAACTTATAATAACTTGACTTGTAACAACTCTCATAGCTCCAATTTATGTGCGTTGCTGTCTCATCGAACGCAATAAAAATAAAACTTTTTCATTAATTTCTAGTTAGTCGAACTTTTCATTGTTTCATATTACAGAAAGACGCAAGCTATCCAACCGAAGTTTAGATTTGATTATAGATAATCGCAAAGCAAGCATACAAAGCTGTAAATTTTTTTCCTCTTTCTCTTCCCTGATATGCTTACATTCATATCGAGTGCTATAAAAAAAGCATATTTTTGTCGACAAACCACAAATAATTTTATGTTGCGATCGTCGTAAAGTTATGATAAAAAATGTGGTTTACATGTGAAATGCAAGTCTTTTGATGACACTACAAAAAGAAACTAATGGGAAACGAGAGAAGGAGCATTTTCCAACACTTTCTACATATGTCGATATTTTTCATCCACTAGGTTAAGGCAAATCATAAAATTGATGATTTAAAGCTCAAGTGCATTAAAGTTCTTTTGTAAGAGATAAAAAAATGTCTTGGAAGCTCTGGTAAGACTGAAGTGTTTTGTGAATGAGTTCATAAACTCAAGGGTTTGTTTGCTGAGTGGTATTACATTCATGTTTTCTGAAACTGATCTCAACTATCACTCCAAGGCTTTCTATCTTTCGTTTTTTTTCTGTTTTTCTTTTTTGTTCAGCTTTCATTTTGCGTACAAAATTGGTTAGATTTATGGATTTTCGAAGCACATATCCACCCACAATTGAAACCCGATTGCTTTCTTATACTTCCATTTACAAACTTTGCTATGATGTTGGTTGGATTCATTAGCAGTTCAGGAACCGTCAATCAATCAACAATATTATTCCCCTCGTTTTATTCGGCAAGAATTCATCAACAAATCAATCAAAATGAAATTGATAATACTATGAAATAATTTTATGTGAAGAGAAGAAAAAAAAAGGCAAAATTATTGGACTTGCTTCTTATTGCCGCAAGGGAATCAAAAAGGAAAACAAAAATATTTATTCAAATTAAAGGTAATTTTTTATTTTTCCTTGGAAGTACGACGATGATGAAATTTGTGGGTGTGATGTTGTTCGTTCCAAAAATCTTCCTCATTATTTGAGTTAAATCAAGAATATAATAAATTTTCCTTTGCCATAAACATTGAGAAATTGTTCGTGCATTTTAAGATATTTGCGACAAACAACAAGCAAAGCAATTGGAACTTGTAAAAGCTTTCGCTTCTATATAATAATAAATATCTTGGGGAAATCTTTCAAAAGCGAAAGAAAGGCGTCGTTATATTCACAGTATGAATTGTATGCCGTAAATTTGCAGTTTTTGAATGAATATGCTGCAGTAGCAGCGCCAGCGTTGTCATAAGAACGAATAAAAAATTTTAATGAGATTTTATGTTATCTGAAAGAGGTTAAATATGAAAACGCGATGGGTAAAAAGTGAATTTCAAACGCAGAAAGTGCATATTAGAACATAATTGAAAAGAAATTAACGAACCGTAAATCTTTCCTCTTGTTCTTCTTTTATTAATGTCTTTTACTCACTCATCCGCCGATCCTACGCTAAGTGCATGAAGAAAGGATGAAAAATTTACAGAAAATCTTTTCATTCGAGTTGCTTGAAAGAGAAAATTTCATTAAGTAAAAAGCTCTTCTGGAATCACTTTTACTTCAACTTACACATTGTAATAAATTATTACCGTAACTTGTCAAGCTTGAAGAGATGAGTTTGATTGCGTAATGGCGGCGGCTGATGGTGTGAAAGCTTAACTAAATCCGTTTCATCATTTTCTAAAGCTTCCGTGAATGAGTTTGGTGACATTTGGACCCGGCAGAAAGGGTTTAGTTTATTTCTATCACATCTTTACCCTTGAATATTGCCCTTCTTTCTCTCGTCTTTGTTCACAACTCACGACATGCTGAAATAGACAATTGAAAGTGCGGAGAATCATAAAAATAAGATTAATATCACTCTCAGGCAAATTATAATATCGTCTTGATTTATTACCTTCGAGCCATTCTTTAATAAAAATCTTCCCGAGCTTTTTTCTCCCCTTTTCCCATCGTAATCCTTGGAAAAGTCTGAAAGTGACACCAAAGTTAAAACTAATTTTTTTTCGCTCGCTCTTTTCTTCATCTTTCTTTGCAGTTGTGATAAAAGCGTACAAAATGTTTCAAATGAATGAAAATTAAAGAATTTTATATAAATTTTAAGATTGTGGGTGGGCAAGTGTAAATTTCTCTCGATTATTAAAATGTTTTACTTTTTTTCTGTGATTTCTGTCTGGTTGGGTGGAACGTGAAACTCTTGGTGGAATGTGTATCGTAAAATGGAACAAAATTCTTTCATTCTTCACTTCAGCTTTCTGTTTTTCTTCCTCGCTGTTACAGCACTTTTCCTTGCTTTCTTCTTGTTGGATGAAAGAAGGAAAAGAGTTTCATGAAGATGTAGCGTTTTTCCGTTTTCTTTCAAATCAATGTGTTGCATGATATATGAGCGATATAATTGCTTTCAAAAACATTATATTTTCATTAAAAAAAGAGAAATGAATGAGTGTAGTGAAAAACATGTGTGAGTGTGTGTGAGTGAGTGAAGAAGAATATTTTGTGGGTCGGAAATCTCTAGCGATATTAAGGCAGCAGGCTGAATAAGCATTAAGCGTTGAACGAGTGCGAGTATGTTTCAATCTTCCAAATTGCTTTTACTTCATTCCTCATCATTCTATATGATGTATGAACAGAAATCACCGGCATAAGCTAAGCTGATGGTGTGTGCTTGGGGGACGAGCGAGCGTAAAGAATAATGTATGTCTTATACGAGTCACATTTTTCGTTGGAATAATTTTAAAATTAAATCTGCTGGCATTACTAAGACACAGCAGGAGACACGCTTTTATCATACATCACCTGCGATAATTGAATATGATTTAAGAGCTTAATTGCATTCATTAATTTGTGTCGTAAAAATGGAAAGGAAGGCAAAATGATTCTGACGATGCCAAACTTTTTGTCTTATGATTTGATTTAAGATTTTTCTTCTTCTTCTTTGCTAACAAAAATAAAATAAAAAGTTTTAACTCGCTTGTTGTTTTAATGCTTTATATGATTCACTACTAGTCAGACGCTATTACGGACCCCCTCAGGCGATCTTATAGCGAATAAAACGTCAAGAGATTCAGTGAAAGCTTTTACAATGATTACAAACTTTTCTGTTGCAGACGACATTTGGAATTTATCATGCCTGCCGGTGACAATTGTTTATGGTGATTCATCAAGTCGTATGGCTGAAATGATTTCATTTTTGGTCTGAAAACTTTGTTCTTAAGGGCTCAACGGAAAGAGATTCAGAGAAGGAAAGAAAAAGGAAAGAAAAAGAAGTTAAACCTTCATGAGAATGAAACGAAAGTTAGGTTTTATCTTTATAGCAACATTTTGCTGATTATAAGTGTTATGAATGTATTTATGGCTTGCAATGTTGGCGTGGAGGAAGTTAATATTAATCTTTAGCCCAGCAGGGAGGCAATTCCAACTTCCACTCATATGGTATAATCTGAAAAGTTCTCTTATCAGTCTTTTACGTGCAACGAAACATTTCGTTTCGTTTTATGTCTTTTACCTTGGACGGCTGAAGCTTCTTTTTGCTGTTTCTGTTTTTGAAATTCAGCCGTATTCAAGAAACATTTTTGAACGTGTGCCATTTGCTAAAAGACCAATTTTCTCACTGCCGTGAACTTTTCTTTTATTCTGTGTGAATGAAATGGGAAGGAAGATTGGCGTGAGTTGATGGGACAAAAAAAAAGAAGAACGATAAATATGTACAATGAATGGTGGTACATTTCATAGGCGAAGAACAATGAGAAGAAGTCCATTGATGGAAATAAGCAGCAAGCGTGTGAAAAAAGAGAAAAAGAGTAATAAATATCTCGCCGTGAAATTCTCGTACGCGCTACACAAAATGAAATTCAATATTGCGAGCGAGGCAAGTGTTGAAATTTGTAATTCAAAGATTGATGTCTTCCGCCGTACGTTATTACTTAATGCTTGAACAGTTTTTTTATCGTATTTCTATCGTCACACTCCTTCTTAGATATAACAAGAATTGCTGAAGGGGGAGATTCGAGAACATCGTGCTACTTACATACCTTTCTAACACAATTTTAATGTTCCCTTTTTTCTTACTCTCGAACCTTGAAAATTTCACTCCATCTTACCTTTCTTACATCCCATTCAAGACCTGCACAAACTGAATTTTATTAAATTCATCATATTTTAATGCTCTCTGCACGCCTCACTGAGTCTCAAAAGATACAAGATATAAAGGAAGAGTGAGCGAAGTTTATCGTATCGGTTTAGTAGAAGAAGAAAAAAAAAGTGTTTTGTCAAAAAACAGTAAAATTTCTAGGATTTTAATCTGTTATGATTAATGATTTAAAAGGGTTGCGCATGGCGCTTCCTCCATGAAAAAAGGAAAATAATTAATGAATAAATTTAACAAGTTTATCAAAAGCAAATAATGCCAAAAATTGTTTTCTTCAAACTTTTCCTTTTCTTGTTCTTTTTTTTTTCTTTTCTTTTTCCTCGAAATTCCTTGTTGAAAAGGCTTACAAATGAAAAACGAAAAAAAGGGTTTAACAATATTAAATTGATTCTCTGTTGGCTTTTATCTTGCCGCGAAACATTTGCGTAGCTATTTCTCTTCTGATTGAATTCACGATTAACATTTTTGGGCGAAAAATAAAAGCTAGAAATAAAGGATTGCATATCGTCTAAAGTTTTTATTTTGTTCCCCCATCAGGGAAGCTTAACTTTCATGCTGTGACTCCGTGTTTTGAAACCGACTTGTTTATTTTACTGTCTTGAATCATCCTCATTTCCAAATTTCCACAGACTTTTCTTAATTTCATTTGTCTCTAATTACTGTTATTATCCAGGGACACTTATCTAAGCCACTTAACAATCGCTCAAATTTGCCTTCATAAAGATTTAATTACCAAATGGCATGTCAGTAACTAATTATTAAAAAACAATCTACCAACAATCAATCTAAAATTTAGATCTCGTCTTAATGTTTTTGTTATTATTATTCTTGTTGTGAATTTTTCCAGAGTTTTGTGAATCAAAATAAAAGAAAAGAAAAAAGTTTTGAAGGTCTGCATGGAATAAATTTCTTCAAACTTCCCTTGAATACACAAAAACAACATAAAATTGATTTGAAAAACTGAAGTACGCATACAATTCTTGTTTTCCCATCCCACACTTCTCAAAATTAAAATGAGATCAATTGTTTCGAAACAATATGGATTTCATTAAAATAGCACAAAATTTAATATGTTTGAAGCGATGTTTAACTACGTACGACAAACAGTATTGGAATTCTAATTTGTCTCAACATGCCTCCTTAAATTACTCAAACAAGTTGAAGCTTTATGTCTCAACCCATAATCTCTTTGAACCCCTTTTCTTGCTATATTGCACTGAATATTCAACATCAGATCGAAGATAAGAAATTTTTGGGTGACAGAATGAGAATGAAATGGAAATCACTGCAATAAAAAGCTTTCTTGTAAAACTTTGACTTTATATTAATTTATTTTAATTTTTTCCTTCTCTTTTATTAGTTATGCAACATTGATTTAAATGATGATTATGTCTGATAATTGTTTTATAAAACAATTTTATATTATCTAATACAATCTATGCTTGTAGCGTGTCTTATTACATGATATGTAAACCTATTTTTATTTTTATATAAACAAATTGTGTGTCTGCAACGTGACAACATGAATTAGTTTCGTGTTCTCATAATAAATATATAGCAGAAGCTGAGCTCTGTTTGTTATCAATTAGAAACGCTTTCTACCTCAACATAGCAATTTTATACCTTACACATTGAACGGAAATGCGTTTAAACTTTAATTTTTTATAATATAAAATTAAAATGTTTTAATTAATAATAACAAACGCGAAGGCAACTTCTCGTCCATAATTATTTTTATTTCCTTTTTTTTGAATTTTTTATTGCGTTCTTTACATTGAGAACGACATCCTTTAAAAAGGCTTTTAGGCACGTTATTTATGGGCAAGTGAGGCGGCGCGAAATCCATCTACCCATAGGAATAATTTTTGGCTTGGGTAATGAACAACACCACAACCAAATTACTTCAATAAAAACTTTATGTCTTTTCGCCTGCTCGTAGTGCTTCCAGGGCGTAAGGCAACAGGCACGCTTTTAAATAGTTAAATGAAGCTGTTAATAACTCAATTCATGAAGCGCAAGCTTATCCCTAATAGTCGGAAAAAATTCAATCTGTCCCTAAGTGCCTTTTATGGTAATGAACTTTTTTTTCGCTTATTCAATTCCATTCTATCAAATGTTTTCTTTTCTCACCATCATTAGTCGATTGTTTACATAAACAACATGGAAAGATAAAAGACAAATCAAATATTTGATGAATGCAAATGAACTTTAGATCAATATTGATCAACTGAACTCTCATATGGAAATAAAAATAATCTTATGTGATTTTTTTTTCATGACGGAAAATCAATGAACTTTTTTTCTATCTATGAAAGTGAAAAATGTTCTGGTAATTGCTGGAATCATTATTATGTGGTCGTTGTTATTTAAATAACAAAGTTTTTCATAACAAATGCAATTAACGATCATAAACATAAACCGTAAAATGAATTATTTGAGTTTCTAATTGTTTGAGGTTGTTTCAAGAGCCGTAACATGCGATACTTTAAATTTAGTTTTTAGAATCATAAAGAAATGCTTCTGGAATAACTTGGATAGATTACATATTTGCATTCCTTTACCTAAATAAACAGTTACAAGTTGCTAATCTTTAATTACAACAAAAAATATTAAATTCCCCTAAATAATTTGTCAGCTCATCCTATTGATTTTTTAAACTTTTTTAAAAGCTCGAATTTTAATACATTTTAAGCTATGACGTCACAGACTCATCGATAGGGGTGAAGACGCTGTTATCAAACGAAATCTCGCTCTCTTTTTTCGATGAAACTCTCTGAATGCAATGCGCAGGTTATCAGAATTTTAAGGGGAAATTCATTTTATCCGAGAATGATGAAAAAACTGCCTTTAAATTGTTACAGCTTTACCTTTGACACAGATTACAAGTGAAGTTTCATTCCCATGTTTTTTTTGTGCTAACTCGACGACTCGTTGTATGTTAACAACAGAAGGAAAAAAAACGAGAAAAGGCGGAAGAAGGAAGCGTAGATTTTGTAGCGCGTAAAAGGAAAAAAGTGTAAAAACCTTTAGAAAAGGCAAGAAACAAGATTGCTGTAAGCTTTATGAACAAGATTTTCGTTACTTTCGCATCACTTTCTTCCCGGAAGAACGGAAGATATTTGAACTTTTTTTTGCCGCACACCTCACCATTTCCTTTTAAATTTACAACTTCGGCCTTCTAAAAATTTTCAAGAAATTGTAGACATTAACGAGAGTATCTTAATGGCCGGCACTGACCTTTTTGTTCTCATTACTCGCCTTGTTTCATTTTTTGTTGCTTTAACAACTTTTTGATTAAAAATTCAACGATGATTCTTTGAAGAAATTTTTGTTTAAGATTGAGGTTCATCGAATCTCAAGCAAGACGTGATAAAATTTTGATAAATTTGAATATTTCCATGAAGTTAATCTCTTCAATTTCATGAATTCTTAAAATGTCAAAGTTCCCTTCAGAATATTTAAACTGACAATAGCGTACTGAGAAGTCACAATGAAGAGAAAAGTTTTTGTTTTAAAGTTGTTTCAGATTGTAATTTATTCCTAATTACGATGCTTTCATTGAGTCGACAAACAAACAATTAAATTTCCATCGAATGAAAAGTGATTAATAAAACCTTACGCACATCATATGGCCTCGATTTACACGAAACATTTTATCATGGCTTGGCTCCAACAATATGACAAAAATTTCCGCGAGTTAAGGACTTAAAAAACATTAAAGACTTTGAAGAAAAAAGAACACAACAAGAGACATCAGTCGTGCTAACAAAAAGATATACACCAGCAAGAAAAAGAAAACTGAAACTCATGATAACTCCCAAGACGAAACAGCGACGAGTGAAGGCAAGGACGAAAAAGAAGAGTAAAAAACTCAACTAATGTCTTTCATCCACTCCTAATAGAATCTTTTTTAAGCAACCGCCACCCTCGAGATGACTTTACAAGTAATATTTTATATTAACAGCTTCTCAACGCTCTCTAAAATAACTGGCATTGGGCAAACAATTTGACATTTTCTTTTTTTTTTTTAAGCTGCCATCTTCCTCTCTTATACACCCGTCGGCTTGTGTTTCCTTAGGGATTACGAGATATTAATCCTTGACGATAAAAAATTCGTTTTGATGCCATTTCTTCTTCGCCAATTTTTTATTCCATGAAAGTTTCATCTTAAAAGCTTCCCCTCTCTCTCACTCACTTTCTTTTTGAGTCTTTTTTCGCATTTATCTTCTTTAATGCGGCTGGATGATGAAAAGATAAGCTAAATTTGTCTGTATATATTCTGATGATGGTGAAATGTTCACCAACCACTTATTATAAAAATGGAAAATAATGTATTGATGTGAATTAAACTCAAAAAAGAGAGAACAGAAGAAGAAAAAAAGATGAAAGAGAATTTTTAATCTATTTGTAAAGCTTATGATTGCATGCATTGTACTTAGGAAGATGTAATGATAAATTGCAGTAATTACAGTAATTTTAATCTTCTTCCATGCATAACACAATTGGCTCATTTACGGATTACATTTCCTTATGCAATTTCGCCTTTCTTTCTCACTCACCCACTCTCATCCTTTGGGTTTAATAGTTTGACACAATCAAGACATGAGAAGATTTTCCGATGGCATTTAGAAGCATGGAAAAATGCTTAGTTTGGGAAATACCTAACAAGGGCTTAAGGAAAGAAGAATAAAAAAATATGAGAAAAGATAGAAACGAAACTTATCTAGATCAATTCTTTGTGATTGTGCCTAGTGAGGCTTTTCTCACCAACACATTTCATCTCATGAATCGAAAAATCGTAAAAAGTCTGCACACCTATTTATACTTACACGTGCAAAATAGATAGAAAAATATTCTAAAAAATCATCGTAAGCTTAGACATGAGAAAAGTTTTTCTCGCAAGCAACATGAGAATCGTTTTTGAAAAGGGATTAGATCTCCGTAATGATAGCCAGCCTTCACACAATAGAAAGAATGTAACGATAGTTTAATTTGGGAGGGATTTTCAGCTCTTCAAATGGCCTCTTCACAGTTGCAATTCTCAAAACAATAAAACTAACAACAATTAAATCGTCTGCATTTGTTATGTGTGATGTCATGTCTTAATCTTCCGTTCTAATCTTCTTTCTCAATCGTTCACAAAGAGCGTGAAATGAAAGGCGTTAGATAAGAAAATGACTCAATAGCGAAGAAGAGAAGAAGTGTGGCAAAACTTAATCCTTTTTCTTTCACAGCTTTTGTTGTTTTCCTTCCCTTCTTTCAAGGATGATTGTTTGTCGGTTGAAAATTAAGCAAACTGTTGAAAAGAAGCTTTGATCTCGACAGAGATATCAAGTTTCAGGAAAGTTTCTATGTGAAAAATAGAAGGAAAACTAAAAAGTTCTTAAGTATCCCAATCAGTTGAAGGAAACTTAAAATTATTTAGGCAGGAGATGAATGGATGGATGGAAAATAATCTCTTAGACGTTTATATAACAAGGAACAAGTTTGTGCATAAAATCAAGAGAAATTTGAATAAATTAAGACTTTTCAACCATAAACGCAGAAAAAGCTTGTAAATATTTTATTCAGTTTCAAGGAGAAAATCAAGCTCAGATGAGATGTCTCGGTGACAAAGTTTTTATTTCAACTGTTATGTGAGTATGAGAAAGAAAAAAGATTTTCATGTTGCTGTTGTTATGCTAATCACTTTGTCGTCTTCCATCAGCATTCTCAACCCTGTTGTCTCAGTTGTCGCTTCAACTGCTTGCTGTGTTCGACAAGCAAGAAGCTGTTAGTGGGATGGTTGTAATTATTATGATTCTAGTTGAAACTTTTTTTTTATGTTACTCACTTAGTTGTTTTGCCTTTCCTGTTGCTTGTGATCTTGCGCTTTCATGATGTTTGTTTGCGTCACATGATTCTTATCCTAAACTTCAAAGAAAAAAGAAGAACTTTTTCAGAAAAATATATTTAATGTATTCATAAATATTGTTAAACTTTCGAAAGTTTCTATCTGACAACGGAGAGAGATTTAAATGTGAAGTGAAAAAGTTTTGGGTCCAAATAAGCACAGAAAAAAGAAGACAAAAATGTTGCGCTACAAAAACATCTTATGAAGCAACTCTGACAATTTTTATGGCTCAGTTACGTCCTTTTTCTTGCTAACTTCGTGAAAGAAAAAAAAGGAAGAAATAATGTTTCATTAGATGGATGCGTACGACGAGAGTTTATTCTAAGAAGAGATTTCTTTGCTTTCGTATCTTTTACTGCTTTTGAATGTCATCTGAAAAGAAAATTATTATTTCAGGCTCTAAACTTCCAAATAAAAGTCTCACACACAAAATTCCCTAAAGTTATGTTATTGTTTACTTTCAAAGTGAACAATTTTAGTCTAAGAGAATGTTTTCCTTTCCAGTTGTCGTATTTTCTTCTCCCTGATTTGATGCTTTGCTTCTTGAGATGATGATGAGAAAAAAAAATACAGAAAACCTCATCCCGAGATCGCATTAAAGTCAGAACATTTGGAGCAACACGCGCGCCTTAATGAAGCGTGCAGAATTATAAAAGCGATAAAAAGCGATCCTATTAGAGTTGAGCTTTTTTCTCATGAATCATTTTCTCCGCCATCATCGTAAGTGCGAGAAACACGAAGCGGAAAGCTTTTTTTGCTCTCTCTCTCTCGCTTTTCATGCGGCTTTTCCAACATCGAAAGTCAAATTTTTATCGAAAGGCAAAATATTTTCTTTCGCTTTTAGGACTTTATAGACTATTAAATAAACGTTACAGGCCATGTCGTCATTTTTATGCTCCACTTCATTCTATGTAGTCCTTTCCAGCAGTGGGAAGAACTTTTCGTTTCTTCATTATTTTATTATTATTTTCCTTTCTTTTTCCCCCGCTTTTGACAACAGAAAAGATATTTTATTGTTCAATGTATATCGACCAGGATTTACAACCTAATTATGATTCGTTATCTTTTGCTTTCTTCAACGCTTTTCATTCTTTCTCAATGTCATTTTTTTCCCTTCTTTCTATGGGTATTTGGGAGAATTGTTAATTACGTCACATGCTGTGATGACAGCGTTGTGACATAAATAACCTTTAGAAATTCTGTAAAAAGATTCTCAATGTTTTCCTTGAATAAACATAGGAAATTAATTTCGTCTTCAATGTCCCGCAGTCCTACCACTGTTCGCCCACAACATCACTCAAAGATTCTTCCATTGCCTTTTTTTTATGGAAATCCTTCACAGATTCAAAATACAAAAAAATAAATAAATAAAGGAAAGAAATTTAATAATGTTCTGCTTTAAAAAGCATGATTTCATTTTATTTTTTGTTGATTTGCGTTTTTTTTGCGTCTCTTTTCTGCTTTTTTATCATTTTCTGAGGGTTAAAATGTTGAAAACAATCAACCACACAATAAATAAGTTAACTTCATCTATCTGAATGAATGATTTGCCCTCTAAGTTGATGGAAAATTAATTTATAAATACAGAGAATGATGCTGTAATGAAGAAGAAGAAGTTTTGTGATTTCAGTATCGACAGAATGAGATGCCAAACAATTTTCTTGGGACTCCCAAATTTGGTTTCTCAATCTTCTTACTGAGAAAATTTTGAATTCCTTTCAAATAAGGTAAATTTCATCTTGATTTTCATTTATTTTGTTAAGAATCTTAGCAACTGAGATTTTGATTTTACGAGTCACCATTTAAATGAATTTGTAAATGTATTGATTAAAATTGAAGGCATGACATCACATTCTACTCAAAAGCACGACAGATGAATGAGAAAGCTTTTCTCCTTCTTTTGAAGTTGATGTGTGGTGAAAACGACAGTTGTGATATGAGTTTTTCAATCACACAATACAGCAACAATCTAATGGTCGTTTGGTGGATGACAAGAGGTAAATGGGCTGATGGCAAAGTAAAAGAAAATATCCTTTTCACAGCGAAACTGAAAAGTAAAGACATTTCCCTTCTTTAGCACAACAATTTTCAATTGAGATTAAATCGAAGCAAAAAAAATGTTATGTTTGCTAAATATAATAATGCAAAGGAAAAATGATGAAGGGAAAAGTGAAAAAAAAGGTTTTAAAATCCAATTTTTCATTTCAAAGAGCTTGTTGAAGCAAACATGCCCAACCAACTCAAGGAACAGGATTATTTGATTACGCTTTATTCATGAAATTTTTGTTATTTTCAATTTACCTCGTCGTTCATTAAAACATCGCACAGAATTAAATTTGAATTTGATGGTAAAATGGCTGAAACAAAATGATTAAAAATGAAAAACTGATCGAAATTTGTGAAAACCAAACGAAACATTTTACCACGGCTAATAATTAAATCTTATTTTGTTTTTAATGTCACGTAGCTCAACTGCGAAAGAGGATAAAAGAAATTCATTTAAATGAGTCTGCGTATGCAGTTTCGTCAATATTGGACATGTTGTGAGACAAAAAAGAAAAAAAATATGAAACGCATTTCCAATGAATTTTTAAATTAAGCATTTCAAACTTAATTAACATTGGGAAGAATGTTTGTAGCTTCGCGGGAAATAATTCATGGTGTCCGAAGCTTTATATCGTGTTGAAATGATAAATTAAAGCGGTTGATGTTGTCATAGATGAATGTGTATCTGTTTTATAATGTTAGAGAAGACAGATAACAAATTTTATCATGTTTAACAACTAAATTTTCAAAGAACTATAAAATTAGATTATTTGACGAAGTGAAACATAACGAGAAGATGGAGGAAGGTTTTATGTATTCATGTTACACACAGATATATTTGATGATGTATTCAAATGAAATAAAAATAAAACTGCTGATGTCGTCGTCGTCCCAAATCGTTCCTTATCGTAGCTTGTATCGTATCTCGTTAAGAAAGAGAAAAAGGCATAAATTTAGCTTTACCCTGGAAATGAAGGCAGCAAGCAAGGATGGATTCTACCTGAAATTTTTCGTAATCTCCATCGTTTGGCTTTACATTTGGAGAATATCAAATAATAGTAAACTGTCGTGGGTGCTTTCTTTCCTTTAATTTCGATTTTGTCAATGCAGAAAATGAAACGATACGAAATGAAAGAAGAAAATTCTTTATCTCGTATGCATGATAATCAGACAGATTAGATTTAATTAGCTTTCGAATTGAAACAACCCAAAAGCTTTAAAAGATCAAAAGCTTTTTCTTCATTTACATGTTTAAAGAGAGAGAAAAAATCTCTTGAAGTTGAAAGCGAAGAAAAATAAATAAATAAATAAATAGAGGCGACATTAGAAAAATCATTTCACTTGAATATTCATGGTAAGTAAATTTGTCCTAGAAAGAGAGAAACAAAAAACCAGCAAACACAAGACGGCGTCGAACGAAAGAAATGAAACAAGAAAAATAACATCGTTGATGTCTTGCCTCCCATTGTGATTTTCACATGCATAACGAAACAGTTTTCATGTATATTTAAACAGCAAGTGAAGGGAAGAGAAAAGAAAGCAAGAAAACGAGTCACAACCATTCGATTTGATTTTTATTTTGCTTTCAATTTGCATACTGATAGCGATACGGATCTAATTATGTCGAGCGAAAGTATACTAGACGATCTAATTATGCAAATTATAGACAGTCGAGTATTTTAATTTAAAAAGTCCCTGTTACTATTTTTGTATGATAATTATGAGAATGTTCTTGAATCGTGAAAGTATCGTCATTGTTTCAGGTAAAGCTTTCGTCCCTGGGGTGATTGTAAGGGATGTCAAGGTTAGTTAAGCTTGATAAATATTTTAATTTATTATAAGGATCGTAAAGTCACAATTTACAAAAGATTTTCTCTGACGACTAGAGCTCATTTCGTTGAACATTCTTCAAGCACATTTGAGAGATAACAGAGACCCGGAATGAAAAATAACTTTTACTGAATGATTTGGGCGTCTCATGTCAATTTGAAAGCATCGTCGAAGAAAACACTGAGAATGGGAAAATGGAATCATTTGCATGGTTAAAATTTCATCTTCAATCTTGATTTCTTCACCTTGGAGAACTTAAAGTTGAATATTCTGAAGACAGAATTAATTTTCATTCTTTGTTGCACAAATTCCTTCTGAGCCTTTTCTACACTTGATCGAATTAGAAGAAGAAAGAAGGATAAAAAAAGTTTCTAGTTTAATAGCAGATTTCATGCTTAGCAATTGCATTGAATGAAAGAATAAAACGAGAAGTGGAAAAGTGAATTCATCGATTTCGGAAATCCGATATTTCAGTTTAACACCAATTTCAACCTATAGAAAGACTTCTAGGATACTTTATTTGCTTCATCCGCTTCCATGTCAAACTGTTCACCCTTTCATCCTTCTCTGCACACAACCAATAATTTACCGATTTTAACTATTCCAACGCTTCTCGATGTATTGAAAATTCGCTCGTTTTTCAAGAGTAGTTCCTTTAGCATGCGGAAAACCGGAAACCATAGTCGATGCGGATAGGAAGGAAAAGCCGAGAAAATTTGCAAGAAAAAAGTTGTTTAAAATGTTAGCAATGAGGGGTAGAAACGGAAGAATACATGGAAATATTTGAAAGTTCCCATCATTCTCATGAAACAAATTGGTAGCATGTGTGTCGATTTTAATTAGTTTTGGAGGTTTTCAAGTGAAAAATCCCTCAAGCTAGATAAATTGTAAGAAAAAAATGTATTCAGTTTGTGTTGGAAGTGATGAAGGTGAAGGAATTCTTTGTGTTCTTTAAAGGATTCAACTCAGCATATGTCATGTTCATGTGCTTTCAAAAAGAGCTTAAATGCACTTGGAAGACACCAAAAGGAGAAGATTTCAAGTCCTTTCAAGCATAAAGTTTTATAGTAGCTCTCAACTCATCTCATATCCTTTTCTTTTATTCCTGTATAAGCTTTTTATTGCTTCATGAACTGTTTTCTTGTAAATATTTTCTTCATCCCTTTTTTTACTGCTTCTCAAAACGAAATCGTTTTACGATTCTAAGCAAATATGAAAACTATTAAGCAGAGAGAGCGACTGATGTGAGTAGAAGAAAGAAACAAATCAGGGTTTGGAATTGATTGCGACTACCAATCTGATTCTCATAAATTTACAAAACGATTCTGAATTGCTGCTTTCTATGGATTCTGGCTTTAGAAAACATTCGGAGAGGGTTAAATTTATTTAGAGAAATGAAATAAAAAGCAAAAACAAATTTCGACCCTAACTGTATGACGTGCTTTTGTTTCTTTATGGTTTTGTAGAAATGTTCATCTGCAAATATTTCATTCAGATACATTTTAAAAGCCAAAAAATCTGAAAACAAATAAATTGTAGTTTCAAGTTCATTTTCAAACCCTGGAAAAATGTTTTCATACAAAAATGAGATTTTTCTTTATTCTTCATTTTTATTCATGATTTTTCTTGTCTTTTGTATCTGATTTAAAAATTTATTGTAAAGGTTACAATTTGAAGAATGTCAGAGGGGTTTATTTATGATTGCTTTTCAAAACTTTCACCAGTATTTGTTTAAGCATTTTCTCATTTGCTTCGAAATTGACATAAATTTTGTTTTTTCAGGTGACAAGCAAATATTTACTGAAACTGAGAACTGTAAAAGAGCTTGTGACTGCTTTTATTAACATGAATTACTTTTTTCCATTAGCATCGAGAACTGAAACACAAACCGAAAGGGAAAAAGTCATTAAATTCATCTGAAAACTAATTTAAAGTCATTGAAACAATCGAAAAATCACATTTACAGAATTTTTAACTTTCATTTTATTTTATTTATATTTTATTTTACAAATTTGTACACTTGATTTATTTATGTATTAAGCATTGAAAATTAATCTCCTTGCCATTTTAACCAGACAGACATACCAACAATCAATTTAATTCGAATTAAACTTTCATGACAATGGAAAAACCTTAAAGCACAAAATATTTGTGTGTCGATGAAACTTTTTTAAAATTGATTTAGGATAGTAAAATTTTAATTCCATTGAATGAAATACATAAAAAATAACTCAATGCTATCATTAACAAGTGGTGATCTCTTGAATGAACTTCAAAATGAACAAAATTTAATTGTTGATTTACGAACAGACTTTTTTTTTTGTTAATGAAACTTGAAGTGAGATAAATTTAAAAACTTTAATAATAATGCTTTGAGCCTTACTTGAATACTTCATCAATGATTGTAATGGATCAGCAATTCAATACATTCTGCAATTCAATTAAAATTAACAACACAAAGCGACGACCTCCACTTTTTTGATGCATTTCGTATAATGTTTTAAATAACTTTTCCAATTCGTTTTGTTTTCTCATCCAATTTTCATGCTGACCACTCATCCTTGATCCGGAATAAATTCATTAAATTTTAATATTATAATTCAATTTTATACTCAATTTATTTGGTTCAGTCTTTTTCAAATTTAAAAATTTAAATTTTTATCATTATTATTATGTTTAATCTTACTGAGCTCCTTTTAATGCTATTTAAATAAGACATTTGAAATCTGAAAGAAACTTAGTGAGTTTAAGAATTTCTTTTTTTTGCTATCTAGTTAAATAGTTGTTGGGAGAGTTTAAATTTGGTTAATGTGTGGTGCACTTTAATTAACATAATGTTGTTATCTTATCATGCAGTACAAAAACAAATCTACAACTTTCATCTTGTGTTCAATTCAATTATTTTATATAATTTTTCAAACATCTTTTTTTGTCTTATCTTTAAAACACAGAAGAAATTAAAGTTTAATTCTTCAACTTTTTATAATCATTTATTCTTTTGTTTCTTGTCATCACATCATGGAACATTAATTTCCTTACTTTCTTGTTTTCATTCTGGGTTGTATTTAATTTCTATGGAATAGGATTAACAGTGTGTACACGATATAATTGGACATTCAACTCTCGTACCTTTTTAATTATATTACAAAGTGCTATTTTACTTTTCGCTTTCCCCTTTAATCTTCATTCTTTATACTTTATTGAAACCATCCTAACGGCTCTTAAAGTCAAATAGAAATTTATCGCTCCTCTCCTCTCTGCCATTTAATTTTCATTAATTACTTGTCATTAATTTCCTTCGTAATTTTCGACGATCTTAACGTTTCTACCATTTTTCATAAATTTCTTTATTTCTTACATAATTTTTCTTCTTTTATATTTAGATATTTATTCGTATAAAAACATACAGAAAAGAATTATGTTTAATGATCTGTATCTTCATAAAGGACAGGAGAATGAATAATCAACAAAGAAAATGAATATTGATAACAAATGATATAATTAAAAGCTTAAAAGTACCAACATTTAGTTCACTATTCGTTTTGCAATCGCATGTCATGTCTGAATCAAAAGGAAAAATGATAAAACAAAAGGAACTAAATTACCATAAAGACCTAGACTAGGAGAACATGCAGACGTTACTGCTGACGCAGAAGACTCCCCTGTGGATAAAAGAAAGAAATAGAGAAAGCTTGTCAAAAACGACAGACGAATAAGACACGAAATAAAAGAAATGAATATCAATACGCAAAAGAAAACGAAATATTTCCTTTCTTTCTACAGAGATATATAAATTTTCTTCTGCAAGAGAAATAATTCTACGTCGTATCGAAATTCAATAAAAGTCATGTTTAAATTTATCAAATTATACGTACCATTTATAACATGCAACGTGACTTGAACAGGAGCAGAGTTGGAAGGTGCACAAGAGTAGTTGCCTGAATGTTGCTTTCTAGCGTAATCTATTATTAACGTGCCTACCTGTTACCGGCACAACGGGATGATGTTTGTAGTGAAAGCAGTGGAGAAGAACCGCAAGAATAAAAAATAGGAAGAAAGAAAGGGCAAGAGAGGTTTGAGAATGAATAAATGAATTGATCTAATATCGACACGCACGCTTAGCTACGATTTGATGGGATGCGTGACTTCACCTACCCGATTCTTTATTGAAATTGTCGTAAAAGTAATTTTTAATGTCGATAGATTTATGCCAACAAATCATTGAAGAGCGTGTGCAGTGTTCAATCATGTTTTTTTTTCTACTTACTGAACTATGAGTGTCGCTTTCAACATCTCGTTCGAATTGGACTTTCCAACCACGTCGATTTTCAACGTAAACTTGCTGTGACCCATGATACCAAATTATGTACGATGGCTGCTCAAGGGCACCACGAACGACACATCTGAAGATGACCGTACTTCCTGCTTTCACATATCGATCGGGATCACCTATCAATTCTGTTCGAGGAACTGGAAAGAAATGAAAGCATTAAAATCATTTTTTTTATCTTTCTTCACTTCAATTCGTCAATGCTTTGGGTTAAATATTTGTGTGTCAAAGCAAATAAATAAAATGTAAATGGAAATGTGAATCGCAACCAGTTGATTTATAGTTTCTGTCTCATAAATATTTCATATATCAAATGATATTTTCATTCGATGTTTTACGACGATATTATTGACATTAAAGAATCATAAAGTAGAAAATTTTTCGCTTACCAACAACATGTAGATGAACACGAGCGCTTACTTTCGGTTCAGTTGAGACCTGACATTCATAAAGTCCTGCGTCACGTGCCTGTTATAAAAAGAAGAAAAGCAAACCAAAATAAAAAAAAATGTGAGAAGAAAAGAAAAGTTTCATATTATTGACAGTAATTTTTAATGCAGAACTTTTTTTATTGACACATTACTTGTACATATTTTATTTGCAACGTCCAGATTCCGGAACTTTCGACGAAAAATGACTGGAAGCGTTCGTCGGCAATAAATGTCATTCTATGAGAACGAGGCAAGAAAGAGAGACACGTTTACAAGTATCGAAGGAAATTTTCGACCCATTTACTCGTCCAAAACCGACAGAGTTAGTGAAGAAAAAAAATAAGAAGAAACGAAACGACTCATCATTTAAATTTGACGTAAAACATTGGCGTTGTCGGTTGTGGGCGTAAATGAGAAAAATATTTTCGTGAAGCTATTGATGTCTCAGGACAAGCCATTAAAAGTAGAGTGATGTCATTATAATTACCTATCAACTGTTAATATATGATCGTCTCTGACGCGAACCCATGATACTGACTTGTTTCCAAGTTGCTTCACCTAAAATTGAGTCAACAAAGAAGTGTCTTAAAAGAAAAACTTTTTTACGAGGCTTCTGAAATGAAATTAAAACACTGAAAGTTTCTTTTTTTATGAAGAAGTGGAGGAGCTTGGAAGGGGATAATGAAAAATGAGAATCGGGACTTTATTCGTTTTTCTTCTTTCACCCTCACTGCTCAAAAGAAACGAAGGTCAAATTAATTGGTTTATTTATAAAATACTGATAGAAGGTGGGGGAGTTAATCTTGAGTGTTTAATACTGGGAGGACTGAAAATTTAATTCCCATGGTTGTAATTTGTATTGAAATCGAATTTAAGCTGATGTAACAAATTTGACTTCAAACTTTTTAACCCTCTGAGAATTTTCCATCATTCAAATAACTTTAAATTGAAGGAAAATTTTTCCGATAATTTCAAAGTATTCTGATGAGAAAAATTTCAAAGTTTTAAAGTAAAACAATTTAAAGAATTAATAAAAATAAAATAAAACTAAAGTGTTTGATGAACTCACTTTGCATGGTAAATAAGCGTGTGTTGATATTTGTGTAGTAACGTTGGTAATTCCGTTGCCTTCTAGATATGGACCAGTGATGAATGTCGTGCTTTGCGTTATTGCAAGCGATGATGAATTTCCTTCTGCGAGAATTAAATCTAGAAAAAAAAGAGAGAATTCAGTTGAGCTTTTAACAATGACGACTCGATAGAATTTTCATCAGTTCACCACTCAAAAGTCAACTAACAAATTTCCTTTCCCTTCCATTCCTTTTGAATTCAACTAACGCATGTTACATGTATGCATTTTAAGCATCGTAATTTAATGTACATTTGCTGTAGCATGCTCGACACGATTTCCAAATAACTATAAAATTTTAATGCAACTTTCTGAACACATTGCACATGTAAAAGTCGCTTGTTCGAACTTTTTTTTTTTCTAAAAATGGAAAATTTCTAAACTCAAAGCAAACAGTCGTTTAAATACTTTTACATCACAAAAGAGCTTACATAAGAAAATCATATGAATTCATGTCGCTTGGAGCTTTTGAAAGCTTAATCTAACATAAAAGAAGAAGAAAAAAAAGGAAAACGTTTCTGTCAGTTTTTCCTTCTCTCTCTCTCTCTCTCTCACACACTCTCCTTCCCTCACTTCACCCACGACATATTCGAAAATTATGTCACGTATTAAGCTTCTTTTAATCCTTTTCCATTCTTGTTCTTCTTCTTCTTCATTTTCATTTACCCAAAAACGAGTCATAATGAACAAGAAGAGTTCAAATTGCACGAAGGACGAATGATGTGCATGTTGTGTATGTACATCTACTTATTGGAAATGTATAAGAAAGAAAGCTTAATGTATAAGAAAGCTTTTTCTTGTAAATATCTGTCTACTCATTCTCAATTGCATTTGCTGGATTTAGGAGAAAAACATGCTCTTAAAAATGGTCCGCCTTTTGTTTCTCCGACTGAATACATAAACATGAAGCTTCTATTTTAAATATTGTTTAAATCTCCAGTGTGCTCTTGTAAATTTAATTTTCATGTTGTATTTGATTAAAGATGTTTCTTTCCTTCTTTCTTTCTTTCTTTCTTCATCATGTATGTTCACGTCGTAGCTCTATGCCCAGCAACAACAACATCACCAACGACGTTCACATAGTAGAATAATGAAGGGATAAGATGAGAAAGATTCAAGTATTGATTAAAAGAAAATTGAGTTTTGTTAAATGGGGATCACTTTAGAGTAAACGAGGATTAGTTATTTGAAAATTTCTTTCTTTTCTGCTGATGAATTCTTTAGTTCAAAGTTTGAATGAACACTTTTCGCAGAATATTCAAGTAAAGAGACCAAACTCTCATGAGATAAAATTATTTAATGAAGCTTAAAGCAATTCATATCTCAAGTATCTCATCTTTCCCGCAAACCAATCATTTTTCAACGTAAATATGTGCAACATATATGAACGTAACTTTGGAAAGGAAAAGTTGAGCTTGGTAAGTTGAAACAAGTATATCAACCTAACGCCATCGCAAAGTTTGTTATTTTATTTTTTTGTTTCAGAACATGAAGTATTTCTCTTCACTCGCATTACAATAAAACACATTTATGTTGGACGGGTAGGTGAAAGAATGAATGGGTGGGTTGATGGAAAAGATAGATGACGTGAATAAAAGAAAAGGAAGCCAACGAAAAAGTATAAAAGAGTAAAATATAAAATAAAAACGACTATATTTGAATTAATAATGTTTATCGTCTTATTTGACGTGATATATTGTAAAAAATGTAACTTTCATACATCACAAGTTGAATGCGAAGCACATCTCAATATGAGATATTATCATGAAAGGAAAATTTATACAAACGTGCGCCACGCCATGCTACGCGTTTTCAAATTTATTAGCTTACAACTCATCGTCGTGAAGTCTTTAAAAGTGTCAAGTAATAAAATATTTCGTGTCACGTTGAAACTGAGTAAAGACAAACGGTGGCACCGACTCATAATGATTTCCGTCATTTGACAGGATGCTTTACATTGTCCATCATTGCTGATGGAACAGGATAACGATCACAATCATCATCGTATAAATTGAAATATGTAATTGGATCGCAGATGAAAAATTTCTATCTGCTTTTTCATTTCATCCTGTTCACGAATGTCCGTCCACCCAATGTATACATCTACAAACATCAAATAACTAATGGTTGGGCGTCTTTAATAAATCACGTCGACAGAAATATGTCGATGAAGAGTATTTGGGGAGAAGGTCGCAGAAATTGTAACAATTTTCTGTTACAAAACGTTTTATTTTTATTTTTTATTCTTTCATGATGCTGATGTGACAAATTTGAGTAACAGTACGTGATACGACTGATAGAATTGTCCTTTCATAAATACAAGACGGATAAAACCCTCGGGCAATTTATTGTCACTAATTTATTCCGTGTATAGAACTTGGAAAATATTTCATCACCGTCAGGGAGTCTGCCTTGAAAAACACGGCAACATAAAGAAACGTAAATTATTTTTGATTCCATTTGTCATTAATGTTAAATTTATCATTTCACTCTTGAGCGAGTAAACGAATGAATGAATGAATGAATGCATGGAATGGTGAAATGGCGCATTATGACATCGAAATGATATAAAAAGAGAGAAAATGAAATAATCTATTATGAATCAATAGTGAAACTATCTTCCGAAGTGTTCTTAACGCTGAACTTTCTACGATAATAATTCCACTTACATCCCGCAATACTGCAGCGAAGCAGAAGAAATAAACTCTTGTTTCTTTGGTTACGTTGTGGAGTTTCATTTCTCACCATTAAATTTAATAATAAATATTGCGACTTTCTGGTATCGTGGAATGGTTATGTGAGGAAATGAAGGGCTCTTTGCCATGTCCCCCGTTCCCTTTATCATCCACTTTAAACAACCCGTTCGAGTGAAAATGGGGAAGAAAAAATTATATTGTGTTTTGCAAATCCACCAGAGAAATCTCAAAAAAATAAAAAGAAAAAAAATTCTCGTTTCTCATAACAATAACAAGAGTAGCTAGCAAAAATGGGAGCACAGCAGCATACAAAATTATTTTTTATTGGAGAAATATGGGAATCGTTTGATGAATTTCAATTTCACTTCTATCGTATTCAGCTTTTCGATATTTCATTTGAAATACTTATATTGAGTGTGTGACTCATGTCTGTCGCTTCACCAGCTTCTGTTATTGATTTTTCCATCACTCGATATAATCGAAAATTGTTTGAAACAAAGTCGAAATTCCTCCATCTCCGCACAAATCTCTTACAAACTTCAATCTATGTCGAATACTTATGGATACGTTTTGTCTTGCACTAGATTAATGTCGTGACTTTATTTTTGATATCGAAGAAATCGTTAGTGATCTGCATATAATGGCTTTGAGACGGGTATAAATTCTATCTCCATAAGCTCTATTAGCAATATTTTCGTCGAAGTTTACTCTTCCTTTTTATCATTCTTCTGGGTTGTTCGGATAGAATCAATAATTGATTTATTAGTTCGATAAAATTCATTGAGAACACTCGTAAGCCTTCAGATTTTTGGTTTAGGATTGGCCCGAACTTCAAAGTAGTCTAATGAACTATGCATAGACTAAACTTTTCCGAAATATTTTCCTTTTCATAATTTAGAATTGAAATTCATACTCAGAATTCTGAAAGTTATTTCATTGAGTGCGTGGTTGGCAGACATTCAAATGATCAGAATGAAACTTTTATTTATATAGAAACTCAAAATGAATTTTAACCATTCCCAGCTTAATTAAATTTCTTTAAGAAAAATGAATCAAGAAATAGCGAGAATTCATTTAAAAGCGATAAAATTGTAGTGCATTTATGCAGCTTTTCCGACACATACTCTGATGCTTCGTGAAGTCTCAAAACTTTCCAACTTGAATTAATTTGGAAACAAGAAAAGGGAGAAAGCAAAAGTTTTAACAAATCGCTCGAAACACGCCTCGTTTGCTTTGCTGCTTTTAATGAAATGCGAACAGTTTCAGTTTAAGACACGTCAAAGCCAGCTCGTTGTTAATTGTCGTCACGAAATGCAGTTGCGGAGAAAAGTAAATGGTATCAGCATTTAGAATCATTCTCCCTATTGAAGCAAATTCATTAATTGACACATTAAACTTCCTTAAACCATGGGACAAAAAAGGGAAAAGAATTTCAAAGTGAAGTTACAGAGATCGGAGAGAGAAAATAACTCCAATTGGATTAATTTGAATTAAAGCAAAACGAATCCTTCTTTATTGCTCTTTTCCTCTATTTTCTATTTCTGGATGGAACGTAAATATATCTTTGATAACATGCCAACCTAACCACTTGATTTCACGTTCGTCGTGCCTTTCTCATGCATAGAATTCCTGAAATGATTTCGTATTTTTATTTTTATTTCTTTCTCGGTCTTCGAAGTGGAATTTTACAGCTTTTTTTATAATGTCTTTGAATAAATGGTAGTGTTTGTTTATTATGTCACGTTCTTAAATGCATTTGTTTCTTTTCCTCTCTATCCCAAATATCTTTCGTCACGAAACAAAACATTTTTATTTCATCACATTGCATAACTTCATTAAAGTTTTCGAAAAAGTAAATTTTGTGCTACACTGAATCAAGGAAGCTTTTTGGGTGTCGGTGCGGCGTTTAATGAACACGCGAACAACTCGAAAGAATTTTTATGTCAATAATTAATTTAACATTTTTTTCGCAGGGGTTAATTTATAGAAAATGTCTCAATTATCAAGTTTATCGCTTCGCAAGTTTCCAATTCCATTATTTTTTTAAAAAACAATTTTCTCGTCACTCAACATCAGAGAAACTTCTTAAAAGCAAATCAGTATTAACCATTTTCCGATTGGTAGTTTTTTATGCTTCAGCATATCCGACAAAATAAGAGAAGCTTTTAAAAACATACGAGGAAGGAAAATAAGCAAAGAGATGTGTGATTCAGACATGGCGAACGCTGAGGTGCAGACATGCAATCTCATTGCAATTTGTCGGAAGGAATTGCATATTTCTTTCTTTTTTTTTCATTGTAGATTGCGCTTGTTATGCTTTGTTCTTTATGACTTCTTTGTTGTAAAACAATTTATACTCGAGAATATAAAACATTTTTACTGTAAGTGATGGAAAGGAAATTTAAAACAGCGAGCATAAAAATTTCATGGCGATTAATTTTGTACTTTGTTAAAGGAAAGAAAATTTTTTTTTGGCGTCTGGTTAAAAGAGTCATTCAATAAATAATTTTCAGACTCATCGTCGTCGTCTCCAAGAGAGAAAGAAATAAAAAATGTATCTTAATTTAAGTACCGTAATTAACCATTGTTGTTTTAATTTAGCAAGTCAATGTTTTTCACTTCAACAGAGACGAATTTTCAGAGCAAAGCACGCAATCATCAAAATGAACAACTATCATTAAAAATTCAGAAGTGCTCATTTCAACCAGAAACAACAGAGGAAAAAAGTTCTCTTACTCCTTTCGTGTTTTCTTTCACAGCAAATAAAACTTTGCTTTCCCACAGGTATAAAACTTTTTCCGCTTTTTGTTCTTTCCTTCTTTTCGGTGACTCCCACCTCAGTTTTTTTTTCCGTCATCAACGTTTTCAAGTTTTTACATCAAAATAAATAAAAATAAAAGAATCATTCAAACTGTAATGAAATGTTTTCCCTCTTGTTTTCACAGCCTTCCCCTGACTCAACATATATTCAAACATATTTCATCATGGTTCTATTTACATTTATCTAGTAGTCTCTCGTTGTTCTTCTTTCATTGTCATTCTTTCGCAATGCCTCAAGTGAACATGACGCTTCATATGACTGATAGATTAAAACTAAACTGCCCTTTACATAAAACTGGGATTTTGTGCCACTTCTCCTTTTTATTTTTATTACAATGGGATTTATGATATCTCACAGCGATGATTTAAACTGTGTTGTTCTCTCCACTATCTTAGCACAGCTTTTCGGACTGTGAATGTGTAATGAAAATAAAAATCAAGTTATGTGTTAAGCCAAATTTCTTGCCATTCAGAAAAAGATTCATGAGGTGAGGATGATGTTAGTTTCCTTTTTGATGGATTTGTAGCCATGGTTTTAGGATACAACACGGGAGAAATCCAATGATTATGAAAGCTATAGCGATTCCCGGTGGGCTTGGAAATTATATATCATGGATTTAATGGCTTTATCGTCATTTCATCGTTGCTAGATCTCATCAGCATAAAATTTTGATGTTGAGATCGCACTGAAACATACTTCATTTTAATTAAATCATCGCAGTGGAGATGTAAGCTTTTTTCCTCCATTTTCCCCTTTGGAAACTTTTATCATTTCTTCATCTTTTCAAGGGATGAAAAATTAAAACTTCATTCCTTCTCAACAGAGATTTTGTGGCTTTTTATTTGTATGAAATATATCTACATACTTTCATCAATTCATCATGCTCAAGAGATTGAAACTTTTTACTGCGTCATGAAAATGCCTCAGCATTTTTATTTTTATTCTTTCAAAAGGAAAATATACAAAACTTTCATGAGACTAGAACTATCAAGAAGCTTTTTTTGTTGTCTTCTTTTTTTCTTCAAGTATTTACGTCAAATTTCCTTGTTTCTTTAACTAACAAGACAACAACAACATAGCAAGCTATGAAATGTCTCTTACATAAATTCCATCATTCTCACACACAGTAGTTAAGCGAAACAAAAATCCCGGACGAAATAAGCATGTTTTTCGCTTCTCTCGACAGAAAATATTTATGTTCAACATGATTTCAAGAATTTTTTAGTTCTTTTTTACGAGAATAGACTCGAGCGAGGAAGAGAGAATAAAAGCAACAAAAGCATATTTAGTCTCTATACATATCTCTAGTGTTATTTGCTCTACTTCACCCTCCATATACGTAGCGATGACGTTCACATATTTATCAAGCTTTTTTGATGAACAAACAAGAATTGCAAATTTTTTTCACTTCCTCTTCTTCCTCCCACACCTATTTCGACATAGATGTTAATTTTTGTTAATTTATTCTAAAATGTGAAACACAAGTGCGTAAAATATGTTCGGAGTGATGCTTTGCCAACTGTCGGTAGGGTTTTTTTTTCCTAAGAGTGATCTTAAAATGCAAAACGATACTTACTTAAGCTTCCCATAATGTAAAAGGTAGAAATATTTTTAAGAAAACAAAAAGAAAACTTTTCCCAAGTGTTCGCTATGCCGACAGTCAAACTGTGTAGATATTTATTCAAGAGATATATTAAAATGTAAATTGAAATTTTCAATTGAGGCGTAACGAATCAATGCCGCGTGGGAAGATAATTGTAACATTACAAATGAAATGTAAATATATTCCCATTTATCGTACTATACAATTGAGTAAGTGAGAGAAAAAAAGGAAAAGTAAAACTTATTTTGAATTCAAAATTTTCTTCAGCGAGAGTTCTGTTCTCAATCTGATCTTATCATCACCATCATTCAGATCAGAGTTACAAATCAAATTACTGAACATGAAACATTTCTACATTTTAGGATGAAAATTTCGAGAAGGGAGGAAAATATACGAAATATCTGGCAACACAAATATTTACTTACCATAAAGTATCGAAGCTATAAAGCTTAGAAATAGAATAAATTTATATTGCGCTGGCATTCTTCTTCGTTGATGCTTTCTGATAACCAGCCAAGCTTTAAACCTGAAAAGAATCAAGAGAAAGAATGAGTCAAAATGAAAAGTTTATCTCTAAATGTTGAATGACGTTTCTCATCAGAATAACAATGTTTTGACAGTTACTGTATTGTTATTCTGTCTCCCATAGGGAAAGAAGCTTTTTAAATTTATTATTGAAAAGAGCAAGAAAAAAATTCAAGTTTTGTTGGTAAAATTTATGAACGTGTTTACCAACTTTTCTTCCTCCAACATTTGAGCATGACAGAGACATGTACCTTTAAAATTTAATGCTTTAAGTATATAAACTTTGTTTCGAGGCAGATTTCTATTATCGCTGAAAGCAGAACAAAAACCATAAATCGAGAAATTCAGCCCAAATTTCTTATCTTATTTTCAACGTCATTTTCACTTCCTAAAAGGCATTTTGTACGATTAATACGTCAACAAGTTTTTGTTGGATGTTTGATCTTTGTCGAGTTAATGTGGTTTAATTTTATCGAACATTCAACATACATGCGAGAATGTTTGTGTCAAAAAGTAGACTTTGGTCAACGTTGGTGGACAAACTTAACTCAAGAATTCTAAAAATGATTTGGAAAGTTCTGCATTCAATTTATTTGGAATTGAAAGTGGTTGACTTAATTTACAGATTTGTTCTCGCTTGGGAAATTACTCAATTGCACAGACTCTTCAGGGATTTCCCAAAGTTCTGATTGAATGGTCGTTCTCTGATTTACCACCCTTCCCATCCTTTGCTATAATTAAAATGGAAACCTCGCTTGTTTCATTCTTCTTCTTGTTCTTATGTTTTTCACTTCAGCTTTCAAATTAAAACAAAAACGAAAACGAAGGAAAATTTTTCATTACTTTAATTGAACAAATTCAAATCGAAATATTCGTTAAGTTGAAATGTTCATTTACGCTTTTTTACTCCCACAAAACTAATGGTCGACCTTTATCATTTTCAACTCTTTCAATAAACATTTTTCAAAGTCAAAATACACAGAACGCTTTTCACAAATGTTTTTATCATCTCTGATAAATTTTCCTTGCTGTAATGTTTACAATCCTTTCGGTAAACAACACGAAGTGCTATAAAGCACAGCAGCTACACAAGATTGGCAAAAACGAAAAAAGCAAACAGCAAATCTATGATACTGGGAATTTTTATTCAATAATTCATAAGAAGAGCTAAAGCAATTTTTTATTCATGAAATGGGAGAAATAAAAATGAGAATTAAACTTTCCGGTCAGAGGCATTTGCAATTTGTTGGCAAGAAGAAAAAAAGAAACGATAGTAGAAAAAGATCGTCCCTGACACCCAAGTTCCCGTTTGGTGCTTTAGACCTCGGGAATTTATTATTGAAAAGTATGATTAAACATTCACGAATGAATGGAATCGAAGGCATGGATGCCCTAAGTTGTCGGATCGTTCGAAACATTTATGCTTTCTTCTTCCCTTTTTTCACCTTCTTGTATTTATTTTTATTTTTATTTTTCACAGAAAGGCGCTACATTATCTATGGTTTGAAAGAAAATAAAACGATTTTTCACGCTTGACCTCCTTCATACCTTTTCTCCCCTCTCATGCAAGTGGCTCATTTTTCCGGGCAAAATTCATTACATAAATTGCTACATCTTCCCGTTTATTATGCGCCTTGAAAAGGTTAATTGAATAGTGGAAGGAGTAACATTAAAAATTTTTCTATCAACCAAAAGACCTTCCGAATGAGAGGCAGTAAATATTCAAATTTCTTATAATTAAAGAGAGATTTCACTTTTATTTTATGAAATATTTTAACCCTTTTTTCTTCTCTTTGCTTCCATTCTCCACTCGTCCGTCGACTTTAATTCTCTTAATGACGTTCTTTACATTTGTTTTCTTTCTCCTTTTTTTTTTTTATTATTAGAGTCTACTTAGGGCTTATGGGTAAATATAATATAAAGCCGAATTTGTTTCCTTTAAGATTCAAAATTCAAGATTCAACGATGCTATCCTTTTTCTGATGTTTAAATGGATAAATGATATGCAAGGAGGATTTTTTTTTTCTACGAACATCGAAAGAATGTTAGAAAAGCANATGGCGCAACTTGAAAATTCGAGTTTTGTCCTCTGAAAATACACTGTGCGATGCTATCCTTTTTCTGATGTTTAAATGGATAAATGATATGCAAGGAGGATTTTTTTTTCTACGAACAGCAAAAGAATGTTAGAAAAGCAGCTAAAAGGATAGAAGATGAAGAGATGCGATGTTTTATCAGCTGAATCACCGGCACATGTCTCTCATACACATGAGGGTGAAATGAGAGCGTTTAAATTCCAAACAGAGGCGCGTTGCTGTAACAAAATATTGTAAAATATATTTACTGTAATAAAATACAGTGGATTAAAGGACAGCAACAAATTCTTCTCGGATATTTGTACATGTGAGACATCGTTTCATGACGACCGAGGAAAATGCGTTCGTCTGTATATTTATTGATCTATAAAGCGATCTTTCGAATGAAAAGAGAGCAAGAAGAAAACAAAATCTGGCAATAAATATAAGCGGGAGCTAATGCAAGACGATAAAAACGTATATCCGTGGATTAATTTGTATTAGACTTTCACCCATTTTTCTCTATTTTCTGGCAACATGAAAGCATGGAATACAAAGTGAAACTTTTCCTTTTTCAAATAGCTGATAAGAAGATTGAGATGAAATTGAAATAAAAAGTAATGAGGATCTATTTGCATCACAAAGAAACCATAATTGATTCTTCATAGCAGACGGGAAAAAAGACTTCATGCTTGTAAAACTTTCAATTCCCATTCGATTTCGTAACTATAATAAACTTCTTTCTTTCACGTCGTTCAACTGTATCAATGAATCGGATTGACTTAAATTGAAGCAACATAGACAAAGTTTCCATAGATTATTAGCCAATGCTTCATGCATTCTCCTTTCCTATTTTTTATATTAAACAAAGATTAAAAGCTTCGAAGTTTTTCTTTTTCTATTTAGTTTGATAGGAATTTGCTCTTGTTGCATGAGCTCAGCTGGTTTTGCTTTAGAAAAAGTTTTCGATTCTCTCTCTTGATATCCCTTGTGGGTAGAAATGTGAATTACGTTGAAGATTGTAATTTGAAAATGATATTTGAATGGATTATTGGAAGTTTTTTTTATTAAGTTTGAAGGAGAGTTACAAAATATATGAAACATTCCCATCCCGGTCAATAAAAGGTATAGATTACAATTTGGTAGCAAAACGCTTAACAATGAAAAATGAGTCTCACAACTCACAAGTGACTCACAATTGTCTTCGATAAAAGACATCATCATGACAAATGACTCTCGTTCGAAGCTTCTAGATTGAATGTTTTTGTCGTGAAATGTGAAAATTTTGCAGTTTTCCACTCTACGTCTGCATCGGTTGAAGACAATTCAGAAGATAGATAAATAGTAAGTCGAGGAGAAAATGATTGAGAATAAATAACAAGTTCAATTACCTTCAGAAAGAATGAAATTTCCAAGTATTTCCGTCTTCTTTATAACTTAACACTTTGTAAGTTCACTTCAACTGCTAAAGGATATTTTATGGAATCTTGTTAAGCATCACAATTTTCACCACTCATCTTGATGATATCCATCGGTAAATACATGCTAGCATAAATATTTCATGAGACTTTTAAATTTTTGTCACTCTTCACCATCTTCTTTCCTAGTAATTGTTTGGAAATTCATAAAACATCAATCGTAAGAATTTATAAATTATTCAGCAACCGTATCAAGCTTAAAAGCTTCGAGTGTTCAATGTAAATATCAATTTCTTCCACAATTTCAGCATAAAATATTAAATTTTAAGTCACGGTTCGTTTTCCTAATCACAATTTTCAAACTACGTCTTCACACATCACCAGATCTGACATTCTTGTTCTCATTAATTCTAATTTAAATTTGTCTCCATATGAACTCTTCGATATCTTGATGCTGTTCAATCCAATTTGCTTTTCACTAAACTTTCGAAACCATTTAATAATTATCTCGCCTCTTGCTGTCGACCTCCTTCTAACTGCTTTCTACTTTCAAAACTCGATTGGCTTTGCTGGAAATAAAAGGAAGAAGGAAAGAAAAAAAGTTTGAACTTTCTTTTCTCATTCAGTTGGAAAATTATCACAGATTTAATCGGTTCGTTTTTTTTATTTTATTTTTGTTATGCAGAACTTTAAACATACTTAGACACTTTACAGAAACGACGAGCCAGAAAAGGAGCGAAAAGAAATAAAAAGTCTTGGCAACTTCAACTATAAACATCAACATCATGTTGAAGAATAATAAATAAATATCAGTACAAAAAGTTTTTCTTTCACATCGCAAGTTTATTTTGTTTGTTTCTTAAAGCTGTTCCGAACAGGAAACAAGAGAGATTTCCGATTGTTTCACATGTTATTTACAGAAAAATAAAAACGAACTTTGGAGGAAAGAAAAGTTTTCTGTGAAATTCTTAATGGAACTTTAAAAAAAAGAGCGGAGAAAAAGTTTTCTCAATTAATTTACTGAAGATATTCAAACCTGAAATGCTTACACAAGTAAATAAAAATAATAACATTAACTATCAAACTTTCATTTCGTCAAGTGATGAAAACTTTCAAATTTTCTCTCTCACTATAAATGAAAGCAAATACTAATGAAGGAAAAACAAAAATCTCAATTAAGAAGTTCAATTTAAAAGCATTCCCACAAGAAGCTTTGGTGTGAACATATAAATGCTTTCACAATTGAGAAAACTTCTTCAACTCAACTCAGAAACATGAGAAAATGTCTAGAATTGTTTTCCCGATAAAAAAGAAAGTTTCAATTTCTACTAATAATGTCACACGCAGCACAAAGACAAAAGCATTTCACTATGGAAAAACTTTGTCATGAGCTTAAGTGCCATTTTATAAAATGAAATTGAGAAAACAAGAATGAGATTAAGTCCCGAAGAGAACAAAATGAACGACTTTGTTTTTTTTTGTTTAAAAATTGTTGTGGAGTGGCCAATATTAAGCGAAACTTTTATGTTTTCATGATGTAATCCCTCGGATCATTACGCGAACAACAACAAGTCAACAGTCACACATTTGATCAAGCAAAACTTTCTTTTAAATATCACAAAATGATCATCAATTTGATGTTTTGTTTTACATTAAGAAGTAGAGAAACAAGTAATGAAAGCATTTGGTTTAAGAAAGTAAGCAAAGAACTTTCCTACTTAAACATTTTCCCATGATTTTCTATTGTTTTTATACGCTTCGAAAAGCTATAACACATAAAGTTTTATGAACGGTTGTTGAATATTAAATAATGTTTTGTTCTTTCACTGGAAAATTGTTTTCTTCTTCGTGTTTCAATTATAGTTTAATGCATTCATGCCGTGAACTTTTCCTTTACTCTCATTGTTTAAAAGTAAAACAAGAAAGAAAGTTCTCGTTAAAACTTCAAGGATTGTTGTGAGCTGAAGATTTTCTATCTTTTGTTTTGCAAGCGTTCGTGATACGCGCGAAGAAGTCGAATCAGACAATGTTTTCTCAGTATAAGAAATGTCAAACAAGCACGAACGTTGAGCTTAAAGTTTTTTAATTTGAATATTTTTCATTCCACTGCAACTAATCTGACAACAACAAAGCCAAAAAATTATTTTATCATATCAGAAATCAGGTGAGAATTATGCTTTTCAGAAAATAAGTTTCTTTGTTCGTAAGTCCCCATTGAGGAATGTCACAAGATGTCACAAACATGTCGATATGTGTTAATTCGTGCTGTTCATGGTAATGAATTATTCAGCATGAACTATTTTCGGTATCCAGTCATTGTGTGTATGTCGCTTCAGATTTCCCTCTTGATACCTTTTGTTATAAGCTTTCAAAAAGGCTTTCAATGAAAAATCGAAGTGAAGAAGAAGCCTTTCAAACACAACAATAGAAGTAAAATTGTTGGATAGTAATTCAAAAAAAGAAAAGCACAAGATGGACATCATGACTATGAGGGGCATAGAAGAAAACGTTTCTTCAATCTTATCATGGCAAGTATAAACTTCCTTTGTGACAAATAATTTTTTATTGTCCGCTTTTAAAGGACATAGCGCACTTGGGAAATTAACTCTCATAACAGTTGATAGCTAGATAGAAAGAAAAACTTCTTATGTCTTGTCTGTTTGCTGCTTGGGACGATAAAACTTTTTCCTTCCTTTCTTTTTCTTTTTTTGATTGCAAAAGAAAAAGAAATAATGGTAACAATAACGTCTTTAATGATCTAGGATGTGAGTGCGTAACCAATGTTGCTTTGAGACTTTTAAGGACACGAAGGAAGGCCTTTCAAATGTTGCTTACGGGAATCTTTTTCTTTCAGCTTATTATTTTATTATAGGAGATTCTTTAGAAAATTTATTTTCCTTTTCTTTTTTTACACTTCTTAAGAAGGGTGACACTGTTAAAGATAAATAAAGTGCGAGAAATTTCTTTTACATTTAAGGTTTTAATAGAAAAGTTTGTGACAGGAAAAGAGCTTGTCAATAATTTGATTAAAAGGGACTGAAAAAGGGGGACTTTGAGACAAGAAATTTTTCTTTATTTTCTTTCCGCACCTCAGTGGTCTTCTAAGAATATCCATCAATTTTATGTTAAACCATTATCTCACACCCACGATTCCCATGAAAACCTCATTTGACTATCGACTATTTGGGTTGGTAGCATAAGAAAAAAGAAAAAGAAGAAAGGAAAATAAAATCTAAAAATGAAATTTCTTGACAACCAACACAGAAAGCCTCCATCGGTGCTCATCAAAAGTGGAATTAAATGCATGAAAAGGAAAATCTATGACGAGATGAATGATGAAAGGGAAAAAAAGAAGAAGATGACAAAGACGGAAATATTTCTTATTTATTTATTTTTCCTTCAATGCAACCCTCGCCAGCCTCGACTTAAATCTTTAAAATCCCACTCGCTTGCCGCTTTTTCCGCTTCTTCTTCTTTTCGTGAAGCGCCAGATATCATTTATCAAAATCCTTTTCAAAATATACTCATAAATCAATATAAGGGATGACTAACAAAGGAATGTGACGAAAAATTATGCTAGAAAGAATGCCGTTGGAAGATGAGAATAAAGAGACTGAAACTTTTTGCTGAAAATGCGGAAGAAAACAGCGGCACATAATCGTCGAGTAGATAACAACTTGGCCCCCGACGAACGACGACAACGGAAAGATTTATATCCTTAAAATTGAGATTCGGTCACAAATTGTTTTATAACCCTTCAGACAGTCGATTTTTTTAGACTCAGGAAAAGCTTTATTGTCGTCAAAGTCACGGGGGTTAAAAATTTATAAGTCAAATGACAAATAAATTCGGTTTGTCATGCTTTCAACATACACATTTCCATTCTTCCTTTTTTCAAAATTAATGATGTTCGAATTATATCAAGTGACTTGGAAAATAAAAATAAAATTCACTTTTTTATTAAATTCTTCTGCTCAAATTTTTTTTCTCCATCAGTAGTCAGAGTGTAAAAATATTACATCATCATTGTTGAGAATAAACAATGTAAGTGCCATGGAAAATTAAAACAATGATTATCACATTTTCCGGTTTTCCCCACCGAAAAAAACTGTTTAAGCTTTTTCTCACTCGGTCATGAATATTTTATGCGTGTAATGATTGCCTTTTTAAATCACTGTTCGCGGGAAGGGAGCCGATTACTCTCAGGTGAGTTAACGAACTCACTCGACGATTGTCCTCGCAATAAACTTTTCTTGAGCAATAATAAAAAGAGATGATTGGAAAATTCTTCTTTGAAAGCGATTTTTTCCGCTGATTTCATTGCTTGCTTGGTCGCAAAACATTATTTATTTAGTCAATGAATCGATTTGGTTTGTGAACCTTAAAAATTGCTTCGTAAGGGATAAATTTCATCCACATTCAGAAATAGAAAAAAAAGAGAAGTTTTGCTTATCCTTTAGATTTCTTTTTATCAGGGTGATGTGGGCGTAAAACCAAAAGAAGCAAATTTACTACTTGCAATTTACAGAGAAATTGATTTTCACAAAATTGGCACTAAACGATTTTCCAGCTGTAACCCGTTTTGCTTTCAATATCTTGCTTACTTATTCCCCTTTCGTCTTATTTATACACGAGCGTTTCTCTCTTGTCGACGTTCACGCTACATGTTTTCGATATTTATGTGCTTAATAAGAATGAATATTGAGATTATTAAATTGCACGCTCCGTAACATTCTGACGATGATTCTTGAAGGTTTTCTGAATTTTTGTTTCGAAATAAAATTTCTGATTTCATTTAATTTGATGTTGGTATTAACATCAGAGGGTTCAAAATCACATTATTAGTTACATGTTGTGTTTCCTCATTTATTTGAAAACTTTCATAATATCATCCATTGATCGCTATAAGAACTCTGAATTAATAATTCTTAATTACCCAATAAATATCTCATGCTATTAACTAGCTTGCTATCATTGAACATACCATGGAAACAAAAGCTTCAAATTATGGACAATTTAGAAACAAAGCTTTCTCCGTGTTCATATGAAAAGCATCCGATAAAATCGATACATAAACATCATAATTTTTTTTCCTTTCCTTTCATTTGTTCCATTCACATATATTTTTGTTCTTAATGTCGGCCCGAATCGATGCCGTTGCGAAGACGAGACAGAATTCAACAAAAGCTCTTTAATATTTCCTCTTTTTTTCTATTTTTTTTTCTCTAGATATTATTTTTTCCTTGCTCTGATTATTATGCCGATGAATAAAAAAGCTGAAATGTTGATTTATGATTTTTTTTTTCTCTCATCGTGCTTCTTCTTGTCGCTTGCTCGCTCGTTCGCTAGACGTATATAAAGCATTCTGTGTGTACTTTAGGAACAGGCTTAAACGAGGGGAAATTAAAAATATATTGTGCAAGCATTGATATTGTAAGTGAAGGCAACATCATCTATGAATGCGATCATTGCTGCTTTTGGAAACGACAGTCAAGAAGCGCAGAAAAACACAAAATTATTTTTATGATAAAAAATTGTTTGGCGTAGTTTAATGTCTTTAATCATAAAAAAGTTTTCGTCCCGCGCCCAACTTGCGCCAAGAATTCGCCTCTTTCGTTAATTGTTTTGGCTCCCGAAGCCATTCTTAGAAAAGTTAAGAAGACTTTTTATGAAATTATCTGAAGTGAAATTACTGTAAGTAGTGAGGCGTTGTTGGAGATCTTCAAGCGACAACTCCCAGAAAGAAAAAGCCTCTTGCGAATATTCTCTTGAATTGTAATAAAGATTCCAATGACTTCTATTTTTCGTTTATATTTCTGTCTTCTTCTTACAAAATCATCTCATTAATATTTAATGAGAAAATTTAGTATGCAGCATATGGACAAAATCGTTGAGAATTGAAAGCGAAACACCGTAAAAAAACGAGAATTTGTCGTATGAAATAAAGTGAAAACATTTTCTTCACACATATTTAACCAAAAGCGAGGGAAATCCTTGTTCCGTGGAGTAAAAAAATTCAAATGAATATTAAATATCGTATTTTACACATTAGAATACAATATGCGATCGAATAGCGTGAAGGCTGATAAGAAACAATATTTTTTTCGTCCTTCAAGTGCGCTGCTGTGCTTTCATTTGACTTTTTTTACAATATTAATTCCCAAAGTCCTCTCGTTCCAACGCCTTTCTTTCGGTTTTTTTATTGCTATGGTCTTAGCGCTTTTTATTATCACAGAATTTTTTTCTTCTTCTTTTTTTTATTATTTTCTTGACTTTTCCTCTCAATTCTCACACCAACAATTTCAAAATGCCGCACGAAAAAAAAAGTGAGATTAAAAGATACATGAAGAACATAAAAAGCAGATTAAAAGTGGAATCATTTGGATTGTGATTTTTATGAGACCGCTGAAATTTTACGACATTCACAGCATCTTTTCCCATTCCCACTAATTCGCGTAAAATAAACTGAATTATCAGTTTCCACTTTATCTTTCTCCATTCGTGTCTTGTTTGTCTTCAATGATTGTTATCGTCACCTAAATTATGTGAATACAGTTTTTCCTTTTCAAATTCCTTTTCTTTCGCTTCGTTTCTGTTTTTAGTTATTTAAAATCACATTTCAACTTTCAGCACGTCACTAACCATTAAATATCCATCAATTTCCAAAACGGTTATGTTGATAAGCACAATTCACTGAATAGAACTTTTATTTCCAATTTTTCTTCACGATTCCAAGATTATCATTTAATATATAATTTTTTTAATAACTCTTCAAATATTCTTCAGAGACACGTAAGATGTGCAAACGATTCCGACTACGTTTACGAACTGTATGCTCAAATCTGCTGAAATCTAAAAATGTATTTTTTCATCCTTCCCTATAATAAATTTCCCGATATGCGAGATGAATTTTTCGTGCTAAGAGAAAACTTATGAAATCATAGTTAATGGAGAGTTTGGAAGTGAACAAATTTTCCATTGAGAGAAAATTCTTCCATGGAAATTTCACTCTCACATCAAACTTTCTTCTCGAGTTTTTAGTACACGTAATGATATCCAAAAGAATTTGATAAAGTCTCAGGTATAATGGCAACTCAGTTACATAAAAACTTTCTCCACTTACAGGGAACAGGGTCAAACTATCTAATAATAAAACATAATTCTAACTGCAGTTGGAAAGAAAGTTTCAATGAATTTTCCTTTTCTGCTTGATATACAATTTATCTAACTTTTCGTGAGAGTGCAGAGTTTTGTGTTTTACTTCTTATTCTGTTAAATTCATTTATGCTTCATTTCAAATGATGTAAGTAGAAGAATCCAATGGTGTATGTCTCATTGAAATTTATATCAACTTCTTATCAATTAGCTTTCAGCATTCCTCATGATATTTTTAGTAAAGCGTTCTTAGATCTTCCTTGTGTCGCTCATCGTCATAAATGTCAATAAAATTTATAAATTATTATTTAAATCATTTCAAGTTTTTCTCATTTCAAAGTTCTTAAAAGTCAATGATATTAAGAAACATTGATTCAATTCTTAAATTAACAATCTCTTGAATTTCCAAATTGATGCTTTGACTTCGATAATTGAGATGACGAGGGTTTGAATAAGACTGAGACTTAAATCTGATACCATTAAAGAAATAAACCAAAAAAAAGTCTAATTGTGAAAATTGTTTAGCTCTTGGCATCGACCAGAAATTAAATCATAATTGTATTAAAATGTTTCTCGAAAAACAAGCGATGTTTATAACTTTGTTGAAACAATTCTGACAATATTTATTCGAATTTGGTAATACAATTTAGGGTGGTCGATAAGTTATCCGTTTTCACATTCACATTTAAATTTGAATCAACATAATTATTGACAATCGACATCCATAAATTATTTCTTTCAATTAATTTATTCTGAAAGTTTAAAAAAAGTTTCAACTCAAGACAAAATTTTATTTCCATTCACTGAGTAGACATTAATTAACAACAAATGATAAAAAATGGAGTGAGAAGGCCAAAGCTTCATTTATTTTTTACAAGTTTCCAGTTCGATTACTTCCACAAGCAGCTTGAATTATTAACTTCGCCGCATTAACAGTGTTTTCAACATCTCTCTCATTGCCTAAAAGCGGATTCACTTCAACTAAATCCAAAGATGAAAGTGTTCCGGTATTGTACGCTTGTTCCATTAGAAAAACTCCTTCTCTAAGAGTCAAACCACCCATAACAGGCGTTCCTGTCGAATTTGCATAAAGTGGATCAAGAGCGTCAATGTCAAAGCTTACGTGAAGCTTTTTCTTTCCATCCAAATTTATCTTCTCAAGCGCTCGTTGCACAACCTTCTCAATTCCCATTCTTTCAATATCTCGCATATCGAAATAATTTATGCCATATTTTTCCATCATAAGTTTTTCATAGTAATCAGTAGACCTTAATCCAATCCAACAAAAGTTCTTCAACGACATCTGAGCTTGACACCATTCAAGGATGGGAATGGTGGGCCATTCCTTCCGCAGTTCTTTAACTAATAAGCTCACAGGCATTCCATGCATGTTTCCTGTGAGAGATGACGAACTCGTGTTAAGATCAATGTGTGCGTCTACCCACAAAACACACAAATCGTCTGATTTCATTTTCCTCCTGAGACCTGTAATAGATCCCACTGCGATGCTATGATCTCCGCCCAAGGCTATTGGCATTCGATTATCATTCGTGATTTCTTCAATTTTCTCTGCTAATGCTTTATTGCAGGCAGCGACATGCTCTAAGTTCCTCAAGTTGTTTATTCTCCTTCCACTCGACTTTGTCAACTCATAGTGAACGTCGCCATAATCCTTAACATCAATATTTACGGAAATATCTCTAATCTCATCAATTAAACCAGCATCTCGTAAAGCATTTGGTCCTTCATTAGTCCCAACTTTACCTGCGCCTTTATCGAACGGAACACCAATTATTCCAATACCTTTTGCTGTTGTTTCTGAATGTAAACTTCTAAGGAAAGCACTCGAGGATAACTTTGAAAAATTTTGTGATGTTTTCAACGCCCACATTATTGTCTTGTCGGAGTTGAAGACTCTACTGATCGTTGACGATAGAATATTTTGAGATTTCTTTCCAAATCGTTTTGATAACTTTGTCTCTCACAAAGGTCAAGTTTAATTCTTCCATACTGATTAGGAATGTTTTGTCATCGTCAATGTTTATTTACGTCGAAAATGAAAGAGAAGAAAAACAATGACGAACATTTAATGAGAGTTTTAAAAATATTTATTTCTTTTTATTTATCGGTAGACACACTTGAGGCCATTAAACGAACATTTATGAAGTTAATTTGATGTTCAACATTGTTTATCAATTTAATTTGAATATTTTTCATGTTTCTCTTGGAAATATTTTTCTTTTTAATAGGAATTTAGTAATTCTTTGATGTTATTGATAGTTAATTAATTTCTATAGTAACTTAATTGCTTTCTTCACTATTCAAATTAAGTTCATCTTAATTCTTGAAGGTAATTAATTTTTTTCCACTTCATCATCGGCAATAACATTATTTCAATGTTATTGATTGTGAATTGTGTTGAAAAGCTTGTTCAGTTGTTAAATTGTTTTCAAATCTACAATGTAGCTCTTTAATACTCAACCTTCGCTTGAAACTTTACCCAATTCAATCCTGAGTTTCTATTACAGAAAATCCTCAACCAAATCAATTCAAATTTTATTTTGATTTGCCATTCGCCTTGTGTTCACATTCGTATTCATCTATGAAACCTTACAAATCAAACAATAATAAAATTCTCTATTCTGAATATTTCATTTGAAATCCAATTCTTCTTTTATCATATCTCCGAGTGAGGAAAAAGAGCAAAATAAAAAAAAAGTAATCCGAGCGTTTTTTCCCTTTAAAGCTTGCAGAGAAAAAATTATGTTTGGTATAATGACATCAATATAGTCTGTGGCAAGTTCAATAACAATTTGGATTGTGACATTTTATCCTTTTTCACATGAACTAACATCCAACCAACACATTCACCACTTTAATACACTTAATGCAGCGACTAAATGGAGAGCGATGATGTGAAAATTTTTTAATAAATAACCAGACAGTAGAAAAATCAATTTTGATGTCATAACAATTTATAGTCAGCGATATTTTTTTAACACGAAAAAGAAATTAAAGAACATCTGGTGGTAATAGGGTACACTCAATTTCATCAATAAAGATACATGTTTAGATTTTTATATTGTGCAACTCGATACAATTTCATCATGCCATAATATGTGTCAGCAGTCATTAGGAATTAAATTTATTGAATGATAGCAATGCACTCGGTGCTCCCTCAATATGATATTGAAAGCGATATCAGCGGTTATTTTGGTATCTCGTTATGATGATGACGCCATTAAAGAAAAAGTCAACTGCAGATTGTGCACTCAGTAGGAAAATAGTGTTGATGGAAGGATAAAAAGAATCACTTGCACTAACATACGCTTCTCTCTCTCTCTTCCTTTTAATTAAAGTTTTCAATGCTGTTCTGCTGTGCTTTTTGACGACATGTAGTTTGTGACAAACGAGTAAGAAAATTTCACTCAAATGAAAGAAAAAAAAAGTTTTCTCCACATATCTACACATTTATTAAAATAAATTTTTCAAATCAAAGAAAAAGAAACGAATGAGATGAAAATTTAAAGTTGAAATGAATTCTGGGAGGAAAATTAAAGTTTTCGCGTAAAACTTTTTCCACATGCAATCTCTCATGTTCACATAGTTTTCCTTGACTTGATACAAATGTTCTTACCAAAGTCTTTCTTTCATTTTTGTAAAAGGTATCTCTGTGATCTTTTCATAATACAAAAATTTTAATAAATTAAGAAGCTTTACAGCTTTGCACAAAGTTTAAATAATTTCAAGATCTAAAAGTTGGTTACAAAGTCTTTTTGACTTTTAATCTTTCAATCTCCCTTTCGCTCTGACTTTTGTTTTATTTGATGAAGAATTGAAAGTTCACTTTTATCTCGAAACTTTCTCCTGTATGTGGTTACAAAAATTCTTTATAAACTTTTAAGAATTTGAAAGAAATTCAAGAAAGTTTGTTTGCTTTTTGTACATCTTATTTTTACTGAGAAGAAATTGTCTTGTTAAGAGGAAAGGATATTTTATTAGAACAAAACAACCATAGTAAAAGATAACATAAGTAGATATAACTAAATAAAGCAGAAGAAGAAAGCTTAGAAATGGAAGATTTTTCATTCATCTCTTCATCTTCCCTTTCATAGAAAGGAAGTCAATCGGGAGTTTACCAAATACAAACTTTTGTAATAATAAAAATATGCGAAAAGAGAGTAAAGTCAATCAGAAAAATTTGACGATGAAAGAATGAAATGAAAAAGTTTTGAGGCTGTGAAAGAAAATCGAACCTTTTATTTGCTATTTGATTTTAATTTCAATTCCGTTTCTTTTCATGACTTTTCAACAATGTTGCCAACAACGAGTGTCTGGATGAGGAAAAAATCATTGATTCATGAACATTTTCAATTCCATAAATGTCTTTTCTTTCTCTTTTTATTTTTTTTATCGAAATGATAACACCTACATAGCTTAGTACAGATTGAAATAATCGTTGCGTCGTCGTGACGAGGAAAAGCTTTGCTTAAAGGTAGAATCTTTGTAGACACTGACGAAGATAAGCAAAAAAGAAAACCAATAAATTGTGAAAATATTTGAAACACTTGTCTAGGTGATTTCATTCAATCACCAAATGATTAAAAAGAAGAAAAATGAGGGAACGAAGGTTGAAGTGTTGTCATGTTTTTCATTTTATTTTAACTCTCTACGATTTCCCTTTGATCTATTTTTCCGCAGTTTATACTATCGTGAAAAAAAGTGTCGTGAAAATTGAAAAACTTTGAACATTTCATCATGTCAATGATAGAAATTCCTCATAAAATACTTTTTCAATTACATTTTCACCTTTAATTACAATTCCAACCTTTCTTTTGATCTTGTGAATCATTTCACGAAGATTTTAATTACAAAAAAAGCGACAGGTGACAAATTTCCATTTCAAATTTTAATAAAGAATTTCATTATCGAATGAATAGAATCGTGATGATTTTAAATCCATTGCAAACAACATTAAGAACTATCTTGAAAAGAAAATTTTCTGAATACTTTATGCAGCATAAAAATTAAATCAATTTGTTGAAATTGAATGAGGTGACGCTTGTTTATGTCATTTGACTTTATGAAAATTCTTTTTTAATAAAATTTTCACTCTTATTTATGACATGAACTTGACAAGTTCTTTATGACTTTAATCACGTTTCTTTTGTTTTTTCGAACATGAGTACTTATCACATTTCATTCGTTTCAATACATACAATTGAGTATCTATGTACATAAAGAGTGTATTTGATAACGAGCGACATTAATTTTCTCACTCGTATTCATAACAATCAACATCATTTGTCGAATCTTTTTGTTAGAGTCGAGTCGTCGAGTGTTCAAATATGAAATTGTAAAGGGTGCAAATTTAAAAGTAGCTTGTGAATAATACAAAAAAGATTTCATCACTAAAAGTTAGAACACAATACACAAAAATAAGTAAAATTTAAGCATGAAGAATTCCTGATGTTGTAAAATTCTATTTTTATTGTTGTATCCAGATATCTTCAACAAGCATATTTCTATGGAAATATTCAAACATTTCTTCTTTTAGAAATGACGTCAGGTAATATTTGAAAACAATTTTATTAAATTTACATTCATTTGTTGGGATGAAATGAAAATTTTTGATGAATTGTTTCAAATTATCTGAATCAGAAGTTAATAAACTTAGAAGTTTTCAACTTTTGTCGAGTTTAAAAGTTTTAGAAAGATATCAAGTTCTTGACAGTTTCCTGAAGTTATTTCACATGCACGTATGTATTTAATTAGATTTCTATCTGTTTATATCATGTCTTATTTTTATTTAACGTTTTTAATCCTAATACGGAAAACTTTTCTGACATGAACCACATCAACAGAATCTGATCCAAGATATAAATATGGAGCGTGAAATATTTTTCATCTTGTGCGCATTATGAATTATGCAAGTTTTCTCCTTCTTTCTTTTTCCAGAGATTGGAAGCAGCAGCAGTTCTTGATACATTTTGAGCTTGCAATCTTCTTTAATTAACAGCACGTGTCTTGCTTACAGACGGATCAAATAGCTTAAAGTTTGCAATATAATCATTCATTTGTAATTCCAATCTCTGGGTTCACCTTATGTTTTCATGTTATGAAAGAACACAACCTCGAATAAAAGCGGAAAAGGATTCTCGGTTCAGTTTTATTTTCGTATGTTGATGATAACAAAATTCAAATTGTAGTGAAAAGATAAAATTTTAAAATATTCACAGATTTCTTTATTGTTTTCCACAGCTTTTTCTTATTTAATTTCATAAATTCCAAAGTGAAACCTCAATCGCAGTTGATTGCAACAGAATGTAAATAATTTCGAATGCTCTTCCACGAAGATTGAAAAATTGATTGGAGTGGTTTCGCTAGAGAATGAATAAACGAACGAACGAACGATTGAACGTTTCTATCGAACAGACAAGAATAGTAATAATAATATTTAAAATCAAATATAAAGCTCCATTATATGCAGTTTTACTCTGATTGAATGACTTGATAGAGTTTGACAATTGCCATTCGATTGATCCGAAAACCTTTTCTCATGTGAAAAGTTGGCTTTGTGTTGCTTTGTTATTAGATGGCTTTTATCGTATACCTTTCTATGACATTTCTATAGGACTAACAGAGGTATATGAACTAAATCAAAATGTCAAAACATTCGATCAAAATGCAATTTTCGTAACCCAGAAAGGATAAAACTTTTCATCTCACATTTTTATTTATTTAAAATCGAATTTTCATACAAAGCTGGATAAAGGATTTTCCTAACCGAAAGCATGCCCAGCTTTTATTACAAGTAATTATTTAAGCATCCATTTATCTTAGAGCTTTCATTTAATATTTATATGTTGAAATATGATCAGATAAGTCTCATTGAAGCTTGGAAACAAGCTTAAAAACTTTAAATTAATGAATAAATGAAAATATGGACGAATAATAACACTGGATACGTTGAATCTCCTTCTTGGTATAATTTAAAGTTTAAATGAACGATATTTGATATCATCTACATGTCTGTAGCTCCCACAATATGATCATTTTATTGACATAAACCCGAATTATTAAACTTTCACTGCTTCACTATTTTCAGGTCAATATCTATAAAAAGCATTTGATGTGATTTTAATTTAAATTAAAAGTATAAACGCCTCGATAAATATTGATTGAATATTTGATAATGAATGTTACCTCTAAGAGCTTAAATCATGACAAGATTACCGCGGTACTTGAGACATTCCACTCACTTCAATGACATTTCATTTTTCAATTCAAAAGATTTGAAATCACGTTTTTAAGCAGACGAACAAAAACATTTGATATGTGAGGGAATTTTCCAGCCTATTTAAGAGGTTGATTATATTAGGAACTCTGCAGTGGTCTGAAAACTCAGACAGTTTTTATCGCACCAGAAATAATTACATACTTTCGTAAATTGTTCTTAGTGATAGCAGAAATTGTTGATAATATTAAATAAAAATCCACTTAGACGTTTTATAAGCAGTAGTCGGAAGTTGATAAAATGATAAAAAAGTTGATATGGAGGCGTGCGTCGTCACTTTTTTTATATTTCAGTCAAATATAAACATTTTTCAACATTGTTAATGAACTCTGAATTACGAGTTGGAAAAGGTTAAGAATGAAGTAATTCAAATTGAAATTTTGCTTTTATCAAGGAAGGGAATTGTAAAGTTACTAATCTGCTTTGATTAGATATCTTATGCATTTAGTAAAAACAAATTTATAAAAAGATTTATAAACTGGTCACATAAATAAATTATGAATTTCACCATAACATTTTTCAATGAAAATTCCAGTTTATTGATTGACAGCTGTGATTAAATATCGCACGTGCATTTCAAAGGAAAACACTTAAATGTTGTAAAATCAGCAAGAATTAATTGTTTATCCAATACATTATTAAACTTTCATAATTATATAATCAACTAAAGTGATTTTATCATAAAAATTTCTTTCTGTGAGTTCTTAATGACGAAAGTCATTCATTTTTCTCTAATGTCAAAAGACTTTAAGATTTTAAGCGCGCATAACGATAAAGACTTATGAGTAATTACTTAAAAAATGAACGTCGCTTCTGAGTTTAATCTTATCGTAAATAAAAACATATAAAAGAAGATACGAATCGCTCACAATCTTCAGTCTTTGTTTCACAACTGTATGAAGCAGTAATAATTACACGAATTGTTTAAACTTCAATATTGACAATTTATTTCTAAGGTTTTCCTTGAAATTCAAGTGAAAACTTCATTAAGTTGTTTTTTTCAAAACAATTCAAGCTATAAAAGGTCTGAATGGAAGGCATTTATAACCAAGCGTTTTCTTCAGAAGAAAACGGTCAAGAAGTCAATAACAACAATTTCAATCAAGATGTTGAAAAAGACGTAACAAAGCCCTCTTATCAAGAGCGTGAAAAATGGGGCAAAGACATTGAATTTCTCTTCTCATGCATCGCTTTAAGCGTGGGATTGGGAAATATTTGGAGATTTCCTTTTGTTGCCTTGGCAAATGGGGGTGGCGCTTTTGTAATACCGTACATCATAGTTTTGGTGTTGGTTGGTCGACCAGTCTACTTCCTCGAAATGATGTTGGGGCAATTTTCAAACAAGAACAGTGTAACCGTTTATAATTGTGTGCCAGCATTTCGAGGTGTTGGAGTAGGACAAGTTTTTGCTACAAGTGTTGTTCTCACTTATTACTCGTCCATTATGGCAATAACATTGAGATATTTATTCGATTCATTTCGAAGCGAATTACCTTGGAGCGTTTGCAGACCTGAATGGGAGAATTGTATCCCAGCGAACATTGAAATATCTGAGAATACAACTTGGTCAAGTGATGCGAGATCATCAGCTGAATTATATTTTTTGAAAGTTGTTATACAAGCAAGGGACAACATATTGGATGGAATTGGTTGGCCAGTGTGGAATTTAGTCGGATTTCTTGCACTTTCATGGTTTGTGGTGTTCTTAGTGCTTATAAAAGGAGTTAAAAGTGCGGGGAAAGCTTCTTACGTCCTAGCAATCTTCCCATATACGATTTTATTGATTCTTCTTATTAGAAGCTTAACACTTCCAGGCGCTTTCAAGGGAATTGAATATTTCTTTACACCACAATGGGAAAAGATTATTCAACCATCCGTTTGGTATGCAGCAGTTACTCAAGTTTTCTTCTCTTTAAATATCTTCTTCGGTAGCATTGTGATGTATGCGAGTTACAATCGATTTGATAACAAGCTTTATAGAGATGTGAATATTGTAACGTCATTAGACACTTTTACATCACTTTTAGCTGGTTGCACAATTTTTGGGATTATCGGTCATCTCGCACATGAGCTGGGAGTTGAAGATGTATCAACGGTTATTGCACCAGGACCTGGACTAGCTTTCATTTCTTACCCACTTGCTATTTCGAGATTCACCTTATTTCCAAATGGATTTTCTGCAATATTTTTCATCATGCTTTATGTCCTTGGAGTTGGCACAAGTGTAGCTATGACTTCCGTTATTACAACTATTATTAAAGATCATTGCCCGAAAATAAAAATTTGGCAAGCTGTTCTTATTGTTGCTGTGGTTGGAACAATAGTTGGATCAGTTTATTTGACACCGGTAATAAAATATTTTTTCTGAATTTCTCTTTTCATGTATAGAAATGAAAACAATTGTTGACGATTCACATTTTTTTTTAGGGCGGCCAGTCTGTTCTTGAATTGGTCGATTTTTATGGATCAACTCTCATAGCCTTCATTCTAGCAAACGCACAACTTGTTGGCTTTTGTTATATTTATGGCGTGAATCGATTGCTAAATGACGTCAATTTTATGCTTGGATATTATCCGAACTTTTTCTGGAAGATATGTTGGCGATTTATCACACCAATCTTGATGACAGCAATCGCGATTTATTTCTTCATTTTCTTCGAGATTCCAACAGATGGCAACTACGAGTTTCCAGCTGTGGCACATGCAATTGGATGGTGTTTGACTGCAATTGGCCTAATTCCATTTCCAATATTTGCTTTTTACAGAATTTATTTCAGAAAAGAGAACACCTGGTGGGAAGTAAGACTTAAATATATTCAGATTATTCATTTAATTTCACAGCATAAATTTGTTTCAGAAAATTAAATCTGCATTTAGGCCAACTGAGTCTTGGGGGCCGCGAGATCCTGTTCTGTTGAAGAAATACAAGGAATCGCTTTAGCAGAAGTTCTGAATAACTTTCTTAATTTGCATAATTTCCTGTTTATTTAAAATCTTAAGCACGATGCTACACGAATTTGTAGTATTTTGTATTGTGATATGTTTACCTTTAAACAAAAACATTAAAGATTTAAAATGTTTACTTAAACGCTGAGTCATCACTTCAAATTAAATTAATCATTGATACAGCATGCTTGATTCCTTCCCCGAATAATCAAGCATTGTCAAATATTCCAAAATGTTGATGAATTCTCTGTTTGAACAATAAACTACCACTAAAATGTTTGATGTGTAATCATGACTTGATAAATGAGGCTTATCGTTTGATACACTCGTCTGTGATTGATATTAAACGTGATTGATTTAAAAATAATTAAGAGCACTTATTAAATGGAATAAACAATATGCTGAGTAAGTGAGGAAAGTTTCCCCACAAGGAAAGTCGCAATAAATGTTTATGCTTTGTTTTATGTATCTCTTGTTTGCGATTATTTATTACATAAATACCAAAAACATCAAAAATATTTCTTTCATCTTTCTTTCTCCATATTTGTTTTTTAATTGAACTTTCTTTCTAGAGACATGAAAATAAAATGCACAGCATCGAAAAAATAAAAACTTATCTCATTAAATGTTTGAGTAATTTAATTTAATGCTCTTAAAGCTTGACTATGTAGGATTTCGTTTATGTTATAGTGCAAAGGGTTTCCCTTTACGCTTTTCCACTTCTTGAGGAAAAGGAATTAAGTGATTATGTGTCAAAAGCCACAACATATGCTTCTTAATCCATAACGATTTGTCTTAATTTTATTTATATAAATTAATAGCTCACCTCGAAATTAAAACCTTTCTGATTTTTTTCTTGTCTGGTTTCCTTACTAAGGAACTAACAAGGCAAGATATAAGAGAAAATTCATGATAACTTCAGAAGCTCTGAAAACTTTAGCATTCTTAAGTAAAGCATTGAGAAAGAAAAATAACAAAATTTCATGCAAAAATTGAATAAACAGAAATAATAAAAGAAAACTTCTCCATCGTTATCTTGCAAGTTTTAAATAAAGGAATAACAACATTAAAAAGGAGGTTTAAGATGACAAATCTTGATAATGTAGATCCTGAAAAATTGTTGAAGTTAAACTTTTAACATTGTTAGAATCTTAGTTCACCGATCTTCAACAAAATTACTTTGAAATAATTTTCCTTATCATTTTCTCCCTGGTCATCCTTAAAATTATGCAATGAAAAATAACATCTGTAAAGAAAGTAAACAAAAAAAGTACAAAACTTTTTAGTTTTATCAAAATACCACGCGGGTAAGAGACTAAGAGGGATAAAAGGAAGCATTACAGTTAAAGACTTCTCGTGAGAAAATGAAAATGTTTGAAGCGAAAACAATTTTCCATGGGTTGGGGTACAATGAAAAATAATGATTTTTGCGGTTAAAAAGTGTAGCGTGAAAAAGAAAAACTTTTCTAGATACACTTTTATAAATAAAGTTCTTCCTGGATTATAAACAACAACTGAAACTTTGTTGTTGGAGAAAAGTTCGGATTTAAGGGATAAAATGTATCTGTTTATGTGAAAAAATGTTACTTAACGATCAAATTAAAACTATTTTGTGTTGTATTCTGAACAAAATACAAAAAATAACTACCTAAATCCGATAATAAATTTCTTGAGACCAGAGAAATTTCAATTGGCTATGTATAAAATCTGTAGATGCTGGTTTTTATATGGAACTATCAAATCAAAAGTATCTGGTTTATTTAAACAATTTATTTAAAATTTCTCATTTTATCTACCTGCATTGCTTTAAATTTTTCTTGAAAATTTTCCTATTTTATTATGTATAAGAAATTTGATGAATATATTTGAGTAATTAATTTGTAAATGATAATTAAGATAATTATGTAAAATAAAGGGACATATTATTTTTCTATAAAAGATAATTAAGATAAATGAAGAAAATGAAGTGTGTACCTGGAAATATGTTCACATTAAATATTTCGTTAACGTCGAACGTAACGTAAACTTTTTCATAAATTTGACGCACGCGCATCTGAACGGCTACGTAAAGAATATTTCATTGTTTACAAATCGGAATTTTTTAAAATTCGTAGCTTTAATTATAAATAAAGAGTTTTAAAATAATTAAAAAGTTACATAAGTCGTACAACAATGCTTGCAACTCAATCAACAGCAGGTGCAATTCCAGTTCGTAATGAAAAAGGTAAAAATTTAATATTTTCAAAACGTTTAGATAAATTTCTAAAAACTAATTTTTCTCTAATTATAGGCGAAGTGTCAATGCAAAAAGTTAAAGTACAGCGATATATATCTGGAAAACGTCCTGAATATGCTTTAAAAGATACATCCGATGAAAGTTCTAATGATGAAGATTATTTTGAAAATCGTAAATCGATTGTCATCAACAAAGTCAGAGAAATCGGCGGCGAGGAAGATGAAAAAAGAAGTGCTGAAGAATCAGAAGAGGAACTCGACGATCCCAGATTGAGACGTTTAAGAGCCACGAAGCAAGATGATATTGAAGATCGTTTGGAACGTCACCGTCGCCATGTTCAAAAACCAGAACGTATCGAATCATCAAGTTCCAGTTCAGAATCATCTGAAGATGAAGAACGTCCACCACTCCAGCGTGATATTCTTGAAAGTGAACACCAAAGAACAAGACGAATTTCCATCTGCTCTGAAAGTGAATCCGATTCCGATATCAGCGACAGTGAGATTGAACGACGGCGTCAAACGTTAAAAGAAAAAATGTTGCAACAAAAACGTGAGGAGGAAGTGCTTCAGAAAGAAGAGGAGCGCAAATCAGATTCCTCAGACGACTCATCGGAATATGAAGAAGATGAAAGTGATGAAGAAGACCACGAGCCAAGAATCAAGCCTCAGTTTGTTAGAAGACGTGATCGCACGACAATAATTGAAAAAGAGAATGATTTAATTAAGCAAAAGCAAATGGAACAAGAAGCGAAGAAATTGGCTAAAGAGCGTCGTCGTTACACTTTGAAACTCGTCGAAGACAGTATAAAGAAAGACATGGAGTCACAGAAAGCTGAAAAGGATCCGCACATTAACGATGTACAAACCGACGACGAAAACGACGAGCTTGAATATGAATCCTGGAAATTACGTGAATTGAAGAGAATTAAACGTGAACGTGATGAAAGAGACATTCTCGATAAAGAAAAGAATGAAATTGAAAGATTGAGGAATTTGACAGAAGAGGAACGACGAAAAGAGCTTCAAATGAATCCGAAGCTCGTTACAAACAAAGGCGTCAAAGGAAAATACAAATTTCTTCAGAAATATTATCATCGTGGTGCTTTCTATCTCGACAAGGAAGAAACAGTTTTCAAGCAAGATTTCTCAGCTCCAACATTAGAAGATCATTTCGACAAGACAATTCTCCCAAAGGTGATGCAAGTGAAGAACTTTGGACGTTGTGGACGAACCAAGTATACACATTTAGTCGACCAAGATACGACAAAGTTCGATTCGCCGTGGGTTTCAGAGACTGCAGGCAACATAAAGTTTGTTCAAGAGCGAGCTGGTGGAATGAAGCAAGTTTTCGATCGTCCATCGTACAATAAACGGAAAAAGGAATAAAAATTCACTTTAAGTAGTTTTATTAAACTATTTCTTACGTCTTTTTTTCCATCAAGATAAGTTTTTGTACTTGAAAATTTATTCACGAAGAAAATTAATTTTTAATAATAAAAAAAATTAATAAATTTAAAGTTTGTTTTACCTACTTGAAGAATTCTTCTGAAATTAAATTAAGAGAGACTTGATAAGGTTTTGCCATGACGACATTAGAAAATGTGAAATTTTAAGCTAATATTGATTTTTCTATGTCTCCCTTTATCTAATTACTTTTAAAGGATTTAACAAATTGTTATTCATCTCAATGAATTGATTAAACATTCTGAAATTCATCAAAATCTGCCCTGAAATTAAATTTAAGAAACATAAAATGATCCTTAAATTTACATTTCCTGACTTTATCACATAAAAGAATAAATAAACAAATTCAATCAGAAGAATTTTATTTTTAATAAAATTTCGTCAACTTTTGTAAAGCTGCTTGCGGCATGATCTAAAGTAAGTTTGTTGTTAGGACAAAAGGCGGAATAAAATATTGTAGAGATAAATAAAACAAAGAAAGAGACGAGCGATGAGCTTGCTGTTGCCTTTAGGATCTAAAATTCTCCTGTAATGAAACACGAACTTTTTAAAATTATTTCTGAAACCAAAAACCAAGTTAAAGTATGAAAAAAAAGTTCCATAAACAATTTATTCATGAGCATTAACGCCGTTTATGGAGAGATTACCGGAAACATTTGTGGTTTACCCTACGAAAGCCTCCATTGTTGTAACAAATATTTCAGCTAATCTCTGTGAAGATACTTCTGGTCGCTGTTTGTGCTTAAATGAAACCACATTATTTAGGATTTGATCTTAAAGCACTTATCTACATCATTTCCCGGATTAACTTCGTTTCATATTTTAATAATTCTTTTGTGTTGGATAGAATGGAAATATTTAAAGTATCAACGCTGTCGACACCGATTAACATAAAGCGTTTTACAAGATAATTCCTACTCTATCATTCTTTAAAAAGATAACACAAGAGGTTGTCGAGAAGCAAACCCTTTACAAGAATAGAAAAAGAAACATTTTAACGTATAGAACGGAAGTGAAAGGTCAGTGAAGTTGAAATGTTAAATACCTTCACGGATCCTAAGTACTTGATAAAGGCATTTTTCATTCCATTCATTCATGCAAATAAAGAGAAGCTTTCAGTTGTAGCAATTCAACATTTTAATAAGAATTAAGAATCATTTTAGGTATTTATATGAATAAATCATACGTTAAAGGAAGCATAAGAAACATAATCGATCATTGAAGCATTCAAATATAATTTCACAAAAGATATCAATAGAATCAAGTATTATTGGACATTGTGAGTCAATTGAATTGAAAATTGTTGGAGCCAAACATTTCTGATCTTCTGTTTCTCATCTTGTCTCGACATGAAATGTATGCAACTAATATATGTTCAGATATATGTTTTAGATATCAGATGCAAGTGTCATCTGTTCATTTAAAATATTTTTCCAAAAATAAAACAACGCTATCGCTTTTGCTGTAAATTATTTTTTAATCGACAGCTCGACTTTACATGACATCTGTTAAAAGTCTCGTTTGATGTTTTACGACATTTTATTTTCCATTCCCGAGTTTTATATTTCGAGAATATTGTTGAATATTTGGAGCATTTGAAAATTTTGCAGCAAAGCTGATAGCAATGAAATGAAACAAAGAGTGAAAGCGACAAGTTTCCGATAGATATGAATTTGAAAAAGAAATGTTAAAATCTCGTCCCATTGTAGAGATTGCGCTATGAAAAATCATCTTTTTTAATATCATTCACAATTGTTGTCCGTTGTGGAAATTATTGCCACATGATGACTTTCGAAAATTGAAAAACTTTCGTCAAACATCGGAGTCACTTTTCGTGAGTAGTAAAGTTCAAATCATGAATTTTATGGATTAGTTTGTGTTGGGAATTCTATCATAAATCTTATTTTAAGTACGAAGTTGTAAACCAATTGGGATTATGCTGATGGCTTTCGCTCAACTTTCGACGCATTGTGTCGAGCGTATGATGAAAGTTTTTTCATTTATTCGAAACTTGAGTGAAATTCAATAAAAGTTAACATAAATAGAACAATAGAATTCAATTTGTCAAAATAAGGTTTATGAATAACTCACAAATACTTTCAATTTAATTACATTCTTACCTCTAAACAATCTGCTCTCCTTTATTAAAACTTCGATAAAATTCTTGCCATGATATCAAAATGTCACGATTAATTCGCTTCAAACTCGTCTCTCATCTTTTTGTCTGAAAACTTCTAAGCAAACCCTTTTTTGAACTATCAAAAAGTAATTTCATAAATTACCGAGTCATTCGCAAGACTAATGATGAATATTGATTTATTAGTTTTGGTTTTAGGTTTCAATCTTGGCACAATATTGTGCTTGTGCTTGACTGCAAATAACTTTTGACATGAAACGAATATCGGGACGTGAACAATTACAGCGACGAAGACGAGACAATGTAAAGCATCTTGAAAATTTAAGGAAAAAAATGTTTAGAAAAGTTGAAAGCTAGACGAGAAGATCAGAAGGGCGGAAAATCTTTCACCGTCATTAAATTTTAATTAATGAAACTTAAAATGTGTTCCAGCTTTTCATTGTTCCTAAAGCAAGCTCAAGCTGATGTAAAGTTTTTCTTACAAACAATAATTTCAATTAATTTTGACGCTTTAGAGAGCAAACTGTAGATTTCATGAGAATAGTTGAAGAAGAAGTTTTTACTTATTCGCGTTATAAAAAAACTTAAAATCATTGCTTTGGCTTCAACTTAAAATTCATTGCTTACAAAAAACCATACAAAACCGAAAACTTTTTATTCCAAATTTTCCCAACTCTCGTGAATGAAAAATTAAAGAAATAAAAAATGAAAAAGTTTTTATTTTTAATTTTTGACAGCATTGAAAAGTTTTTAAGCAAAAGTAAATTTTCAATGTTCTGAGGTACTGAATAATTTTTTGAAAAAAAGAAAAAGAAAAAGTTTTCAAATTTTGCTCCCGTCTAAGACAGAGACTGACGATGAAGGAACAGGAAGGATGGAAAAGAAGTGAGAAAATCTTCCATTGAATTTAAAAAGTAAAAAAAAGAATTCGCCTTCTTATAAGTTTAATTTCTTGCAGAAGTTTAAAAAGTTTAGGCATGGAAACAACCTTCGAAAAGAAAATTAACTCATTCCTTTAATGGACTCGAACATTTTCTCTCAAAAAAAAATCCATAAAGATTTAAATAAGTGCCTGTCATTAAAATATGAATTTTTACAACTTGCAAATGCTTTGTTGAAATACATTCAACTTTTTTCATTGTTCCATTCAAATTCTTTATGTTCTCGAATATATCCCAACAGGGAGCAAGTGAAATCTTTAAATTACTGTCCCCTTCGATTTATGACTTATTCTAAAGTGGAACAGATTGAAGTTATGATGATTCTTTGTGTTTATGGCGAAGGCTCATTGTTAATGTGTGAAGATGAGAAACCAACCAAATATCAAGTTGTGTTTCCATTATTTACTCTTTCATGATTATAAGGCAGAGAGGTTTGAAAGCTTCAGTCACCAAAACCAAACCATAAATCATGAAATCAACTAAAGGCGTGAATCAAAGCCACAAAATATAAAGCGAATTATTGACAGAAATCAAAAGAAGCCACATTAATAATATTGATTTTGTGAATTTGACTTGTAAACGTCGCACTTTCAGTTTCCTATCCAAAAGCAAATTAAAATCTAACGAAAATTACATAATTCAATGAAAATTTATGTCTGCATGTTTCACACATTACATAAAACAACACCACGACTTTGGAAAGTTTGAAAAATGTTCGTGGAAACTTTGCACATGAATTATAATGAATAGAATTTCAAAAACTTTCCTGAAATACATTTTTTAATTTTTTTGAGAAATTATCTATGCACATGCATTTAATGACTTTCTCATTGTAAAACTTTGTCTCTAACAATTCATTCAGGTTAATTTTCCTCTTTTTCATTTTTCCTGAATTCTCACAAAAGAAGCAGCAAATTCATGTAAATATCTGCACGACTTGTCAGATTTTCTCTGCACATAATCGACCTCTAGTTGAATTCAAAGCCGCTTCCCTTGCATCATGCAATAAACAATGAAAATGTTTCTGGTTTGTGAGGGTTTGTAAATCGTGTGAAACTTCTTTATAAGTAAGCTTATGACTGACCGTAAAAAGGAAAGCGAACAGAAAGTTATATCACTGTAGAAAGCAATCAAGCCAACAAAAGCTATTAAAAGTGCATTCTTCATGTTTAGCGAAAGATTGTTGAACTTTTCCACCATTTAAACGATAAATAAATTGAATGATGCTGAGAAGAAAATATCTCAGATATTTAATGAACGATGATGGCGTTCCTCGAAGCATCAATGCATGATTCAGCATTTATGATGAAATTTCAATCACGTCTCGAAGGCAAACCATACATGAAATTAAAGATATTCACAATCATTACTGGAAAAAAGGTTTTGTGAAGTGTTAAAGCTTTCGAAATATTTATGCATTCTCGTTTCTCTTCATCCATTCATTGAACAACGTTCACCTCTTTAAGCTTATCTAATGATAATGTGTGGAATCGAATGAAAAATCCTTGGCAATTCATTTCGAGGCCAAGGTGAGAAGAAATAAATTTTATTCCATGTGGGAAGCAAATTGTGTTTTGGGTTGTTAATTTGCGTTAAATCAGGCACATCGGTAACGTGTCGTTGGCAGTAAATGCTTCAATTTATGTGCTTTTAATTTGTACTTTTCACGCTGTATCGAACATAACAAAGAACAATTCACTGATTAATTCTAGTTAATTAGTTTTATTCGATATTCCTCACTCGTTGTTGCTTCAACTGTTAAAATGAAAACTTAATGTATGATTTTTCTCCATTAATGAATTTTCCACGTTATGAATTGTAATTATTTCCAACCCCTCATGGCCATTTTTATCCACTTCAACTTGAAGGGATGATAAAAAAAAAGGAAAAAAGTTATCACATGTAATTAATTGAATTTATGAACACCATCCCGATTTTATATCTCGATTTAACGTTGAGCATGCAACAAAGTAAGCCTAGAGAATCATTTCGATCGGGAATTTAGCTTGCAAAATTTTAAAATTTACATTTATCGAATATAAAGTTATCGCATCCATAAAACTTCATTCCAAAAGTCTTTAATTAATGAAATCTTAATTTTCTATCTTCTTATCTTCTTTTCAATGTTTAGATTAGTTAATTGATTGACGGTTTGTTAAAATCTTCCAATAAAATAACGAAATTAAAACATTTCCCACCAAATTGTGCTTCACTGACCTCGTTTCATTTTAAAACATTGTTGAATGAAGAAGAAAATTATTTTATAATTATTCATCACGATTCTACATTTTAATTATGCACAATATGAACAACATAAATACAGATGAATAAATTCTTTCTCACTTCACTATTTTTTATCCTATTAAAATCCCATTGAAGCTTCGTTTTCAATTGAAATCTTTTATTTTGATGTTAAATTAAGCGCGCATGTTTTTTTTCTTTGCTAACTTTATCCTATTTGGCTTCAATCAATTAACGATAACAAAAGACCTTCCCAAAGGCTGTCTCGTTACTGAGAATATGCCTATTTACTCTTGAAAGGAAGATACGATGATATCAAGTTGAGTGTTTATGACATTTTCAATGAATTCGATATGACTTGACATAACAATTTTATGTTCAAAAATATACACGTGACAAGTATAGCATTGATGTTCCAATCAGTTTTTTATATAAAAAGGAGAATTTGGGGCGCAAGGAGGAAGATTTTGTAAACGTATTCATTATTTTGTGAATGTGAGCTTTATCAAAAGATGCCGAATATGGTTTTTTTATCTGTTAGCAAAGCACTGAGCATGTTTTATAATCGTCATGACGTCAAGCAAATGTGATTTTGAGTGACGGTTTGTGCTGTGGATCGCTTGTGAATGCTCGACAGTTTGGTAATTTGAGTATGAGTGATTTTAAATGAGGGTTGAATTGGAATATATTTTTGTTTACATCAATTGAAAGTTGATACATATTTGTAATGTTTGCTCTTGTTTTGTTATTTCACTTATAATTTAAAGAACATGACAAATTCAACTTTCAAACATAATTTATTTTAATGACACACTTAAGTTTATTATATCAAGATTCATTAACCATGACTTAGGTCAATTCAAATTAAGTTTTGAATACTTGTATCAGTCATAAAAAAATGTAACAACAACATTTAAGATTGAAATATTTAATTATTCTTTGTTAGATATCTTTAAAATTTTCTTCAAGTTTTCGTGTCATTAACGTTTCGTATTTTAAAAATATTTTCTTTTGTTCTTACGAAATCACAAACACAAACGCCACGAAAATTTTCTAATGAGATTTTAATGAATGGTGGAATGTTAAGAAACAAAAAAGAAAGAAAGAAATGTAAATGACGTTGCTAAATTTTTCCATTTTCCCCGCCTTTGAATTTTCATTTCTGAGAAAATTTAAGTAATTTCATGCTGAAGAAATTTTGATTAGGAAAACTTATTCTATAAAATATTTTACAGTTCATTTCATCACCGTTGGAGAACATAAACCAAAACATTTTCACTTTAATTGTGTGAGTCATAAAAGAGTAATTATACAATTAGTACGCAGAAGTTAAAGCTGTTTTCGAATGTTTTTTGGTTTTCCTAAGAATATGTTTGTCGTTTCCAACAGTTTACATAAAATTTAAGATAAAATTAATTAGTCACTTGGTTGTTTGAATTTTGTAATAAGGGAAAGAAGTGTGAGAATAAGACTCAAAGTAAGAAAACTCTATTAAATTACAAACTGTCAGTGAAAATTCTTTAAATGTAACGTGCCATCAAACAATTGTTTTATGGTAACAGCAGATGCGACTATGGAGCTTTTATGAATACCACAATATATCATGCAAACATCCTTTGCTTAAACATTTCATAAATCAATGAAACAGACAATTTTTCCTTTCATAAAACATAAAATTTAACATAATTTTCTTTACTTTTCGATTTCCAATTCAAATATTTGAATGATGTGAGTAACTATTGGAGCTTTTATAATATCAGATGAGTTTTATTGATTTCGGAGTTGCTTTTGTCAGTACAAGTTGTACAGATTTTAAATACTTGTTGAGTATTAATGTACATGAATTGTAACAAAGTGCTTGAAAGCCTTCAACAAATGAAGAGTTTTTTCTTCGCACTTTCAAATATTGAAAAACATATGAAAATGTTAAGCATACGAGTTTCTCCTTCACGCGTCGTGGAACAGTCAACAGTTTATGATATAATAAAATGTATTCATGAATTTTAAATTAAATATAAACAACGGATGTATTCAGCAACGCGGAAAAAATTCCTGATACGATACAATGTTTGTTATGGGCTTCTTGTCTCTAAACTTCAAGCAGATTTCTTTACAATTCTTCAGTTTGAGAGTTAATAACATTTTCTTTTATCAATTGCGTATGTTTCAAATCAAATCCCTCTGTTATCAAGCACGACAGTATTTGAAGTTTTATCCCTTCGCTACACAAACATCGAATATTTATGTAAAAGAAAAGTTGATAAAACACACAAATTAACTTGACAGTAATTGACGTTCAATGTTAATTCAATAGCTTAAATTCCAATGAAATTTTTTAAATGTAAAATATCATTAAAATATTGCTTTAATCTCTTGAAAAATATTCCGTTCTGAGAACAATTTAAATATTTGCCATCATTCCACTGTTCACCTATTTAAAATTTTACTTTAATTATCTGCTGTAGCGAAAATCATAAATAACCGTTAATGTGATAATTTTATCTGATTATCTGAATATGAAACATAAATTTAACAGAAAATTATTTGTGCAATAAAAACAAATTGATTTAAATATTTTATAAACAATATCGTGGTATTGCGGGGAAATTTAAACGGGATTTTCTTAATCCTTTAAATTCTCAAAGAGACTCAAATAAATCAAAATATAAGGAGACAATGTTTTATATTTAATATATTAATTGATACTCAGATACATAAAACAAAACTTATTCGTTTATGTAATTTCCCTTCAAAGTTTGGCTTCCTTTAAGCACATAATATGAAATATTTCACTCTTACCCAAACCAAGCTTAGCATATCATTTTTGAAATTCAATTTTCAATAAATTTGCTTGATTTATTTGATTTCTTTTATATTTTTTTATTACTTTGTTCGATAGGCCTCTGTTTTCTTTAGATTTTATTTTAGCATTATATTTATTCTCACATATATTGCCATTTATGACGACATTCATACTTCTTCTTTTCTGCGAATATATGTATGGCTTGTACTCTTACGGAACATGTGAAGAAATTTGTTAAGATTCTTAGCGTCTATATTGTTCCATAAGAAGTCAGACTCAGAGAGTTAATTGAAAAATTCTCGGCTGTTGAGCATATTCAAATCACTTGACTCTCCTGTGTCACTAATCTAAAATATTTAATGTGATTTCTAGTATAAATAGAAGATCGCACTGAACGTGAAATGTCAGTTTGATTTTTGTTTAGTGTTGCGAAAGACAAAATCTGATCGTTTTGAAGTCCAAATTGGATTTAATAACAAGTGAAGTTTAATAGTGATCACGTTTGTTCGATAAGAGTGCCTAATAAAAAAGATAGAAAAATGTTTTCATGTACGTAATGAATTTATAGATTAATAAACATTTTTTTTAAGAGGGATAAAAAGTGTCATTGATGCTGAAAGTAATTCGATTCATACAAAAACTTTAAGCTTATTAGAAAATTAAATATTTGTGTTAAATTAATAAATAATGCTAATTATATAAATACACGATGACTTACTTAAACTTCTCAAAACCGATATAAATATTTAAATTCCTCAATGATTGATTTTTCAGTCAAATTTCTTTCATATTTATTATGCAATCGATTATTAAAGGCAAAATAATCATAATTTTGATAATTTCAAGTTATGAAATGTTCTTCTTGTGATGAACTTTATTTTTAAGAGGTCTTCATGTACTCTTATCACCTCAGTGTTATGCAAGCATCAGAGTTTTCTGAAAAAGTGTATTGATAACAACAAAAAATACCTAATAATGTCGGGAGTTTATTCTTGTGACTTAAATTCGAATGAATGTTGTTTTCGATTTCTTTAAATTATTATTTGGGATTTTCGGACCACCTAATCTGTTATGTACTGTTTTAATTCATTCAAATGGTCAAACAAACAAAGTGAATAATAATGAATTTAACCAGTTATATACGCCGAGTCAGAATGGAAATTGGTGACAACAAACTGTTTCTCTCTTGTCAACTTGAAAGAGGTCGTAGATGCATGAGCAATATTTATAGTATTATTTTCAAGTTCGTTCTAATCGAAAAGCTTTAGCCTCGAAAGCTTATTTTACAGTAAAATAGCTAAGCTTTCAGCTTGAAAACAAACTTACTCACACATATGCATTTTCTTGTTCCTCTCTCAAATTCTCTCTCAATATCTACCAAAGTAGATATAAACATTCGGAAAGATTGTTTTGCTTACGCTGAGCAGACGAATTTCTTCCTTCGACGATTCACAAGTTTATTTATATGTCCAACTTTCTATTTAATATCATTCCAAAGAAGATAACAATTGATAAAAACCGAGGTATGTAAAAAACATACGAGATTAAAAAAATCAATAAGTAAATAAAGTGTTTCCGACACGATGTCAATATTATCGTACATTTTCCACAAATATTTAAAATATTCTGATTTCATCGGGGCTTATTCCAATGACTCATGAATATTTACGCATACACTTTTAAGATTTGTAAATAAATGAATAGACATAGCGATAAACACATTCAGAGAATTCCGCTGTTATTCACATTTCACATTCTTGCGTATGTTTATTCTCCAGTATTCACATCAGTTTGTGTTCTATCTTTAACGCTATCGAACGTTATAATGGCAGCAACAGCAAGTGACGATCTTCAATTCACCAAAGCTTCTAATAGTTTTGCTACTGATCTTTATCAGGTATCATCAACTTTTCTCTTCATTCTTTAGGAAATTTATTAAAATTTTATTCCATTAAGAAAACTATCGAAGGCAAGAATGGAAATGTTATCATTTCTCCATTGTCGATTCAATCGGCTTTGACTTTGGCTATGTTTGGAGCTACTGGAAGTACACGACAGGAAATGTTAACAAGCTTAAAGTATCCAGCTGACTACACCAACCAAGCGATTTCGCAAAACTTCGAAACGTTCACTGAAAAAGTAAAAAGCACAAATGGATTGAAAATCGGTATTATTGAATAATGCGTGGGCGTTTCTCAATTTATAATTTGTCTATTTTTATCGACTACAGCGAACAAAGTCTATGTAATGAAGAAGTATTCAGTTAAGAAGTCTTTCAATGACGTTGCAATGAAGAGTTTTGCATCTGAAGCTCAATCATTGGACTTTGCAGAAAATGTACAATCAGCTGCTACAATCAATGGATGGGTCGAAGATCACACCAACAACAAGATCAAAGACTTGGTTAAGCCTGACACTTTGGACTCTGACACTCGCATGGTTCTCGTTAATGCAATTTACTTCAAAGGATTCTGGGAACATCAGTTCAAACCAAGCCAAACATTCAAAGCTCCTTTCTACCTCAATGATCAAGACACTGCTAATGTTGATTTCATGAAAATCAAAGAACATTTCAAGTACGGAATGTTCGAAGATTTAGATGCAACAGCTATTGATTTGCCTTATAAAGATTCTGACATTTCAATGCTCATTATCTTGCCCAATTCACGTACTGGTCTACCTGCTTTGGAACAAAAATTGAACACAATTGACTTGGCTTCTTTGACGCAAAAGATGTATAAGCAGGAAGTCAGAGTTGAGCTTCCCAAGTTCAAAGTTGAATTTGAAATAAATTTGAACGAACCATTGGAGAAGGTTAAAGATCAAATTTTCTCAATTGATTATAAAAGTTTAATTAAGTTTATCTCTTTATTTTTAATAAAACAGATGGGAATGGAGAGAATGTTCAGCAACGCAGCTGAATTCAACGATTTGCTTGAAGAAAATGATCCATTGAAAGTATCGGCAGTCGTTCACAAAGCTTTCATTGAAGTCAATGAAGAAGGTGCTGAAGCTGCAGCTGCTACAGGTATGGTTTCTTCCATCTTCTCTCATTCATGTATTCTGTCGTTGCTTTATTTATGCTGATATTCTGCTAGATTGACTTTCGTTTTAATAATTTAATTCGACCCTACGTTGAGTCTTCTAATATTTTTGTCTATGTTTTAATATATTTCCCATTAGCCGTTCGAATCACGAAGAGAAGTCTGCCCATGTATGAACAATTCATTGCTGACCATTCATTTTTATTTATTCTGCATTCACATTCTGGATTAAATTATTTTACGGGACGTATTTGTTCGTTCGATGCTGCTGCATCACATGATGAATTATAAATGTGCACTTAAAGTTCAAATATAAAATTAATGTTGCCTTTTTCGTAATAAATTTTAAGAATTCTTGTTAACTTTTTATTCGTAAATTTAAAAAAGAATCGTAAGCATTAGCTTAACGCTTTCATGTTAATGCTTTACGCATATATCGTCAAGACGATCAGATTTAAATATCCAAGACGCGAACCCTTTTAGTTTAAAGTTGTGTGCGTTTCGAAGAAAAATATTTACGATAAAAATAATGTTAGGTTTCAAAATAACTTTATAATGAGATATTTTCTGTTTTATATCACTTAACAACTTGTTTTTCTATCTTTCAATTCATTTTTCTTTTATCAAATGTTTGACTTTCTTCATGAGAATATTTCCTGATAACATAAATGTTATCGTGAATTGGTTTGAATTTTTTCTTGATAGATATCAGTTCATCAACTACACACTTTAATATAATTTTACTTGCTTTCACAAAACAACTCATTCAATTTGTTCTTTAGATGTCATATTTTCGTCTAGATCAAGCTCAAGCCGCTTAATCTGGGATTTCAAAGTGAATCACAGTTTCCTTTTTATATTGAGAAACTCCTTGGGAAACCTGTTTATGGGCCGTATCAATGAATTCCATTGATTTAGGTCAGCATTAGCATTTATTCTAAAGTATCGCACTTTTTATTATTTCTAACTACTCTTGGATTCTTAGTATAGATTAAATGCATGAAAAGGGGGTTTTGAAATTATTTAAACAAACTGTAAATGTTTCATGTTTTGTCACTACAATTTCCATTATATTTCTGTCTACTAAAACTCAGCTTTTTTCATTGCTTAATTTTTACACTTCCAGGCGTTCAAGCCGTATTTTTGTCAGCATTCATTGGGCCAAGCACAAAGTTTATTGCGAATCATCCATTTTTGTTTTATTTAAGAGACAACGAATCGAAGATTCTTTTCCTTGGAAGAACTGAAACAATTTAAATCAAATTTTATCATAAATAAATGAAATATGAATCATAAGTTGATAGTCTTGCTAAGTTTTGTTACTTCATTATTTTTCTCAGGCATACAAATCATGGCAGCATCTTTCCGACCTGATATATTCTTCAAATGTGATCGACCATTTTTATTTGCATTACGGGATAATTCCAATGCGCTTTTCTTGGGACGCATCCGTGAATTTTGAGAAATGGTAGAAATGTTAGGATTCAATTGATTCATTTTTTCATATGTTTTGTGAGATAATAAAAAACTACCTTTTGATGTAATAACACTTGTTGATTTTTCATTATTTATTAGGTGACTTTTTTAATAAATATTTTAAAAAGCTTCTAGTCGAGTATTTAGGGAATGATTCTTGGTGATTTGTGTGATGTTCCATAATTAGTGTAAAAGGAAATCTTAATGCATGAAATCGACATGCTTCATGCTTAATATTTAACAAATCTCACTGATCTTGTTTTCGTTAATGGCTAGCGTTAATAGATAATAATTCCATCATTTCACATTTGTGTTAATCATTGTTTGATGTTTTGAGTGTCTGGTGAAGATTTTAATATTTTCTTTAAATTATTTAATAAACAATTCACATAAAATTATTTTTACTTTTATATTTTTCAGGCGTCTTATTTGCAGCATTTTCTATGCCCATAATCATGGACTTCAAAGCTAATCATCCATTTTTCTACTGTTTAGTTAACAATGAAATGAAATCACTTTTGTTTGCAGGACGAATTGTTGAATTTAAAAACTAATTTTTATTTCTCAACCTTCTTTGTGCAAATAAATGCAATTTAAACGTGCAAATAAAATTTGTTTCGAATATGTTTACTAAAACTCTTTAAGTTGTTCTATTTGAAATCGCGGGATAGGCACAAAGAGGCAAATACATGAAATTGGCATGCTGCATAATTGTTAACAAACCTCACTGATCTTGTTTTCGTTAATCGAAACCTGACCATGTCAGCTTTGAAAATTGATTTTTCACTATCACAGATTACATTTAAAAACTTTATTGTCAATAATCTCAACATTTTCACATTTGTGCTAATGTTTCGAGTATCTGATGCAGATTTCAATATTTTCTTTAAATAATTTAATAAACAATTTTCATAAAATTATTGTTAACTTTTGTTAACTTTTATATTTTTCAGGTGTCTTAATTGCAGCATTTTCTAGGCCCAGAACTAGGAACTTCGAAGCTAATCATCCATTTTTCTACTGTTTAGTTAACAATGAAATGAAATCAATTTTGTTTGCAGGAAGAATTGTCGAATTTAAAAATTAATTTTTATTCTTCAACCTTCTTTGTGCAAATAAATGCAATTTAAATGGGCAAATAAAATTTGTTTCGAATATATTTACTAAAACTCTTTTGCTTTAATTTTCACTTTTATTAAGAATTTAGATAACTCGAGTGTTTAGATAATGATTCTTGGTGAATCGTGTGCTGTTGTTTTTGGAATAGCGGCATAGGCAACTTAATGCATGAAATTGGCATGCTTCATGCGGCAATGGCTGGGCATGTCATTTTTCACTATCACAGATCATAAAACATTTCAAAACTTTATTGCCAATAATCCCAAAATTCTTACAAATGTGTTAGATAATCACAATTTAATATTTCGAGAATTTAGTGCAGATTTTATTATTTCTTTTAAATAATTTATTAAGCAATTTCTTATGCCTATTTTTACTTTTATATTTTTCAGCTGTCTTAATGAGAGTTTCATATTCTAGCCCCAGAAGTAGGTACTTCAAACCTAATCATCCCTTCTTCTACTGTTTAGTTAACAATGAAATGAAATCGCTTTTGTTTGCAGGACGAATTGTCGAATTTAAAAACTAATTTTTATTTCTCAACCTTCTTTGTACAAATAAATGCAATTTAATTGGGCAAATAAAATTTGTTTAATAAAAATCGTTCATTTTCAATTTTATTAGGAATTTTTATGCCTCCTTAGTGTGTTGTAATTATGATTCAGGAAAAACAACAATAATTGTGAATCTGATTTCATATTTGCATCCTGCAAAACTAAATGTATGATTCACAATATGGTACTTTGAGACTAATGCTAAAATGAAAGCTACAAAGATGACATCAATGCTTGAAGTATTCTCGTGATGAAACGATATTGTTCAAAGTAAATCATTTATTTTCCTTCTGCTTAGATAATCAGCAACCAAAATATATTTGTTGTGTTTGCTAGCAGAATTGTTGCTTTCAACAATTAAAATGTTTACGAATTCATTCATAAGTCATTGAATGTTTTTTGAAATTTTTAAAAAATAAAGTTCAGAGAAATATTTAATTGAATGCATATAAAAATTGATTGTTGAGTGTTTTATGTAAAAGAATCAACAAATTTGCATATTTCAAAATAATCTGAAAATGAAATAAATTTTAAAAAAGATAGAATAACAAAAATTTCAAGTTTTCCTTTCATTTTATTTTCCTTTTATTACTTTAAATGCATCGATTATGATTATGATACTTACGAATATTGTTTTACAACATACCGAAGCCTTTCGAATAATTTATCGCTTTCAGTAATCTTTCTTCGAGTTTCTCACGTGCAGAATATTCTGGCAATAGAAGAATATTGAAGCATGTATGACTTGTAGGCAGTCTGTCACAATCTGGGCCATGTCTTGCGATAACGAGCTTGAGTTTACTAAAGCCACCGATGGGAACACGATTTGATCCTTTATTGATGGGAATTTAATTTATTTCAAGATTTTTCTTAATTTAATTCATACCTGTAGTGAATTGCAACAGTTTTCGTTTCGATTCCAGTGAGAAGCCATGAACAATGCTCCAGAAGTGTTTGATTATTTCACTATTCGATGAGTATCCGCCTTCATATTCCGTTGACTTTTCAAGTTCATCAAAATCGAAATTATTCGATCCGCAAACGAGCAACTCAATTTCTTCCGGTCGAAAGAGATAACTCAAAGGACTCTCGTCAGTGACCATTCGGAAGCCTTTTTTGAAAGCTTTGAACTGCTTTTCGATACTTTTATTCATCAGGAAATCAGCATAAAGTTCAACAAACTCTTGTTTATTGAAATGATTTACAAATATCTTGTCGCCATCTTTCTTCAAATTATGTTTCAATGAACTCCCAAACACGTCTTGATAACCAATCTCAAATGTCTGAGAGAAGACTTCTTCAATATCAGGTTCATCATATGTCAGTAATGATTTTAAACTATTGTAAATCACAGGATTAAAGTCTTTGAGATCATGCCAAGTTAATTTCCAATTCATCAATTTTCTATAAACAACTATTGGAAAGTTAACAGGCAGAATGACATGGTTGTAAATGGCAAGACCCAAAACAATTCCTATCAGTGTGTATTGAGCAGTGTTCTCGAAAGAGAATGAGTTGAACCAACTGGTTCCATTCACGTCGACAAACATTCCATAATCTGGATTGAAGATTTCTTCAACAATAAGTTGGAAGAATTCTTTTGACACTCCACCTTCATCGATTCCTTGTTCTCCATCGAATTCAATGAAAATTTGTTTTCTTAAATCTTTGGGATTTGACATTGCGACCATTTCAAGTTCAGCAAGTGCATCGTCGATGAGAAAATCTCGTCGAATTTTCAATTTCAAGTAGGGATTTGTCGGTTGACCTAAGAAGTGCATGTTCATCATACTCGTTCGTCGTTCCGAGAACATTCTTATTCTGCTATCATAGAAAAGTGCCGTCGATTTGGTTATTGGTGTCAAGACGAAAGAGTAAAAAATAAATGAGAATCTTTTATCTTCAGCGAGTTTGTCAATTGCTAATAATCTTCGATATCTTATAAATTCAACATCCATTTCAACAACATCACAAAGTGGCTCATTCTGAAACTCTTCGAATGGAATTAAAGGCTCACGACATTGTTCAATACAAATTCCCAATTGTTTCATTAATGGATCGTCGAAGAACTTTGTTGATTTTGATGGATCAAAAGGGTAAACAATCGAACTGAAATCATCTTCTTCATCTTCTAAAATGCTTCCTAATCCCCCATTTGTTTCCTGTGTCATGAATTTGGTTTCACCACCAACATCACTAGTAAGAATATTCGCACAATAAACAATTTTCATAACTTTCACTGCATTTGTGATAATTTCGTTGTCATTCACGTGATTCTCTCGATTGTATACGTTGGCAATGACTTGAAGCGTTATAATTTGTTGAAGATGGAGAAGAATTGTTGAGAGATCATTTTTACAGTGTGAACTCCATATTTGAGCTAATCGTGCTTGCGCTTGCACAGGAAGATTTGCAATCACCGGAAGTATTCTAACTATGCTTTGTTCCAATTGTCCATTTGTAATGTTGAAAATCTCAAATAATATCACAATCACTGTTAAAATGTCTTCAAATTCTTCATCACTTTTTAAAAGATGCATGTCAAGATGAAGCATTGACGATAAGCCTTGAATTGGGCTATCAAGTGATTCAAAGACATTTGGGTTTAGTTGAAAAAGTCGTGTCATACATCGACGGATACTTTCGACATCGACAGGAGTGTATGTTGGATCATTTAACTTCGTTTCTTCTTCAGTTGCCATTGAATCTTCTTCTTTCTCATCATCTTCAAGTGTTCTGATGTCTTCCTTCTTCATTGTGTTTATTGACGATGGCTTAACACGGTCAAAAATCACATCAATTGAACTTTTAGTCTTGCGTTGAAAACTCTTCACAACTGATTCTTTGCTGTAAAGAATTGAGCCGAGGCAACGAATAATTGGAGCAAAATCTTTTGTTTGTTCACATAAATCCATGAGTTCATTTAATTTTGTTTCATCAACGAACAGTATTTCTTTTGATGATGAGCTTGTTGGTGAATTATTTGAAGTTCCACTATTATCACTTGACATTGCCGGTTCGTTTTTTGAAGTTGAGCTGATAACAAAAAGGAAAATTTCAATAAAAAAATACTTTGAATCTATTTATGTCATTATTACCTATTTGATTTGGAAAGATCAGAAATAATCATTTCCACGTCTTTAATTACGACTGATGTTGATGTGTCACATAATTTAGCTTGGTCAACATAAAGTTGAAGAGATTTGATTGCTGCTTGATTTCCACATAATTTTTCGACTAATCCTGATGAAGCGCAATATTTATTGGTGCAATCAGGTTTTCCACATCCAGTTGTCAATTGAAAGAAGTAGCGTTCTATCAACTTTTTAGCTTGTGTTTGTTTATTTTCCTGTGAGGACTCCATCTGAAATTTCCTTAGTCATTTTGAATGCAATTTTACAATCAATTTCAACTTATTCTTACCGTTTGTTTTGACTCTGTATAATTAACAGATTCCCTTTGTCTTTATCTTTTGATATACTGAAATAATTGAAAATGTTGCTGAGAATTTATTTATGTATAATAAATCTAAGGAAAACAAAAGGCGAAGAGAATCAGAAAAACAGCAAAATTACCAAAATTTTAATTCTTTGTTTTTAACGCGACTTTTAAGTCAAAATTCATAATGATTGCTTGTTTCTGATACAAATAAAGGTAAAAACAATAACCTACATGACTTATTTTATCAAAGGAAGATTATAAACGTATTTTGATGTAAACTTTTAAGAAGATACGATGAGAAAATTCTATTTTAAATTCAATTTGATTTGAGAGAATGCAAATTATGTCTTCTTGGATTGATAATAAAGTCCCCTCAGTTTTAGTTCTACAAACGTTACATCATTTTGTCATCTCAGACTTTCTCTTTTTATAATCGCCCTAATCAATTTTCATAAAATGAGCTTTGGTATGCTCAATTGTACCTCCTAAAATATACTTGCCTATAATTATAATTTCTAGATTAAAACAACTTTGAGTACCGGAATTTGTAAATCAATCGTTAAATCATGTTAAATTTAGAAATAAATCAAACGTACAACGTTTACCTGTGTTGAAATAAAATATTGATGATAATATCTAAAGCATCAAAAGAAGCTATCTAAAGTAATGAAAAGATGAAAGTTTTATTCAAAACAAATCTCTCTTATCTCTGATCTAGTTCAATTATTTAGAATAGCCGAAAACAATGTTTGATGTACGAAATTTACTAAACGTAAATACCGGCATCAAATTTTTTACATTCAAATGTCAAAAGCTCGTCTGAAATTTAATCATAATTAAACATCCTATTTGATTCATTCTTTCTTTTTCGTAAGAATTTAAATGAAAAAAGAATTTCGAACATTTCTTGCTTGTTCTATTTAAAGAAGTCTTGTCTTCAATGACTTATGGCATGTTTCAAATTATTCAGAAAAAGATTTATAGATGAAAAAAATTTATTCTTTTGAAAATATCTTTAGAAATGTACACATTAAATGGAAAGTTATTAAAGATTAACAATTTCCCTGTTTCCATAATAAGAAAACATTCAAACAACAACATTTCCCGAATTTATCGCGATATGACAAACCATCGTAACTGTCACCCTACCTAATGGTTGGGCCTTTCATACTAACTGTGATATTACTGACGATAACGCAAGTATAAGCTCAAATATTTATTACAATGAAATTTATTGTTATTTAATTCAACACATAAAACAAAGGAAAGAAGAAAAAAAGTAGCAGAAGCATATAGATGAAAAATAAATGTGTTTGTTATGTGTAAACATGGAAAGATTATGAGTAGGCATTGGGGGGCTAGGAAGTGGGTTGAATGCTATAAGTGCTACTTAAATATTTGTTAAATAAAATATAGAACAAGATACAATATATGTTCACATCCGTACACTTGATCGCATAAATACGATTCTCGTTATAACGCATCAAGTAGGTACTTAACAATTTATAACATGAAATGTATTTCAGACAATACGAAACACTTTAACCTTAATGCCTGGATTTATGTCATTAAGAATCTATTTTGAAATTTCCGCGGAACTGTCGTAAAATTTTATTTTCAGGTGCTCAGCATGCAAAGCAGCTTCAATTTAACGCATTAATTACAAATAAAATAACTCTGGAAAACGTTTTACGTTGAGTGAAGCGACAAGATTTTATTCATCGCGGAAGCAGAAGCTAAAAGTTTTAAATGAGATTAGATTGCAAACGAAATTTATGTTAGAAGTTTAGCTATCAAGAAGTTGTTGCTGTCAGAAACAATTTCATTTTTAATTTAACAAAAGTGATCTCAGGTTTTATAAAAACGTGAATTTTATTTAAAGAAATGATTGAAAAACTACCACGGCCAGTTTTGTATATTTTCAATATATAATTTTACTTAATAAGAAAAAAAGTTTGCAATACTTAAAGCTTTCTGAAAAGCTTTTTTATTCATTTTGAAAATAGAATTAAAGAATTCTTCTTGACTCCTTGAAAAAGTTTAGCATGATTGTTTTCTTTTAATAAGATCATTTCATTTTTCAATTCGTTTTTTTAAATCTCATTATTGAAAAGAAACCGCTGAACAATTCTTTTGCTAACTTTTTTAATACTTCAAGCTTGATTTTATATTTATACATTTTTCATTTAATGCCTTTTACCTTGCCACGAAAGTACTTTTCATCTTTTTCGCACTGATTCCTCGACTTTTTTTCTTCATTTTTGATCCCATGAAAAGAAAAACGGTAACGACTTGCCACAGAAAAAAAAAGTTTATCAGAAAAGAAAGCATATACATTTACGTCTGAGTGATTATGCTCAAATTGGGTTTAGGATGCTCACATGTGAGAAAAGTATAATGTGTAATAACAATAACATAAATCCATAGACCCTACGCCTTGTTGAGTTTTGATGATGCTTCCTTGAAGAAAATTCGCACAATTTTCTTTTTTCGCATTTCGCCTTTCGATTTCTCGCTCGTTCCATGCTTGTTTCCTTGCCATACCATCATTACTTGCAAGCATGAGATTTAAAAATTTTACTGTTTTGGCAACAGAGAAGGAAAAGTTCTCTTTTTTCTTTTGAACACAAGTGTGTAGAAAAGCAAAACAGACCCAATGCAATCAAAAACATTATCCAATAAAGTTTTATGCTTCAAAACAACTTTTACATTTCACCAGTTTTGAATGAGAGAACGAAGGAAACATCTTCAAATTGAGGGTTACTTTGGTTATGAAAACGTTTCCGACTCTGTAACAGAACTTAATCCAAAGATATGCGGTGGAATTTAACATCACATCATTTTGAGAAAGTCAACTGAACAGAGAGAAATGAACAAGAAGGAAAACATTGCGCATTGAGGAAGAATTTTTCGGGGAAATTTTATTATATTGGCGTCATAATAATATGATTTTAATGCGGCATAATACATTTGGGAGAAGTCATCTACAGACATTTCTTCTTAAGTAAGTATTAGCATATACACATTACACATTCTCCTGAATTTCTCGATCAAACTTATTAATCATTACCATGGAAGAAGTGCTTAGGTGGGTGGAAATCTCTTCAGATGATTTCAACTCATTTTATAATGAAATTCTGAGATTTAAGAAGAAACACGAGTATGTTTGTGTGTGTTAATGTCATGCATAAATATATTAAAATGAAATATATCTTATTCTTGTATTATTATATTTAGAACAGGAAAAGTTTTGCATTTAACATGATATCTTGACGATAACGAGAACAATGTCTTCAGTAATTCTCAGATTTTCATCATAAAACAGAATTCAAAGTGAATGTGAATAACATTAGAAAAGATAATTCATATAAAGTTGTACCTAATTGATTTAAGCACCTTCCTGGTTGTTGTTTAGAACATTTTTTTCAATGAAAATCAAAAGTTGATTTCGGTTTTTGAATTTGATTAAAAAGTTGAAAATTTTCTTAAGTAATTCAACACATGCAACAATTTCTTAAAGAACACATAAAAATCTCACGTCACTTTCCATTAATTTTTTTCTTTCATTCAATTTAACGTTGATGTCGTGTAATTCTGTGCTGCTATGTCGTAACTTCTTCATGTAACCATCCGCTTTAAATCGGATATTCTAGTCAACATATCTACTCTTCTTGGCGCGTGATTCAACATCAAAACATAAACTTTTTCCTCCTCTGTTGTCTGCCTGCAACGAGCAAATTTTAAAAGCTTTCTCCTATAAAATTATCATTAACGAGCGACATAAAGAAGTCTTCGTAAAATCCCAAATTTCAGCGCTTCAAAAAGACTTCGTGTTACGATTCGCATGTGCTTGAATCTCATCCAACCATGAAGTTGAATTAGATTAGCATTTGTTGAATAAATCTCAAAAGCACACACAAATCGTTTTGCAAGAAAAACCATAGCGCGAAAAGAACACATGCGGGGAGAAAGATTTACATCCAACGCGCACAAAACAAAAACAGGTGCGTTCATCCGTAAAAAACCGCATAACAATAAAATAAGATTTTTCACAGATCGTACAGAAAAAAGACACGATTCTATCTCGCATTGTGATATGCAAAAGTAGAATATAAAAGTTACGTTTGATTGCTGTAAGTATGAAGCGAGTTGAGACGGTGAAATAAGCCAACGTGAAAATCGTAAGAAAACTTCACTTCATGCCGTCAGCTGTCTAAACAGTAAACACTGAAGCAAATTGGAAGTTGGAAAATATTTGACAATCCATAGCTTTGAATATGTCTTTCAGATCACTATTTGACTTCTTGCAACAACATAATGTATGTATGAAAAGATTTCAATTTATTCTATAGCAAATATTGAATTACCAAAGTTCGTTGTACTTCTTTACGGGTGATAAGATTACTTTTCAGATCAAAACTTTTCTTATTTTTCATCTTTATCACAACAGTGATTGAATAGAACATGAATATAAAGAATTGAATCATAGAAGGAAATAAATCCAATAAAAAACTAAATTTATTGTCTGATCTTTTCACACTTTGAGTGTTGTCTAGTTTCCTGATAAGAAGAGCAATCTAAAAATTTTCGCGAAAACTTCAGGAAGAAAAATTTTCAGAGATACATCATGTAGCTGTGAAATAGACTAGGAAACCATTTTGTGTGAATATTATCTTTAATTCATGCTGGAATATCCATCTACATTGTAGAAACATTGTTTAAATAAAATGAAATATGAAATGTGTTCTTCGTCGACTTTTTATTCTGCTCAATGTTAAAGCAAACAACGAGTTGAGAAAGATTAAAAATAAATTTTTTTAATTAAATTCCATAATCTACTTTGGACACAAATAGAACGTTGGAAAGCTTGAGAACGTCGCTTTTTTATTATCAGATATCAAACGTATGACTAATAAAAGCGAAACATCAGAAAAGTTTTTAGGTCAATTCTTACATATTTTGTTGTTTGATGCACGATGCAATATGTTTAAAGCAAGATAAATTAACTTTTGAAGTGAAAATGTTTCTTACAACAACGTTTGTTATCCCTGAGGATTTTGGGTGATTTTAAATGCAATTTAACTTTACAACCAACAAGTTTATTCAAACTAAATGAGATGAAAGAATTATACAAGAAATTTAATTTCCCCGTTATGCTTTTAAATGCGACTAGATAGTATGTGGGTGTGATATGCATTGCATTTGCACTTCATAAATAAAATCGTGTTAAATATTTTTTCATGTTTTCTAATTACTCGTATTTGTCTTATTTACAAATTTACAATTTAACTTTGTATTTCAAAACTTTCAACAAAGCATTTATTCAAATTCACATTCATTTAGATGAGGGAATTGTAATTTGTTTTTATTCTCGTTCTCGCTTTTTATTTATAAGTCAAAGTTCATTCAAACGATAATAAACAAACCAAATTGGTTTTAATTAAAAGAATATTTCCACCATCAAAGTCATTAGAATAATCAGTCGACTGTGAATTCTTTTGAGCTTTTTCATTATTTTATATTTTTTGTTTTAGCTTTCAAATCATCAAATGTTTGTATTTAAATGATAATAAAAGAGTTGATTCATAATATTCGTAATGAAGTCTTGCTAATAACGTTAAGATGTGATATGCAATGACAAGTTATCAAAGATTTCTATAAGAAAACTTTTTTCATTAATAAAAATTATTTACAAGCCCCTCAAAACTTAAACTTTCTTATAAAAACTCATCGCAAACATGAAAGTAAACAAAGATATGAATTTTATATAAAACTACAAGAAAAGTTTACAAACTAAGCCAATAATTGCATATTTTATTCTGTAGATTCGCCCGTCATTGTACATGAAAATTCATGTTCATTTGGAATTCTGTTTATGTTGCGTAAGTTCTTGCATAAAAATTTATAAAACTGATAGCACAACTTCTGTTATAACTCCACCAATTGCACATTGCTTGGTTATTATTCCATTGCAGTGCTATTTAAATAATTTATCTCGCCGCTGTGCTCGAATCTCAGCCTGAAATTATAATCGGAGGAAGCCTTTAGGTTTACAATTCAAGCAAGCAAACAAAAAAAAAGTTACGATGACATTATTCTAGTCAATTGATAGCGAAACTTTCCATAATTTTATTTTCGTGCTTGTAATACAAATCTACACATAACTTCAACCCAAGCTTAACAACATCAGCTTGAATCAATATATTTACAACTTGTATGTATTTCATAAAATATTCTATTTGTGTAATTAAAATGCCTTTCCATGTACATATTCCGAGTTAGCTGCATCATCTATAAAATAAATATTACATTTATAATTCCAACACGAATCTGCAGCTGAGTTGTATTTGTCGTAAAACTGGCTTGCAGATGCATTGATTATTTTAATTAATCATCAAAAATAGTAATGATTGTGAATCCCTCGCGCGTTACATGGACATGACAACGTACATATAAAAACTCACGTGTGGCTGGATGAAACAAGTTAAGCTTCTGATGCAAATTGCCGTGTATTTTATGAATATAATCCGCTAGAAGTTCATTTGAATATCGCACAAAACCGAGAGACGAAAAATAAAAAAAATTCTCGTAACATGCAACTAGGTGGATTTATAGATTGCATTTTACTGCCTATTTTAAATTTTACATTCAGTATTTTTAGTTGAACGCGAATGCTAAAATATTTTGAAATTTGAAGTTCATTGCATCCTTTCAGAGAATTTAGAGAGTGCATTAGTACGTCAGATGAGCGTTGTTCTACAACATACGATGGCTAGTCGTTGCTATAAGAAGATTTAATTATATTAAAATGAAAAATTAATGCAGTGGTTCTGTGGAATGAATGTTTACACCAAATTCAAATTCAATTTATCAAAACTAATATAATTACACTATGCATTGAGTAGATTTTTTTGTACATAATTTCATGTTAATTTATTCGCAACTTTTTTTATTTAACAGACAAACAAGTGTCAATAAAAAAGAGAAAAATAATTAAACGATTCATAATAAATTTCTTAAGTAATTATTAACTGAACATCATCAAATTAAATATATTCACTTCATATCCATAATATTAAAAAGCTTTTCATTCAAACTGTTATCATGTAACATGTCATTGAAGTTCAACAAAATCTTTGCCGTTGAAAGAGTAAAGTCGTTTGCTGTTTATTTAGCAACGATAAAGTGAAGCGAATATTTTAGCAGTTTGAAGTTATTTCACTCATTCCTTTTAAAGGATATTTATTTGTATCTTTCGGCTTTGCTTCTGGGAAAAAAAAGCACACAGAGAAAGAAGGGTCAGGAAGTGGAGAATGAAAATTTATGCCAAACATTTTCGCATGTGTGAGATTATAAAAGAGTGGAAAGGGCAATGCAATAGCCATAAGACCAATTTACTTTTTCCTCGAAAACCGACAGAGAAGACGCTTTTAAATTGCCTTTAGCTACAGTGAAAATGATAATAATGGTTTATCGGAGCGTTTAAGAACGAAAGGAAGAAGTGGAAGAAGAAGATTTCATCTTTTAATAGGAATGAGAGACGATGATGTGTAAACCACTAAATCATGGCCATCTTTCCTCTCAGTCTACAGTTTACGTCTTGACTTGAGGAAGAAAATCTCATGCATTTAAACATGAACCTTATTGTTTGCTAGTGAATGAATGTACAGTCAACGATAGATATAAACAGACACATAACTAACGACCGTCTTTTAAACTGTTCCTTGTTGTATCCTTTCAAGTTATTTATGGCGAATGAATTAATGAAATGCCAGATATTGCCGAAGCCATCCTTTTTAGCTTCCTTGCCCCCGAAATAAGTTTTTGGTCACGAGGAGGCAATGGATGCTTCAGTAATTTAATGCTATAAATTAAGATCAATCTTTTTCGGTTTTCTTCCAGGCAATGGAAATGAAGAGTCAAAGCAAGAGCTGCTTGAAAGTTTTATTAGCTTTTTGATACCATTCATGTGAGTTGATAGCTTTTGGTACGTGATTGGAGAAGGAGAAATCCATCACGATCCATTAACGTATAGAATTACTTTTATTAAAGACTAAAGGAGAATTGAAGCTTCATGCATCTTGATGATAAAGGTTCGTTCATTAAGGAAAAATCATGTTAGAAAATATCTCTTTCGAGCAGTATCGAGATTTAATAAACAAAATCAATCATTGGCTTCAATGAATTTGATACTTTCAAAATGTTAAACATTCGAAAAGTTTCTCTTTAAGAAGTAGGTATAAAGAAATTCCCATTATAACTTTTATTTAGCTTCATTTTAAGTATTTGCGTCGAAATGTACATATTTACATTTGAAATGCTAATTAAAATCATTTGTGGAAAATTTAATTAAAGCCCTTCATTCGACTTTGAAGCTTCACTGAGTCTAAACTTGTTCGAAATCTTTTAACATTTTTTTCCTCTTTCTTTTTTTTTTGCATAATTAGAGTAATTTCCGGCTTTCGTCCCATGTTCCGATTAGGAAATTCCAGTCAAATGATTTCATTACGAAGCCAAATAATTAACATCAAAAGGAAGCTCTGAGAAAAATCTTGGGTTTGTATGTAAAATTAAGCGTTTTTCTCTGCAGTGTAGTGTAACCCAAAATTCAAATTTCCTTTCGGATCGCTTTTACGTAGTGTCGCTCAAAGTAAATCGCCAGTTGTGGCGGAAATTGTGTTTACCATGGAAACTTAAGAGGGATAAGCGAAAATTTACATTTAAGAAGATTTACAATCATTAACGAGAGATAAAAAGACTTTTTCACTTAACTTAAAAAGTTATTTGAAATTTTCAATTCGACAAATATTTTCGTTCTTGGAAGGAGTTTGTGGAGTTATGAAATTTTACGATGTGATGTTTATAGGCTTAATATTCAAAGTAAAATCTTCAAACATTTTATAAATACAAATCCTTTAAAAGTTATAAAATCTCGAGTGATTAGTGAATGCTTCAAAGTTTGAACAAAAATAGATTTCAAATTAATCTCATTTATCATATTTTTAATGTTTATTTTAATTGCCATGCTTTGCTTCAATACCTGAAATCACTTTTCATACAGCTTTGCAAATATTTACATTCTCTACTTATAATTCGATACTTTAATTCATAATTGGTAAATATTGTTCCAGATCTAAGCTCCTAATTATAATTTTTTTTCATTCTTACAAAACTCATAAAAAATTCCTTTTAACAAATTTCAGAAGACTAAAGTTGTTTGAACAAGTTTTAGGACGATAATTGCTTACGACATTTATGTACATTTTTCATTTGAATAAGAGTCAAATTATAATTGAAACAAGGTATGTTAGTTAATCCATTAAATGTCTTTGTTTAAATCAATTCAAATTTCCAGAATTCATTATAAATTGATGAATGTTTAGTTTAAATGAAAATCTATTCCGGTCTTCTTGACAACGACCTAAAACAAACTTTTAAGGATGAAAACGACATTTGACTTCGAAGCAAACTGAACTACTCATTATTATTTAATTTTAATGATATTTCTCTGTTGAAAATTGTTTTGATTTGTCTCACAAGAGCACTTAGCGGTAATTGGATAATTGTGGATTAGGAAAAACGATTATCAACGTTAAAATAGTGAAATTCAATAGTTTTCCTCTCAATTTCTTAAATTGCAATTTTAACGTTGTTTAGTTTGTGAGGTTTTATCGTCTTCCCCATTTAATCTCTCATCACAGTTCTTTCCGCTGATTGTCCCAAGGATTGTCCGATTTAATCTCATTTGAACTCTTTTTTTTTTGTCACATTTCACTCTTCGAATAAAAAAATTCTCTTTAAAACTTTGTTGTAGATGATAACAAAGGAAGCAAAGTGACAAAAAAAAACAACTCAACTGTCTTGAACAGCTCAAACGCTTTGGTCGAATTGTTTTCATGTTAGTGTCAAAGACGGGTGTGAATTAAAACAGTTCTAGAAAATTATTTTATATATTTTTTAACTTATTTAGTTTGTGAAAAGTTATCCTGGAGTTGTTTTATTGAAAGAACTTTTCGTTTTTATAAATTTTTTTGTTTCATTTGTAAAAGTTAAACACGGAAAATAATTTTTTAAGGTAAATTGATTTAACGAGACACGTGTGTGATTTTTTCATTCATTTAAGACTTACACAAAAAATTAATAATTTAAGAACACAACATGGATCGGAACATTGAAATTGTACTGAAATCTTCAGGGGAAAATTCATTTTCTCGTTTGGAACTCGACTTTTCGGCAAAAAATGGAGAAGTGAAAGTTTCCGTAACTCAATCTGAGAAAACAAAGCAGATGCTAAACAATAACGAGGAATCTGAGAGCATTGAAGAATGCGAAATCGAGATTTTTGTCAAGTTTAACTTTGATTACCAAGCGACATCGTTTCATGTCAAACCATCGACTTTGATAGAAGATCTCAAAGACATGATTCAAGTTGTAAAGAAAATTCCATCGCACTTTCAAATTTTAAGATATGATGGAAGAGTTCTTATGAACGGATTTTCACTAAGTGAAGCCAATGTCAAAGATAAGTCAATTATCACTGGAAGAAGGGAGATTGCTAACAAGTGTCCTAAAATATTTCAATACGATTTCTAAATTTGATCTTTTAAGTTTTTGTAATATTCAAAGTTGAAGTATTTTTGTAATAATTTTTTGCCTAATGGCCTTGATCTAATAAAAGCAAAAGTGGAAGACTATAAGAAATTTTAATTAGATTTCAAATATTTAATTATGCAGTGGAATTAATATGTTGGGATCTTAATCTACTTTACATTCTCTTAATCCATTTAAATGAGGTTCTACGCTCTTCAGAGCTGTTGTGATAAAGGTGAGACGGTAGATATTGTGGGAATTTATTTTTTGCTCCTTTTTTTGTCATCTCAATTTCCATTTAGCATAGAAAGGAAGAAAGCTTGCTTCGTGGTTAAACGACAACCGCTATTAATTCTCACACAATTGACTTGCTGCAAGCGAGAAAAGCAAACTAATGAATTTAAATGAGATTGTCATTGTAAACTTCTTAATGTGATGGGAAAACAAGATGTAATAAGCACCACTGACATGACATCGATTTGCATGTCAAAATGATATTGCAATGAATTTTTCATATATTCTTGATTATTATTATTGTCATAAAACATATCAATAATTCATTTTATGTGCTAGAACATAAAAGCTCTAATTTTTTATTCACCAGGAAGTCGATAACAAAATCAGCAAGCTCATGTAAGAAAAGTTGATTACCAGACATTGCAAATAGTTTTTGTCTTCGTTCACACTCATCTTCCTGCTTTTCCTCGCATCATGAACTTCAAATGATGCTTCAAACAAAGCAGAAGTGGAGATAAAGATTGATATAAATGGAAATTGAATATTGAAAATCAGGTTAACTTCATTTCCATTTTTTTCTCCTTCTTCATATATCTACATCGGAAGTTTCTTTTTATATATTCTCATTCTTATCAATTTCGTTTCCTTTTCCTTCACCTATCTTTGCTTTTATTCTAAAATAATGAAAAATAAAAAAGGGAATAAAAGTTCTGAACATTGTGTGGTTTCATAATTCAATGACACGATCTCAACTAGATTTCCAATATTCATATTTGAAGTGGGTTAATGTTGTGTAATATTATTTTATGACAGTATAAAATACCTTTTTTGAACGACATCTCCACTCATCCACAGAGTTCTGAATTGTATGGTACAGAAGTTAAGATATGTTAGAAATGAAACCTTTGGCGTGTCATTCAGGAAATTAGTTTCATCATGTCCTGTGAACATCACCATTACCACCTCTATCAAAACTTCTTTTCTCCCACATTCACATCCACCTTTCGAACAATCAACAATAGACATGGGTTTTGAGCACGAGCGAGTTCATTAATTGCGTTACGATTGAAATGTGATGTTCTGGGATTAAATTTGAACAGTTTTTGAAGCTTTTAAGAAGCTTTCACTGAATTCCTTTGAGAGTCTTTCAAAAAGCTCTTCTGAACAATTCAAAACTTTTCAGATCAGAATTGTGATTTGGGCTTACTAACAAGCACTACCAAACAAACCTAAAGCACGTAAATCACGAACAAATCGTCAAAGGAAATGTAAAAACTCTAAAATTAAAGTTTCATTCACGTACTTTGTACACGAAAATATTTGAAAGCTGAACGGGACATCTTAAAACTACAATTTGAGTGTACATAAAGTGTTTAAAGTGAGATTCGTTGAAGCACAACTATCGGGTTGAGGGTGGAAAGGCGACAAATGTGTACGACGAGAATATATCCCAACAAAGTCACACGGAATGTTCAGTCAGTAGTAGCAGCAGTAGGGAAATGTTCAACGTTATCACAAATGATATCATTATGGAGCAATATTGTGGTTGAATGTGTGTATAATACAGCCATGTGTCTGTTAAATAAAAAAAAGGGTCTCACTAGCATTTATGCTGCTTTAATTTTGTGCCTCAACACAACATGGTTGCACGAGTACAACACGAAAAATTTAAACTAACTTTAACTGTTTGATGGAGCAAGAAAACTTTCTGCCTTTTCCGAATTATACCGCAACGACATTTTAACTTTAGACAGAAAAAAATTGAAATAAAAATATTGCAGAAGAGAAAAGTTTTTAACATTTTGATTCTTGAACTACCCCAAAATATATATCGCATGGGATCATCACAGATGTACATGAATCCCAAACGGCTTCTTCTACCCCCTTGAGATAAATACATATTTTCTAAAGTTTCAGTAGACTCGGTACTTCAACTACAATATGCTACTGTTTGCTATGCTTTTAATATGAAATCTCTCTGAAACAAATTGTTCTAAAATTGTGAGCCTTTTCCTCCCCTTCCTTAAGATCAAATTATAACTTTATTTCAGAGCAATTTCAATCATATTTTCGAAACATTGTGGGACGACTAAAATTATTCGGATGTGTCTGTCGAAATGAGATGTTTAAATAAGAGAAAGGAAGGGGGACAAGAAAGAATGGAAAAGAAATCTAAGCAATCAAACAATTACTGAAATTGCTGTGGTGTTCAATGGAAATTGCCTGTTTTCACCATCCTTTTGCCTTACCAAATGTCTCTGTTAGGATGTAGGAAATGAATAAAAAAAGACGATCTTGAATTTTAGATTTCAATAAAAGCTCTGGTTGGTGTTTTGTTGTGTGTCAGATGAATATTGAAGCGTAGCAAAATCAGCATTCGAAAATTTACCCAAATTGAAATTAACCGACATAAAACATTTCACATAACAGAAGCAGGTGGATAAACAAAAATTCAAATCACCTAATTGAAAGGATTACGAGCGGGCTTCCTTATTGTATGCTATACAGGAATATATTTTGAGGGTAAATGGAAATTAAAAATCGATACTCAATACGTGATCTCATTAGAAATAAATCCTCACCGTAAATTGTTTTTCCTCGAATATTTTCCTTTTTTTCCCTTCACTTGTCCGTTCAACTGAAAATATTTCTATCAACTCTATCGACAGATGGAAAATGGTTCAATTATCGCATTTTTGTGTTTTCGCTTTTTTTTTGTTTTTTGTTTTCATTTCCTCGCTTAACATTTAACAAGAGCTTTTTTAATCAAACTTTTCTGATAATCTTTATTTTATGGGCTCTTTCAATTATCTGATGGGTTTTGGTAAATAAATTTGCAACATTTCAGAACCAGAAATGAAGAATGAGAGAAAACATGCGATAATTATACTTCAGAGATAACTTTTAGAATCTTTACAGATTTATGTAGTCTGAATCTTAGCATTGCATAGATTTCAATTCTAAAAGATAATAAATAAATATTTAAAGATGTTGCTTTGAAAGTCTTTCATACATTAAAGTAAAGTCAAAGTTATTTCAAGTTAAATAAATAAATATATTGAAAATTGCATTGGTAAAGCATATCTAGCTAAATATTGAACCGTTCAATGTTCGGTTGAAAGACCCGAGGGAAATAAAAATGTTTAACATTTCCTTTATTGAATAAACGGATAATGATGTCTTATAGTTAGATGACTAGACTTTTAGAAAGGATGTTATAAATCTTTACCATGCTGCTGATATCTCTCGGGTGTCATTAATGTTGTTTATTTTTCGTTAACTTCTCCGAAGAATAATTTTCTAAACCTTTCTTTTTATTCAATATGTTTTGATAGATGTTGCTTTCATTCATCTGTCTTATCTTCAACACTGAAGTCTGCGATCAGCGATGGCTTACTATGCGAAAACGTTGAATAATGTTTAAAAGAAATAAAAAATATGCTGCTTTAGATGTGTCTGTAATTTTTTATTGCACTCATAATGTCCTTTTTATGTAAAACAAATTTGCTTTCATCTCTGTAAAATGTTTAAGGCTAAAAAGGTTATCATGGCTCCCGCTAGACCAATTAAAGAAGCAACGAATTTTTTTTTCTCTTCGCCTGGCTATCAAAAGTAAAATGTTAACAAAAAAAACTCAATTCAAGAGCTGAAACATTTATGTAAAATAGCCTGGTGGTGTTTGAGCATGAAAAATGGGTGTTTGTTGCCTGGACCCTGCTTGGCCCAAATGTCGAAAACAGAAAAAAGGAAGAAGTTTCAATTGACCTCAGAGATGGGTTTTCACACTACATCTTAACTTAACTCAAGCATTAAATGTGGGTTAGCTTTGGATGAAAGATTCATGAAGCCATTGCTATTATATTTACCACAATTTGCCATCAATTTTCTTTAAAATTGAAGCTTTTATTCAATTTTCTATTGTTCTGAAAGATTGTTAAATTTTTTTGGATTTAGAAATTTGAAATTATTCATAAAAAGCTTTAATATTTGCATTTACAAATCTTTATACTCGAAGCAAAAAGTCAACGAAGCAGAACGCAGTCAAAACGTGTATAATTTCATAAATACACCAAGTCGACAGGAAAAACAAATATAAACAACTTTTCCACCATTTTCCATATAAAACAGCAGCAGTAGCAGCAGTAAGAGTTGACTCGACAAATGCAGAATAAATAAAGCGAAGGAAAACAACAAGAAGAATAATTGAAATTGTGCCTGCATCAGATTATGTGTTTTCTACTGCACCAACTTATCTAGAAATAAAAGAAAAGTTTTAGTAATAAATTTGTCTATGTTTGTTTTGTCTCCTTCACTATCTCCTTCGCTCTATTAATAATGTTTAAGCCACAGTCTCGGCGTGAAAAAAGAAATGAACAAATATAAATTAGTCGCAAGTTGTGTAGCAACAAATTTGAAGTACAAATATGTACACCGTCGTTGAAATTAAATTCTTCTTATCTCTCATGTCTGACATTTAACCTTTCATGACTTTTCTCTTTCTTGAACTTTCGCAATGTGGTGAGTCTAGCTTAGGATAAGTCTAAAGTCGCATCCTTAACCCTTAATTAAATTTCAAAGAATTTTTTAAAACATTCTTTCACTTTTCTTTTGATGAGATTGTGAATAATTTTTTATCATGAAAAAAAGAATTTTTTTTCGCTCTTTTGTTTGAAGCTGTGATTTCGTTCACTTAGTCTTGAACGATCTCAACATTCGTTATTGTCAGGTAAGGAAAAAGTTCTTTTTTTCTTGAGGGAATGAATGATTGAATGAATGATACCTAAGTAGAAAAGAAATGCTTGACTGAGATTTTCATTCAGGTTCAAATTAACTAAATTAGTCTCTAATTGCCTTTGCTCTTAATCCATCTTCCACCAACTCAACTTCGCTTCGACCCGTATTCGCCACCCATAGCTCGAGGATAGACGAAGAACAATTTTATCTCGTTTTTAACAAATTTATTTTCTCTCCTTGTCGTCCTATGCTTTGCTTTCTGGAAACGAGGGATGATGAAAAATATGTTTGTGCATAAATTTGAATCATAAAAGGAAAAGGAAAGGGTTTTTATGGTGCACACATTTGTTAAAATTATGATTAATGAACTCAAACTTTCCATATTTATTTATTTATATATTTTTTATTTTGTAGAATTTGTTTATTACACGAAATGATTAAAGTTGAGAAATAAAGTGAAAATTGTATTTGAAACGTCGATAATAAAAAGCAGAATTGAAGACTTTTGAGAAGAGGAAATAAAGTTGTGATAACTTATGTTGATGAATTATTTCAATCTTCACAGTTCAGTGAATTTTTCAATCAATTTTAGTTCGAGAAGGGGTTGAAAAATAGCAGAATTGTTAAATGAGTTAGTAAAAAAGTTGTTTAAATCAGTGAAAGAGGTCAGAAAACTGTTTATAAATGTGTTGAACGACCATCACAGCAATAACAAAGAAAAACTTGAAGTTGTTAATGGAACTTTTCCATAAGCTTCTAAATTAATATGCCCAAAATAATAATTAATTTAATTGACAAATTTATAATCCTACCAGTTTATGTTTTTCCGTTACATCGACTCTCATATAAATATAAACTAAAACTGTCTGTAAACTGTTAGTCATTTTATAAAATGAGGGTGAAATGTTTTAATTAAAAACTGAAAGGTATCAAGAGATATGTTTTGAAATTTTAACATTGATGATGACAAACACGCATGTTAGCTGTACACGTATAGATATTTATTTTTTTATTGTTATTCGGTTATGTGGGCACCATAAAATTCACCAACAATAGTCCTTTATCATAACAGAGGAAACTTATTCTGATTAATTGCCTTAGGGCCTTGTGTCAGTCAGAAAAAAGTTTTTTAAACTTTTGTGTCACATCTGACACTTGGAGATATCTCATTCAACAGAAAAGCTTCTATGTTTGAGACGGGCTTGTAATAGATTTGCTTGCCAGATATCATTAAGTACAAAACATTTTTCAAGCAAACTTTTTTTTATCAACAAATCGTTCGTTTTCAATGTGCAGCGAAGTAATTCTTTAAGAGATTCCAATGAGAAAGGAGATCGTTTGGTGAATGTCATGCTGGAGCCAGACATTCTTTATGTTTATGCATATGTACATGAAACTCATTTATCGTTTCATGCTTTCTCTCTTTTATTGCGATCTTATTTGAATAGTCACTTTAAAATTTACAAAGTTAAGTTTGCCTTCGCGTTGGCGCTTGAAATTGACAGGACTTTTTTTTACGATTAAAAACGAGCTTTTCATGTTAATGTACATGAATATGCATAAAATGTTATGTTGCGAGAAAGATTTTTCTCTCTTCTCTCACTTCCATTTCCGGTATCGTCATGAATTTATTGCACTTTGCCGTATATTTCCTATACATATCATGTCAATTACGCTACATGACGTGACTAAATCACAAATGAATCTTTATGCCTTGAAAGCAAATGAGAGTTTTTTGTACATTTCTTTTTTACGGTTGATCAACAGTTTGCTGACAATCATTCACTTATAAAGCCCCTCGCAACAAAGTTGAGAACTTTATTAGCATCAAATATTGCATTTAAAAGTCGTAAAAACTTTGCTTCCGTAAAAATGATGAAGATTTATGTCTGCCAATATTTTCTTTGAAAAAGAATATCTGAGAGAGTTGCGAAGCTTATTACGAGGGATGTGATGGAAAGCCAAACAACCCCATCATCCCTTCTAATGTGGAAAAAGAAGGAAGGCATGGCTCGCTTTAATATCATAGGGAAAATATTTTTTTCGTTAATAACGAGCCTTTTGGCGATACTGAAGCTTATCTTTTATTACGGAAAAATATCATCAAAAAAGCGAATGACTGTGTTCTATTCAAAACAAAGCAAAAAGAATTCAAAACAAAGAAGAAAATATCTTATCCTCCTCGAAATGTTATTTTTTTTCCTCGGTTGAATTTCGGATGGCAACCGAATGAAAACAAACAAGAAATATATCATAATATTTGCGAAAAGTTACACGAGAATAGTTACATATATGGGTTGGGTTGAAATGAATACAGATAGAGTTGCTAAAATGTTAAAGTTGTTGACTCGAATGAAAGCTTCCGCACAGCATGGAAAAACTTTAAGAATGAAATTATCATGAGAAGTCATCGAGCATCGTTGCACTTCCTATTGATTAAATGAGGCATGAAGTTAGTCCCATGACTCGATCAGATAATAGACAATAACAAGGAAAGCTGCAAGCATCGTTGAAAAAACGAAATAAGTTGTGACAGAAAATTAAACATCGATACCAGCTAAGTACTCAGTATCATGCTAAGCACATTTGCTCCCCGCTTGAGAAGATTGACTTTTGCGATACTTTTTATTATTCTCATTATCGTTTATTTTATTGAAGGGAAAGGATTTTTACTCAACTTCCCAACGCGCATGTTGCTTCCAGTTCTAAAAACATTTTTGAGAGTTTCCTTCCAAAAAGAGACTCAAAATTGATGGCAATAAATGAATGCAAGTCTGAAGTAAGATATCTTGAAAGCGATGTAAACAAAAGATGAAAGAATGAAGAAGAAAAGAAAATTTTTTGGTGTCTTAAGTTTCCACACGACATGTCATGACGATTGGAAAAGAATTTTCCTTGACCCTTTCATGCTTATTTGAAGATTCTCAACTTGACTTTTCTGTATTTTATTATATTGAAATCTCAAACGTTCACTCGACAGTGAACTTAATGATTTTTGAAAACAGGTGTTTAGTGAGATCAGAATTCAGACGGCGATATCGTGTCCATTCGCAATTTAAGTTGTAACTGCGAGGAGAAGAGTCATAAATTTCCAACTAAATGCTCGTAAATGGTCGACAATTTAACAGGGATTTATTTTTAATCTCGCTTTTTTTTACGTGTTTTATAACTTTTTGTTGTTCTTTCGCTCTTTTTAAAAAGCATTTTGCTTCGTCTGAAATAACGAATTGCTTTGAAAGAAATGACGCTAAACACGAAAAGCAGCAGTTGGAGATGCTGTGAAAATGTGAAAGCTTTAAATGCAATAAAATTTAAATCTTTCCTTTACATTGGTACGATGAAGATCTCAGTTGTTGTCCAGAATGTCTTTCATTTTCTTTGAAAAATTTGTATGAATGCTGAAATATTTTCAATTTGAATTCACATAGAGTGATTTGATGACAAATGATTTTATTTTGGGTCTTTTCTTTGCTTCTGAAATTAGATGAAATCTCCTTCGAAATCTAATAAGATTTAGGAATTTATGTTCTTTCTCAATCGTAAAAAAAAGCTTAGGAAGAAAATGTTTTTTTATTTATTTAAAACGAATGAAAAAATCGTCTTCAACTTTATTGTCATTTTTCTCATGGTGAAAACTTTCTCTGCGCAAACAAAACATTTGGCGTTACTCAAAACATTGAAAAATCATTAACCAGATTTTCATCACTTGATTCAACCTAAATAAATAATAACAGAAAACTTTCAAAATTTTCTTATTATGTCAATTTCTTTTTTGAGTCTCAGTTTCAATTCTCATTTTAAGCTTTTCTATCCTTTCTTTGTGTTTCTTTCTTTTATTCTTTTTTTGGAAAGCAATCGCTCATTAAATATTAATGGAGTCGAATGGTAATACAAAAATTCTTTATTTTCTTTTCCAACATCGAAGAAAATGTTGCCTTAAACTTCTTCCTTGGATCAAGAAGGAAAATATCGAAATGTTGTTTCCGATTTAAATCCTCCACAATTTCCATTGTGATTTCGTTGAAGAAACGAGCGACTGTCTTTATGTCCTTATCAGACGAACGAATTTCAAGACTTGTCTTTATTCACAGTGAAAATATTTTTTTCGTTTCTTGCTTTTAGGCCCCAAAACATTTAAGCAGTTGTAACAATTTTCTTTTCCGAATTGTTATGGGAAATTGAAACGCAAACAGAAATTTAAAAGAATTTTTTATTCTTCTTATTTTTATTTAACTTTTCCTCGTGTAACATGACAGAGAGAGAGAGAGAGAGAGAGAGAAGGAGAGAGAAAAAATCGTTCAAAATGCTGTGCTGAAGGCACACATGAAGCGTACATGTTTTGCTTTAATTTCTTCTTTTTAATTTCCTTTCAACAATTTTTAGCTTCGTTTTTGTATTTGAGAAGACTTCCTGCTTGTCAAAAGAAAATATGAAGAAAGAAAGTTGTTTGGAAATTGTAAAACAATAAGTACACAGAAAAATCAAACTGAAAATCATGCCCAGAAGTAAAAAAATTATTGCGATGCTGTAATGTAACCAAGGAAGAGGTGAAATTGATAAAGTAAATGAAAAAGAGAGGAAAACAAATCAGTTGTTCAATCATTTCAATTTATCGGAAGCTTCAAGGAAAACTCAGATGAAAGCTCGTGGTTTGGTGTGAGAGATTGATGAAACAGTAAACACAATATAAAAAAAGGATACAAATCGAAAAATCGTTCATTTTGTAATTAAAAATAAATTCAATGAATAATTCATAGATTCAAGTCATAAAACAATTTCAATTTGCTGCTAAAACCAGCTGTAGAAAGAAAGCTTTATTTGAAAGAAGTGAATAAAGTGGAAAAGAAAGCAGCAGCAGCAGTAGCGGCAAAAAAGGGTTTAAAGGATCAAAACGAGCGTCTTAGTGGGGAGAATCAATTATGTAAAAAGAAAATTCATTTTGAATTTCTTTTTTATGTTTTCTTTAATTTATTGGGGTCGTAGCATTGAAAAGGTTTAGAGTGCTTAGTGATTTTAGCATCTCTCGCTCTATCTGGCTTTGTTTCCTAAGCAGGTAGCTTTGCGGTTGTTGTGGACTCGTTTTCAGGTTCATTAGGTGCGGTTTATTGGGCGTTTGGGTTTGAGAGTCGTTTGTAAATCAAGAAAATGTCATGATAAAGTGATTCATTACGCATCTTGCTTCGTTTACTTATTTTCCATTTATCATTAGAACGAACAGGAAAAATATCAATCTGAGAAGATGGAAGGAAGGCAAAGGATGGGACTGCCAAAAACATCAGAAAAAGTGGCTCAATTGAATGAAAAGTTCCCATCGCATCGTCAAAATCGGAGGAAAACAGAAAATAAAAAATAAACTCATTCAATGGATGGCAAATAAGAAAAATGTTTTTTCAATCACAACAAAAAGCTGAAGAAATGAAGCGACAAGAAGGAAACTTCAAATAATCCCCACGAGTGAAGGGTTAATTTTGCTGAAACGGTTTTGCTTTTTTCCCATGCTTATGAACAGACGCACACCATCTCAATTTAATATTTCTCTTCTTCTCTTAAATCTCATGGAAACCTATCATGAAATACAAAAAGCCAATATTTCATCTTCCATATACAAGATTTTCGTCTTCTGATATTTATTTTATTTCGCAGCCGAATTTTTCATTGGATTTTTACAGATTTTCATCCTCGGTAGATGCTTGGTATGTTGTGTTCATCTCATGTTATTGATTTATGAGCCTGTTTTGAAAACGATTTTGATAAATTGTGAGCCTTAAAGCGGTAGATCTTACTTTTATTCATCTTTTTTCCCACTCGTAATTCTCTCACCACATTCCTCTTCTACCTTACATCACCACCTTATTCTTCGGAATAAAGCGGAAGCTTTCACAATTTTTATTTGCTTTCGCAATCTTCAACTCGCATCACGATTCACCGTTTTCTGTTCACCGACAAAAACAAAAAAAAAAAGGAACGAAGAAGAAAAGAAATATCGAAGAAAAGTTTTTCTCTTCTCGCCAAAAGAGATTTCCTTTAACGCTTCATAGACTCGCATGCCACACATCATAGATTTCCACAATTGGCATACTTTTATGCGTTCGGCAAGCGACTGTCTTATCATTTCTTTTACTTTTACTTATTTTTCTTCTTTTTTCTTCATGGTCGTCGTCCCAGGGCGTTTTCGAAATGAACTACTCATGCAACGGTTCAGTTTGTAACGAGGTCATGTCACACATCGTCGATGTTCAACAACTAGGTATAGAATGAAAGAAAAAAGATTGTAAGCGATATTATCATTAATGATCAGCAAAGGAAATTAATAGCCACCGCAATAAGAAAATTGTGGACAACATATCCACACATTTAATATTGTTTACGTCTCATTCTCGAGAACTCGACCACATCGGATTGATGAAATCATTCTATTGGTAATTATATTAGATACGATGAAACGAATGTCAATTTTTTCTTCTTTCTGCCTCGTCATAGTGGATATGAGAGATTTGCTTCGACCCGAACTGTCATCTTCAATTGCTTTCACGCTCAACGTTGGGCTCATGTTGATTTTCCTTTAAAGAACTTCCTGCTGATGTCCTAAATATTTCCTTGAATAACGTTAAGCGGATTCATGTAATGTGAATAGTGTTTGTCAAGTTAATTTCCCAGAAGAGCTTTGATGACGTCCCCTAAGAAAAAAGGACAATAAAAAGTGATTCCCTTTGTTAGAAAAAAGGACATCACAATGAAATGAAAGTTTAGTTCTTGTTGTTATTTACTCTTTGAACTTGATGAAAAGAATAAAAAGAAATTCCTTCTCATATTTATTTCCTAAGGTCACTTTATGTCTTTTGATTTCAATGAAGAATGAAGAAGGAAAAAAATGAATAAAAATGAATTGGAATTCGTTCAAAAGGAAATTGCATAAAAATTGTTCCCTTTGAATTTTAATTCTTCTTCCTTGAAGTATTTTATGCAAACAAAGTGGACAAAGAACGTGATTGGGAAAAAGTAGATTGAAATAATGGGACAAGTGAATAAGAAGTTATTACGAGACTCGAGGGAAAAAAATTCATATTGAGTTGAAGAACAAGGACAACAGAGAGCTGTGGAATGTTTATCTTGAAAAGTTCTTTGTTCTTCTGCAATATTGAATATATATTACTGTAGGAGTGTCTCGAAATAACGTCACATTCCTCAAGCAACATCTGTTACCAATGATTTCACGCTTCCATAAACATCATTCACGTTCACCTTATTGAATCTGCAATAAAATTATGAAATTGAATGTCTTCAATTACTTTTTGTTTCATCATTGAAGTATTCTTGAAATCAGAGATTGTGTAATTGAAAAAATTTCTAGAGCAGCGAACGATACAATTTACCGTTCAAGGACTTGTGAATATTTTTTAAGTTTACATTGATGATAGAATTTAAATTAATAGATAATAGTTAAGACTTTGACACAGTTTTTGTTATCAACTGAGGCTGCTTTCGTTACAGTTATTGCGATGTTAAAGCTGTTTTGGGTTGAAGCTTCATTCTAATTGAATTAAATATTTAAATGTGAACCACCTAATCATGTTTGATCAAGAAGGCTTCTTATTGTTTGAAGTTTGTTGTGTTTAATTTTGATTTGGATATCACAAAATATGACAGCGCAATTTAAGATTGTTTTCAATTGAAAGCCCGACTGATCTTTCATCATTAGATTATCTAAAAGGCCAATTTTTTTCAACTGTGCTGGACACAATTAGGTTCTATTGAAGTTTTTCCTAGAAACTTTAAAAGAATCGTGTTTTCTAAAGCTGAAACAAAGATTTGAGTAAACAAATCACTTATCGTCGCTCTTTCCACAGATGATGGAAAATCTTTTTCTAAATGTTTACGTTTTTCAAGTATTTTGTAGAGCATGTTGTTAAGCATTTTGTTTATTTTAGATTCCGAAAGCTTAAAAAAATAAAATAAACACTTTTCATGTATGAATGAAGTAAATATCAAGAAAAACTAAATTATTATCATAAAAATAGTTCATCAAGCTCATGACTTAAGATAAGAATCTTCAAATGTATATGCGAATATTTTTATATCTAAGAGAGATTTTCTTAGCAAATGGCAAATGTAATCTCTGAAAAAATATTTTGCTTCTTATCAAGTCATCAATTTCTTTGTGTCATCTTTACATGACATAAGATGAAATTAGTTTTATCCTTAATCCGTTAATAACGTCGCATTTCTCAAGTATTTAACATCTACTGACTTTGTTCTTGCTTTTCTAATGATATCACAATGTAAGATCATTAAAAAGCCATCAGTCTTATGGAATCTACCATAAAAAAATTAATAAAGTTGCATATCTATCTGTAATTACTTTCTCTAATCTTTAAAACATTTCAAATATCAGCGATTGAATTTTAATTGAAAAATTTTTTAAAACAGAGTACGAAACAATTTACTGTTCAAGGATTTGTGAATATAATTGGAATGGAAGTTTTGAACTGTTTAATATTCGCCAATCGTTCACAAAGAAACTTTTATATGCACAGCTTAGTAAAACAAAAGCTTCGTTTTTTCTATTCTTTCTCTTCAAGCTTTCCTTAGTTGTTCTTGTTGTATAAGAAGGATGTATGAACTTAGTTAAATAGGATGGAAAAAAGTTTAGTTTCTTCATCTTTTGAGATCACACGAGGCGAGAACGTTGTGTAAAAGATTCTTGAATGAAATCTGTGTCATACACAGCAACTAAGTGCATGAACTTCCAAGCTTTATTATTTTGTAATTTTCAATCGAGAAGACAACAATGGCAATGAAAAAGCATCTCACAAAAGAAAGAAAACGGATGTTTCTTTCATGTGATATCAAGATGTGTTTGAAAGGATATTATCTTGTAGTTAATATACAAAAACTCATTCGAAATTGAGAGAAAGAAAAACTTTTTCATGTTCCTTAAAACTTTTATCCACAATAAGAAAAATGTCGAGAACAAAGTCGCTATGCACGAACGCTTCCACTAAGTATTTCGAAAAAGAAACTATCATTCCAACCAGACAAAATTCTTTTGTTGTTCGTGAGAGAACCTGAAAAAGATTTTAAGAACCATCCATGATGTGTTCATTGAACAAAGAGAAGAACGTTTTTGTGTTTAAATTTTTCTTCTTTAAACAATAATTTCAACTCTATGTTTAATTTTGTGTGCATCTATACAAGAAAATGTAGGAAGTCTCATCTGTTTGTAAATGGCTAAAGGGTTCAATCGTATGGGGATGTACGGAAAAGTTCATGAATCATAAATTATTCTAATAACTTTCATTGTTATTGTTTCCATAGATGATTTATTTTAAAAATTATTTATGCAGAAGTTATTGCACTGAACGTTGTACAGAATACATTTTTACTTGTTATTAAATATCGATTTCATGAAGTCGGTCGTTCATTTGGTTAGTTGGCAATTCATAAAAATTAAAACCACAATAATTTTCCAGATTTGTGTATCTAAATGTTCAATTGATTCAATTTATCATTTTATGTTCTAATAAAGGCAAATTTGTTTTAAAATTTAAATATTATCATGCACGTGTACGTGTCAGAATTCAAAGCCGATGAATAAAAAGTTTATATTGAAAGTTTTTATTTATAATTTCTCATTGAAATCTAAAAACAACAAAGTACTTACTCTTTTTGAAAGAAATAAAAAAGTTAGATCATAAATTGCGATTATTTTTTCTTTAAATTGTTTTTCTCTTTAAAGCGTCTGAACAGAAAACTGTAAAAATCCTTCAAACTTGATTCATATTTTGTGAAGCAGCATAACTTATGTCAATTAGTAAATGATGAAGATGGCAGACGTAGCCAAACAGTTTCCATGAAAGTTTTTCTATTTTCCATTTCCAGATTCTCACAGTCTGTTTGTATGAAAACTTAATTTAATATATGTACTTCATAGCAATGCAGAAATAGCAGAAGTTTCGAATGAAAAGCTGATAAAGTTTCATTATAAATAAAGCACAATGATAATTGCCAACCATTTAGTTCAAAGAAATCATCTGATCTTTATTTCTTTCATTTCTTTAAATAGAAAAACCAGAAAAGAATTTATGCGACAAATTCATATGGAATTGGTGCGAGGAAAACTGGTTCTGGTGGACTCACGATGACGCGAGCAGGTAATGGTGCCTCAGGTTTGCGCTTAAGGATGATGCGTTTGCCTTGAGCAAGAGCTTCACGACGTTTCTCATCATTTGTTTTGACGCGAGCCAAAAATTCATCGCGACACTTCGAGGGCTTGATGTGTTCGAGACGGACATTGATACGCTTGGGAAGGATCTTTCCTCGCACTCTTTTGTTCACAATCACTCCCAATGCGTGTTTCGTGACATTGTAAACACGGCCTGTTTTACCGTGATAAGCTTTGAATGGCATACCTTTGTGGACTGCACCATTACCCTAAAATTGAGAAAGATTAATAAACGTTTAAAAAGATTCTAGTTAGCCTTCTATACCTTAACATCAACGTAGTCGCCAATTTTGTAGACACGCATGTAAGTCGACAACGGAATTGTTCCGTGTTTTCTGAACTGGCGCGAGAACATGTCGCGAGTTCCGCGGCGATAACCATGTGTTCTAGTCATTTTGAATGTTGTTTAGCTTCAAGATCTGCTGAAATTATAAGAAATTGTGAAATATTATTTACTTGATTGAAAAAATTATTTTTCAGTAAAAATTTTTAAAACTCAGTTTAAACATAAAAAACTAATGAAGATCTTAAATTTTTTAGCATCATAGGGATGTATGAATGCTTATGTTTAATATTTTATGTTTAGGTTGTAAGAAAAGAGCTTGTAGATGAATTAAATTTAATAAAAATATTAAATTTACATGCGATTGTATTGCAGCTAAAACGAAAAGGAAGAGTTAGGTTGGAAATGTGTTGCACGATGCGAATTTCGTTCAATTCAGCAGACGTAGTCAAGACACATTTAAGCAATCTGCTGAATAAACATTTTAGTATTCAGCGCGTTCATTTTCCACCGAGTTAAAATTATTTCTATTTTATTTAATTTCCCCTCCCGTGGAGTCTAAGTTCTATAAATAAAATATTTTTAAATAGATATCCAAATGTGCTGCATGAAATGGTGTAGAATATAATTTAAGAATACAAAGAATATTAGAGGAATTTTGATATTAAATTCCGATGCAACGCTTAAAGCAATTAATTTTGATAAAAAGCATTAAAAAGAGTTATGTTGACTCTTCTTAGCGAAATTAGATTTTGGACATCACGGGAGGATGAGTTGTTGATAAAAGATTCAGAATTTGGAGTTTTTAAGTAATTATTAAAATATTTTTGTCATTTTTTCTTTTAATAATTGTGAATTGACAACATTTAAGGTTTTCTGAACATAAAAAAGACACATCATCAGTTGATAAGTACAATCAAGCAAAAAGGGACTATGCAGAAAGACGTGGTCTGGTGTGGTCACCTGACAATAAACAACCAGGAAAGCTAAAATCTTCACTCAAACACTTCGAAGACGAGCTAAAGACAAAGAAAGTTGTTTACTGTGAATGGAGCGATCAAAAGACATTCCAGTTAATGTTATCGAATGGCCTATTAATTTATGTTGAAATCAATGTATTTACTGGCGACATCCGAAGAATTAGTTTCGATAAATATTTCATTGGAAAAATCATTTCAGAAAATATTTGTGATGGTAAATAATTAAACATCGAATTAATGTCTGTTTACTCATTTCTTTATTTTATTTCAGTCATAATCACACGACAACATGTCATCATATCCTATAATGAGAATCAAATAACATTTGTTCACCTTCAAAAACCATCATTAAGAAATGTGACACAAAAAATTTCATCGACTGATCCAAAAATCTTCAACATCATCATCGGTGGACAAACGAAGAAAATTAATCGAAATCTTGTGATAAATCTCAGCAATGACCTTTTGTTGATATGGACAAAGTCATCGCAAAACGAATTCTTCCCATGGCGGCCTTCAGTGAAAGATCAAGAACGAGCAAATCTTCACATTTACAAACTCAATCGACTGAAACTTGAGCCATTGTGTTACTATTGGACGGAAAACGATCCAATTGGCTTTGAATTCTCGAAATTTAATGAAAATGAAGTTCATTCAGTGGAACAGAAGATCTCAAGAAAAGGCGACGTGACAATCGAGAGTTGCACTTATCACTTTTCCAACAGCAAATCGAAACTTCAAAGAACTTCAGTGACTTCGATTCCACTTCAAACTGAAGTGTCTTGTAATGCTTTCAGTCCGGATCATGAGAAACTTCTGATGGGTTGCATTGATGGATCGATTGTATTGTTTGATGAAGGTCGTGGAATTACTTATTTAGTTAAAGCTTCTTTCATACCAACGCAAGTTTCTTGGCATCCTGACTCAGCCATCGTCATGATTGCCAACGAACGTGGACAACTTCAATGCTTCGACATTTCACTTGCTTGTATTAAAAATCAATTGTTGAGTGAAGATGTGACGCCATCGAACATTCTCGACTTGTCAACTTATTTCGTTAAGCAGCCGACGCTTCTGAAACTTTGTTGGGCGAAGAAACCTGACATCAACAATCATTACGAAAGATTTGCTCAGGTTGATGGGTTTTTATTGTTGATGTTTAGTTCAGGAGTCTTTGCCAATATGCGTTACGTTAGTGGTGCGGGACTTAAGAACGACATTCACACTTCAGGCTTAACTGGCGATGTCATCATTGACATGTACATTTCACTCGATCAAGTAGAACGAGCTATAAATGTTCTACTCAGTCTCAATTGGGATACTTACGGTGCGATGTGCCTTCTGTCACTTCATAAGATTGCCAACTTCATGTTCCAATTACCAGCAACACCTGAGCGAGAAGAACTTTTACAAAAAGCTTTGGGAAGTTTTCATGTTCCAACAAAATCACTTTGCATGGAAACTGAGACAGAATTTGGTGATAATGTCGATGACATCACGAGAAGATTCTTTCATTATCTGATAAGGTGAGTTGAGTTGCAAAGTTTTGTTAATAAAATTAATTTTATTTGATGATAAAACACTTCTGTATCATCTGTGATGATTACTTTCACCACTTACCCTACTGAAGTCTAATTAAATTTACATTCTCAATTTATTCTTAATAGAATGACTTTAAAAAAGGAAATTTTGTTTAATTCACAGGTACAAATCATACGAAAAAGCTTTTAGCCTTGCAATTGACATCAATGACGCTGATCTCTTTATAATCTTATTCAAATGCGCTAAAGCGCAAGGTTTGGATGATTTAGCTGAAGAATCGATGAAGAAAGCCGATGAGATTTATGCTGAAGAAGAGAATGAAAGTCATCATTCAACATGTTCAATCACATCTTGTTCAATTTGTTCAAATTCTTGTGACTCTGAGAGTGACGACGATGCAAGTACGCATTCAAGTGTTGAACAAGGATCATCAATAATTCAACCACCGTCGTCTGATTCCAATGAAACGCCAACAACGAGACAAGAAAGAAGTGAAAGTCCAGTGAGAAGATTGAGAAAAAGTTTATCAGCTGAAATTCTGAATCATCCGCCATTGCCGAGATTTCCACGATATGACGTTAAAAGAATGCAGAAAAGTTCAATGGAAACAACGAATTCCAGTAATTACATTCCACCTTTGCCACAAGTGTCATCGTCAGCTCACGATCAGAGAATTTCAGAGAATCTCAATGAAGCAAAACATCAACAAACAAGTTCAAATAATAAGAAAAAGAAAAATGCTTCGTTATCGAATCTTACAAGTGAATTGACATTCCAAAATCTCAGTAAATTTAATTACTCGTCAATGGATGAATTTAATAACAATCCAAGTTCAAGCAGCACTTTCAATCCGATGTCATTACAAAGTCAACAACTTTCAGTTGTCGATATTGTGCCGAAACCATCAAAGAATCTTCCTGATTTAGATCAAACCATTGGCATTCCATTAACGTTTGATGCTGTTGATAATTCATCTGGAAATGGTTATTATCAATCCTTAGGACCGTCACATTATTCATCTAATCACAACAACAACAACGACGTTTCGAATGATTATGAATATCATCAAGTGCCAACGACAATCCATCAATATCCGCTGATTTCCGGGACAATTCCATCGACATCGCAATCGAAGATGAATTATAATAATTTACCGACACCAATGTTGAGTCCTAGTAAGAAGAATCAACAAGCTGTGCCCACAGGATCGATTCTAACGACAAATAACACGAATGTTGTCAACAGCAAGAAAGAAACTGGCGAGAAGAACAAAGTGAAGTTTTCCGATACAATTACAGTTGCTGTCGTTCCAGAAATATCAAGAAAGGAAAAAGTTGTCAACTTTAATGAGCGTGTGAAGAGAAAAACAGTTTTCCATGGTTTGATGGATCCACGTCGTGAATTGCAAGAAAGTTTACCACTTTGTCATCCAAATGAAGATTATCTTAAAGATTTCTCACCAGTTTCATCTGATCGATCGAAAGACGCTTCACCATCAACCAGTAAATCAAACAACGATGACAAGAAGAAACCAACGATTAAAGTTGTACATTTTGGAGTTGTTTAGAAATTTTAAGCCTTAAGTTATGGAGACTGACAAACTTTTTTTAAAATAATAATACTTGCAATATTAATCCGTCCTTAAAACACATTCCAGTAATGTTAATGTTTATTATGCACTTTTGTGACATTTTCTATTGACTATAGAATTTTTTACACAACAAAATAAATTTTTAACTAAAAAAGAAATTTTTGTTTTTATCTTCTTCTGCTTAAAATTGGACCACCAGCAGCATCGAGTTGTGCTTTTAATTCGATGAGATCTTTATCGGGAACATAGCGACTTTCTTCGATGATGTCAGTTTGATGAACGACCGACAGTGTAACACCTTCCGGAAGTCCGCTTTGAATGAATCGAAGGAAAATCGGATAAATTGGCGCTTGAAGGTCAGAAATTTGTACGTAACGTTCGTAGGTTGTAAGATCATATTGAGCATCTACCACTGTGCTAGATGGTCTGTAACGTACAATTTGTTCTTTCTTTGGAGGATGTGCCCAACAATCGGATACATCAAGATCAAGTTGTTCAGCAATTTTATGAACAAAACGTTGATAACTTTCAAGAATTGGGAAATCGTATCCAGTGATTCTAAAGTTTACAACATCATAACTAGGATATGGTGGTTTCATTGCTTCTAAGTATGGTGGTTCATATAAAGGTCCTACTGCAGTGTCACCAAAGAAACTTGAAGTTATTGTTCGACATGAATTTCTTCCTCTTACTTGATGTGTAAGTCGATTGATGATTGTTGAAAAATTCTATATGGACAAAATGAGAAAATAATTTCAGAACAAAAGAATGAAAAGTTTGACAAACCTTTAGCATTTTTAATTCCTTCGATTTGTTTTCAATGCTTCCAGATGTATTTAAATTATTTTAAGGTTTTTTTATTTTGGAAAAACTTGCAATTTCGACCTGTCGACAGATTTGCCGATTGTAAACAAAGGTTTGTGTCTCTGCTAAGTTTGAATCAAAAGTTTTAAAATTGTAAAAAATTGTGAAAAATAATAATCAGAGAAATCATTTTATATTGAAATAACTTGCATATTATTATTGTCATATTGAACAATGGAATTTAGATTACGTCGGAAAACAACATCGCATGGAGATGAGACGCCGAGGAAAAAGAAAAAAGACGAAAAATTTGCTATCGGCGAAAAAATTTTGTAAGTGAAAAAAGACGACGCTTTGTGGTAATAAATAAAATAAAATATTTCTCGTATTTTAGATGCTACGAGCCTGATGAGAAATTAGAACGAGTTCTATATGACGCAAAAATTCGTGATGTTGTTGAGGGAAAAGACAAGAAAGGAAAAAAATGTTACGAATATCTCGTTCACTTCCAAGGGTGGAACAGCAGCTGGGATAGAAGAGTTTCGGAAGATTTTCTCCTCAAAGATACAGCAGTGAATCGTAAACTTCAAAGGGATCTTGCAGAAAAATCTCAATTACAGCTTGGCGCATATTTGTATCGAAAGGAAAGGAAGAAGCGAAAGCGAATGAATGAACGGAAACTTCTCTTGAATGCCTCAGATGATATTAAAAGACCAGAAGAACATCAAGATCATGAAAATGAATATTACAGTAGCTCTGCAACAGAATCACACGATGATGACAGAGTTTTCCTTCATATGGGCGAAGTGCTTAAAGCTCATCTTGAATATGATCATCAAATGATTACTAAAGACAAAATTCTTTCAAAACTCCCAGCTTCATTGCCAATCGTAACGATTCTTGAGAATTTTGTTAAAAGCCATGCAATACAAGTTCTCACTGGACCGCAAGTTGAGCAACCAAAACCAAAACGAAGAAGCAGCATTATCGGACGAAAAGAACAAAAAATTAAGCCAATTGATTATGAAACTTTAGCCATTGGCATAGATTTATGTAAAGAAGTCGCTGATGGTCTTCGTGTTTATTTCAACTTCATTCTTAAAGATTTTCTTTTATATCCAGAAGAGAAAGAGGAAATGGAAAAATTTATTTCCGAAGAGAATTTGAAGGAATTTCGATTTACGTCAAGCGAACAACTTTCTTTGAACGATTTTTTCTGCAAACAAGAACCAACGAAAACATTCACAGCTGAGCTCAGCACAATACCGGAAAATGAAGGTTCATCGTCAAACGCTGATAAACGACCATCACGATTAAGATCGCATTCAGTGAAGACAGAAGAAGATGAAAAACCTGAAAATTTGTCGTCATTGGCAAGCACCAGCTCAGGAGATTCTGCAATGCCAGAAATAGTAAAGAAAGGGATTTTCTCGAAATCTTGGTTTCCTCTTAATGCTGGAATTAGTCCAATTGCGAGGAAGATACTTGAAGAAACATTCAACTGGCGAATGATTCCAGGAAATGCTGAACCAGAGCCTTCAATGATTTTTGGGATTTATCATCTCACCAGACTTGTTGTAAAGTTGCCAGAATTTCTCTCAGCAACGCCAATGAATGAAGAGAAGTTGACGATGTTGCTTAAATATTTGGACGTGTTTGTGGAGTTTCTCGAAGAGAATCCTGAAATTTATGGGCCCCAAAATTTCAACATCACTGAACCAGCTCAACCACCTGCAAACATTCACGATGTTGAAATAAAAATTGAAATTACCGACGATGAATCAGAAGAGGGATCTGAAAATTTTTATCAAAAAGACAAAATTAAAACGGAAACGTAAATCTTTTGACATTTAAAATTTTACTTTTATTAACAATTTTATTTATTCTACATTTTCTTTCTGTTTGTCTGTCCAACTATTTAAACTTCTTCTTACCTGCCAACATGATCGAAACAAGTTTTAGAAAATTTTGACATAAATTTCTTTCCTTTTCCTTTTTCAAACTAATTTTGGAATGACATCTTCGAACTTAAAACTAATTTTTTTTTCTTTTTTACTTATTTTTCAATAATCTAAAAATTAGTAGAGAGAAAGAGATTAGGCTTGTGATTGCGTGGGTGTGTGTGTGATTGATTGTTTAATATCTATGGGCATTTATGGATGTACTTTGATGTGAAGCACCGTAAATAAGTAGATAATGGCTTAAGCTTGTCTTTCATGAGTTAAAGTTTTTTTTTGAGACGTGACGGTGCTGATGGAGAATGTTTTGATATTGTCAAATTAGTTTATTTCACTTTTGTTAGTTTTGGTATGGCTTTTATTTTTCAAACTCGCATTTTCCTTTCAATGAGCTAAACTCATGGTAAAGAAAATTCAAAAACTGTTAAAAAAGATTATGAATGGATGAAAGTTGCATTAATTTAGCCTTAAGTTAATCTTAGTTCGTCAAATAATATTTGACGTCGTCAACTGTACAAAAAATGTTTTCTTTTCTTGACAATTTATATTTTGTTAATTAAGTTTAATAATAAAAAAAATTATAAATTGAAATTCCTGAACTTGTTACATATTAAACGTCTTTTACTTTTCGCTGTCATCGAATTTATCGAGTCAGCTGGAAACGTTGGAAAATAGAATAGAACAAAAAAACAAAAGAATTAAAGATTAGTTGGTTCGGATTCGAGATTACTTGGATTTAACTTTCGTGGCACTTGCTGCTGTTGGTCTCATAAAGCTTGAACTTCGACCTGATGGACTTGAACTTTTAGCACCGACGCCAGATCCGTTCGTTTTTGTGCTTGTGCCCGAAGATGCTGGTGAGACTCTACTACGACTATTTTGATTCTCTTTAAAGCTTGTGCTAACGGTTGAAGAGAGTCGTGATGTTGATGATGGTGTTGGTGGCTTGCGGATTGTTGGACCGATGCTTGAACCGCTTGAGCTGCTTCGACTTGCTGGCACACGACTGACTGATCGATTTGAAGTCGAAGATGTTGAATTATTTTGCAGCACCAAAGGCTTCTTCAATGACGATACGGAAGACGCTGAAGTCGTTGGTTTAAGTGGCATTTTCTTAACAGTATTCGTCGACACAGCGCTGTTAAGTGAAGACCTTGAACTTCTCAGACTTGTCCTCGAATTGCTTCGCTCAACATCAAGACGACGACTTGGAATTGATTTCGGAAGACTGAGACTCTGTTGAGATGTCTCTGGTCGTCTAAGTGAAGCTGTTCTTCTTGGAGTTGATGTTGCACTTCTCGAAACTCCTGTGACTGGAGCTCCGCTTCGTAATGATCTGCTACGTTCAAGTGATTGTTGATTTCTTGCAATTAAACTTTGAAGTTGATTTGATGAACGAAGAGGTCGTCGCTTTGGTGTCGTTTCAATTCCACTCACAACGCTTTCCGATGGTTTTTCACGTTGATTTTTTGCTTCTTCATTACAAGACGATGTTGTAAGTGATGGTGTGTCTGACACTAAGCTTTGAGTCTCTTCAAATCCTTCATCATTCAACTCATGTGAAATAATTTTATTAGACGAAAGTGGCGGTGTGCGGAAAGCATCTTTGGCATTCCACTCACGTTCAGGCGTTGGAGATTTTAAGCTTCTTATGGCTTCGCGTACATCTTCCTGACTTATTCGGCTTATACTTTTACCAATCTTACCAATTCGTGACACGACATCACTGTTGACTTTATTCTTAGATTCCTTACTTTGAATAGCGTCGGAAGTTTTCGCTTCCGATTTCTTATTCAAAGTCGACGATGAAGACTTCACAATCGTCGACTTTTCTTCTGGTTTTAAGATTGGGAAGCTCGCATCACTAATGGAATCGGGAGAAGTTGTTGCAGTATTAGTAACGTTGTCTTCTGTGGCACTGCTAAGATCAATTGGTCGTTTAAATCTTCGTGTTCTTCGTGCTGATGAAAATCTGTCGAACTGACCATCACCGAGAATTTCTTGTTCAAGTTTCGTTTGTTCTTTTTTATCACCAACATCTTCCGCTTTATGTAATGGCCTTGGCGCTTTGATGTTCTTATGTGATGCAATTGATGATGTTCTCTCACTGTTGCTGCTGCTACTTGGATGGTGATTAAAATTCTTTCTCACTGTTGGAGGTGTTTCAATATTATCAGAATCTATTTCTATCTTATTGTTAGTTTCATTCAAATGTGTTCGACGAACACGACGTGGAACATTTGGTTGATCTTCAAGTGACGAAAGTGGATCACTTTCAAAGGGACGGATGTAGATTGAGCTGTTATGTTTTGGATTTGAAGGTGACTGAATTGTTTCATCAACGGACGGTGGACGAATGTAAATCGACTGTTTGTTGAGATTACTGTCAGTGGCATTTGACGTGGCGACTTCACTTGAACTGTCAGACGAATTTCGTGAATGCGATTGGATCTTTTCAACAGGTATCGGATTCTTCTTCTTATCTTCTTCCAAGATTGAATGCAATGGAGAACCGCTGATGCTTGTAATGCTTCCTTCTCTTGATCTTTGTCTTCGTAACCGACGTGCGTCAGCATCAACCTCTTCTGAACTATTAGAAACATTTAAATTTGATTTTCTCCACGCTGATTTATCGCGAGCATGAGTTTGCACATCTGAAATTCATTTATTATTTATTTGCATAAACTTATGCAATTCAATGTTAAACTTACAAGTCATGCCTGCGAGTGTTTCAATCGTTCCAACCACATCAGCTTTCTCAAGCGTTGATGAAGGTTTCCATTCGGGATAAACTCTTCGATAAGGCTCAACTGATGTCGTTTGTATTGTTGGAATTGCTGATGGTGATTGATTCTGTGATGGTGAATGATGCGACTTTTCTTCTGGTAATGTGTCAAGCTTGCTTCCTTTCTCGCTTTCTGTTTATAAAACATTAAAAAGTCATTAAAGAAATTATTAAAATTAACAGAAATTGTTAATCTTCTTACCAGTATCTGTTTCAAGCGAACGTCTATTGCTTGTAACTCGTCTCATCTTCCTTCGATATTCTTCATTCTGTTTCTCGTCTTGTTCATTTGCTTGAAGCCAATTCTCGATTTTTTGACGCCATTCCCTAGAAATTCTGTTTCATGAAGTTTTCATTGACATTCAAGAGATGTGCGAATTTGGGGTGGGTGGGGAGGTTGAAATGTAAAATTTTCAATTAATTTTAAATGACGGAATAATTTTTTTCTTTCTTTTGTTGTTGAAAAACAAAAGTTAGAATAACAAGCCCAAAGATCCTTAGAGAAATCAAGATTAAGTCAATCACCATTAATGTTTAATGAAAAGTTTACATAAAGAAATAAAAGATAAAGAGACGACAAGATGATTGACACTTACCTTGGTTTTGGGTCTTCCTGTTCTGGCAGCGGCTTGCTTTCAATAACAGGAGATGGAGATGCCGGTCGTTCACGGTCAGCTCCGAAGTCAACGTTCAATAAGTTTGGTCGTTTTTTGTCGGAACTTCCTGAACGAGCTCGTCTTGCCCATGACCGATCTAAGCTTCCATAACCAGCTGCGGATTTTCTCTCGCGAGTAGCACCATCATGCCCAGATGACCTCAAAAAGTCCATTAAATTTCCTTCATCTTCTTCAGATAAAACGCGACTGCGTCGTCTTCGTAAACTTCCGTTCGGTGTCACATCAGGCGACATTCCGTCTTCTCTCATAATGACGTCGCCATTGCTGTTAAATGATCCCATCCTCCTTCGACTCATCGCGGGGCTAAAGCGAATATCATAAGTTGGTGGATCCATTAGGAAACTGTTTTCAGAATCCGACACCGGCGTTCCTGCTTGACTGAATTGACGCTTTTTATATGCCAATTGTTCTTCTCTTTGCTTTCGTCTGATGTTTGCTTGTTCTTCCAAAACACGACGCTTGTCATTCTCTTTGACAGCTGTTTTAAACTTCTCGCAAAATTGATAAAAAGTCTTGAAACATTCTTCAATCTTAAACTGTCCTGAATCTTCACAAAAGAATTCAGCAAGTTGAATTCGTGTCGTTTCAAGTTCTTTCATTCCACGCTGAAGCATCGAAACTTCACTTTCAGCAGCCTAAGTGAAAGTGAAATAATTTAATATTCTTCGTAATGTTTCGTATCAATTTACCTTCAAAAACTCTGCCATTTGTAATTTAATATCATCTTCAGTCGACGGTAGTTCGATTTGCTTCTTAATTGTAACAATTCTCTTATCTAAAGCGTTGATCTCGTTGTTAAGTTGTTCAATTGTCGTTCTGGAATTTTATCAATGAAAAGAAATTTATTTTTAGCAAAATGTCTAAAGACACAAACTCACTTTGACGCATTTTCAAGACTTGAAAATTGTTCTGGAAATTGAAGCAAATCTCGATTCTTCTTCTCCGCTTGTAAAGCAACGAAATGAATTAAATTCATTCCTGGTTTGTTGGCTCTTATATCAGTCAATTTTTGTAATGATGAGAGTTTAACTCCCGCAGCATTTCCAGCATATCCACCAGCATTTAAGAAATTCCCAGCAACAACCACCATATAAAGCACTTCTTGCAAAGCTTTATTCATCATCAAATCTATAATTGGGATGAGAATATTGAAATTGAATGAACAATTGCACGAAGATTCTTACCTTCGCCAGCATAAAGCATTGCATTGATACTTGGTTCTAAATAACTTAGATTCGCAGCGAATTCTTCCTTCAACAGCATGCATTCAATTCGCAATTTATAGCTAAAGATTAAAGAAAGAAGGAACGTTGAATGTTTTGTCACATTAAATATGAATTCGATGATGACATCGTCGACCCTCACAAATATTTCTAATTATAAACTTTTTCTTAACTTCTGTTCTGCCGGAAACTGAAAGCGTCTCATCCACATCATCATCATAAATTCATGAGCAATTCAACTTACTTAGGCACTTTTAAAAGTTGTAGCAAAAACTTCTCAGCATTTCCTAGACGATTTTTTTCACCATCAAAATTCTTCAACATCTCCAACTCGTCAAACTCAGGTAAGATTTTCAATAAGCCACGCAACTTTTCCGCTCCAATCTCATCGTGTTCACCTTCTCGAATCATTTGTGTGATTTCCTCATTTGTGCTTCGAAATTGTTTGAGGAAGATGTTAACATTTAAGCTTCGTTTTCCGTCAAGTAATGTGATCTGATGTGGGTGAAGTTTCATTTTTATATTATTTAGAAATGAAGAAGAATGAAATTGCGAGTGTTAACTTACTTCGTTATCTTTCCTTGTACGACGATCAATTGTGTCAGATCCCGATTCTCTTCCAAGTTTTGGTGATCCTTGTGTTACTTGCTGACAGAATAAACCTTCCATCTCATCCCAATTCATTTCAGCCATTGGACTATTCTGATGATTATAAGCAACAATCGACCAAATATTATTCTTTCCAACAACTTTATTTGGCGGAATTTTATTCCAATTTATTGTTTTCATTTTTGCACGAGGCGTTGGCGTCTCTTGTTGTGGTAATGGCTTCAATGAATCTGAGGTAGTTTCATTTGGAGTTTTTGGTCTGGTAACTTCGTTCGATGAGTTGAGAAGATTAGGAGCGGGCGGACATGCTGGAGGGTTGGGAACTTTGCTTATCATAGGAGGTGGCGGGGGAATTGGTGCTGAATTGGGTAATTAAATTAATTAACAAACTTATCTCTAACATTCTCGTTCAATTATGTTTTATTACCTGCCGGTGGTGGTGGTGGAGGTGCGGCAGAAGCAGTTCCCGACGATGATATTGGTACGACGGGAACTGCTCCACTATGAGATTGTGGTGTCGTCAGCGTAACAGATGTGAGATTATGTGGTAAAGATAACTTTCGATTGGGACTTGTAATGTCGTGTCTACAATGTGGACATGAAAACTTTTGCACGCTTGGCGATCGTAGAAGTTTCACTGAATCTTCGCGATTTTCCAGAAGTGTTGCACGATGGACGAGCGTCTCTGCCGTGTCCCAGACAACGTCGTTGATGTCGTCCTTTGGCTCTATGCTTAGCAAATGTTGCAATATATTCAGAAATGGAATCTCTTGGGGAGTGTCGGCAACCTGAGAGATGAAAAATGAATGAAATCGTAACAAAAATTATTTGAAAGAAGAATAAAAAAATTATTCAAATCACGATTCGTCACTGACCTGCCGTAATATCGCGTAGAAGACATCAAGATGCGAATTCAAATTGATTCCATCGGGTCCCTGTAAGCTTTGAGACTCGTCGCATTCTCGTTGTTCGTCGAACACGTCCAACTGAACGCTTAAATCGGGCACACTATTTGCTATTCGTCTGTAATTGTGACGAAGCGTTAAACAAATACGAATGAGTGTGCTTTTAATTTTTATTTCTTTCTGCTACTAAATAAATATTCTCGATTTCCTCCCACCGCCCTTCCGCAACATGCAATTCGAATGATTTTAGGTGAAATGTCAAAATGTTTTTTTTACTACCGTAAATTTTCTTTTTTAGTTTAATTCAATACGTTCACTTATGTAATTTAGAGAGACTTTCTGATCAGTTTCAAAATATCTTTTGATGTCAAAGATGATAAGCGACAATTGCGTGGATTATTTTAATTTCAAATTAATATCAACAACAACAACATTGATGGAAAAAGTTTTATAGATTTTTTGTTTTTCTCAACACCGAAAAGCTTTTTCAGGAATCTTTAGCATTCAACTTTGTTCAATTTCACTTGCACTTTGATAATTTGTCGGTAATTTGTTTAGAGCTGGAGACAATCGGCTGAAGAATTTTTTATTACGTTTGGAAATATTTTTTTTATTAATTTCTCGGTTGTCAATACGAGAAAGAACTTTTCTTGAGGGAAACTCTTTCAGCTCTGAGCATGATGGAAAAACTTTTTCTCGACTCTCGTTTTCACAAGAGAAAATGTATTAAAAGAACAATAAGGAAAGCAGCACACCACGTGCTATTATCATGCGCACGCATTGTGCAGCAGAAATCATGTACATAACAATATTGAAAGCTCTCAATGCACTTTTACGTTGTGGTAACAACGCCGCAAACCGTGCAAAATTTCCTTTGCGACTCCGGTCGCAATTGTTTAAAATAGATTTTTCCACAACATTTATCACTGTTTCCATTTTCACTGACATCAAGGCCATGAAAATTGTAATACTTGTACATAAAACAGTTGCTTGTTCTCACACTTAAATGAAACGATTCTTCTGTACGCTACTGACAACAAATTGGATTTGTTAATTAGTTTTTCATGTTGAGTTCATAACAAAAAAAATTCATTTGCCTCAATGAACAGCACATAATGTTTTGATAATTCTTATTTTTCTTGGAGTCAGGCATGAATCGACATGGAGTTCTTATGAAAGTGTAAAGTGTAATGGAGAAAGGAAACAATAGAATTCCATGACTCGGTTTATTTCTCCAAAGAATTTCATATCGTAGATAAGATATGACTTGTCTTTGTAGCGTATATAAATGTTGAAGAGAAATGCAATTTTAGAGATGACGCAATGATCTCGGAGGTTATCGAACGATGAATTTGATTTCTTCTTACTTAATGTCTGGTAGCATGTTGCATTTATCGATTAGCTTCATTGTTATTTTTATTCTCTTTTGCACAACTACTTAAAGTGCGATAATCCAAACAACGTTAAACTGAACAAACAAACAAAACAATTCCGAGAATATATCGTAGAAACTTACTCAATATTGAGATTTTTATCAACCGAAATGTACATGACGAAACGACGATTTAAAAAACCATAACAAAGGCTTCCATTGAGTGGAAAAAATTATTTTAAAATCCCGATTTCTTGTGTGCTTTGAATGAAAAACTTTTCGATACTAAACTTATTTAAAAAATCGTAAAAATTTGTGTGAGAAATAATAATAAAAAGCAACAATAAACTGCAATAGTATTGTTATCAGTCGTCCTCGGCAAGGTCGTTTGATAAAGTTTGATAAATAGTAAAGCTTATTGGGTGTATAAATAAAGTCGATTCGATGTTTATGTTTGAGAGTTTTCCGGGGAAAATTGATAATCGTCTTAAGTCTAAAATAATTATTGTGAAAATAGTCTTAAGTGCATGATTTGTCAATAACACTTAAATTTCCTTTCAAACAGCTACTTGTTTTTACTGTCACTTACAAGTCTTGCTTTTTATTTATTTACTTATTTTAACGTTTTTTGCAAGACACGCAATCTAGTCATTGTCGTTTTATTTATGCGTGACAAGACGATATGAAGCTTACCTTAGATTATTTAATACTGGTAAGAGATTTAAACCTGTAAAGAAAAAAGAAACAATCCATTAATGAATGAATAAAGCAGTTTCAATCAAATGAACATCAAACTACTTGTCTTGGTAGTAAAACATGGCAAAAACAAACATTAATTTACTAGCTTGATGGCACGATTAAATTTGATAGCTTGTTTGTGAGCTTCCAAAGTTAATCACCTTCTAAACGAGATTTTCTTTCGCACGAATGCTTTTATTATGGGTTTGATCTTTAAGATTAACTGCAACCGATCTTGGAATTATAAAAGATAGAGAAATTCATTTTAATTGCCATATTAATTTATGAATCATAACAAAGTTGTTTAAAGTTTAAACGTAATCAGTGCACTAATGAATCATAATTACAATTTTTCAACTAGAAATTCAAGAAGAAGATGATGAAGAACGTGAGTGGATGATTGGAAGAATGAATCAGTTTCAACATTTCGTTTATGAGTGAGTGGATGAATGAGAAGCGATATCAGTGGGTGGGAAAACAAACCTCCAAACATGGAAGCAAAATTTGTGATGAGAGGGAGTCGCAATTTAGAAATTCATCGATTAACTGTGTAAAGGGAACGAAGTCAAGTGGCAATAATATTAACATTAGCGTATAATGCGAAGCGGCAGCAATCTTGAACATGACCTTACCATTCATAATCGATTAAAATGTGTGTCACTTTGTTCGAACTTCGAAGTCGTAAAATCTGTGCAAAACTCTTTCAGGGTGTTTTTAGCACGACCATAGAATAATCAAATGATTTCATCGGCGAGATTTACTTCGTTTCATTCATTCTTCTTGTTTCGGATTTATTTCTTTTTTATGTTTATTTTTCACTGCCAATCGAGACGTGAATTTGAAGTATCGAAGTTGAAGCACGGTTTTTGTTGAGTGAGGTCACTTCCATAGATCTCTGTTTACAGTGTATATAGATGGGAAATTATAATTGTAAATATTATCTCATACACCACGAACTTAACCGTATTTCACGCCTTTTCTGGCATAACTCCTTCCGGCATTGAAACGCCATCGATTTAAAAAATCGGAAGAAAACAAATGTAATAATAATAATCATTCTTTACTGTCATGTTAGTCAGCCGATAATTGGCTTCACTGCTTATATTGCTAATCATAGTGTTTCGGAAACATGTCGTGGTGTCGGGACGGGACAATGAAAAGTACAACCTTGCATTCTTTGAATGCTTGCCTCTTGCTTTTCGTTTGCTTCATGTGTCGTCGTTTTTGCAGCTTTTCTCACGAACTTCGACGATGAATTTGCGACGTGATTATGATAGGAAAAAGTTTTAAAAGTCCGAATCTAATACGAGTTTTGTTATTGGGGTCGTTTGAAGCTTGACATCGTTACATCGATCTTGGTATCTCCTATTTAAGGAATAAATATTTTTTCCTTCTTCTTTTTCTAGTTTTCAAATGGCAAATTGAGAATCATATGAATATAAATATCTATGGTTGTTTATTTCTTTTTTTTTGGGGATTTACATCGTACCTTGACTTGAACTTTTCACTTGCTTAGAGCCACAAAAGGAGTTCCATTGGCCCTTGAATTATAAATATCTAAAGAAGGACAAAGTAATCACACATATCGTAATGATAGAGATAATATTTATCTGCACTTGAGCAATGTTTTAAAATGTTACAGACACGTTATGAACATTTGTGACGCGTAAATAAACGTTTCATGCTTAAAGTTTATTGTTTGCTTATCGGAGAAGCGAAATTGTCTCTTGTTATCATCGTCGACTTGATTATATTTTATTGAATTCAAACAACATTTTATGACACATCGATCGAGGTCCAAAATCTAATCAAGACAATCAATTTGGCAACTGTCATTGAATTACAAACATTTGTTTATTTGGGGTGAAGACAAAGTCTTATAAATCATTTTATTGATTGTTTCGTAAGGATTGTGAAAATGAGAGAAATGTTTGGAGATCTGTGGTTGTTGAAAAGTTTAAGTGTCGCTTGTGTGGGAAGATGAAATAAAACTGAAAACGTCTACTTAGCATGCTTCTTATATTTATATTTAAATGAGATAAACACGTGCAATTAGTTGAAACTGAATCTCTTTGTAAGCAAGTAAGCATTCATGACCACAAAATAAGTTTACATTTGCTGGTAAAAATAATTAATAGCTTTCAACGAGTGCTTTGTTTGTAAGGTAGAAATGCTTATTGTAAGGAAAAAGCGAAACACAAGACCGTTTTGTAAATTGAGAAGTGTTTACTAATCCGATCTATAAAGTCGCATAGAACAGTTTTGCGTATTCGTAATGAAAGGTTAATAGCGACAGCTTATGGCTAATTGTAAATAAACAAGATTTAGTTTCTCACCTATAAATTCATTTCGAACTCTTAGTCGGTCCTGGAGACTTTTTGCTGAAATGATTACGCAATTTATGAATGCTAAAAGCGTCACTTTGTATTCTATGGCTGTTGTTTTATCCAATTCCGTGACGACCACTTTTAAACGGTATCTGTCGTCTTTGAGATTCTGTTAAATGAATATAATAAAAAAATGTGAAAAGTGTGTAAACATTTAACGACAAGATCGTTAACTTTCGATGATCGTTGTTGTGTTTTATTTACCTTATAGTTTTCTAATGTTTCTATGGCACGACTGTAACCTGAACGCGAGTAGGCACAAAGTGCCGAAAGCAGCTCAAAGACTTGCTTCTTAACAATTTCATTGTTGGTGTCCAAAGCTGCTGCGAGCTTTGCTACATAATCACTGTTCTCTACAATATAGTCGAGTCCTATGCGCGAGTCCATTTTCTTATCATTCGATATCACTTCCTGATCACGATCGAGAAACACCTCGTCTTCGTTTGCTTCTGTAACACAAAACAATTGAATGTTATTCAAGCATAGAATCATTTTCAATTTTTTCTTTTCTGATTTGCCTCAGAGACTTCGCGATTCATTTGTTATGTGCGCGTTTCCGAAACCGTTTCTTTGTCAACTAACATGAGAAATCTGAATGGCGAAAAATAGATAAAAAAAACTTCTTTTTCTTTTCTTTTAGATTCTTTACCGCCTGATTATTTAGCTGAAATAAAAAAGGTGATAAAAAAGTCGTTTTTGTGTATGTTGGTGAAATATCAGCAGCTTTCTGTAAATAGCTTCAATTAAAACCGAAAATAATTTTTACGCCATTCAAAAGCTGAGAAAATCGAAACCGATACAGGCACTGGAAGAGTCATAAATATCGTCATTTGCAATCGGACATGGATCGACTATAAAATAATTATAATCTCTTCATTCTTATTAACGGGTTTTAAGCTTCAAATATGCCTGATGGCTATATTTGAAGCACGATAAATTAAATTTAACGATGAACGAGATATCTTTCAACTGTCGTTTGCTACTTTGGAAATTATTTCCAACTTGTTAAAATTTTTCTACGTTTTTCATTCTCAATTTATTGATAATTTTTGTCAAAATCAAAGCTCAAAATTCCATCATCATTAATTTTTGTCAAAATCAAAGCTCAAAATTCCATCATCATTAAATTTTTATTTCAAGCTTAGATAATTCTTGCATTAAGATGATAAGAATAATATTTTGAATAACAAGCGACGAGTCTTTTATGACTTATTCTCGCTTAATTTAAAATTTTGCAATCTCAAAATTTTATTTAAATTAACTTTAAAAAATTTTATACATTAAGTCGTAAAATAAATCCGCGAGTGTGTATAAAAATAAACGCTGACTTGAGGATCATTGACGGTAATTTAAAATCAATAATCGCCACGAGGGTTTCGCCGAAACTGTGAAATCGTTTACGTTTTCAGCTGTGGATAAGCGTTCTAGGAAAAATAGATTTCTAAACTAAGTTATAAATATTAAATAAAGACGATAAGTTGGAGACTCTTGAAAATTTATTACTCAACTATTTCGCCAAGAGTCAAACATTAAAAGTGGCACAGATTTAAATTATTTCGAGCTTAAGACATTCACCTCATTTAACGTACAATTTATACAACAATTTCTTGCAATATTTACCAAAGATAAGCACTAAACTCAAGTGGAAAGTAAATATGTGAAAGACGATTCGCAATGTAACGATTCAATGATAATTGCAAATGGATATCTCAATCTCTTTCAACTCTGATGGTCAGTTTAACATCTCACTTATTTAATTGTCTTCTTTTTATCTTTTTTCAACTGATTCATGTAATATGAAAGATTAATCGATTTTTTTTGAAAAAAAGATTAAAATGTAAGAGGAGATTTATGTTTGCAATCAATAAAATGTTGTCTGCTGCCACATATCCTAGCGAACAACATAATTTATTGACATTGAACTTTGATTCGCTGTTGCGAAACTTCGACATATTTCTGACATTGTCATTGTTTTTCTGCTGCTTAAAATTAAATCTTCAGTAGTTGAAGTAACGAAGACTATTAAAAGTCATTTTAAAGCGTTGGTGGAGGCGTCGTCGACAATCACCGTCAATTCTTCTTCGCTCAATTGTTGTAATTTTTTTTCTCTTTGTACCTGATGATTAATCAGCGATTCATATTATTTGAATCTATAATTCATGCTTATAAATTTTCTACGCTTCTAAATAATAAATGTAAATTCCATAAGAAAAAAACTTCTTAAACTATTTTTTCTATCTTAAATTGTACTTGGTACGTTTCGAAATATTAAATGAGTATAACGATGGTTAATTCAACTAACTATTAGTATTAAACTATTTCATAATTATCACTTTTCCCATTCGATTCGGATTTTTAATAATCCGATTGCTAAAGTGACTCTCATTTGTCTGTCTTTAAAAGCAACTTAGGTCGACTACAGGAGAGATTAAAAAATAAAAACTGTTTGTCTAGGATACTTAAATACTAACAACATTTGTAATTTTGTACAAATATCTCATCATCATCATCATCAGGTCTCGGACGAGTACTCCCAAAAAGGAGTTCTCCATCTGTTTGCTGAACCAAAACAGATCGCATTGGACTTNCTCTGACCATACTTTTATTTAGTTTTATATGTTTAATAAATTTTATATAATTTTCCACATGATATAAATGGGCTTGATGTTCATTAATAATAGGGTTACCTAAACAGTGTCGTCTATGTATCGAAATTGCTGGGCATTCGAATAAGATGTGTGATACCGATTCAGGGGCATTTTTGCAATATCTGCAACCTGGATCTAGTCTTTTACCAATCATAAATAAGAATTTATTGAGACAGCTGTGTCCAGTTAAAATACTTATAGCGATTCTAAGATCACTTTTCGTTAGCTTTAATAATTCAAATGTTCTCTTGCTGTCAGTTTTTTTGATCATCAGTTTGGAGTGATGATAGTTCATCCTCTTCCATCTTTCATTCATTGCTGTACAGGTATACTCATTAATAATTTTCTTATTTATGGCTGCAGGTGGGTGAAGAAGGATTTCCATTTCCTTAAGTGAGGTAGATTTTTTAGCCAGTGCATCAGCTATAATATTTCCTTCAGTTGAGCTGTGACCACGGACCCATACAATGACAATGTCATTATTGAGAGTTGCTTCATTTAGTGATTTAACACAATTCTTAACTGTGGCAGATTTAATTTTATAATTTGTTAGTGCTTTAATTGCTGATTGACTGTCGGTAATTATCGTCACGTCTTCTTTCAACTCCTTGTTAATGTTGTAGTAATCTGATATTGTTTTAATACCTTGTATTTCTGCTTGCAGAATGGAGCACTGATTATGGATTCGTTTACTCCACTTAATTCCTTTTTTGGGACAATATACGCCCAAACCAACTCTCTCTTGTTTCTTAGAGCCATCAGCGAACCAAAGAGTTCTGTTGCAGTCTAGATAAGACGATGGAAAGTTGTCTGTACCTTCAATAACAGTTTTAAACTTGTAAATATTATTGAGCACTGGGATCTCATCATTTTCCACTAATAAATTTAATTTTTCCATCTTTTTGGCAATAAGTCCCGAATGGCTTTTTTGCCAGCTGCTTTCTTTCCATGTTTTATTAGTTTTTAATCTAAGACAAGTGTTCATGGCTTTTGATAGTGTGCAAAGATAAATGTCAGGCAAGTTAAGAAGTACGTTAAGCGCCTCCGAGGGACAAGTTTTAGGGGCACCTGTAATCATAAGTTCCGCTAGTCTTTGCACTCTGTTTAGCGTGTAAGCGTATGATTTTTTTTCTAACTTATGCCACCACACAAGACATCCGTAGGTCATTCTGGGAATAACAATCTGTAAATATAGCCATCTCATCATCATAGGACTAAGTCCCCAATTTCTGTTAATCAAAGATTTAGTTGCCCATAAAGTTCTGTAACCCTTTGCCACCGTTTTGTCTATATGTAAACGAAAGTTTAGCTTGGCATCCAAGTGGATGCCCAAGTATTTAACGTAGTCTTTGCTGACTAAGCTAGTGTTAAAGAGTTTGATGGGAGAAGTGAATTCAATTCTACTTCGTTTCCGTGTAAATCTAATTAATTCTGTTTTCATTGGGTTAACATTGAGACTTACTTTTTGACACCATCTTTCAACAATTCTCATGCACCTATTCATCCTCTGACAAGCATGAACCATGTTTTTATCTGGAATTATGATGGCGACGTCATCTGCGTATCCTATATACAAATATCTAATGTGGACTTCAAGTTGGACCTACTAGCTGCTCGTAATTTGCAATGTAATGTCGTGACGCGATAAAAATTGAAGTTTAATTGTAACCATCAGCAATGTAACTAATCAATTTAACTTCATGCTTATGGCTTAATTAATAGCTTAGTGATATTTCATTAACTTGTTGTTTCTTTTAATTAGCCACGTTATAAGTTAATTAGAGAGGAATAATTATTTTCTTTCTCTCTCAGTTTGTGTTTTTATAATGACATCATCGCGCTAATTGACTCGCAATATTTATTTCTTTCATCGCATTGCATCGTTCAATTGAATCGTAAGTTTTATTGAAATAGCAGAAGATTTCAGATGTTTCAGCTCAATTAGCAATTACTTGCAATAATAAGACATTCGATAAACCACGTAAAGCTATCATTTTCACCTTCTTGATTTTTATCGCAATCGCTCAACAGATCTTAAAACTTTTTACAATCAATAAATCTGTATAAAATTTCATCGTCAGTTGTTGCGACTATAACTATAACAGCAACAGCAGCAGTTATAAAAAGCGAGGAGGTGAATAAAAATAATATTTAAACTCGACTAAGTCATTCACGAATTATTATTACATAAACCAGACTTAAACCGTCCCACCTCGTTTCGCTTTCATCAAACACGAGAAGATAGATTGTGTGTAAGAGAGATAGAGAAAGAGTTAAGCGTCTTTGACATTGAAATCTGATGTTTATGACTTCAACAAGAGCGAGTCTTTATTGTGTTGTTTGCATAGTCTGTAATTTTCCTTTTCTTAAATGGGCTTTCAAATGTTTCGGACATGAAAGAGTCTTTCAATTCCTACAAAAGCCGTTTAGATTTCAACGGATTGTTAGACAAAATCTTTTTATGTTTCTTTTACGAAAAGGGGAACGCGCAGTTTGAAGGTCAACAATTAAGTCTTTCTCGACTTCTCGCTTGCATTTGTAAATACAAATGCAATCTTCGTCATGTAATTCATGAAACATGTGTAAATGAACTGCGTGACATGTAATCGTAAGCAATGCGCACAAGAAAACTATTTTTAGATTAAATTGCAAAGTGAATTTTTCTGCCTTATTCGGTTCTCTCTCTTTTTACGCCGCTGACTGATTGAATCTTATTTTAAAAAAATGTTTCAACATTGTTGTAAACCACAGATTGCAATTCTGATCATTTAAATTCCTTTTGGCAAGCATAAGAAAGAATTGTGAATGATTTCAAGTCCATTTGCAATCATCGTTTGGGATTGCAAAGACCACACCATAAGACAACTTCGCATTAGAATTTCTATCTCCGTCCTTATAGCTTGAAAGTATTGACGTGAAACAAACAAATGGAATTAATTTTGACCAAATCGAGAAACGAAAAATCCGCTTTGTTTGTCATTCATATACCAACAACATCCGATTCTGACTAATTCGACTTCCACTGAACTTGCGATCAATAACTAAGAACAAGAAGCAGTCAAACATCGACTTTTTTAAGGTCTTTGAAAGCATTTGAATCCAATTAAAAAATCAAATCGACAAGTCATTTGTTATGAGCATCATAATCATTCATTCCACCCACGCATTTTTGGTAAGAATATTAGGCAGTTGTATTGAGCTCAAAGTTGAGAGAGAGAGAGAGAGAAAAATTCATCAGTCGCTCAGATTCTTAGACCACAGCAAGACAATTATCAATTGAACAGAACTCATCCCACGTCCTCAATGTAATCCGCAATGTTAAGCGCGACAAAAAAACAAACTGGATTTACAATGAAGCTTTAATTTCTGCTTTTTTTTTTCATTTTTTCGTCGAACTCACAAATGGCTTCAATGACACATCAGGAGAATAATTTTCGCGGATATCAAATTGCCATTCATCGTTCATTTTTGTCTTTATTTAATCGTTCTTGATCAACGCGAAAGGAATGAAAATTGTCTGTTGGCGTATGGTCATGAATTGATGCAATTTCCAATGAATTCTGACAACTTTTGCAACGAGACGAGTTTATCGATCACTTTGGATTGACATAAAAGTGAATTTCAAGATAAACGTTTTACAAATGAGAGTTGAGTAGTAACGAAGAAATTCAACTTTGAGAAGTTCAACGTCTCCAACACTCGATTGACAAACGAATGAAAATTATTCATCATAAAACTGTCCGATATTTCGCAATCAACCAACCAACGCTACAGAATCTCTTAAAGAAATATTTTAATTCCTATTGATGGTCGCTCGAAGTCGAACCTGAAATTAACATCCGAAAAAAAATGAGTTCATTGATATTTGGCTAAAAATTCGACACAAGAGTTGCATTGCAAGACGAAATCAATCAAGACATAAACTTGAATGTTTAAGTAAGTAAATGGCATTAAATACTAGTCGAAGTTGAGGCAATGGCGATAGTTATTCATGATCTTCAACATCTAAATTGCGCTTTATCCACCAAATAAGGCGTTACGAAGGCAGGAATTGTAAGATTCGGTCTGCAAAGTCACATCAGTTACAATTTCTTTCTAAAGTAACTTAGGCGTCTTCTTTCCTTCCATCGAAATGGTCAACAACAATATCATTCGTAATAATTTTCTTGTTAATTACACGATGTCAATAATTACTTGAACCTTATTAAAAAGCCTTCACTTTTGTTCCGCAAATGGCGATTTACACGAGAACAACTTTGAGGATGGCATAGCAAGCAAATTGTCTTAAATACTTTCAGTATAATTGTTTAGTGAACAAAGAAGTTAATGGAAGTAAATGAATCTAATTCCTGACAAATTATAATAAATAACTCGTTCAATTGTAGATATCTATGCAAGTTAAGAAAATAACTAATAATTTCGTGATCATGTCTCACTGCCTTGTACACCGGAGACCTGACCTTTAAACCATTTTCCGAATCTGTCGATGCTTGTCTCACACAAACGATGTCGAGTATGTGTCGAATTCGGCGAAACGTGAGTTGGCTGGCAAACAAACGAAATGAACATTCGAAAAGATTTTTTAAAATTTCTTCTCCTTCCTTCATGGTCAACATACGCACGGAAATTCTCCACCCATACGACGATTTTGGTTGATTCATGGCCAATTTCACAGTTACACATGATGTAGCATATCCGGAGTGGCTCAGGATTGTAGTTGAAGAAACAGGTGCCGGTTACTTAGTTTGTTTCGTACTTACTAACGTTTTAGTTTTATTAAGCATTCTAATACATCAACACACGCTTGATTGTTTGTTGGAACGGGAAAACACATATGTTGTGACGTGTCGGTTGCCGTTGTTGGTGCTGCTGCTTTTATTGCTGTTTTGTTTCGTTCACAACTCGCTCCGTCCTTGTATCAGATTTACTTTGTTTCATGAAGTAAACTTTTCTTCATCGCTAAAGTTTTTCTCGTTCTTCGATGTCGCAGCGTGCGGTTTTCTGCTGAAACAAACGGTTTCTCTTATCGCTTACAACTTCTTTATGAATGGACTGCAACTTCAGCTTCATTTCACTTTTCGCATTATGATCTGGTTCGAGGACAAACAGCGTGAATGTCAAACGGAAATTCCAAATCAGATTAAAGAATTGTCTTTCATGTTAAGTCAATATTGATTTTTTAAAAGAGTTCTGAAAGTCGTTCTAAGTATTTTAACATTTTTTCATGCTTCATCACGAATCAACAAGAGATTTAAAGTTTCTCATATTTATCTGCAAATAGTCATCAACAAAATTAAAGCGTGAAAATATAAATTCATTAACATTCGACACATCTGTAATTAAAAAATCTTTTTTTTTGTGTCTCTCTTGAAACTTCCCTCCGATATGGAAAATCAATTGATTTGGGCATTCAAGTTCTAAAGAGAAAGATTTATGTTCGTAGTGATTATTGAAAATATTGGCAATAAAACTCGCAACCTGAAAATCAATTTCAAATCGTTTTTTAACGCTAACTCAAAAACGAGAAGTGCTTAAATATTTTTGCTTGCCTCACATTCGCTACACATCCCACGTATGTTTTCGAGAATATCGTTTATTTCATTTCTTGTATGAATATTAATAAACTGTTTTCTTCCTCTTCTTATGCGACTCTTTGGGCCTTAGAATCGAAGTAAAATTATCGGTCTTTGATATGAAATACCGGCTTTGAAGTGGAGATTTCAACATTGTATTTTAGTGTGATGGTGGTTGAGTGGTTGGCAGTTTTATGGCTTTCTAAGAAAGCCTTTTTATAACTCTGATATTTAAGGAGTTGATTTTTATTTTAATACTTTAAAATAAGCGGTTTATAACGAGATTCTAATTGTTCGACATCAATGTTGATATCTAATTAAGAAGACTTCACTTTTAATTACATATTTTCTCAACATTAAATAAAAATATAAAATGTATGCTGAAAAGTTAATCATGTTTATGCAAATTTCTACCAAACATATTGAATTTTTTTTAATTAAAAAAAGCTTTAATCGGTTCTGAGAATATGTTAAAGATTTTTTCCTTGATGTTTTGCTGGTTGATTTAGGGAGATGAAATTCTGAGTTGTCTGCAGAATGTGAAATATTTTCTTTGTTATTTAATGTTGCGTAATTTATGTGCATTCCATGCCATGTTTCTTGTTTTGCTATCATGTTGCAAGTTACATCGTTCAATTAATTACAAGATTGGAAGAAATATGTGACAGCTTCATGAAAAAATTGAATCAGAAATCAATCATTTTCCTTTCAATTTCATGTTAATTACACCAAAAAACGTATAAATTATAGTTGTCGTTGATTGTGACAACGCTGACCTTCCAAACAGGAAAAAATCCGTAAAACACTTGTTCACTGATGAATTATGCAAATTGCTGAAGCAATACTTATGGCACTTTTTAAATAAGCTTAAGCCTCTCTGAAAGGAGCTTAAAAGTATTTAACAGTTACGACAATTTATTATTTTTTTGTTAGATATAAGCTAATTAAGTTTTTCATAACGATGCGTTTCCAATTAAATTGTTTTACCAATTTACATACTTAAACAATTCAACCAAGCAAGTCACATTGAGTCGAAACACTCCCCAGCCATGCTTGAATTAAGATCACAAGAAAATTAGCAAGACAATTAATTGGCAATTATAAAACTAAATGAAAAGTTTGCAAACACTTTTTGAGTTCAAAATAGGCGTAGAATTTTATTCCAACAGGTGTGTTCGATTTCAAACATTTATCTGACACTTAAATTCTCAGCAATTTGAAATTTAAAATGTTTCTATGTTCTGTTTCCATTATTTTCTTTCTTATTATTTGTCGTAAGAGTAAAACAATTCTCAAAGCTGTCAGAAAGAAAAATTTTAACATTATTGTGTCGCTGTTTGGAAGTGAACACAATTTGTTATTTTAATTTTGTTTGTGAATCACTGGAAACAATGACACTCTGTGTTTAATTTATATGATGGCGCCAAACTTAAGTGCTACGTTAAGTATTCAAACGATTTTCATTTCGACAGTCTCATCGAGATATTTATTCTGTTCTCAGAAACGGGAAGAGGAATTTATTGGATTTGAATATCGTTTACACAGCGTGCGATGTACAGAAATTCTGTTTGGAAACGACGAAAGTTTCTTTCATGAGAATTCATTTCACGGTTTTTAATTTCCACATTATGTCGAGTGAGTTGTCAATGAGCTGTTCTTTAATTAAATGTTGGCCAGTTTTATTAGATATTTATTAATATTTCAGTAGCGCACGCCATTCCTCGACACTTAAACAACATTTTCAAATTAAACATTTACTTAAGCTACCAACTGCTGCCACCAGCGAGGCCAATTTGCGAAACTATTCACTATGCAAATTTATTGCAGAAATGTGCTTGCACTTGTCATGCCTCATGCTTCAAAGAGCGACAATTGACAAATATTCGCAATTCAATTAAAATATTTTACCATAAATTTTCGCGATCTTTTGAGTTGATTCGCATTTATGTTGCTAAGCTTTTCATTGTGATGAATTAATAAATATAACTCATGTGACATGTTCATAGAAAGTTTATTTATGATAATTACAAGTTTGAGATTCCAATAAGAGGAAAAGTGCGAAAAGTGCATTGTCCTCGAGGCAACTCGTGAAGTGCTGCAACATCCAAAATAATCAATGAAACATTTCTGAAATGCTTTTGAATAATTCAATAACTCTTTTTTATTTTATTTTCAACATAAATTTTCTTTTGCGAAAATAAAAACATTTCTTTTGAACATGATTAATGCCGACGTTGAATTGCTGAGAAATTGTTAACGGCAATACTTGAGTCTCGAGGGCATGAAAAAAATGTTGTTTGCCAACTTGAATATGATAAATAATCAATTAATAAACAATTTTTAGGACAAACATTTCTTGTCTAAATATTGCAAAAGCGAAAGAAATGATTTTTGTTGTTAAATGAGACCTCATGTGGTTATATTAATTATTGCAGGTTGAGAGAAATGTTGACAAGTATCAATATTTATATAAATAAAATTTAACAAGATCAGTAGCAAGAGTTGGTGTTTCACGTCACCTTTTCACTTTCAATCGATTAATTATCTCAACCAAACTTCACACAACTATTTATTTATTGCGAAAAAATTGGTCAATTAAAACGCTTGTTTTGTGAATGGAAACATTTAAATAAAAAAAAATTATCACGACCCATCGGCGTTAAAATCGTAATAAATATCAATCAATTCTCTATCAAATATTGCGTTTAAATTCTATAAGCGACTGATCAGTGATCAACTGAAATATTATTTACACTCTCAAAGGTCAAAAAGGTTGTGAAGTGAATTTTGAAGATGCATTGGAATTGATTCTCACTTGCGAAACTCGTCACATGAAACAATTTAAAGTTTGTTATTGTTACATTATCCCTGGATGACTCCCATCGAAATTATGAAAAAGTTCTTTTAAAATACTTTCGACAACAACTGAGACAAGCATAAGTATGAGGCAAGTAAACGACACAGTAGTCGAAAGCACTTAAATACAAATCAACATTCTACACCATGTTGCGACGAGTCAATGATCAATTTGAATTGATTGATTTTCAATTTATTGGGATCACCCTCTGAGTTTTTATGTTTAATTCTCTTTCGATTGCATTATTATTCTTCAATTGGAATGAAAACAACGCAAATATTGGATTTTGTTTATTCGATTCTCATTTTTCTGATTGACAATATTGACAAATGCTCCCTGATGTGATGACAAATGCAATATTAATCAAGTGTCGCAGACAATTCATCGTCACAGATAGAACTTTAGGTCTGATGACTTTGATGATAACGAATTAAATAATTTAATCTGCCCTTCGCAAGCGCTTTGCCATTTGCAACACAAACACATATCCACATAAGATTTAAAGCTCATTCAACAACTATGATTAATGCAAACTGAATGTTTTCGCTGAATTAGTTAACATAAGCAAGCGAATTGTCGCAAGAGATGCAAACGATATTGTCATTAATTCTTCTATCCATATTTGTAGTCGCTTCCATTGTTCTCGTTTAACTTCTTTTTTTTTGTCGGAAAACTGAAAAAGAATAGAAAAAATAAGGAATTTGCAAGTAATTTCACATAATCCATTGCAAACTCCAATTGTTTTCCATTTAAGATGCAAATTCATCTCGTGCTGTCAATTTCGTTGAAGGATGGAACCACCAAGAAACACAATGTTGCAACCAAATCACATAACTTATACTTTTTTATTTATTTTTTGTTTTTGATATTATGTGTGGATGTGAATTTCAATGATCAATCACAATGAACGCCCAGCATCGGACATCAGAGGTGATCGCCGACCATCAAATTTTTTCCATCACAAAAATGATTAATTGATGGCGTAAAGCAAACAATTTGGAAAAATAAAGAAAGAAAGAAAATGCATTTCATTTGATTTAATAATAAATGCTACCAATTTATTAAATTTGATGGTATTTACTTAATGGAGGTAATCTGACATTCACTTCTCTCTCCGACGAATGTGAATTGATGATCGTGTTTCTGTAAATTGATGCTTATGTGGTACGCGTGATGAACGATTAAAGGTTCGTTCATTGCACCGTCTTCGATTACTGAAATTTTTATTAAATTTCTTTCTTTCGAGATTGCATAAGAAGTGTTAAGTCACAGGGCCATCATAATTCATAATTATGCGTTCGTTGAAGTGAAACTTGTCAAGTTGCCGCATTTTAGAAGATAAAAATTGTTCATTACGTTGTTGCGATTGAAAGCATAACTGTTGAGACGCGACTTTTGGCATGACTTACTTAAAGGTAGTGAAAGGGTTAACACAACTTTTATTAAAATCACTTAACAATGTCACAAGTTTTTCTTTCCTCGATGTATTCTCTTCACGAAAAAGAAGCATAATTATTTAATAACCCTGTCGCTATCACTTTTTAAGAAGGTCGCGTTTCTTTTACATAATCAAGAGGACTTGAAACTCATTGTTTTCACTGAATTCGTGCGTCTCTACCTTGTTTATTTATTTACAGAACAGTTGTTCTCTTACTTTTTCTTCTTCTCTTCATTCAATTGAATTCTTTCTTTCTTTTATTTTTAAAATAATGTTCCATGTTAAATCTGAAAACGAAAGCCAAAAAAACTTTTCCAACACAATAAAGATAAATAGCCGTGAATGATTTTTAATAGAGTCTCGCGCTACTCCACTTGAGCATTAAATGATCTTATTTGTTGCTTTCTGATATGTTTGAGTATGCTTGTCGAGTATTTTTCATGCTTTGTTTGTGCGTAAGAGTCACAAAAGATATCATGAAAGGGCGTCATGTCAGTGTTTTTAAACAGTTTAAACAAAGTCAAAAGAGAATTTTATGAAACGAACAACTTCCGTTGTCATATCGTCAAACAAACAAAGAACGTGAAAATGTGAATGCTTCAACACGTCTAAAGAACTTTACAAATTATAAACTAGAAAAGCCTATCAAATAAATAATAAATTTTTATTGTAAATAATTTACGACTGTCGTGAAAATAATTTTATTGCGCACAGTTGTGTCGGACAAAACGGCGTAGATATAAAAATTTACTTTGGATACCATGGATGGTCATACGATACTTTAAAACTAGAAATATTGTGCAACGAATAAAGTCATGAAATCTCGATAGAGAGTAATTGTGACAGGAAAATATGAAATCACGCAGCAAGTGATGATAAAAAAAGAACGGAAAACAAATCGTCGATTAACCTTTGATGTGTTGAATAAAGAAAAAAAGTTTTGAATTGTAAAAAAAATATTGAAAGAAGAGAAAGAAAAATACTTAATGCAAAAAATAAAAGATTTAAAGTTGAACATACTTGAGTCGTAGTGAAATGTGTATTATGACCAAATTTGTATTAATTTAAGGTCGACCGATGAGTAAACCTTGCACGGTTCGCTTACATACAGCTGAACTTTTACAAAAAGGTGGCTTTACTCAGTTGACTCAGCAACGTTAAGACCGAAAAATATTTATTTATGCTCAACTTCCAACTCGAAGAAAAACTAAAGACACAGAAAGTGTAACAAAAATCTCAGTTGAAATTATTCATTAACGAATAAACCTTTAGGGTTGTTTCTTTAATTTATACATTTTCAATGTTAGAAATGACAACTCACGGATTTAAATGTTTGTCATTTAAGCAAACCACATGATGATAAATTTGAGATCATAACAGTTCACTGCAATTCCTGACTAAAAACCTTGGATGTGGATTTATCGTGCTGTTAGAAAATATTTCGACAAACGACGATAAGGATCGAATGGCGATTTGCTACTTTCATGTCTCAATTCCGCTTCATGTTTATATTAAGAAAAATTTCCATTCACTTAAATCGAAACGTCAACTACCTAATTCAAATTTACTTTAATGACGATTGACTGTCGATATTTCATGTTTATTGCTGGGAATTTGTTCGCCTTTAGTTTCACTTTCTTGATAGATAAAATATCTAACCGGAGTAAATAAATAGACGATTTGCGTGTGCGTCAGCTACAATGTTACGCAAAATTGTGTGAGTGGTTGACAAATTTTTTATGATATGAAAATCTTTCTCTCTGAGTCTCAAATATCTGATTGATGTTTCACTGTCACTCGAAGATTGAAATGAATCGAAGAAGCGAAAGTATAAAAAAGGCAAAGCTGAGAAATTTATGTTATTGCCTTTAATAACGATTCAATAAAATATTATAAATATAGAAAATCGCTACAAATTGCTTAGCAGTAAGGCGTATGTATCCGTCGAAAGGTAATAAATATCGCTTGCTTCTTTCAACTTAAAGAGTGTAACATAAAAATTGAAATAATCACACTCGTGAACGTCTTGAAATGATTTAATGTCAAACTGTCTACACATGTTATTCGTATTAAGCTTTTTATTTTCTTTCTTTTCTTGCAATTTATGAAGATTATTATGTTGCTGCTATGCTTCTGAATAAAACGAATACAAATCGAATCGATTGCAAAGCGATTTATAATCGATCGAATGCTGGTTACATGTAAGCAAGAAAAGTCAAATATGAACATTATTGGAAAATTGTTTTCAGTTGTTTTTCCTTCTCCTTGGCTAAGTATGGAATATTTTTGCCCATTTACTATGTGAAGCTGACAGTTACACGCATATTAAATATGCAGAAAAGCGAATTACTTCGAGCTATTCGCTCATATGTTGCTAGTTTCTAAAATAATGACCATTGGAAGGAAATAAATTCGCTTGCAAATCTACAATTGAATGGAATTTCTATTACAAATTTGTAATAAAGATTTTGTAGTAAAATATTTAACTAACAAGTCTTAAATGAAAAGTAAGGAATAAATTTTTGCTCTTATTATCATCTTTGACTTGGCAATTTTAAAAATCGTTTTGTTTTTATTATGATCGCTCTCAATAGTTGAGATGGCAGTCGACAATAATCGTTTAACAGTGAAATTGCAATTGTCGCTTGGGGACGATTATAAACTGTGAATTAAATTAAAAGACTTAAAGATAGACATGGCGTCGATAATCTCAAATGAAGTCTAATTTCCTACACTCTTAGATAGATCAAGTGTAAACAGTAATCATGAACTTGTAAGGTTACTTATTACAACAAGATTTAATCGAACACTTGAATCCGAAATGTAACAATTTACACGACAATTTAATGCCAACATTTTATCTCACTCACAACTTCATTAAATTGTTTTCTTTTTTCTCTACTTCAATTAATAATAATTTTATCTATTTAACTGTCTTTGATTATTATTATTATTGTTCCATAAACTGTAAAGGAAAATTAAAATTATGACAAATCTATATTTGGTTGCGATTCATTTTTTAATTTGAAAATCGTGTTGTAAATTAGATATTCGATTGAAGAAACAATGTATAAAAGTTTATCGAAGCCTTTCGATCGTTAATTTGTTATTTTTGCCAATTAATGCTTAAAGCGTCATTGCTTATTTGCACTCAATGACTCTCTCAGTTCCAGTTTCATCACACACGTTTTCACTAAATTCAAACAGCTGAGTTTGTGATTTGGGATTGAAGAAAACTTGTGAGGGAGTTGCTTTACTTACATAAATTAACATTTTCAATGTTCGAAACGAATGTAAATAAGAAATTTCGGTTCATTAAAAAAGCAGAGAAGTTACGATTCATCGAATTAAACAGATATCAACTTAACTTGTCTTTTGGACATGTCAAGGTATCACCGCATTGACAAGAGGAAGAGAAATGAGAAATTTGTTTGTTTTTACACTTTTTCAATGTCTCACTTTGTAAGTACGAGAAGAAATGTTTTACCTGCAGGTATCTCGTGTTGATCTCGGTACTCGACCGTCAATTCCGAATTGAGTAAAATATAACAAAAAAAAAAAACTCTACGCCCTTGCAACATCTCCGCAATGTAACGGTTTAATTAAACACGCAAAAATCAAAGATCTTAAAGTCGAAATGGACACATTATGATGGTGCTTAATGTTTGCACAGAGTTGACAGTTATGCTCGCTTTCTTGATCGTAAGATGACAAAGCAAATTATGAATGGTATTCTATCAAGTATGAAAAATGTTTATTTACATGTTTAATGAGTTCTTCGAAGAAAAAAAAGTGACCAGGATGCAAAGAGTTTAGTCGGAAATTCCATCTCGAAACAAATGATAAGTTTAACGAACTAAATATTTAAAGATTACATCATCGAGAGAAATATTTGTGTTGAACAGCAGCTAGCACAGCTTGAGAAACATGAACATGAATGAAAGAAGTCAAATAAACGACTGACACTGTTTTCATAAAAATCGGAAATCCGTCACTCGTGATTGAAATAAATTGATGATAATTTAAAGTAACACTTCGAGTGACTCTGTCACTTATTTAACGGTCTCATGTCCATAAAGAAAACAAAAAATTGAGCTTCAATCTCCCTTTTCTCCAATTGTTAAATTAATATTCATAAAGTGATTAACGTCATAACCCGAAAAAAAACGTAAGAAAGTAAATAAATAAAGTAACGAAAATCATTAAAGGAGTTCATTACAATTGTCGTTTGAATAAGTTGGTTAGTGATTAAGCATATTAGGAGCTCTTGGCAATGAGATTGGCAGGGCATACAGTTAATAAGTTTAGCATTTTAACAACACCGAAAACAACATTTCTTCAAGTAAGTTTTAAGTTTCGCAAAGAAGTATTAAAAAAATGCCAGCGACCTGTTTTGCATGCCATACCAACGATTCCGAAACCACAACTAGCAAGTAAGTAAAATGCAGCCGCACAAGCTTACGTCTTGGGAAAAGGTTAATAAACATGCATAACACTCGCTAACGCTAATGATTAGCATTAAGCACGTTTGTGATGAATTAGCGATTTAAACTCCTTTCTTTCTACCAAAAAACTGCCACTGGCCACAATCTTAATGCTGAAATTGGATGGATCGATTGTGAAGTCAATAACAATTCGAGTGATTTGATGTGAGTTTACACAATCACGCGCGCAAAAAACAAATCTCTTCATCCACAAACGTTAACCATTCATTATTGATGCGATCACAAATCATAAAGAGTGTCATCGTCATCATGGTCTAGATACAAATTCAATGATACTCGCATATATTCATCAATGGAATGACGACAAGACGCGATGATATTGTAAATTTTACTATTTAAACAAGTCATAAATCTATTAAACCTCTTTCTACATGAATTATAGTGTTTGGAACACCAAAGTGAATTAATGAAATGAATGTAACTTCAAAAATCGATCAAGCATAAATTGATGATTATTATGCAACTGAAGTCACTTCGCCGAGTAGATTTCTCATGTTTGCTTGTTTTACTGTGGAGATAATTAAGCTTTTTTTTTCTAAGAAACGATTCCATGCGGTGTGTTTAAAAACCTTTCAGCGGATTGATTAGTTTAATAAATAAATTATTACTTACAGTGCTTGAAATGTCTGTTTAGTAATATCGCCAGAAGCTGCTATTGACTTTGCTGCTGCTGCTACTGCTGGGTTGTCACTTCTTTATCTTATGACGTTGATGATTCGTTTGTACGCTGATGGATTTTTTCGTCTGCAAATCCTTGCGACTGCGTTTCAAAAATTATTTCTCGACTTTACTTTAAAAAGTATTCAACTCAATTTAAATATTTAAATACAAATATAAATCAACATCGGCTTCTAATTTGTCTGTGGGACTGTTTGAATTATTTTCTTCTGAATTGTTAGCTAATTTAATATTTAAAAGAATTCAACTGTTTTTATTTTTGGTTTCTTCACTTCTCGCGTCCATCACTGTTTATAGAAATTGAATAAAAGTTTGTTAATTTGTTGCGTTTTAGCTTCTTTCTCGTATTTATTTCCACACTCCACAAATGTATTTTGATTTCTTTTTAATTCACAATCATCATTTTCTTGCATTTCATCACCATGAAGCTGTCTAGTTGGCGTAGAGATTACTTGAATATAAATTAATGTTAAGTTGATAAGTGATCATTGCATGCAATGCTTGTCTTAATAATTTTTATAATAAATGTAGAAGATGCTTGAAACTTCATTGAAAGCTAAGACAAGACTGCTAATAACTAAAATTGTTCAGCTGTTCAAAAAGCGTTTTAAAAATTTATTCGCCCGAAATTTTCTGCTACAACAACATCTCTTGTAAAGCAAAACATTAATAAGGGCTCATTACGAGGGCTTTGCTTTGCTTCTCTCTAAACTTTCCACTTAGTCACGAAAAAACATTTCGCAATTTTAAAATTTCTTTAAAAGCACGCTTAAAACCCATTTGAAATGATATCAAATTCAAGTTCTTTTCAAAGCGAGGGCGATACGTAAATTGCTTTTGACCGAAAATGATAGCAAAATTAATCGAAAAATTATTTAAATTCGTTACGACTGCGAGGTATCGACCACAAACACTGAAATCACTTCGACAAATTTTATTTATTTATTTATAATATTTTTTTGTCTTACATGAACATGTAAAATTATTTAACGCAGCAAAAGGGCCGACATCACGACAGATCATCCGTAACGAAAACATAAAATGCATAAATTATTGGGAAATATTAACACGTTCAACATAAGCGCAGAAGGAAATGTGAATGAAACGACTAATCATATTCGAATCTTTTAAACACCAAATAAAATTAAGTCATTTTTCAAAATATCAATCGATTGCCTTTTTGTTTTATTTCTTTTCAATTTTTCATGACTTTTAAGTAGCTTTCCGATTCCGGAGTGCGATTGGAACATAAAATTTAAAAATGTAAGAAATAAAAATCGCGAAAATAAAAATTTGTTATGAAATCTTCTCGATACCTACAAACTTTAGTTAAATCAAATTAAAAATTATTTATTTCACTTCTCAATAACGAACTGAATAAGACACAAGCCAATTGGTATTGCTCGAAAAATCGTGACTTTTCATCGCACTTAGAAACAATTCTTGTTAAATGATCAGCAACGTCGTAAAGTGTCTAAAGTCAGCGATAAACTAAATCTAATTCAGAAATAAATACTTTGATGATTTATTTATTTATTTCTGCAATAATTTTTCACAATAATTTTTGAGTTTTTTTGTAATTCGATAAATGATCACCCGCGAGGATTGAAATTTCAGATGAAAAGAAATCAAAACGATTAAAAACTTCATTGATCCTTTTGGAAGCAATTCAAACGGTCAAAGCAATTTATCAATTAATTAACTAATCAATTTTTGGCTTAGTCAGCTATCAAATGTTCGTTGGCTGATTATTTTGTGCTTTGATCATGAAAATATTATTTTTCTTTCCAAGTGATCAGACATAAATTAATTAACAAAAAAAAAGAACACAACATGATGAATACAAAGCACAAATGATTAATGATTTTTAATTGTTTAATTGACTAATTGATTGATAAAGAATTTAATGAACAAAAGAAGCATAAAAGAACACCAACTCAAAACACAATCAAATGCCTAGCGATCGGAGGCATTGTTGTTATAGATCTCGTCGCGCACAAGTTAACCGATTGGAGTCTCAATTCGAACTGAACTCTCATGCTTTGCTTTTGCTGTGCGCAGTCTTTTCTTTTCTTTATTCGCCTGTTTGGTTGCTGTCGCACTATGAATGTATTTTTTATTTTATTTTAGCTTTTTTTTCTCTTCAACAACATCCCACTTAATATTTTTACTCGTAGATATTCATTTAAAGCAAAGCAAGTTCTGGACCAAGGTTTTATTTTTATTTTATTTCATCTTAGCGCAAACTTAACGTTTTCATAAATAAATTCGCGAGAAGTTCTTTTGGGGTAATCAATCGAATAAAAAAAGAACTCCTAATTTTGAATTAGCATCATAAAAGACATCAAGTCGAAGTGAATCAGAATTTCCTTTTGTTATGCCAAATGACGGCAATATGCGTGGATCTCCGCATCTACACCCATTGAGGAAGTTGTTTTATTTGTCAAATATAACTATCTAAAGTGTTCATATTTATGTCTGGAATCACCATTTGTCCCGCACCGACGGTTACCTCATCGATCATCGTCGAGTCATTTTCACAACTTTTGAGATTCGCTAAAAAAGCGAATGTGGTGATGATAATGATGAACAGCAGCCGCGTATTTGTAGCGAAATCACAGCTGATCGCCTTTGTGATGGAAACAAAAAACATTTAAATTTACGTTGGCATTTAAATCTTCTGATTCTTCCAAAACAGTGAAAATATTTTTTGCAACGCTTTTTATTTCTTTGACATTTTTCTTTCTTTCACAAAATGTGCGCGCGCACCCTTCGCCACTAGTTACATTAACTTCGATTCATTTTTAATTTTATTCAACATTGTATGAAAGCTTTCAGACTGTAAAACTTTAATTACAGGAAATTAAATTGCGGTGTAATTGTTTTGAAGTTTATTTAACAGTCGATTAACTACTAAAAGGGATTTTCGTTAATTAATGTTTGTTGAATTCGAATGAGATGTCAATTCAACTATGTACATTACAGCAAAATTCTAATCGCTAAATATTTAACATCCCATTAAGATTATTGAGCTCAAAACTTCAATGAAAAAAATCTCGATATTAATTAAATAAATTAACAAGCTCGAGAAACGTAAAACAAACAAGTTTGATAACAGAAACAAAGTGTCGTTGTTCAATTAATCCTTGTTGAAAATGATTTATAATTTAATTTTATTAATAAGTATAACTAGATATCTAAGTATTCTAAATTCACCTACAGAAACTTTAAATAGTTTACATCGCAGTTGATTCTTCGCTCGTGTATTTGTGTTGCGCTTGAAATTGTTTCTCTCTCTCTTTCTTTCGCCTAGTGTGAGCTTTTTTCATCGCTCTGCTGTTTGACAAATCGGCCTTGAATATGATTTTACTATATGCTTGCAACCCATACACAAAAGCAACAACGATTGTGCAGATTTTCTTTGCTGCGCTATTCGAATCGTAATACATTTTTTTTTAAATGAAGAAATAAATTGAGAAATTGCGAGATTTTTAAACTTTAGCAAAAAAAAAAAAATACTGCAAACATCAGCTCAAATAGGAACCCCATCAAGTTTCCCAATTTAGAAGTAAATTATCGTTAGTCGACAGACGTATGAGAAATTAAATGGGAACGGTCATCGGGAGTGGACGATTCAGTGGATTCAGCAAATGATGCGATGCTTCCATTCAGCCAGACATAACAAAACAGAAGAAGATGAAGAAAATTGTATAATGAAATTGTGCGATCAATGATTGTCATGTTGTCATGCAAAAATTTATTTTATTATTTTATTTGTTAAATTATAAATTGTTCTCATGCTCACATCTCATAGTTTCCCCGTCAGATTCAATAAAGAACGATCAATTTGACTGACAGAGAATTTCTTCTTGATTAAGTACGAAAATTTTTCAAAGGAAATGAAGAAGAATTTTTGCATTCCATGATTGCGTTTTTATTTTGAGTCAACAGACCGTTAAATTTGCATCGAATAGGCAACAGGTTTGCTTCATGAGATGAAATAAAACTTTTCGCATAAACTTTTCATGTGTTTTCCGTAATATTGTGTGCCTGTCGGCAAACTTTTTATAAGAAAGATTTTAATTCAGCAATTCACAGATAATTCGCATTTATCATTTTAATTATCATAATTTTCTACTTTACTTTGTATTACAATTTATGCACTCTCGTAACTTTTTCAATTTTTCATTGCTTCGCAGAGTTGAGTCATTTGTTAATCAAGATGTGAACATTAACATGTGAATTAAAATAAATGATTGTCAAAACATATTAATCGAAATTGTCGCAGTTTAACACTTAAGAATTGAAATTCTTTCAAATATCATTCACGACTCGTCACGTTCAGTCGAAAATTCGCCAAGCCTCAAGTAAGTAACGGCTTCGTAATTACATAGCGTTTAAATAAATATATTACAGCAGTTGCAGCCCATTAATTAACATTTTTTTATTGATATTTAATAGCATAATGCTCGTTGAGTATCGGCCAATAATCCATTAAACATTTGCAACTTTTAAAGGAGAGAAAAATTCGTGATCCACGCCTGAAAGATTTCTTATTTGTTCATCGCATCATATCGCGCAGAAAACCAGCATGCAACATGAAAATGCTGAAATGAATGAATCATACTTACATATAAATCAACACGTCAAGCAACGATCCATTGAGTGAGTGAACGATGTTGCAGTTTCTATTTATAAGCCGTTTAAATACCTTTGCACATTTTTGCGAAGGTCGTTCGTTTGTTTCTGTTGCTTCTGTGACGTCAACATCACATCACGTCGACGACAACGGCGACAATGATGGTGTAAAGAGATTAAATTCATCGCAAAATGGAAGTTTCAAATGATTTCAAAAGATTTCAGAATGTGACTGCATTTATATCTCTTCATAAATTTTATTTACGACTGCTTGTTGATTAAACAAGCAACAAATATTTTAATTGAAAAAAAGAAGGATTTGTAAATTGCGAAAAGCACTCGAAACTCAATTCGTTGACCTTTCTTTCCATAGCCAACACCTGACAAAGGAAATTATCATGCTAAGTCGTATTAAACGTCATTTATTGTTAGTTGAAAATTTAAATTTTATCAAAGGTTAATATTTTGTAATTAAATACTCGACAATTGCCTTCGACTTAATAAAAAATTGCTTCAATGATGTGAGCGGAGAAGAATCAATTAATCCAAATAATCTTCTTATTTTCAAGATGCATCAAATCGAAGTCACAACTGCAAGAAATTGTAAATAACACGACAGATAAATGACTTGAAGCTTAAGCAGTGTGTTCTGGAAGCAAGTAGCTTAAACCTCGACTGATACAATTTGAAACGTTGCCAGATAATAAATTGTTTGCAGTCACTTCACTTTTATTCTTTACAACTTTACCATTTCAAATCTCCAACCTGATCCATAAATATTCATCAACTTTTTATACCACCACAAAGTGTTCGATTCAAAAAGGGAATAATAATTCCATTCGTGGGTTCAAGTTTTACAAATCAAATGGCATTTTTTTATTTCTGTAAGGAAGGAAAAGAAAGAAATGACAATTGCAACTTCGACAACTTGAGAAAATTCACGCAACATCAAAAAAAAAAGTCATCGATGTTGTTTGCGGCTTTTCACAGACTTTCACTTCATTTTATTTATTATTATGAAAACATAAATAAAGAAATTAATTTATTTTCGCGTAAATGTTTTTCAGGTGATGAAGACGACACGTTGAGACGAATAACAACAAAATGAACATCTAATTACAAATTGTAAATGTCGGAAGAAAACAAATTATTCGCAAGATTAAATTCATCTGATAAGCTACCGGAATTCGCATACTAACTTAAATTTGTTTTCTATTCTCATTTTAATTATTATTTTCTCACTCGCAAAAATGTTTTTATGCTGAGAAGTATCAAACATTAAGGTTGTCTGTTGAATATTGCGTCATTTGACATGAAAGATCATTTTTAAATGGCAACAACATTAACCCGAGCTTTCCTTCTTGTCTGATCTTGATCTTTATAATGAGATAGAAAGTGAAAACAAAAATAGAAATTAAAAGTAATGCTCGTAATAATATTATTTTCAATAAGTTTTCGTGATATTTATTAATGGGAGACATTGAAAGTAATTAAAGGTATAGAGCAACATCAACAACAGCAGCAGCAAGGCGCTTAATAAGCTGATTCTATTCCTTTTAAGGAGTGCAGTCAAGGCAGCTGCTAAAGGTCGTTCAATGTTAAATTAATAAATAAAGATAAGCGATGAAGAAGGAGAGAGAGAGAGAGAAATTCGCTTCTTGTTACAACGTGATTGCCCTTCAACTTGTTCGCTTTAAAAAACGTTTTGTGCTAGCTAATTGTAATAAAAGTTTCACTGCTTTTTTATTTATTCTTCAATTCCAATTCACTGAAAATGTCCAAAAGTGTGCGCTCTTTGTCAACCTTCTGAAGGCTGACGATAAATCCTTCGAGCTTTTCCGGATTATTAAACAAACCTTGGAGATCGTAGAGCGTGTCTTCTTTTTCAATTGAAGCAATGTCCAAACTGCTCAATCGATGATCAGTAACACGATCATCTTTGAAATTGTAAGTTCGAATTTTCTCGTTTCGATTGGCTTGTCCAACTTGACTTTTTCTTGTTTTCATACTCTTTTCAAAAGCTTCTGTTATGAGACGTTCCGAAAGAATATTTTTAAGCTTTCTCATTGCTATTTCACGATTTTTAATCTGCGATCGATCTTCTTGACTTTCAACTGAGATGCCTGAAGGAATATGAGAAATTCTCACTGCACTATCGGTTGTGTTCACATGTTGACCTCCAGCTCCCGATGCTCTCTTTGTTTGGATTTTTAAATCTTGTTCTGTTAATTATGATTGATATGATAGAATAAATTATTGAATTGAATTGAATTGAATGTAAAGTACATGCCATTTATGTCAATAACCACATCATCTCTGATTGGAATGCAAGCAATTGACACAGTTGATGTATGAACTCTTCCTCTTCTTTCCGTGTCTGGAATTCTTTGAACACGATGCACACCAGCTTCATATTTCATGAAATACCAGACGTCACGTCCTTCAATGCGAGCTTTGTGATGTCTGTCGTTTGACTCTACATCCTTTATGTCCCAATTTTTATAGTTGAAGTAATTAAAATACATTGTGGACAATTCATTAGCAAATAGCATTGCTTCTTTACCACCAACACCAGGAGATACTTCAAAAATGATATTTGATGAGTTTTCAATCGTGTCCGCGCTCTTTAATTGTTCATAAATATAAATTTCATTTAGAACTTTCGTGACAAGTTCAGAATGTTTCATATCCAATTCAACTTTTTCTTCTTTCATTAATTTTTTTAAATCATCGTCAGTTTGATTTTCACTATTTAATTCTTTATCTACTTCCTTTAAACTTTCTGATAATTTAGAATATTCGTTCAATATATTGATGAGTTTTGTTTTAACGTAATAATTATCACTATTCTCATCAAACTCAATTGTTTTATGATATTTATCAAAATTATCAACAAAAAGTTTGTTGATTCGATTAGAAAAATAATTCCTACGCTGAAACAGAGAAATATAACTCTTTGTTTTTGACAAATATTTAAAAACCATTCTTATTTCTCGAGATATACGAGTTTAAAATTAAACTTAAGTTATTAAAAATGTAAACAACTTGTTTTGTAATAATCGCTTAAGTTACCCATTCAGGGTTGTGTTACATGAAAAATTGAATTCGGTCTCCTCAGTGAAATAAAAAATAGGAATTCGGGGTATACTTATAGTACATGATAATTTAAGATTCCTTCAAGAATCTTCGCGAAACTAAAAATTTGATAATTTCATAAGAATAAAAGCAATTGCTTGACAATTTCTATCTTGAGAAGTGTTGCAAAACTTTTAAATATAAATAAAAACATTTCATTGTGAAGAAAGTTACTTAAAATGGTCGATTACTCAAAGTGGAAAAATATTGAGGTAATCTATGTTATTTACGTTGTACAATCATAAATATGCAAGTATGTTGATTATAATTAATAGGTTTCTGATGATGAAGATGATACACATCCTAACATCGACACACCAAGTCTCTTTCGGTGGAGACATCAAGCCCGTGTTGAGCGTATGGAAGAGCACCGGCAAGAAAAAGAAAAACTTGAATCAACAATCAATACAGTTGAAACAAAACGAAAAGAATTAAAAGAAAAGCTTAAAGCAACACCCGATCAAAAGGAGAAATTAGAAAAGGAACTGAAAAATATTGAAGATGAGGCGAAAAAGCTTGAAATTGCAGAGCAAGAATTTAAAAAGAAGGAAAAGCTTCAACCATGGAATGTCGATACGCTTAGTCAGCCAAAATTCTCAAAAACGATAATAAACAAGAAGGAAGAGAAAACGTATGATGAGATGACTGACGAAGAAAAAGAAGCGCACATGAAAAAGTTTGTTAAAGAAAATGAAAAATTAATTAAAGAATTTGGAATGTTGCGACGTTTTGAGGATTCTAAGAAGTTCCTGCTCGAGCACAGCCTTTTGGTTCATGAAGATACTGCCAACTATCTTGTCATCTGGTGCATAAATCTTCAAATGGAAGATAAACACGAACTGATGACTCATGTTGCACATCAATGCATTTGCATGCAGTACATGTTAGAATTGTCACGACAACTCAAAACTGATCCTCGCGCTTGCATTGGACCGTTTTTTGATCGCATTCAAGTTGCTGATATCGAATATCGTAAGCAATTTGATGATGAAATTGCTGCTTTTATTGGTCGAATTGAGAGAAGGTCGAAGGAAAAAATTGCAGAAGCGCTTAAAGAGCAAGAAGCTGAAGAGGAGAAGGAACGACTGGAACGTCTTGGACCTGGTGGCTTAGATCCAGCTGATGTGTTTGAATCGCTACCAAAGGTAATTGAAAAGTAACTTCAATCATTAAATTGTTGATTACTTTGGAATTCTTTCAGGAACTTCAAGATTGCTTCGAAAAACGCGACACTGAACTTCTTAAGCAAGTCATTGCCAGTTTGCCAGAAGATCAAGCCAGATATCACATGAAACGTTGCGTTGATTCCGGTTTATGGGTTGCTGATGCAAATGCCAATGAACATGGGTTGGTGGAGGAAAAAGTTCCAGTAGAATCTGAAAGTTCTGCTAAAGAAACAACGCAAGCTAATAACGACTTGGATTTGGATTAAATTTCGAATAAATTTATTTCCACTTCTTTTCAATTTACAATTTTCTTCCTCAAACAATTGTCAGCTCACCATTTCTTTATTAATCAACATCAAATATTCCTTCAAAAGAAAGCTTTTCATCTCAAATGTAATTATCGAGACAATCGAAAGCTTTTTCATGATGAATAAATGAAATTCTCGCGAATTGAAATTAAAAATTTATTTCTTTATTTACTGTTTGTGTGTAAAAATGATTCATCGTTGTTGGTCGCATTTTCTTATTCTTCCAAGAAGAAATACTGTCCAGCACGTTTTTGTTCAACATCCTGGAAACATCCAAATGAAAAGTTGATGAGAATCATTAAAGATTAGTTAGGAATGTGAAAGTTACCTTAACAGATCGATCCTTGTTGATTCTCGGCCGGAAATTGTTAGGATCACGTCGGAAAGTAATTCCGAGTAGTTCAAGGAAATGATTCATGCCATTAAGAAGAGCTTCCGGTGTGTGTGCAGTTGTGTTTACAGACGGATTTCCTTCGAATACAATAACACGATCAGCCAAATAAGTTGCCATGATGAAATCGTGCTCAACAACGAAACTTGTTTTCTTTGCATGTAAAATGTATCTGAAAAAGAAAAGAAACTTAATTAGAATACAACAAATAATCTTAAATTATTTAACTGACCGTTTAATGACCTTTGCAGCTACTAAACGTTGTTCTGAATCAAGATAAGCGGAAGGTTCATCAATCAGATAGACAGCAGCTGGTTTTCCTAAGCAAAGAACCAAAGCAACTCGTTGCAATTCACCACCAGACAAATTCTGAACTTCTTGATCAATAATTTCATCAATTTTCATCGGCTTCATAACATCAGCAATGAATTGTGGATGAATGTAAGCATCGCGGATCTTCTCATGTAGCAATTGTCGGACAAGTCCTTGACTTTTCGGTGAAATTTTTTGCGGTTTGTAAGATACGTGAAGAACAGGAAGTTTCTCAGAGCCTTCATCAGGTTCAAGATTTCCAGCAAGCATACGAATAAATGTCGTCTTTCCAGTTCCATTTTCTCCAAGAAGAACAATAATTTCCGAGTCACTAAATTGACCTTCTTGAACTGTCAACGAGAACTTTCCAAGTGATTTCTTCATTGTTGGATATTCGTAGTGACAAGTTCGTTTGATTTCTTCATCAGAAGCAGATTCTGACACTTTGAAAGTCAGCGCTTCAGTTCGGAATCGCATGTTCTCTGTGGGGATGTAACCGTCAAGGAAAATGTTGATTCCTTCTCTGACTGAGAAGGGCATGGTAACGACTCCATAACATCCTGGAACTCCATACAAGCAACAGATGAAGTCTGACAAATAGTCAAGAACTGATAAATCGTGCTCAACGACAATAATGAATTTATCTGGATGAATGAGTGAGCGAATGGTGATAGCGCAATTGAGACGTTGTCGGACATCGAGATATGATGAAGGCTCATCGAACATGAAAATGTCGCCGTCTTGAATGCACACCATTGCACATGCGAAACGTTGCAATTCTCCACCTGATAATGCAGCAATTTCACGATCTTTTAGATGTGTTAAATCCAACATCTTACAGATTTCATCTTGAACCGATCTTTCGTCTTTTCTATCGAGCAGAGCTTGAATTGTTCCTTTTACCGATTTAGGAATTTGATCGACATATTGTGGTTTGATGAGAGCCTTCAAGTCATCTTCAAGAATCTTCGTGAAATAGTTTTGAAGCTCATTGCCACGGAAATAAGTTAAGATTTCAGTCCAATCTGGTGGATCGTTGAATCTTCCTAAATTAGGTTTCAATTTGCCAGCAAGAATCTTCAATGCCGTCGATTTTCCGATACCATTTTGACCGACTAAACCAAGAACTTCACCGGGACGTGGCGTCGGAAGTCGATGAAGTTTAAACGAGTTCTTTGAATAGCGATGAGTTGTGTGCTTGTCGAGATTACTCGGCACATTGATAATTGTGATGGCCTCAAAGGGACATTTCTAAGAAAACAAAAAAAAACTTAATTAATAAAATTAAATTAATTTAAATATTTTTAATTTACCTTCACACAAATACCACAACCAATGCAAAGCTCTTCTGACAACGTTGCTATCTTCGATTCCTTATCGACTTCAATGCACAACTTTCCCATCCTGACGACGGGACATGATCGTTTGCACTCCAGTAGACATCGCTTTGGTTTGCATTTATCAGAATTAACGATAGCAATACGTGTCTGTTTATCTGTCTCTTCGCGTTCACGGTTTCGAGACATTCTTTTTTTTGTGTATGAAATAAGTGAAAGTATGTTAATGATGGAGTTAACCAAGAAAAATATCAACACGACAGCAATTTTCAATTATATCAACATTTAAACGTCTCCACAGAATTACTCTTATGTTGCACGGATAACAAATATTCTTATGAAAATGTTTTGACTTAATTTAATTAAGTAAACTGCTGATATCTGAAGAAAAATATTTAAAATTTACCTTATAAAACTGAATTCGGTCTCCTCAGTGATGTCGGGAAAGGGATGTGAAGTTAAGTTGATGTGTAATAACGATGAATATTTATGATGTGTAATTTTCATGACAATTTCACTCGTTCAGGTGACGTGAAGGATTTGCTTAACAAAATTTATTAATTAAACTGTTTACAATGGATAGTAAAGTGTCTTTGAATGACAAGGAGAATGTCAATCCGGAAAGTAACGTTCAAGCTACAGCAGCACCGAAAATCTACACCGTTGAAAGTGAGTTTTCTTGTTGTGAAATTTTTGGCATGTCAATAACTTAAACACTTTCAGTTCTTAAGCTTATTAAAGAAATGCAACAGCAACATGGCTTGAGACACGGTGATTTTCAACGCTACCGGGGATATTGCACGAGAAGAGTTAAGCGGTTAAGGAAAGCATTGAATATACCGCAAGGAGATCGACGGCACTTTAAAAAGAAGGAAGTAACTACAGGACACCTTGAAGGAAAGAATTCCAGTGAGAAGTTCATACAAATTCCGTTAATGTTAGCTGAAAGAGCATGGGCTTATGCCATGCAGGTAAATACGAAGTTCAAACTGTCGATTTCATTTCTAACCAAAATTTTGTACTCAATTTAAACATTTCCAGCTTCGTCAAGAAGCAAACAGTGAACCAAGAAAGAAATTCCATTTAATTTCTAAAATGAGGAAAGCTTGTGTGTATTCATTACAACTTCAAACATTAATTTGTAGTGAATTTTGCGATGCACGATCAAAGCTCGAAGCTGAAGCTTATAACGCTTGGATCCATGGAACTTTTCATTTCGAGATTAGTGAATGGAAAGAAGCAGCTGAGAATTTAAAAAAATCTCAACTTGTCTATGAGAATTTATTGCAAGCTCTTCCGGAAGAAGAACAAGGAATCTACAAAGCAAAAATAGAGGAATTAAATCCAAGTCTGCGTTATTGCGCTTACAACATCGGAGAAAGTGCGAACATGAATGACTTGATGGAGATGCGTGGGCAAGGATTGCTCGATAATCTTGGTGCTCTTGTTGCACAAACAAAAACTGAACAAACGGATGCATTCCAAGCAACTGAATGGCGTGGACGTAAAGTGACAGTTCGACCACAAAAAGTTCGTTTGTTTTTGTTGAGTATTCAAGATTTGGATAAATCAGTTGAGAAAGCGAAAGAACATCAAGCAAAAATTGACATTCTTGAGAATGCATTGCTTGATTGTAAAGATGCCATATCAGCATTGAAAGATGAAATCAAACAAGATCCGAAACTTCGTGTTCCAACATCTGACGGTCAAATATCTGGCATTCAATACTTGCTGACTTATTTGTCTTACAGTCGATTAAAGATGACACTCGAACGTAACTTGTGTCTGGTTGCTCAGTCAAAGCAAAGCATGAAAGAGTCGACTGAGAAGTCTAATGAAGGAGGTAAACGTGTTCGTCCTCAAGATATTTCTCGATTGTATGAAATTATCCTTCAAAACATCACTGAACTTCAACAATTAAATGGATTGGAAAGTGATGCTGATTATCAGAAAGAAATGGAGACATTAGGTCAAGCTTTTAAAGCCTTCAGATGTTATTACATTGCTATAACACTTGTGAACCTTAAACGTTGGAAAGAAGCTGTTTCAATGTATGAAAGATCAACGAAATATGCTTCAGAAGCGATCAAGTTTAAAGTAAAAGAATTTAATTTGAGTGACGAACTGAAAGCTTTAATTAAAAAGATTGAAGGATCGAAGTTTTCAGCCCATGCTTACAGTGTTCTTGAAACTGATGGACAAGAAGAAACCGTTCTTTATGGAAAAGCTCAAAAGTCTTCGAAGCCACTGTTTGAACGATTGGACCAATATAAAGAGGATCAAACATTAAACTCGAGGAATCCAAATGTTTACAAATTAACACCGGAAATGGAAGCGATTCCATGCAAGCCTTTGTTCTTTGACCTTGCATTGAATTTCATTGAATTCCCATCGCTTGAAGATAAAGTCGAATCACCAGGAAAGAAAAGTGGCGCACCTGGTGCTGGCATTTCTGGATTTGTTAAAGGCTTCCTTGGTTGGGGTGGTGAAAAGAAATAATTTTAATTCTTTTATCTGATTTGTTATTTGAAAGTTACAATTTCATGATGGTGAGTTGAAAATAAAATAAAATAATTCTGTAAAATGATCTGAAAATTTTATTGCCGATTCTTCTATTCGAATCATCATTGAAAAATAAATTTTTGATCTACTTTTTGTGCTTCAGAAAACTTTTTTTAATCCTGAAAATAAACAATGAAAAATGCAATTGTTTGATAGTTTTTTTTATTTCTTTTTTAATTAGATTCTTTATTTAAAAATAGATCAGCTGCACTGTGATTATTGCTTGGTGGTATTTATAATATTTAACAAAAACTTATTGGAATACTTTCTGATGTCAGACATTGTTAATTTATAAAGACTCTTGTGTCGAACAACACTCAAGTAGGTTTCTAGGTATCTGTGGATTTCTTTTTGTTTCTTTATAATCATTTTGAGATTTTAAAGTGGCTCTGGTTAGATGCTTGATTATTTAAGAATTGGTAACTTATATTGCTACATTATTTTGAAACAAGATCTCTTCATAATTGACAGCAATTCAAATACATTTTTATATTCGATGATGAATAAAGCTTATTTATTGTCTGTTCGAATTTATTGGAACGAAGTTTCGAAGTTAAAAGTGGTCAGTATCGGGTTGGAGTTAAAGTAAAACTCAATTCAATTAAAATGAATTTAATTTTATCTTTTTCCTTTTACTCGTTCTTCTCCCAGAAGAAGTAGAACAATCCAAATAAGACCCGTAAAACTCTCGCTTCTCATTCATTCCTAACAATTTATCAAAATATAAAGAAAACGATAAAAATATGTCGACATGTAATTAAAATTATGTTAATCAACATATAAAATGCATGAATGCCTTTAATGTCTGTCATTAATTAACTAAAATTTTAAAGACTCAGTTTAAAATCTTAAAATTTAAACATCGGCGGCTTGGATTCTAAGATAAATTTACATCATGTCGTACTTAACGTTTTTAAACTTATCTTCATTTGTGAGTTGTTTAAAACGTTTTATATACAAAGACTCTTAATCTAATACGGTTGATTTAACTTAAAACTGATTAGTAAGCTTCGTGAAAATGAACAATTTTTTACACTTTTTATATTAACAATGAACAACTATTTTAGTAATTTTAACTTTTTTTTGTCGAAAAGTGTGAAAGTTAATTAAACAGTTAGAACAACTTTAGAACTTTCTTCTCTTTGGCAGAAGTCTGTATGTGGAATCACCTTAAAGCGGTGAAAAGTTTAATTAATACTTCTACGATTTTTAAATTAAGATTTCAATATCCAAGATTCCTTGTTAATAATAATCAACTTTAAAATCTTAAACCGGGATTATTGTTATAATTTATCTGCAGTTAGTGTTGGGATGAAAAGCTGCTTGTCGTAGCTACAATAATGCCATACAACCGGCATAAAAGTTTTATTGAAGGTGTGTGGACACACCATTTGGATTGCTTTTTCTCCATATGAAGTTCTATTGAAAAAAAAGTTCAGAAAAATATCTTCAATACCTGTTTTTAGATTCTAAAGGATCAGCGGTCAATTGGAATAATTTTCTACATCAATGAAGATGGAAATTGCATTTAAAAATCGATGTCGTATTCAAAGATATGTGGAGTCAATGTTTGAAGTATGTTTGAATGTTTTAAGTTTAAATTTGCAAGTACTTCTTCAGTATTTTTTTTGTTTATGTTTCAACGAGTCGAATCTTCTTGACTTTTAGACGTCTATGAAAATATTGTCAAAATAGCCGCGCTCATAAAATTCCTTAACAATGTCTTTGACCCTTGTGTGATATTCCTTAGGCTGTAATTGCAGTAAATATTCTTCGTGTGCTTGCTGATCGTGAATTGATCCCATAATTTTTGATAATGATACAAAGGTAACAGCTGGCATTACCCATAGTGATGTTCCCAGACCGTAAAGCGATCGAAGTCCAAGCTCGTGCATGATACTTTTAACTGTGAACTCATCCTCAAGTTTTTCTAACTCGTCTCGGTAGTTTTTCTCCAGATATTCACGTAATGTGCTGATAAGAGATTCTCGATAAACTTCTATTAGACGATCCATGTGCTTATCACGCATCGATCCATCCGTAGACGAATACAAAAGCATTAAAATATCGCAAACCAAATTTGTGTAACGAATCGTCTGTAAGTCAACGAATTTTACATGCTTCAACTTGCTATTGTGGTAATGAAACATAAGATTGTTGATCCAAAGGTCACCGTGACATACGACTTTCCATTTATTGTCGGATTTCTGGACATGATTCATCATAATATCAAAAAGTTTCTTTCCTCCCAGACGTTTTAAAATCTCAATGGGTTTATCCAAATCGCCATTTTCGTTTGAGAAGTTTGACAAGCTTGAAATCGCTTCGTTTAGTGTACCATCAAGAACTAGCCGAAAGAATTCAGCTGCACTTTCACTGAAAACAACTTCATGCATCTTTGCAGTTGCATTGAAAAATTTCATCGGATCAACAACTTTCATTGCGAGTGATATTGCGTGATATCCGCCAAGTTCCTAAATTAAATAACAATTTCATTATTACAAATCTTATCATTCTAATCAAAAGTCACATCTTACTTTCAAGACAAGCGAACAATGTTCAAAGTCCAATCCATGCGTGCGATTTGCCATCTCAAAGCCCAATTCTTTTAAATCTTCCATTGCAATGATCTCTCCTTGTGTATCCATGCCAGCAAAAAAGCATTTTGGATAAGGCAAATTATCGTTGGAAAACTTTTTAAGTACGGGAATCAAATGACAATAAGCTGCAATCTCATTTTTAAAAGCATAATCGCATCGAAATAGTTTACGTCTGTTTTCATCGTCCATTTGTCGTTTGATGATCAAACTGGTTCGATATTCTAATTTGAATGAAAAAAGATGAAAGAGAAGCAGAAAAAAAGTCATTTTATTCAATGTTTATATAAGTGGCAGACACACCGCATACACATTGTGAAATAGAGAATTCATTAACAGAGAATCAACAAAATAAAACAAAAAAGCTTCAAAGTTTACATCATGTTTCTATTATTAAAAAATATGAGCTCAAAATAAATATTTAATATTTATTGGTATCAATGAACTCGTTTTGTGGCTTAATGAAGTAGCAAACTTCGATCGCAGAGGGTGACCACAAATATCTTGTCTATTGTAGACCTTATCGAGTTTTCCCTTTCAACAGAGAGCGACGAGGTCAGGAATTCTTGATTTTAAATGTTTTTTTCCTCTATTATTTATTCTTTCATTTCGCTTTCGCGCGATTTCGCACGATTTCGAGATCATGCGGTTTATCACGTTAGAAGGTTGATGACAAATATTTATGGTCTGAAAAGGTTCTCATGGAATGAATTTATCAAGTGAGTGACTTTTACTTAATTGAATAATTTGAAAAATGAAGTAAGCAATTTATTGAGAAGCTCGACTAAATAATTATTTAATGAATTTGAACAGTTTCGGGTTCAAACAAATAATGAAATTAAAACTTTCCTTCCCTACTCTGATGATGAGCTTTCCCTGAAGTTCTCAAAGTCAATCTAATCAAATATATTTTTTTTCTGTCAAGTGAAAGTAAACATTTTTCTTGTTTGTTGTTTACCTTCTTGTGTTTTGATAAACAAGAGAAAAGAAGTTTGTCAATGAATAAGAATTCTTGAAAGTTCTAAGAAACGCAATAATTTCTATTAATATTTTTCATTTGCTTTTGAGACTTCCTTTTCGGGAATTCAAATTAGGAGTCTTTTACCTTTCCCATGACGTAAAATGTTATTCTGAATAACCTCCAGAATGTACATTTCAAAATAAAAACGAATGATTTATTTAATTTTATTTAAAAAAGAAACTCTCATGTAGGAAGGCGTGAGACGCAGACAATCTTAGATAAATCTTATTTTAAATACCGGTCCTAGTCACGAGCCACTATAAGCTTTAAATAGTTTACTTTTGTGATGAATATTACTACTAGTCAAGCACTTAAAAACCTGATTTGTCGAAATAAATTCAAAACACTAAACGTCCCTCAAGAAATCTCTCATGATCGTCATCGGTCATTCACCAGAACCGCATGGCCAAATTTGTGATTCAACAAGATCGTACATACATGTATAGCTTGCATATACTAATAAGCAGGTGTCTAGATTCGTAAATCCATTAGATGAAAACAAGCTTGTAAAATGTATTTTTGATGACTGAACGTGAAGACATTGCCGAAAAATGAATTCAAAGAAGTTTTGCTTAATGCCTCGTTAACAATGTGATTATGACTCTTTCTTCATATATGCATTTGATTCTCTTTAGAATTATTTACTGTCTGTTAGAAGTAAGCCAGTCGTTGTGTGAACACCAATCAAGGCAGAGTAATAATGACAGACAGGTATTTAAGATCGACAAGATGCATTAGTCATTTCCTTTTCATTTGACTGCGATTCATTAGGGGTTTGGCACAAAACGTAAGTTTTGAGTTAGAAGGAAATAAGATTAAGACGTAATTTCCAAATGATGTTAAAAAGAAATTTTAAGTCAAAAAGTCCTTTAAAAAGAAGTCAAAAGTGATGTGACAAACATGGAGAATGAAACCAATTCCAGACCTTGAAGCTTTTTCTTATATATTCATCAACATAAATACAACTACACAAAACTTTTAGTGTAGATTTCAAATCTCGTTTGGCATCTTTACAAAATGCGACATTTATTAGCCGGTTAATGTTGATAATCACCGGTGCCAACTTATTTCTTTTTTATTCATCTAACTTATCTCGCGTTTCTTTAATCAATATTTGAATGTGAGAATTTGAATTTATGTGAAATGAGAAGATGACTCGCACCACATTGTATCGCATACACGTTCGAGCTTTTTGTTTCTTTTTTTCTTTTTTCAAGGGCACGAGCTTTTTCATTACATTGCACTGTCGGCTGCATTTCATTTCTGAGTTGTTTATTGTTATCGTTTATGTTTTAGTATCAAAAGCTTTCGCATAAATATTAAACTTCCTCAGTCGTTGTAAATTAGAACAGATTACAAAAAATGTTAATCAATAAATAAGCCATAAATTTTAAATAATGACTTAATTTTTAAGAAATTCACATATCTTATTAATGGTTGTTGACGAAAGTTTTGATGTTTTTGCATAAACAAATTTATGAAATGTTTTCTTCTATGCAGATGACGTCTGATGGTGAAAACAACTCATTTACGTCATGATCACGATAGTATGAGAAATGAGAGTAAAAGTAAAGTTACATCAGCGAAATTTGACGCGATAATGTTCAGAAAAAACACACCCATTGTGAACTTGCAAGATTATTCTCAGATTTCACATAGAAATTGTGAGCGTAAATTGCTTGCCATTTAGTGCTGCTGCCAACTGCTTATCAACGAAAATTACGACTTATGATGAAAAAATAAGAAAATATAACATCTTCAGTTCAAAAACCTCGCTGTTTTTTTTCTGAATGAATTTCTTTTTCTCTCGCAGCTTATTCGTGACACTCGCGCGCACACACCAATTGAAACATCTGATGACTGAAAATAAATAAATTGTACATTTGAAATGGAGGTCACGGCGTGATAATGAACTAATTTTAAATGTTTCGAAGAAGCTTTCACAAATGATCTTTTGTGGCTCGTGTAAAATTTGTTTTCGTGAGTTTCTGGAGCTTTATTGAATGTCGATCTCTCTTGACGAGTCGAAATTGTGAGTTGCGTAAATTTTATTCTCACGCACGCATGGAGAATGATTGTAAAATTATAAACCGTGAAAGGATGGGTTGTGTAATATCTTCACTCGTGTCAATCCTATAAACAATTCTTATCATTGACTGATGATGGAGTAATATTCAATGTTTAATGTTTCATTATTTAAGCGGTAATGTGATAAGACAAGAATAAAAATGGCACATCTACGAAATAATTAAGATTAAGACACTGACTTTTGAGTCGTGAAGAATGCAATCACATGAATATTTGGATGATAATCATAGATTCGATTTTTACATACGAATGTGTATTGCGTTATGTCGTCGAAGGTTGCGAAGGTTATGCTTCATTTTTTGGAAAAGAAATAAATAAAAATAAGATAAGAAAATATGATTATGTTGAATCTTGATCGTGCGTCTCATGACACTTTTCGTTTCAATTTTAATTCTCTTCACAAACCTTAACCTTTTGCACCTTTCGTAACTTTTTAACACGCTTTGGTGAACGTGATTGCAGACACAACAAAGTTTATGATAAATTTGAAACTTACCTGAATTATTATTTGCTTTTACAGTCACTTTAACTCGCTTAATAAGCGACATGTAGTTATCGCCATCTTTGCTTCCCGGTTCACAAATAATTCTTGTAACTGTTAAACTATTGTCGTCATGTGAATATCTGAGAATGTTTTGCACTGTCTCAACACTTTCACTGAATTTATTAATTTTCCCATTTAAGGAATCTTCCTCATTTTGTGCGTTTACAAGCATATTTCCAGAAAGGAACGAGCGCGAAAAAAATTTACGTCTGCCACCGATAAAGTCCGTATAAGTAATAAAAAATGATCTTTTATTTCGTTGCTTCAAAAACGCGGAGAGAAAAAAAAAATAAGTCTGAACTTTTTTTTTGTTTTTCTGTTTTCTTCTTACTAAGAACAAAAATTCCACAAATATTATGCAAATCTTTTTATATTTCTACTTTGCTTAAGACAGACCCGTGAGTTGTATTGAAGCAGGAAAAAAAATATAAATACGCGCAAAAAGATTTCAGTTCTTTCACAGAATGAAAACCAACTTCGGAACTATCGCTTGATCTTGTTTGAATGCTTTCGCTTCGTGTCGGAAAGCCCTATCTTGTGACACTGATTAATGTTGTTATTTCGTTTTGACAGATCAATGTTTGATTATTTATTTCTGAAAAAGGAACTTTACAGCAAATTTTCAGTATTTTTCCAAGCTTTTTTTTAAGAAAAACTTTTTTTTCCTTTTATTTTCTTCTTTTCAATTTCACGAATCACGATAGACGATCAAGTGAATTGACAAATTTTGCAGTTACGTTTGTGTCTATCGAATGAAAACTGCATACTGAACATTTTCGCTCAGTTGCCTTTTACATACCGCTCTGATGCAATTGGCATTGTTTCTTTTTTTTTTATCGTAGTGTTGTGTTTGAGCGCTCCACACATTCGCTTGCGATATATTTACGAATGAAAATCTAAGCCTAAACACACTAATAAATAAATAGTAAGAGAAACAGTATAGAAATCGAATAAGAGAGACAACTCAACGAAGATTGTCAAAATAAAAATCATAAAATGTGCTTTGAACAACAAAGATGTGGCGTTGGGATGGCGACATTGACTGGAATGACATTGTTCATCGTTTCACAATATTCATAATAAATATTTGAATGTTCCAGAGCCGATGATGATGATACAATCTAATGTGTGATAATGAAAGGCTATCGTTGCCTTCCATCCCCTTTTGACGTTCATCGTTTCTCTTAGTTGAACGACTTACCAAAACGACCTTGATGCTTTTTGGCTGTAAAATGTTTAACACAAACACGCGATGTGCACTTGAAAAATAAAAAATGAAGGATAAACAATTTTTTCTTTGTTGTGTTTTTTTTTTGAGCTTCGTCTTATTGTGCAAGAACAAAAGGTGATGTTAAGTTGTCGAGACTGAAACAGAATAGAGATGAAAAATGAACTTTTAATGAAAGCCAACCCACAAAGCTTTGTGTAGATTTTTTGAATGCTTTATCACACTTAAAATGTTATATAAAAGTTCATGTTGATGATGGAAAAAAACACATTTTATCGATAAATTGTTTCGTCAATTGTGCATTTGAATGTTTTGAAACAAATTAATTTGCAGGTGATTGATTTAACTGTTTAAAGCCGCCATCAATTATGTTTGGACATATCAGAAGGGAGAAAAAAATCTTTAAAAAATGTTTAAAATGTCAAGGCTTTCATCTTAAATCTCTGTCACAAAACCCTTCAGTGGCGCCAAGATTTGTAAATGTTTTTGGAGAAAAGATAGAAATTTATTAAATTGGTTTTATTGCGCGCAATTCTCTATTTGCTTGTGTCCTACATCATAGAAGACGCAAATCTTACGCGTAATTTCACGAACATTCTAAGAACAGATTCCATAAATAAGAATGAGAAATAAAGAAGAATTGAAAACATCTCGAAGTCAAGTGAAAAGACCATGAAAGCGTAAACAATGTGGAAGTTTTATCAAATATTTTATAAAACTTCACAATTGGCCTTTGCAATGTGAAGGAAAGTTTTAATCGATTTCCTTTAAATATTTTTAAATTGCTCAAGCACTTTTCTTCAATGTCATCCGGAATGCGTTTCATCTTGTATGATTTATTACAAATATGAAAGCTTCTGAGTACAATTAAAGCTCCCTTGAAAGTTCATATTGATTTTTTCGTTCTGTATGAACGACCTTTACCTCTTTTATCGAGTGGAAAAAAAGAGAAAAATAGAAGAAATAAAAATGTAAACAATTCTCACTTTAAGTACATTAATGGAATTGAGTAAAATCTAACGTTAACGCATCAACGATTTTATGATTGTCGTGTGTCTAGTACTTGTTTAAAAATTGCGACAATGTTTACAAACAATTTAAATTGAATAATTCTAAAATTAGATATTTTGAGAGAAGAAATTTTTCAAACTCATCAATTGCATCAATTAATTCAACCTGGATTTTGATGAATTAAATTTAATGCAGTCAGCATCACGTGTCAAGTTTTTATTCAGATGTAGAAATATTTTCACTTTCCGCACGGTTTTCTGTCCATTCATATTTTTTGTTTAATGATTTTATGTACTTTAGTACATATAAACGTTCTCGTCGGTAAATGCCGTAAAATAAAATCAACTTCAGCGTGAAAAGGTGGAACTAATACAATTTTTAACGCGATAAGCATGCAGTTGAGTTAAATGTTGGTATGAGAAGTTAAGATTTTGTTCATTTTAAACAATTATGGAAATTTAATCCATCGGACTTTATTTCATTTATTTTTTTGGCTTTGGAAGTGGGCCAAAGTCATCCTGAAAGAAAAAGAAAAAAATGAACTTGCATTTATATTATCCATGCATCTTGACATTCAAACAGCATTGAAGACATTTTGCTTGCTTCGAAAATTATGTCATAATAAATTTGCAAGGGAAACTTTGATGTTTCATGTTTCACATTAGGTAGACTTGAGAATCAACTTACGGTTTACTAAACTTCCTTCAAAAGTGACTCCAATATCTTTTAAATTTATTCTACACGGAAAATATTTAGAGTTGCAGTTCTTTTTAAAATGCTATATCGACAAGGTGCTTTTGGTCTAATTATTTCTATTTTCTTTTTATTCATCATCAAAAATAAATATTTCTTTAAATAAAATCTATCAATTTATCGACAAAGTTTATGAATTTCATATAAATATTGATATTACGATTTGCCCTTGTAACATCATCTAATGAAATCTGAGTAGATCAATGAGTTTTTGTTTTCTCAATGCGTTGAATTGAATAGACAAATGATGTGAATTCTAATACATATATTAAGAATATTGTTTCAAAAAACAATGAGTGAGCAAAACTTTCAGTGTGTAAAACTTAACTTGATATTTCTAGTTTTAAAATGTTCTTTCTTTTTTGACCTCACTACAAGTAAAGAAAGAAAGAATGATAAGGGAACACATGAGTGTACATTAGAAGTGTCCGAACTCCATGATGATTAATATTATTTCATTAAAAACTATAAAAGAAGAGTTTATCAGTAAAGAGTGCTGGGAATTTTCAGTTTTCCTGGGCAGTGATAATAAAAATAAAACAATTTCCTTATTCATGGAAAAGTTTTTAACCTTTTCTGCACGATAAAACTTAAACATTAATTCACGACAATAAATAAAGAGCGCTATTTAATTGAACTAGATTTTAACTCAAAAATTGTTCATTCTTTTTTACAATGGAAAAATTCCTAGTTAGACTGGTCATGCTGAAAGTTTGATGACTTATCGGAACAATTCTTTAACGATTCACGTGAATTTTAATCATTCCAATTGTCTACCGATAAACAATCAATTTTCATAGCATTTTGTTTATTTAAAGATTCCGTTTTGAACTAAATGAATTACTGAGTGCTTCAACATCAATTCCATTATCGATTGCATCTGCTGTACCGTTTCCAGGTTTCTTATAATTAGAATTGAAGAAAGCCAGCGATTTCATCAATTGGTAGCTTTTTGACACCGGCAAGTTTGAATCGTAGAGAGATTTACTGCTCTTGCAATCAGTGTAGAACCACCAATTGCATTTCAAGATTGTCTGGTCGAAAAGTGTGCTTTCAGGACACAAGAACGACTTCATAATCAAGCCATCATCAGTCAATGCACAGACATGGAAAACCTGTTGAATAAAAAAAGCTTTTAACAAATCTAGTACGTCAAAGCTCTTAAAAAGCTTTTTTAAGCTTCTTCTTTATGTTTCATAGTTTCATCTTGTGTGATCATACTCAACATATAAATATGATTTACTTTCAAGGTCAAGAACTTGTGAAAGGAATTTCATTGAGTATGAAAAGAAATAATAATTTTCTCAAAAAAACAAAAAAAGCAACAAAACTATCGTGTGAAATAAACGTGATCAAGAAATTACATGATCATTGAAATATTCAATCTGGAGTCGAATTAAGAGTTTATCAATTAAATGAATACTTATTGAAGTCACTTTTATAAATGAACTAGTGAAACTTCATTAATTTTACTCACCATGCAGCCGAGATCTTCATCAGCATACAATCCAGGGAAATGTTTCTGATCACCACAATGGAACGTTGTTGCTGGAAGGTCGACTTTCGATTTAAAATTATCATCGAAATTCTTATCGTAACCGACTGGATAATATTCTTTCGGTGCATTCATAACCTGTAAACATGATAAATGTTTAAATCATGAATGAATTATGAAAGTTTTCATGACCACCTACTTTGTGACCACCGGCAATTCGCCGTCTGGTAACTTTTGTCTTAGGCACGTACCGCGTTGTTGTTGTACGTGCTGTAGTAGTCGTCGGTGTCGTTCTAATTATTGTTGTTGGCGTTGTCTGAATTGTTGCATGACTTCCATCATTTCTTTGATTAAATGTGTTTGCATAATTTCTCTTTTCAAGTAGCATTTGTTGTTGGCGCATTTTTATTGCTGTTTGAATGACTTCCACACTTACATTTGCTGCTGTTGCCAACTCTTCTACTGTATGTCCTTTCAAATCAACTTGAGGTAGCTCTTCATTCTCGAATGTTTGAACAAGCGGCTGCGCTATCGGCTGGAAATGAAAATTTAAATATACAAAAGTTAAAACTTTCGCATATGAAGTGTTTGAAGAAGATTTACTTGTTGAATTTCGTTTCCTACTCGATGTTCCTGTCCAAAAGAAATTCTTGAGTGCTGTGTTTGCTTGGAAGAAAACGAAGGAACGCTTCGATAGCTTTTTTGATTGTTGTCATAAGTTTCTTGTTCTGCGATTCCTGTTGATGTCATTTTTGTCGTTGATCCACTGACCTGAGAAGAGTTGGAAGATTAATGCTTCTTACAAATGTGATGACTGATTGAAAGTAATTTCAATTGAGGTCAAAGAACAGATAGAAGATATTGAAAATTTAATTTTAATGGTACTCAATGCTTTTTTATGTGCGTGTAATGAATGTGAATGTTGTTACTTGTCTGTAGGATGATCCGCGAGTTTTCGGCGAAACTTTTTGCAATTTTAAAACTTTATCTTTTACATTTATGGTGTCACGAGGTATCGGCTTAAAAGCTGGAACTCCTAACGGCAGTGACTGTCATAGTTCGAAAATTCAATTAATTAAATTATCTTAAAAACAATGTTTGTTTATTTACCGTTGCTTCAGTCATTTGATTTGGCTTCCTGAACCCTTGAGGTGTTGAAACCATGGGACGTGGTACCATCGTTTGCATCTGAATCATTTGGTGTGATGTTGTAACTGCTTGTGGACGACTCTGATGTAGTTTTGGCACTGCTTTCTTAACCTTGGAAGAGATCATGTATACAAGATGGTCAAACATTTGCTTCTTTTATTTTTTCCTCAATTGAAATCAATTCACCTTCCTTTGGTAAGGTCGTTAAATTTAATTTCACCGAATTTCTAAGATCTTTAAAAAGCTTTGAAACTTTTTTTTATCTTCCAAATATGCCTAACAAATCATAAAAATTGATTTGCAAAATTTATAGTGGTTTGTTTATCGAACACTTTGTGAATTGAGACAAGAGAAATCGATTGATTGCTTTGCCTTTCTAATTGAATGAAACAATGTCTAGTTTGGTTGATTATCGACCTCGCTGCTGCATAGCACAATTCATAAGTAGCAAGTCTACTTTAAAAAGCATGATTTTAATTGACTTTTTATTCGTCTATTGTTTCAATATGTTCAAGCGATTAATGTGTGAAATTTATGAAGATATATTGTGGAACGACATTAAGCACTGAGAAATTTGGTAAACTTTAAACACAAACAATAGTTGAAAAAAGAAGTTAAGTTGACTTAAGAAGAACGGAGATTAATATTTGGGAAGTTTCATATTTGTTATTCAGCAAAAAAACATTAATGTTTTATTTGGCAATTGACAGATGAGTAATTGACACGGATGGTCTTAACATACACAAAAAAAAACTATTTTTCCTTTGCATGACTTTCGATTTCTTTTCGTCATTAAACTTCAATTTTATTACAGATTTAAGTTTAAACGCCGTGATGTTGTGAAAGAAGATTGGACATCACATTACTTCGAAAACATAAAATAACATCCGTTGATGATATTGAAAGTGAAGATTTCAAGAAAAAAAAGAATTTTCAATAAAACTTTCAGAAGATAATCGAAATGGAAACATTTAACACCAAGCAATTCACGTTGTTCATAATTTATTTCAAAGCAGTTTTACTTTAATATCTTACCGGCATTTTAGCTCCAGGCAACACGCCAAGTGTATTTCCACCAGTTCTGAGGTTAAGCGCTCTCCGTCTGCTACCTTCCACATTGCCTAATGACTCCGGAAATCCTAATTCATCTCCTACACTAAAACCTTTTTGATATCGCAGAAGAAAGGAAATGAGAATATTTTTGTTTATTTCGTTTATTCAAATGTGTGTTAGATTCATCGATTCCATTGATATTTAAATGAGATTAGCTGCTTTGGCATCTTCGCAAACATTTCGAAGCAAGTAGACCAATGAATGGCATTAATACCGTTTAACGTTAGAAATGTTATATAAACATTGAATAATTTAGAGTATTGAGGTGCCTACATAAATATTTTCGCTATTATTGCGTGATGTCTCGAGGAAATCTGAGATTTTTGAATTAAAATTTCGTTTTTTTGATAAATAATTTTATAACTGCAGTAAAAGATTTGACACTTGACTGCGAAACTCTCACGAGAAATATGTAAATAATTAAGTCAAGGAGATGGGTTTGATTTATTAATGTGTAATATTTTTCAAAAATAAAGGAATAAAAGAAGATTGCGTGATTTATCATGTATGTATGTAAAGTTTTCCTCGAAACGGTAGATGGTTAACCTTCTTGGACATTCCATTGTTCATTTGTTCTCTGAATATCATCAATGAATTCAGATTTCACACACAAAACTTTCAAAACTAAAGCATAAAGTCATCGATCAAGTCTTTTCATTAAATTGATGCAATTTTATTATCCTCTTAAATTAAATTAAGTGCTTCATTAACTTATTCCTTGATCGATTTTTTAAGTAGATTTTAAAGAAGCCATTAGGTTTAAGGCTGCAGACGCGAATATGAATGTTAAAAAATGCGGTGATTGGGAAGATGTATCAGGTGGTTCATCAATTGTAATAAATTTACATACAATGCGGGTGAAGAGTCTTCAAAGCTACACATTATTTTAACTTATGGCCCATTAAGCTCATTCTCAGATGAACTTTAATTCTTCATGATCAGTTAATCTACGATCATGTTTCGAGAAATCAATGAATGAAGAAAACTTTTCTGACACTTTAAAGAAACAAGTTTTGAGGCTTTTGAAGTACACGGTGAAAAATTTTGTGTGAAAACATTACGGAAACTGACCTTTAACAATCAGCGTCAACTTCTCTTGTTTCTTTCTTGAACAAAGGAAATTAAAATTAATTTATTTAGTTGTACGAACATAAAAGAAATGAAAATTTGTAGCGCGTGCTGTTTTTGTTGTGAATATCGTGTAATTGAAATTTATGTATTCTCGAGACATCAATTGAATGAATTTCTCACTACGAGACTCGAAAATTTTCAAACAATCAACTCAAAAATTGATCATTTTGTAATATTTATTTAGTTGGTTTAGTTATTTAAGTAGTAGTTGTTGATATCTGTTCAAATTTACATTTGATTTGTAATATGCAAGCAAATTTCATGTATTTATACGAGTAAAGTTTAAAGATTAATTCAAGGTTCAAATCAGTAGGTTATTAAGAAGCCATTTACCTAAACCAAAATGCGCTTTAACGCCACCCAAATTTCTCACTCGAAACAGCCCAGCTTTCTTAAAATTACAATTTAGCGAGAAGCCGAAATCAGATTCTAAGACGCAGGTACATTGAATTTGGTTGATTGTGCCTACAAAGGAAAAATAGGAGAAAATTTTTGATTAAAAACATTAATTTTGATGACCGAAATTTGTATGAAGTTGCAGTTAGATTCATTAACATTAGGACGTAGTGCGAGTCACAGTAAAAGAAATGAAATCTTTAAACAAAGTCGTTAGCGTTCATTGCTTCATCTTTCAAAGATATTATCTGAGCATATTTTTATGATCGTTTAGCTTCTTCATTCACAATTTTATTTAAGCTTGAAATTATGAAGTTAAATAAGATGGTGAACAATCAATCAAAAGACTTCAATGCTTGAACAAGATAGGAAAGAAATGATGAAATATTTAATATCTCATTTCATGCCTGATGATAACATAAAATTATCCAAAATTACTTCAGATTAGTCTCTTGTCATATCTGAATATAACTTTATGAAGACGTAATAAAAGTTATGTTTGAAAACAATTCAAAGATGTTTTCGCTTGTAAAATTCGCAAATAATTTTTATGTCTTTATGCCTGTCATCACTTGCTGTCCTATTTGAAAAACTTTTATTTTTATTAAGTTTTAAAAGCAGAGAAAGGAATTTTGAAACTTTACTTTCATCTTCTCGTCATCTATAACATCCGGAAAAAAATTTCTGTCCCGTGAAATGACTCAGAAGGTGACGATGAGAAGGCATTGCAATGAAATTGCGAGATGATGTGGATTGGATTTGTTCCGTATTTCCTTTTTAATCTTTCCCAAAATATTTTACGTAGGAATGCTTTTCAATAAAAAATAAATCATCTTAAATTTCCTTTGATGGAAATCAATTTTCAGTTTTCTTTGAGATTCGCCAAACTCACATATTTCAGCTCTTTCACCTTCGAAGTTGGATTGGATTTCATGATCAATTATCCTGTCGAACTGTCTAGATTTTTCGTAAATTATTTAGCTTCTCGTGTTATAAAATTTTGTATAAAAAGTAATCAAAACAATTAATAAATACGTTGCATGTAAAAGAAACCATAAGAAATATTTTTTTAACTTATGATTCTTTTATGAGAAGCAAATTATTGTTTTCTCTCCTTTATGAATCAATATTGATTCGAGAATTGTTTTTTTCTTTCTTATTTATTTTTGTTAATACCTACGTGGTCGATAAGTTTCTCCAATTCAATGGGTCTGATATATTATGTAGATATATGATTATGATGAACGAGATCATGAAAATGGACAAGCAAATGGACTTTTGTCGGAACCTTTTTTTTCCTTCTGTCTCTCTTTCTTGACCTCTAAAGTCACACAGCGCATAAAAACACTCAAATGCTGCTACGAATTAGTCGAAGCAATAAAAATAACATGACAGAAATTATAGACTATAAGTTAAGCAAACCTACAATCAACAGAAAGTAATATGAGTTAAATATTAGGATTTTCTTTTCATCAAATAGTGTAAGTAAAGAAAGAATGAGTCATGAAAGTAAATAAGCGTGAAAGTTCACGTTCACGGCTTGATGTTTAAACTGATGCATGGAAGATCAGAAAATTGATCACTTTTGTTACCAGTTGAAGTTTCACTGATTTATCTGCTCCGTTTTTGTCGTTTAGAAGGTCGCCTAAATATGTATAATTTAGAACGGGTCTTGCTAAGGTTCAAATTGATCTTGTTATTCAAATTTTTTTTTTCAATAAATTAATGAAATAAAAAAAAGAAGTAAAGATAATTGAATTGTCGTGATCGTGAATTCCTATTATTCGACCAAAGTTGTATAATAAAATTTACGTCTAGTTTCGAACATCTTTCGATTGATTATGTTACCACAAAGATTTCACAATTTTTCTTCGTATCTTTTCTGTTTCATCACCTAATTTTAACGCTTTATTGTGACTCTTGCGACTGCACATGAAGTCCAACGACGTATTTATTTACACATGATATTTACATGATAACTTCATTTAAAAATGCTTAATTGGAATTAAAGCACAAATAACAAAAAGAGCGGAAAATTTAAGATAAGTATTTAAGCAGGTATAGGGAATGTACAACCGTATTCTGTGAATGCTTTGAATGATGTAGGCCACGACCATAACTCTCTTTAAACCGTCTTGAAAGTAAAATTCGACCAAGACTCGATCATTACCATTGGAAATATTATTTAATTGTCAATAAATTAATTTCTTTTCTGTTTCTTTTTGTTGTTTTATGAACGGTTAATTAAGAGTATTCACAATATTGCACAATTATGAAGATCATAAATAGTTAATTAAAATTATTATTCACTTACTTATAAAGTAGAGAAGAAGCAGAACAAAATTAATTGTGACGTACTTCATGGTTTTGTGCTTCTGTTCAATCACTTCTTGAATGATCTCCGAAAGCTTTCAATTTACTTTTATTAACTTTTTTTCTTTCTTCTGTTCGACACTTCTTGTGGACTTCTTTACATTGAATATTTTAAATTCACTTTTATTTCTGCTATGCTTTCATTTATTCAATATCATCTCAGATCACTTTTATTTTCATTTTAAACGGCAATTGATCAAGCCATTTCATTGTAGAAAATCATTAACAGTTCTTTGAATCTCGTTTCATCACACTTTTTAAGCGTCTTCAAGTGATAACTTAACAGAGAGAAATTCGAAAGTGACAAGTAAAATCTAAAAGAAAGAAAATATTTTTTTTTATCGTGGAAAACAATTATCACAATTAAATTAAGTGCTAATTAACATCTAGCACATCACTTCGAATGCATCATAATGATTTTCCAATGCTTTATTTAAAATCGAGCATGTTGAATAACAAAACATGTTCAACCTTGTAATTCAATTGCATTTAAACACATTGCGACTTAGATATGTATAATTAAAAAGATCACACGAAATTATATTTTTTAATGCTTCTCTGAAATTCTCCTCATTTATCACTTTGATTAAAAAAGAATTTTATTCAAGTCACTTTTTAATTGCATTCGTAATATTCTTTAATAAGAATGCATTATTCAAATAACGTTTTGCCCTGAAACCTAAAATAATAATTAACTCAGATGGTTCAAGAGTACTTTTTTATCACTCGGTCAATGATTTTCGTTATGAATTCCAAACAGTTTTTTAATGCAATTTTGTGCAACACTTAACAAAAAAAAGGTTTTAACTTGAGGTTTTTTATTGCGAGCATCCAACAAATGACAAAACCGTTATTGTAGTTATTATAAATGAATCAACAACCGATGGTCGAACAGACATTGAAACTACTTTTAATTTATTTTCTTACACACCACTAATGATTTTTTATTTTCGATTGAAAATATCGTGTATCTACTTAGCCACTGAATAAAACTAATAAATGAAACATTAAATAAAAAATTAAAGCAATGTTTCCAAAACTGCACCTGATCGCGTTGAGCGTTGTTTCACGACTGAATTGTTGAATGCTTAAAATTTATTTCTCAATTTCTTTTTCATGTGCTGTAAAGTGGATTTGCGTTAATATGTAAAGAGTAAAGCATGGAAAACTGAGCAACAAAAGTGGTGGCAAGTTATACGATAGAGAAAAGAGAAGAAGTCAATCTCACTCTCAAGTTTCAATAACTTAAACTTAAAGCAACATCGGTTTGATGCGTCGAAAAGCGATTGATCATTAAATGAGTGTCGCCGGTTACGACTGAAAATTAAACTTACGTGAACAATCAGAAGCAAATAAATTAGTACAATTAAATTTTTAATGCAAGAGTTTATTTATCAAAATATTTTTAATTGATACAAAAGTCGAAGATAATTTTTTATTTTCATAGCGCAATCGTCACGATATTTTGTTAATATTATTTCTTAACAATAAATAAATAAATAAATAATTAAATTTTGTTCTTTTCATCAATCAAGTTTTAAATAATTATCACTGCTGAAAGCAAGATGTTGCAAAACAGTAAGTTAGATTTCTTCTGATTTCTGACTAGCATTAGCGACGTAAGATTATGATCGTTGACTTTCATCATAATTGGAGATGATCTTTCGCAGTGATGATGGTCACTTTTGGGGTCTCAGCTTCCTGAATATTATTATTATTATCTTCATCAGATTTCTCGGGTAATTCAGTAGATGTTGAGTTCGTTGAACTTTTATAATGTTTGTTGAAATAGGAAAGTGATTTCATCAATTGGTAGCTTTTTGACACCGGCAAGTTTGAATCGTAGAGAGATTTGCTGTCTTTGCAATCAGTGTAGAACCACCAATTGCATTTCAAGATTGTCTGATCGAAAAGTGTGCTTTCAGGACACAAGAACGACTTCATAACCAAACCATCGTCAGTTATTGCGCAAACATGGAATACCTGAGAGAAAAGAAATGAACATAATTTATGTATGAGATGAGGGATGTACCTTTAAGCATAATTTTGTGGGCAGATAATTATTAATTATACTCTCTCAACTAGAAGCGAATGTAATGGAGAAACAAAAGTAACCAACTAACCGAGTAATTCTTTTCATCTTTATTACCTGCCGCAAGATACTTTTAAGTGATGTAAATTATTCCTCATCATATCATTTCGATAGATTAATTACATCAAAATTATTCAATTAATCAGGAAAATGACAGATGTTTTCAAACTATTGGAATTGTTTAAATTTAAGAAAAAAAATTGTTTAACAATGCGTGTTGATCACGAACAATGATTGGAAAATGTTTAAAATGTTGTTTTGGCAAATCAATGATCGTAAATAAAATAAAATAAGGGAAACCGTCAATGATCGATTAGAATCGCCAGGGAAATCAAACGTGGAGAAATCTCACAAAACTTCAAATACTCACCATGCAGCCCAAATCTTGATCACCGTACAAGCCTGGGAAGTGCTTCTGATCACCACAATGGAATGACGTGGCTGGGAAATCGATTCGTGATTTGAAGCTGTCGTCAAAGTTTTTCTCGTATCCAACCGGGTAGAATTCCTTTGGTGCATTCATCACCTGGTGAGAGAGAAATTAACAGAAAAAAAATTAATCAAGCGAATAATTTCACGCAGCAAGTTTCTCACTTTGTGACCATTTTTGATGATGGGTTTCTTAGTGACCTTTTTCTTCGGTATATATCTCGTTGTGCTTGGCTCTGCGGTTGTTGAATAACTTACTACTTTCTCAGGCCATTGAAATTCTACAACCTGCGATGACTGGGGCGTTGTTGGTTTTTTAAAAGTTTGCTGTTTGGGAAAATTTGCATAAATTTTCTTCTCCAAAGCCATTTGTTGTTGCCGAAGTTTTATGGCTGCTTTAATAACATCAACAGAAACTTTTGCTACGGCTGCCAATTCTTCAACTGTGTGTCCTTTCAAATCAACTTCTGGTAGCTTTTCTTCTTTTGGATGATATTCGACTTTTGTCGGCTCAACAATTTGGGCGGTGACGATTGAAGAAGGAAGTGCTTGAAATTCAGGAACGGGTGCTGAATAAATTACACTGACACGTTCACCAGATGTTTGTACGCCCGTGGTTGCCATTGCTTTCAGAAACCTGTTAGCTCCGCTTAACTGGCGAAAGTTCAGTCAATGATGATTGAGTCTCATTTAAATCATGACAACTCACCTGACGTTGATCATTATACTTTGGCAAAGCCGGTGAAGTTATTTGATGCTTATACAAATCCTCTTTAACTTTTAACATTCCTTTTGGAATTGTCTTGAATCGTGGAACACCCAATGGAAGTGACTAAGGAAGGTTTTAAATTATAAATCAATGCTCAACATTCTCAAAGACTTTCTTACCGAAGCTTCAGTCATCAGAGGTTGCTTCTTATACAATTTAGGTGCTGACATAGCGGGACGCGGAATCATTGTCTGAATCTGCATGTAATGACTTGGAGAAATTGTTGCCTGAGGTCGCATTCGGATGGATGTGACCTTTAAGTATTTTTTGAAGATTATTTTTCTGATTGATTTTTGTTTTTCTTATTCGTTTTTAAGCTTCAATTCTTCTTTCAATCCATAAACTCATCCAATATCTCAAAATCATCACTTGTGCTTAAAATTATTTTTTCATAGTTAAAAGTGTTTTGAAAACATCAAACTTGATTGACCAACTGACACCGATTGCATCTTGAGGAAACAATCGACACTCATTCACCTTTTTTTCTTTTTTAAACTTCTTGTGAATGTCATTTAATCTTAATTTCAATGAAACAGCGTATGAGGTGATTATCAAGAAGTAGATATTATGAAGTTTAAAATTGTAATCGTAATTCAATGGTGAATTATCTTAATCAAGTAAAAAAAACAGTTCGCAAAATAAAGTGCTTCGTTAATTGCTAATGAGGGGAAGAAACGAAAAAGCTTTGCAATCATCACTCACCGGCATTTGTGCAGCAGGTAAAACTCCAATCGCATTATTTCCCATTCGAACATCAAGTGATCTCTTCTTATTAGCTTCGACATTTCCGAGAGACTCAGGAAATCCTAATTCGTCACCTAAGCTGAAGCCTACAGACAGACAACAATCGATCGTTACTTTAATGTCGTCACATTAGCTTTTTCATCAAATATCAAGAAGAGATTTATACAAACATTAATGTTTGGAAATATTTTACAACAGCGTTACAATCATCTAAATAAATAGATAAGTCGCTAACTTAAACGTCGTTTACCTAAACCAAAATGCGCTTTAAGACCACCCAAATTTCTCACTCGAAACAGTCCCGACTTTTTAAAATTACAATTTATCGAGAAGCCGAAATCTGATTCTAGGACGCACAGGCATTGGATTTGGTTGATTTTGCCTAAACGACGATAGAAAGAAGAGAGAAATATAGAGAGAGAAATTTAAGGAAACGAAGCAATAAAATTAATATCTTAGTAGTAAAATTAAGGATTTGAGTTTTTTTTTTTCGTTTTGAAGATGTTAGACAGTTAGACATTCACCGACATTTATGGCAAGCAAGCAGTTCATTAAATGAAGTGTTCACTTTGTTTGAAAAGTTAATTCACTAGTCCAACATAATGACCTCAAATAATTGCAAAATTACAAAAATTCATCACACTTACAAATGTTAATTTGTCGATGATGAAATGAAATCAAGAAGATTTTCACGTTTCAATGTCGAGTTTTTATTCAGATAACCGTGAAAATTTATGAATTGAAATTTTCTTAATTTTTGTTGAAAGGAAAAAAAGATAATTAATTCCAATACGATACCATCGAAATATTTCTTTTTGTTAGTAAATAATCCCATGAATTGTTGAGTTATGATTAGTTGATTCATGTCGAGTGTTTTCTAAGCTCTAAAGCTTTGTTATTGTTATTGTTATGATCTCTCATTACAAATTCCACCAAATCCAAATGTAATAACAACAAGCAGTTGAAGAAAAGAAAACTTTTCTTCTTCCTTTTATTCGAACAACGTAAACATAAAATTATAATAAAAGAAAAAAAAAATTGCGAACGGTATTAAGTTTATCATCTTGACCATGCATCAGTCAAATAATTAGTTTCACTATCAATGTGAAATCTCATAGTAGAGCAAACCGAAAATGAAGCTTGTTCATCACGATCTGTATCGCCTCTCATCATGTAAGAAGTAAAAGTTGAAAAGTAAGTTAAAAAAATTTTTCTGTTAACATTCGCAGAACGTATTCGCACAAACAACCAAAAAAAAATACCGAAAAATGAATGAAAGAATGTTAAGTGAAAGGTGATTCAGACACCGAAAGACAGAATGCATCATCAAGGCCAATAAAGAATCCGGTTCCACTTACTGATGAAGAATAGCAGCAGCAGAACAAAGTTGATTGTGATATATTTCATTTTTATCCCACTTTAATTTATCACACTCTTTTAAATGAAATTATTTCTTATCTAACACTTTCAATTGCACTTTAAATCTCTTTTCATTTATGATTAATGTTCAATTTTTCTTCAAACTTTTTTTCTTTTTCTTCTTGTTCAGCAAATTAAACTTTCGTTTCACTTTTATTTGCTTTTCAATTGCTTCTCTTCTATGTCGTACTTATTCTCATCCACGTTCAGTCAATGAATTAAATAAGCAATAGACAATGTCAATGATACTTTGTCGGCGAAACAGGTGAGGTTTATGTGATGGTTGACTGAAGCCAAAGTTAAAGTTAAGAAAAGACTGTGAAAATAAATTCATTAGAAAATATTTCATTTGACTAATGGCAGGTTTTAAGATAACAAATCATTTTAATTTAATCCAATTCTCAGTTCATAACGGATAATGAAATTATGCTCTAAATCACTCTCATATACATATCATCGTTTGAAATGAAACTTTACGTTTTATCAATTCAATAATTAGCAACTTTCACTTGGAATTTCATAAATAACATTTCTCCAACAAAGTTTACTCGCCGTACGTCGCCGATAAACCGGTTCGGTCACAAAAATTTATATTCAAATGAAAGGAAAAAGAAAGAAAATTTGAAACGTCGATGAAATGTATAACGGCATCAGTAATTTGCTTCAAAAGATTTCTAATCGCTGTGATCCGATAGGAACTTTTCATGTGAATGACACTGCTGGAAAATTGTAACGATTTTAATTACATATTTTTTAATTAAATTTCACTAAACACTTTCAATCTTTCTAACAGTGTCAAACAGAAGAAAGTCCACACGCAACTAAAAGGATTTAAATATTTATCACAAATTGATGTTTAATGAAGCGAAAAATGTGGGAACTTCCAACCATCAGTCAAACATTCTAACAACGTCTTAATATTTCATAAATTTAAATTTGCTTTCCTCACTTTTGTTTATTACAAAGTCACGACGTTAGCACAATGAACTACATTCATATAAACAAATTTACGAAGCTAGTGTTTAAAACCGGTCAAAAGAGATATTTTTAACTTCTCTCTGCCTTTGCTCTACGACACAAATTCGTTCTTCACTTTGTGCGCACACCTGATCGACTTTAATGCTGTCTCAAGACTGAGATATGAAATTATTTCTTGCGAGGTTTTGCGCCTCTTGTGTTTCAAGTAATAAAAAAAGTGTTCGGAGAAATGAGAAAGAAATTTCCAGAGAAAGACTTCGGAGACAGTAAAATTTACGTGAGAAGAAAACATTTTTTCGGCCTTTCTGAGGTCGTTTTGAAAATGAAAATTATAAGTAAACAAAAATTTTTCTTATCTTTAAAAGACTTAAACAAACAAAGGAATGAAAATGGAGAAGCGACAAGAACGTTTATGACTTGATCTTGATTAAATAAAACTTTCACAGACATTTGTTAAAGGCAGAAATATTGAATTTCTATTGTTTAACATGCTGTTACTGCTTCTGATCATTTCATATGATGATCGTTTGTCATGTTAATACTCATATGAATACTCAATTTAATTATTCAATCAAGCTTCCTTTGAGACTGAACCGTAAATGATTGTTCATGCTTTTAACTCAAATCTTGTTGATTGAACTTTTAATTGATTGACTGAGCCCTTGAACATTTTATGATGTCTGAATAGATAAATTAAAATTCAATGAGATTTGCTTCGTCTATTACAATAATTACTTAATGATATCTAACATTGATCGAACTTAACAAAAGCTTTATTGGAAGAAGCTTTTTTGTTGAGATTTGAAATTGATTTAATTAAATTTTCTGAAAACAAACATTATTGCTGTGTACATTGAGAAGATTAAATTTTAATTTTTCAATTAAATCTTTTCCAAAAGAAAAGAAATAAGAGAATGTGAAATTGAGAAAATTATTTTAAATTTACATAATTATATTTATTATCATCATCTTTATTGGACAGAACATGTATATGTCAGAGACTTGCGATTAACAAAACGGCTGAGATTTATAACATGGGTGGAAAAATTGTAATCAAAATTCACGACGATAGCGAAACGATTTGGGCAGGTGGTAATTTTGAAATCTTTTCATTCAGACATTTCCCAATATTTTGAAAATTGAGGAAAGAATATATTTTTATTGATTACTTTTATATTTACGATCGCAGTTTCATCATCTAAAGACGTCATGTCATAAAATATTATGACTTTATCGTGACATGAATTTTGCATTGTGAAAGTCAAATGTGGTAGGAAATTTCCTTCAAAAAAAATATTTTCCAATTTATGTATGAAAACGTTAAAGGTTAATTGGGGTTCGATTAATTGTACATATGTTAAATGAATAAGGTGAAGAATTATGATAGTCAGAACTTTAATCTTCAAGTAGAAATTTTCATGTTCGAATCTTATCGATAGATTTTAAATTAAACTTCAATGAAAAAATGTTTTATTGATGTAAGTTGAAATAAATTTTCTATGTTGAAGTGCAATCTTAACAAATTAATCTTAATTACATTCATAAATAATTGCTCATTTTATAATTCAAGTTTAAATTGAGCCTCCGGAAGAAACTCATAATGACCAAAAGTACTTTTTCAATAAGACGTTCCATTTATCAGAGAAATACGATATTTTCTCACTGAAAGTTTATTTTCATTAATTTCCTCTTTTATTTATTTTGTTTTTTCGTAAGTATGTTTTGTGTTCAATTATCAAGTAAAGCTCGAGCGTTCATCTCGACACAAATGCAACGTCATGTTGTGAATCCTTCGCCGAGGTTAATTTTTGCTTATTTACATTAAAAAATCTTAATTGACTTTCGTTTAAATTTAATATTTTCAAGGCGTCTAACTTTACTCGTCTGGCACAAATTCAATGGAATTAATTTTTTATGTCTTTTGCAATTGCAGAGATGCAAAAAAAATAATTTAACACAAATTAAACCTTCTGAACTTTGTGGTTTACATTTATTCACTATAAACTTAAGAAAACTTGTCAAACCCTAGGACTTTATTCGACAACAACATCACGTACATTTTAATTAAAGAGAAATAACGCAGATATGAAATATTTAGATAATTATTGACATGAGTGACATCAAATAAAATATTCATTGTTGAACATTAAACGTTTTACATGGCATTTCAGTCATTTCGTAATTAATTGAATTTCTTCTGCATTATCACAAGACCATGACGACCTAGCTACATGAATTTATGTTGCGGGCAAATATGAGACGATTGTACAAGCGCACCTTTAAAACTTTTTTTTGATCATGAAATGTCTGTCTACAAGTTGGAGAGAGAAAGAAAGAGCCGCTCCTTAACATGCTTTAATTATGATAAAGATCTGGGAAAGATATTGAAAAGTTCAGATGTAATTTTCACCTAAAGATTTAAAGATTGTTAAACTATTAACTGTAATGATTATGAAAACAGTTGGTAGTTTATCTTAAAGTGATGCTGGAACGGATTGTAGATTCATTACAAAAATTATATTTATTTGTTGGAAAATATGCTTTGGGCAATGAAATCTTTTAGAGAGCAGCAATCGCGTGGATATAGTTTTGAGGGTATCAGAACTAATAATAATTATGAAAAATAGAAATCCACACCGAACCAGCATTCTTCAAACTTAACATCTTAAATATTACTACCCATGAAAGACCAAACTTCAACAATTTAAGTTGTCGTTTTTAAAGAAAGATAATGTCACAACACCTTACACATAAGTTTACATGATCATTAATCTTCAATCTCTTTTAGGGTTTTGAGAAGTCATTAAGGTAATTAATATCTGAGATGTCTCTTAATTAACGTTTGCAATATTGAAGTTTTTTTTACCAAATGACGAATGACATAAATGTTAAGATCTTGCATGCTTCATCAACCTTGCCATTCATCATACTCCATACTACATATTTTCGCTTTCTCGTATCATTTTGGGATCAAAAATTTATTGTAGCAAAGCGAATTCGTGTTAAACATTTTATCACATTCCTTGTGATCATATAACGGATGAAAACAGGCGCGGTATGCTTTATGCGGTAGATTGAAGCGTTTTTAAATATTTTGAAATTTGACCAATAAACAAGCTGTGAGTTAAAAGTTTTGTTAAGATGTTCACGTTTATTGAGTTCCCGGGGCGATCTAAAGCCACCCACAGATCACCATTTAAGAAGCTTACTTGAAACTACCAGGCATGGTCTTCAGTTAAGAAACAGCGTTATAATTGTAGGTCAATTGTCGTGAGTGTAAAGTTGTTTAACATTTTCCTTCATATTTCTTCTTTCATCGATTTTCAAGATGTTGAATACTTAATTTCAAAGCGACAAATAAGTCGGTTCCGGAAATGGTGTTTGAAAGCAATCCAATTGGAGCTGGAGCTATAAAATATTTCACTTTTCAATGAAAACATTTTTTTCTTTTTTCAAATGTCACGTTTTTTTATGAGACAGAAAAAAAAGTTGCGGTCAAAATAGTTTTGTATTTCGATGGAGAAATTTTGTAAATTCAATGATTAAGTCCATTCTGAAAATATTTTTTATGGACTTTTAGTGAGATTGTTGACATACGAACTATTTTATTTCTCATCATGATCATGAGTTCATTAAATTCAACATAAATGTGTTTTATGAAAGTTTTTGTTTGGTTTGGGGGCGCAGCATTCAACTTAGTCGTCGCTAGCATGATTTTGCAATTACAATTTGCCCATCAATTCTCATGTTTTTGTTGATTTATTGACCGATTTAATTTAGCAACAACTTTTCTCCTTCAAATTGAACTCTTAAAAACATGAGAAAAATAATAAATCATAAATAATCGATGAGTTGGCGAATCAAGAAGAAATTTTCTTTTACGCAAACTAATCAATTTCTTTTCATTAAAATTTCTATTGAGAAAGTTGATTCTTAATTGCTTATCTTCAAATATAGAAAAATAGGATCGTAACGAATTTCAACAAATTTTGTTAATTTGCTTTATTCGTTTGTTAGATAAACATTCGAACATTTCAGAAAACAAAATAATTAATAAATTGGATTTTGTTTGTCAATATAAGAAATTAATCAAATCTTAAATCAATGACAAAGAGTTTGCTGATTTAATAATTAATTAAACATGAGGAAAATTTGTAGTTTCAATGATTAAGATTAATTTTATTAGTTAAGACAAATATTTTTAATTTTTCTTACAAAACCTAATCAAAAATGATAATTCCATTAAAATTTTCAATGTAAACCTAAACTGTTGAAAGCCTCAACAACGTTTTTTAAGTGAAATGTCATGAGAACATGATAAATAATTATTTATGTTTAAGAGGCGAGATTGTTACTTTTAACAAAATCAAATCTTGCTTCATCAAACATGCAGAAGAAGCTCAAAATTAATGTCATGATTAAAACTAAGTAGCTAAATTCCTTTTTGGCTAAAATGTTGTGCGATTTGATTGAATTAATAAACAACAATGTAAGTATGTCGAAGAAAAAAATAAATAAACATAAAATAGAAGTTGAAAAGCTATGAAGGTCGTCAACATTGCAGAAAATATTTGAAATGATTTCTGTAAGTGTCGGTCGATAAATGGATACTAATCTTGTTCTTATTATTTATTTAAAGCTATAAATAAGTTTTGGATAAAAAAAGAAGCTTTAAAGAATATCCCGATTAACGTTGAATAACTTGTTACTTAAATAAAACTTTCCAAGTGAGTAATCAACAGTTCATTTAACCAAAACAGCAAGAGCCTTTAGATTTTGAGTCCTTGCGTTTTCGACCTAGACAGAAGCTACAAAAGCAACACTTTCGTGTAAGTTACGCCACATGCAATGTCTGTTTACTTGAAATACATTAAACTGCATATTAATGTTAAATATATCTACTTAAATACTATAAAATCTGAATCAAGATTGTGCAAGTCACATGAAGTAGAGTAACTTAAACTTTAGCAAAAAAAACGTTTTGTCTTTGTGGTTTTTTATATTTACTCGATGAAACGTGAAAAATTGTTGAACAAATCAATGACGTAGAGAAAAGATTTTTTTAATTAAACGATTTGAGAGTTTTGCGAACAGGGAAGCGAATGTTTGTTCTTTTTTTCTTGAAGAATGTCATAAAGATACATAATTAAGTTGTCATATTTAAGACACATTATTAAAACTTCAAGATTTGATCGATTAGAAAATAAAGAGAATGAAACACGGGCAGGCAAAAGCTGTTAGTTATATTAAGTTGCTTAGTGTATAAACTGAGCAACACATTGAAATATTTTCCGGATTTGAGTTCAGTGGCTGATTTTTTTTCTTCTTTACGTCAGCGGCTAATTCATTCATGTGTGAACTAGTTTGCTTTAGAGGACCACGCTAACGAGTAAGTCTTGTGAAAACTTTAAACAGATATAATCCGATAAAGGCCCAGAATCATTAATCATATTTTCGCTTCTACTTTTGATTGCTTTTAATGTATTCTCATTTTTGGCCAACATTAATCAGTTGAATTGTGAAATTTTACGATAAAAAATCGAGAGATTGCAATGCGAGATGAAGCGACGAACATGCATTATAAACCTAATTATTGACTTAAATAGAGCAGTGAAACTGAAATAAGAATGTGAAGGGTGACTTGATCATGAATTTTTGATTCAACTCAGAGTAAAAGTAGAAATGTTACTTTTCTTGTCATGGTAGGAACAGAAAGTTGTTCACCGAATTAAATTATCATAACATTTGATGATTTCTTCACTTCTTATCCGTTTACTTCAGAACAGAGTGAAAGAGTGCACGAGCAGGTTCAAGATCAAAGAAAGGTGCTGTTTGATCTCATTTGTGTGGCAAAGAGAAACCCAGAAGAATTAATCAATTTTGACTGAATGAGGTTTGGATTTATTGCTGAAAATTTCGATTAAAATTCAATTTATAGATAAAAGTTCTATTCATGTTGATATTCCCTTAAAAATATTCAATCTAATGTAATGCGAATAAAACAACTTGGAGGAATTACAGAAATTTGATTTTTAAAATAATTTATTACCAGGTTTTAATGTTTTTGCATCAATTTTAACTAAATTAAAAAAATCATTTGGATTACCATGTTTGACTTTTTGCGTAAATAAATTTGCATTTCAATGATTTTTTTTATCTCTCTTCTTATCATTTGAGAAAGAAAATTTTAAATATCCTGCGATTTCTTCTTAGTGATGATGAAATATTAAAATTTCTCACAGTTTTCATATCATTCGAATCTTTTCCTTGTTTAAAATGTTGAACGAACCAAAAATTATTTTTATAAGAAGCGTTAAGAGCAAAATATTTCTTATTACCATCATAATTTATAATTAAGCGCAGTTTGACGAGGAAAGTCTTTCTAAACTCTAAATTTCAACGAAACTTAAAAAAATCTTTGCTTTTCTTTAATCTCGAGTCTCAGGAAATAATTATTACTCCATTAATGTGAGGGAGGCTCTCATCATCATCAATCAATTTTCATACGTTTCTTATCTAAGATAATAATGCAAATTTTTATTTATTTTCTTTTATTATTACTCCTCTTTTGATTTCATTTATTCATTCATTAGTTTATAATTTGATTATTTTTCATTTTTATCTTTTGTTTGTAAAAATCTGTGAAAGAACAAGTTCATAAAGAAATCTTGACAGCTTAATCAAAATGCAATGATTAAGCGCATATTTTTAAATTAATTAATTATTTTCATTCTTTTTTTTTTGCTTTTGTTTCATCTTACGTCGCTTTGACCTATGACTTTTGTGTTCCCGATTGGATTGGCGCAGATGGTTGAATGTTGGCGATTTTTCCTGGAACGACATTTTCTGGATCGTGATGATCATCAGGATGAACGAAATCTCCTGCAGAATTATTTGTATCTTCCTTTTTCTGATCGGGAGTCTCTTTAGTGAGTATCAGAGCTTTTGGTGATCTAGTTATCTCTTCCATTTCGTGTTCCTATTCAGAAATTACAATATTTTGTTATTTTGTCATCATAAAACTTCTGAATTTCTCATTTTACCTGCCGCGGACCTATTCGCATTGTGTCAATTTTCTTTGCAGCTTTATTCACAGCCTCTTCGTCAGATGCTTCGACAGCTTCCTTGGTGACTTTCTGTTGTTGAAATTCTTCACTTGGCTCGATTTCGGAATCATTTGGTTCTTCTTGTTCCTATTTTTTAATAAATGAATGAATAAAATTTGTCTTCTCTTAATTTTATTAAAATTACCTCTTCAGGACATAACTCGATTGCCATTTGCAAAATATTCTTTGCCGATTGAGATCGTTCGAGAATGAAACTGTTTGTATTCTCATTGGATTGAGCTGGCGGTGACCATGAGCTGTAATTATATTGACTAGCGACACCGCGTTGTCGATCAAGTTCATCGTGAAGCCATTCGACTGCATTCGTCCATGCCTGATATATTTCTTGATTTGCATGAAGCATATTGAGGGCAACTTGGCTCTTACGGAACAAATGAACAAGACATTTGATGCACTGATAAGCTCGCTTTTGGTAGTTCAACCGATTTCGTTGAATTGTATCGAGTAACCCTTCACGATCTCCAGATACACCTTTAATAGTTAATGTAATTTTTTAGTTAGAAAGCATGGAAAACATTTTCATTTTAACTTACCCATTAAAGCATTATGTATTCGATGATGTTGCCAGGAATCTTCAATTAGCAAAATGTGAAGCAAAAGATCTGTATGATGACGCATATCATGCCAATATGCAAAACCACAATGCCATAAAAGTTCCGTGAGAAGTGCTTGAGAGAAATGTGGATTCTCCCAACTGCAATACTGCAATAATTTAAGTCCATCTTCACCAACATTTGTATCTTCAATAAGTTTCTTGATGTAACTGATTAAGAACAAAAATAAAATTTAGAAAAAAAAATTTAACAACTTTTTAGAATTCAAAATTCAAATTTTTGAAAAACGTTAAAATACAAACCTTGTTCGACTTAACAATAATTCTTCAGCTTCTGACGTTAATGGTAATAACTGATCATGTGGAACTTTTGGATCAACATAAATATTCGGTTTCAATGGAATAGATGCATTTGAGCTTTGACAACGTGACGAAATGTCGCTAGCACGAACAAGAATCGATACACATTGATGAAGTTTGTTCAATTCTGGATATTGATATTTTATTGGCGGTCCAGGACCTTCATCTAATGCTACTCTCATGAAGATTGCTGGAACATTGAGCTGAAAGAAAGTGAAATTTAAGTATCAAGATTTTAAGAATAAAACTTCCAAACGAACCTTCAACAATTGATGTCGTTCGTGAACACCCAGCAATGCATACGTCACAAACAAATTGAAGAAATGAGGTAAATGTTTCCCATAATCAGCTGCTTCACACATCAGCAACCCCAACACAGAAAGCAACACTTGCTCACATAAATTTGAGCCATCACTGTTTGGTAATGGTTCGTCTTGACTAGCAAAATGACAGAAGAAGACGATAATCTTTACAAACACTGCTCGAATATCAAGCGATGATGCAACGAGAATGTATTCAGCAAGACGACCTTGTGGTGCTAAGAGAGCATTTTGTGCGAACCAACGACGAACGACAGCTGAGTGGCGAATATGTGGTGTGATAGCTTCAAACCTGCAATGTGAAGAAAAAAAAAGTTTACAAAAGTTCAAAAGAAAATTATTGACAAACATGTGGTAAGGAAAAGAGCAAATGAAAACATCACAACATAAACGGAAAAGGAAATGATTCACATCAACTCATAAAGCATACCACATGTCATCATCATACCACTCAATTGCAGCTCCACGTAAAGTTTTCTTCGTTCGAAATCCGAATTGAAATAGAAATTGTGATGCAAGTTGAATAGAAAGAAGTGAAAGTTCTTCGGTTGTAGGTGACTGTAAAGAATAATAAAAAGTTTATCATCATCATTTAAACAATTAACTTTTCTCAACTCACCATCTTTTCGATTTTTGTTGTTGGTACACAACAACTTACAAGATTACGAATGAAAGCAAAAAATTCAGCTGAGAAAAGACTTCGTGCGTGTAAGAAGCGAATGTTTTGAAAGCGTACACTTTTCTCAATCGGTGCTGGCATTGGTAGAATACAATTCTTACTTTCAGCTAATGACAATTGTTCATTGCAAGACTTGTAAACAGTTTGATTGTGATCAATACGAGTGTAGAACAACATGTAAGCATTCCACCATCGTTTTTGTCTTCGAAATTGCATTCGTTTGAGATTATTATCATAAACTTCACCCATGTAATCACCACCAAAACATTGCGCTTTGAGTTCTTCATCTTCATGCATTTTACATTCAGTTACTTCACCATCGTCAAACTTGTACCACTGTTCGTTGCCACTTTCATTTCTACACAACATTTTTAATAAATTATTCTGATAAAATTATTATTTTAATTAATTTCTTACTTATGAAGGATGTAGCTGTAATAATGACCCCCAGATGCTTGACCACTATGAACGACTATGCCAGTCAGTTGGTATTTTGTTGGTTGCATTTCATCTTCACCTTCATCAATGTCAGCATTTTCACCTTCAAGTTTTGCCAATCCCTTAACTGAAATTCATTTAAATTTATAAATTTAGTTAAAGTGCGGAGAAATTTTAACTCACCTGTGTATGGTTCCATATCTAACCAACGAGGGAATTCAAAGTAATCATTAAACTTTATGGCACAAACTCGCTCGTAGTCATATTCGAAGCGTTTAAGTTGAATTGCAAGAACTGGCGGTAATTTTCTCACACACATTCTTTTAACAGTGACGATTTTTTTATCACATTTATCGCAATGATAAGCATCAGCGCCTTCTAATAATTCTCCTTTAACATATTGCTCGAGTGAGTCAGTAAGCGAACTGTGATTTCTAATATCGATGCTGAATACACTGAATGGTTCTTCTTTTGAGTACCGATGTGGACATTCTTGACAAATCTTTTGATCACTGAAACAACCACCAAGAGTTGCTCCCATTAATTGTGGATGTCCCAATGCTTTTAAACCTTCATCTAAACTCTCAAATAACGACATGAAGAATTCTACAGCATCTTGTTGCTCTCTCAAGTTAACAGGTTCACCTTGAAGTCTGTTAATAAGAAAGATAATTAATTATTAAAATAAAAATTAATATTTATGACATTTTTCGTCTTACTTGAAATGACCCCACAGGCCACGCGGAATATAAAATTGATGAACACTATGACCAAGATGAGCAAAAATAGCTTGCACATATTTTAAGATTCCAATATGATAGTTTCGTCTTCCATTTCCATCGTCATTTTGTAAATCGTTTACGATCTGAAACATTTTCTTGTCATAAAACAATCCATAAATAAATCAATTAAAAATTACTCACTCGATTATCTAACTCGCCACTAAAGTCTTCATTCGGATCTGTACAAGCACCACTTGCGTTTAAAATTCCCAAACGAATCGATGGAACCATAAAAAGTTGTTGAATTACTGAATTCATGTAACATGTTGCACCAGCATTCTTTAAACCACTAAATCCACCTTTTGGACGTGGTCCAACTGGTGGAAGATATTCCCATTCTTGTAAAGGCTCAATTTCTATTGAATATAATTAAAAAAAAATAAATTAAAAGGGCTGCATTTAAAAATTTGTAACTGACAAAAGAAGGGACGGCACTAAAGTTCATCAACTCCATATTTAAATAAAAATTTTCTTTGCACTCACCAAAACAAAACATATCCAACAGTGTGTTAACAAGCAATTTCATATTCGGCACAGAATTGGTGCATAAAGCAACCAATAAATCACATGCAGCAGATATTGTGTGTGGATTGCGACACACAGGTGGCGGTGCATTGAGATCCAACAGTTGACCATTACGACGATAATGTAAATACTGTTTGGAAGCTGGAAAGATGAAGTCATCAACGAGTTCTATGATGAGATTATTAAGTTGAGGTTTGACTTCATAACTCAAATAAGCCATAAGTTCTTTGGTCAGGTTAAGTCGTCCTTCTAAAAGCTCATCGTGAACACCAGTCTCGCCCGTTTGCTTCACATTGTCACGTATCGAACGAATCCATTCGATTTCCTGCATCAAAAGATTATCACAAATATTCAAAGGTCCATTGTAGTTGCAACCAAACTTTAGAATACGACAGAACAATGCAAAGAATTCACTACATGTTGATGAATATTCCGTGACATTTGTTTTAAGTGTCTCAACCATTAATTTAACCATAAACGTAAATGGACGACGATCAGCTGTGCAATATGTGCATGTATAGAAAATCTGTTCACTCGCTGTTTGTCTTATGTGTCGTGATCCATTAACAAGAACGAGAGATATTAAGAATTTCGACCAATTTGGATCGGAACTTAAAGCTTCATATCCATTATGATTCAGCACCAGACTAAAGCACAAAACTTCTAAAGCTTCTTTACAAACAGCAAAGTCCAAAGCTTCTGGCATTCCGTCATAGTTTCCTAATTCACTCGGTGTTGTTATCAATTGAAAAGAACCAGTTGATGAAGCCCATGCAAGATGAACAAGAGCTTTAAGTGTTGCAACATCTGGTAATGACCATTGCAATGCTGATGAGAAAAGACGACGACAATTATCACCTTCTGGTGATTCACTAAGCATCTCATCGCTGATACTTTGTGCTAGTTTTGAAACGATCGCTCGCATTGTATGGTCAGAATTACAAACAATTGTTGTGATGGTTTGTTTGAGAATTTCAACTTGACTTCGACTCTTTTCAGCATGATTCGAAGAAATCGGTTCATCGCCAACACGACTCAATACAAAACCGAGAATGAAGAGAAAGAGTTTCACCAATTTTAATACACATTGATAAGCAGCACGCTTACAATGCATGTCAGCTTTTGGCATGAAATTATTTTTCGTAAGAAGATCCAAAATGAAATGAGCGACTCCCGAATGAAGCCATGCTAATTGAAGTCTCATTGTACTTTCACCATGTGGATCCAATGCTGGCATTAACAATGCTTGTAGCACTTCAAGATTATACAAAACATGAGCTGCATCAGCTGATAAAAACATCGATTCAGGTAGCAATGCTTCGATTGTCTGAACGTTTGTTTTGTCACAAAGTAATTTGCTGATGCACATTTGATGGATTTGTGTAACTGTCGTGCTATCTAATGGAAGTAAATGCAAAAGTGTTCGAGCACACTCACGAAGTGCATTGTGTTGTAAATCACTGCCAAGTTGATGAAGTTTAAGGAAAAATTCCAAATATTGATTTTTCGACGAGATGATGACGCCAGGAAGTGTCGCTTCTGATTCTGGTCGTTGCATATCAGGACATGGTCTTGGTGGTGATCCTGTTGAACTATCACTCGAACTATCAGGTGAACTTGCTAATGCTGTCCCCATTGGTGATAGCTTCACATTTATTACCGTCTTATCTCGAATGTTATATGTTGATAATGGATGACGATCATCACTTATCTCAATTAATTCACCATTGTTATTAAACAAATCAATTTTTATGTTATTGATAGATGATCCTTTCAATCTCTTCAATAAGTTTCTCTTAAATGAAATGACAGTCTCGTTTGTATGTGTTGTAACTTCAATATCTTCCAATTGACGTCCATTTGTTTGAAAGCGAATGTATAAGCAAATGTGTTTACCACGCGATGCTCGACTTAAGCTAAGACTTTGACGTTCACCAGTAAAGACACGATCACATTCTTTTATATATTCTTGCATCACACGAAGAATTCGACAAATTTTATCAGCTTCAATCATTTGACGATTCTCAAGCTCTTGATGATCTTTTGTTGACTCTTTCATTGCTTTTCCCATGACACTTATGTTGTCGTAAGCAATCTTGATTTTATCACAACAATCGCTGATGAAATTCTCATGAAATTCTCCAATGTTTTCCTGAAGACGCGGCCCAAGTGCTGTTGAAACTTCTTTCAGAAGTTCTATGGCTTTATAAGCTATCTCTTCACCACTCACTGTTATCACTTGCCATAAATAATCTTTTCCAATTAAATCTTCGTCGTCAAGCACATAACCGCGATGTTTTGCTTTAAGTTTCTCTTCTTTGGAATTAACAGCTTTAAAAAATCGCTCAAAGCATTTTATGCCACTTTCGGTCAAAAGTTGTGGATCTAATCGTAAGATATTCATTTCAAAGAATTCTTTATTTATTCCCGGATCAAGATCTGGTTCATCGCCCATCAACTTTCCAAACCAACGGAAGCATTCTTCACGATCACTTGGAAAAGCTGCGTTAACAGCCAAACATTGCCAAATTTGCTTTGCTTGATCGGCACAAAGCCACAATTGTCCATCTTTGAGAAGAAACTTTAAGAAGTCAAGACGCTCTTGAATCTGTTGCGGATGTGGATAACGTTTATCTAGCATTATTTCCATTGGCTTTGCATTTTTGTTGGTTCTAACTAAGTCACGAATTCTTTCCATATATTTGGTTAAACTATTTGTCACCAGAATCACTAAAGTATGTTCATTCTGCAAACGATCGATGACTTGCTGTCGATTTGACATTGAATGTGCACGTGGAACATGACTTGGTGTTGGCTCATAAAGACAACAAATTTCCCGAATTAAACGAAGAGCTGGCAATGCCCATTCGTCATTACCGACTTTTAATTCCTCGACACATTTATTTAACCATACCGGCTTTTGAGCGTCTTTGTCTTGCGAGCAGCTGTAGTCGAGAATCTTTACATGTGATGCTAAAGCTTGATCGAGAACTTCCGGTGGTATGTCGGGACTGTGAGCTAACGACCAGAAGAGTTTCAAAACTTTATCAGCCATTACACCATTTTTGTCGTCTTCCGCTAAGCGACGATTTAATTCTAACAGTCTTTCGCGTTGTTTTTTGTTGGCTGTTTTCATGCTCGTCTAAATGAATGAAAAGTTGAGATTAATATGCGAAATAAATTTTGAAATTAAAACTGAAACTCACCTGAAAGCATTCGAAAAGATAATCCAACTGTTCAGCATTAAAATCCCATGCAAGTTTCGCTAATAAATCATGAACATTCTTAACAATCGCTTCATGTTTTCCAGCTTGTGCTCGCCATACAGCAGCTAAATCGTCAAGTGTCAGTGTTTTTTCTTTAATAAGAAACCGTAAAATCTTCTCAAGTTTCTCAACATATTGTGGTTGATGCAATGAATCTTTTAAAACAATTCCCAGAACGTCAGTGTCTTTAATCCATTTTGCCATTTTCTCAGCTGTTAATGTGTCACCTTCATCATCTGATTGAGGACGATGTGGATAGTAACTGACATAACTCAACACTTTATTGATCTCATTCAATGCATTCATCTTTCCATTGAAACTTGAAATTTGAAGAACACGCAAAATTATCTTCAAACGACACATTTCCAAATCTTTTATAATATTTTCTGCATTCGGACTGTGAGCGATAAGAAGTCTTGAGAATTTTATGATTCCATTAACAATATCATTCTTTCCTTCAAGCTTTGCATCACGTTTCAATTCATCATCACTTAGATTGTCAAGAATTTCAATTAAAGGTTCCCACAATGGTTGGAAGTATTTTTCAATGGTTTTCGGTGTTAATAAATCATGACATTGACCAAATGGACGTAGAAGAAGATAAATTGCTGGTAATGTGAGCTTGCTGTTATCTTCAAGCATTAAACTCGTGCTTGTGCTTGTTCCACCTGATGATATTGTTGACGTCTTCATTTTCGATGTCTCATCGCTTAAACTTAGCGACGATGTACAACCAGATGATGTCTGAGGAATATCAGCAATTTCATCAGCTGGTGTTGATGATCGTTTCTTTATCAAAGATATTCCAGCATTGAACCGTTCGAGAAAGTTATCAAAGCCACCCAATTGTCCAAAACGATTGATGAGATCTATGAGCCATCCACGAGGTTGACGTGGCTCTGGTGGTGACTTTGCAAACACTTGATTATCTAACAATGTTCCCCACAAGCCTTCAGTTGTTGAACCTTGCACTGAAAACAATTCCGATTGTCTTGCTGCATTGTGTGTATGAAATTTATTCTCCGGATCGAAGACAATAGCCAGTAAGTCAAGAAGACATAAATTGTCAATCTTTNGAGATTATTATCATAAACTTCACCCATGTAATCACCACCAAAACATTGCGCTTTGAGTTCTTCATCTTCATGCATTTTACATTCAGTTACTTCACCATCGTCAAACTTGTACCACTGTTCGTTGCCACTTTCATTTCTACACAACATTTTTAATAAATTATTCTGATAAAATTATTATTTTAATTAATTTCTTACTTATGAAGGATGTAGCTGTAATAATGACCCCCAGATGCTTGACCACTATGAACGACTATGCCAGTCAGTTGGTATTTTGTTGGTTGCATTTCATCTTCACCTTCATCAATGTCAGCATTTTCACCTTCAAGTTTTGCCAATCCCTTAACTGAAATTCATTTAAATTTATAAATTTAGTTAAAGTGCGGAGAAATTTTAACTCACCTGTGTATGGTTCCATATCTAACCAACGAGGGAATTCAAAGTAATCATTAAACTTTATGGCACAAACTCGCTCGTAGTCATATTCGAAGCGTTTAAGTTGAATTGCAAGAACTGGCGGTAATTTTCTCACACACATTCTTTTAACAGTGACGATTTTTTTATCACATTTATCGCAATGATAAGCATCAGCGCCTTCTAATAATTCTCCTTTAACATATTGCTCGAGTGAGTCAGTAAGCGAACTGTGATTTCTAATATCGATGCTGAATACACTGAATGGTTCTTCTTTTGAGTACCGATGTGGACATTCTTGACAAATCTTTTGATCACTGAAACAACCACCAAGAGTTGCTCCCATTAATTGTGGATGTCCCAATGCTTTTAAACCTTCATCTAAACTCTCAAATAACGACATGAAGAATTCTACAGCATCTTGTTGCTCTCTCAAGTTAACAGGTTCACCTTGAAGTCTGTTAATAAGAAAGATAATTAATTATTAAAATAAAAATTAATATTTATGACATTTTTCGTCTTACTTGAAATGACCCCACAGGCCACGCGGAATATAAAATTGATGAACACTATGACCAAGATGAGCAAAAATAGCTTGCACATATTTTAAGATTCCAATATGATAGTTTCGTCTTCCATTTCCATCGTCATTTTGTAAATCGTTTACGATCTGAAACATTTTCTTGTCATAAAACAATCCATAAATAAATCAATTAAAAATTACTCACTCGATTATCTAACTCGCCACTAAAGTCTTCATTCGGATCTGTACAAGCACCACTTGCGTTTAAAATTCCCAAACGAATCGATGGAACCATAAAAAGTTGTTGAATTACTGAATTCATGTAACATGTTGCACCAGCATTCTTTAAACCACTAAATCCACCTTTTGGACGTGGTCCAACTGGTGGAAGATATTCCCATTCTTGTAAAGGCTCAATTTCTATTGAATATAATTAAAAAAAAATAAATTAAAAGGGCTGCATTTAAAAATTTGTAACTGACAAAAGAAGGGACGGCACTAAAGTTCATCAACTCCATATTTAAATAAAAATTTTCTTTGCACTCACCAAAACAAAACATATCCAACAGTGTGTTAACAAGCAATTTCATATTCGGCACAGAATTGGTGCATAAAGCAACCAATAAATCACATGCAGCAGATATTGTGTGTGGATTGCGACACACAGGTGGCGGTGCATTGAGATCCAACAGTTGACCATTACGACGATAATGTAAATACTGTTTGGAAGCTGGAAAGATGAAGTCATCAACGAGTTCTATGATGAGATTATTAAGTTGAGGTTTGACTTCATAACTCAAATAAGCCATAAGTTCTTTGGTCAGGTTAAGTCGTCCTTCTAAAAGCTCATCGTGAACACCAGTCTCGCCCGTTTGCTTCACATTGTCACGTATCGAACGAATCCATTCGATTTCCTGCATCAAAAGATTATCACAAATATTCAAAGGTCCATTGTAGTTGCAACCAAACTTTAGAATACGACAGAACAATGCAAAGAATTCACTACATGTTGATGAATATTCCGTGACATTTGTTTTAAGTGTCTCAACCATTAATTTAACCATAAACGTAAATGGACGACGATCAGCTGTGCAATATGTGCATGTATAGAAAATCTGTTCACTCGCTGTTTGTCTTATGTGTCGTGATCCATTAACAAGAACGAGAGATATTAAGAATTTCGACCAATTTGGATCGGAACTTAAAGCTTCATATCCATTATGATTCAGCACCAGACTAAAGCACAAAACTTCTAAAGCTTCTTTACAAACAACAAAGTCCAAAGTTTCTGGCATTCCGTCATAATTTCCTAATTCACTCGGTGTTGTTATCAATTGAAAAGAACCAGTTGATGAAGCCCATGCAAGATGAACAAGAGCTTTAAGTGTTGCAACATCTGGTAATGACCATTGCAATGCTGATGAGAAAAGACGACGACAATTATCACCTTCTGGTGATTCACTAAGCATCTCATCGCTGATACTTTGTGCTAGTTTTGAAACGATCGCTCGCATTGTATGGTCAGAATTACAAACAATTGTTGTGATGGTTTGTTTGAGAATTTCAACTTGACTTCGACTCTTTTCAGCATGATTCGAAGAAATCGGTTCATCGCCAACACGACTCAATACAAAACCGAGAATGAAGAGAAAGAGTTTCACCAATTTTAATACACATTGATAAGCAGCACGCTTACAATGCATGTCAGCTTTTGGCATGAAATTATTTTTCGTAAGAAGATCCAAAATGAAATGAGCGACTCCCGAATGAAGCCATGCTAATTGAAGTCTCATTGTACTTTCACCATGTGGATCCAATGCTGGCATTAACAATGCTTGTAGCACTTCAAGATTATACAAAACATGAGCTGCATCAGCTGATAAAAACATCGATTCAGGTAGCAATGCTTCGATTGTCTGAACGTTTGTTTTGTCACAAAGTAATTTGCTGATGCACATTTGATGGATTTGTGTAACTGTCGTGCTATCTAATGGAAGTAAATGCAAAAGTGTTCGAGCACACTCACGAAGTGCATTGTGTTGTAAATCACTGCCAAGTTGATGAAGTTTAAGGAAAAATTCCAAATATTGATTTTTCGACGAGATGATGACGCCAGGAAGTGTCGCTTCTGATTCTGGTCGTTGCATATCAGGACATGGTCTTGGTGGTGATCCTGTTGAACTATCACTCGAACTATCAGGTGAACTTGCTAATGCTGTCCCCATTGGTGATAGCTTTACATTTATTACCGTCTTATCTCGAATGTTGTATGTTGATAATGGATAACGATCATCACTTATCTCAATTAATTCACCATTGTTATTAAACAAATCAATTTTTATGTTATTGATAGATGATCCTCTCAATCTCTTCAATAAATTTCTCTTAAATGAAATGACAGTCTCGTTTGTATGTGTTGTAACTTCAATATCTTCCAATTGACGTCCATTTGTTTGAAAGCGAATGTATAAGCAAATGTGTTTATCACACGATGCTCGACTTAAGCTAAGATTTTGACGTTCACCAGTAAAGACACGATCACATTCTTTTATATATTCTTGCATCACACGAAGAATTCGACAAATTTTATCAGCTTCAATCATTTGACGATTCTCAAGCTCTTGATGATCTTTTGTTGACTCTTTCATTGCTTTTCCCATGACACTTATGTTGTCGTAAGCAATCTTGATTTTATCACAACAATCGCTGATGAAATTCTCATGAAATTCTCCAATGTTTTCCTGAAGACGCGGCCCAAGTGCTGTTGAAACTTCTTTCAGAAGTTCTATGGCTTTATAAGCTATCTCTTCACCACTCACTGTTATCACTTGCCATAAATAATCTTTTCCAATTAAATCTTCATCGTCAATCACATAACCGCGATGTTTTGCTTTAAGTTTCTCTTCTTTAGAATTAACAGCTTTAAAAAATCGCTCAAAGCATTTTATGCCACTTTCGGTCAAAAGTTGTGGATCTAATCGTAAGATATTCATTTCAAAGAATTCTTTATTTATTCCCGGATCAAGATCTGGTTCATCGCCCATCAACTTTCCAAACCAACGGAAGCATTCTTCACGGTCACTTGGAAAAGCAGCATTAACAGCCAAACATTGCCAAATTTGTTTTGCTTGATCGGCACAAAGCCACAATTGTCCATCTTTGAGGACGATGTGGATAATAACTGACATAACTCAATATTGATCTCATTCAAAGCATTCATCTTTCCATTGCAACTTGAAATTTGAATAACACGCAAAATTATCTTCAAACGACACATTTCCAAATCTTTTATAATATTTTCCACATTCAGACTGTGAGCGATAAGAAGTCTTGAGAATTTTATGATTCCATTAACAATATCATTCTTTCCTTCAAGCTTTGCATCACGTTTCAATTCATCATCACTTAGATTGTCAAGAATTTCAATTAAAGGTTCCCACAATGGTTGGAAGTATTTTTCAATGGTTTTCGGTGTTAATAAATCATGACATTGACCAAATGGACGTAGAAGAAGATAAATTGCTGGTAATGTGAGCTTGCTGTTATCTTCAAGCATTAAACTCGTGCTTGTGCTTGTTCCACCTGATGATATTGTTGACGTCTTCATTTTCGATGTCTCATCGCTTAAACTTAGCGACGATGTACAACCAGATGATGTCTGAGGAATATCAGCAATTTCATCAGCTGGTGTTGATGATCGTTTCTTTATCAAAGATATTCCAGCATTGAACCGTTCGAGAAAGTTATCAAAGCCACCCAATTGTCCAAAACGATTGATGAGATCTATGAGCCATCCACGAGGTTGACGTGGCTCTGGTGGTGACTTTGCAAACACTTGATTATCTAACAATGTTCCCCACAAGCCTTCAGTTGTTGAACCTTGCACTGAAAACAATTCCGATTGTCTTGCTGCATTGTGTGTATGAAATTTATTCTCCGGATCGAAGACAATAGCCAGTAAGTCAAGAAGACATAAATTGTCAATCTTTAAATGAAGTGCACACAAATGCAAGAGTTTTCCACACAACACTAATATGTTGCTATGAATGTTAACTTTCCACGAGTTAACAGCATCATCAGTGAGAATTTTTGTGAAGGAAATTGTTAAACCTTCACGATAAAAGCGAACACAAGGCTCACAGTCATAATCAACACCAGCTTGTGATAATTTAATGGCATAATTCAGAAGACATTCAAGCTCTTGATCGGGTAGAACAGGAACAACCCATCGAGGATTGTTGATCTTCTGATTTAATGATTGAAGTTTTGCGATAGGAAAGGCGGCGATAAGATCTTCCGGTGATCTAAAAATTCAGTCATTCATTAAAATAATTTAATTGTTAATCCCATTTTTATACAACTTACGTTTCACTTTGTTCCGCTGATGATCCATCTGATTGCACATTATTTTCTGATGCATCAGAGGGACGGCCTCTCGTATCATAAGTCATTTTTGAAATGATGGAAATTTATTAAAATAAATATCAGCCAGAAGTTGGCTACGACAATAACTGTCGTCTTGAAATTGTTCTTGAAAATTTTCTGGACTTTCTAAGTTGATTTGTATGCTTTTTAACTAACTTATCTTCCATAAACTGCACTCGAATTAAACTGCTATTGGCTTTCGATTGATCACTTCTATCATGCTTTAAACGTATTCTATAAACGGAGGAAAGAAGAATAAGAAGATATTAAAAACTTTTTCCGGTCTTCATCATAACAATTGTGAATAAAATAAAAATCTTTTTCGCTTTTCATTCACATCTCTTGTAAAATTTTTTTCCTCCATTTGAATATCTACAAAATTATTCAGACTGTCAGAAAGAACTTAAGCCATTTACATCTTCGGACGAGCGAAACTATAAATATATTTATGAAAAACAAATGCGACACCCTCAAGTTTTGAATAAAAACAAAAACAACAAAGAGCAATACTCGCGAAATGTTTATACATACCGATGAATGTAATTTAATTAAAAAGTGTAATGCGACAAAAACGAAGATGCACAAACACTCTTGAACTTGAAAATTATTTTCATTTCTATTTTTTCTCATTTCTCGAATCAACAAAGTCGAGTGAGAAAAGGTTTTACCTTTTGAAATTCTGTAAATAACAAAGTCATGTCAATAAATAATAATAATAGCATTGAAATGGAAGTACGATACATGCTTTATCTAATCTTAGCTTGATAGTACATTTATCGGTCAAGTTATGGAGAAAATGATGTAATGATTCTAGGAATGGAAAAGCTACCGAAGTAACATCATCTGGTTTTACTCTAGACGCATGTTTGTATGACAAGTCTGGGGATTATGAAAACTTTTTTTTGTTCATTTTGTCAAGCAAAAGTTAAAGTTAAAAAAGTTGGATTTTACGGCTCACGAATTTATTTTATATTCTTGTTATCGGGTGCGGTTAAAATACATTTCAAAAAAGTCATATCCATCCGAGCATCACATCTACTGAATAAACTAATCTTCATCACACTTTTGTCCTTAAAAATCAGGCGAGCAACCTTCAGTCGATTCGCAACGCAAAAAGGAAAAGATGATGTGAACTCAGAATACGACGATGAAAAATAAATCGATCAATATTTTTTTTTCTTTCCCTTCTTTCATACAGAAATTCTTTCCTTTTTTCAACGATAAAATTTTCGTGAATTTCTACATCAGGAACAGTTCTAGAACATTTTATATCTGTTTTTAAATGAACTTCCTTTCTTACAATACTGAGAATGAGACATGTATTTTAATTTTAGAATTGTTTCTTTCCAAATTGCATGACCAATTTTTTTCTCTATGTGCTCTAGTGACAACAACATTTCTTCAGAAAGGAAATTTTTTGCACAGAATTGTCTTCTTCTTTGAAATATTTTTTATCGAAAAAAAGACGGAAAAATATAATTCTTTATGTCAAAGGACGCTTTAAATGATAATATAACCTTAATTGAATGTTACTAAATCGCAGTGGCAGAAAAAGTCGGCTGAATTTTAGATTTTTAAGCCGGGTTTAAGACACAAAGACGAAATTGGCTGGAAGAATTTTAATTTGCACTTTTCATCACCTTTTTACTTTTCTTCACTCTTATTTAATGCTTGATAATGACTTCGAAGTTTTTTCAATAAGTTTAAAGCAATCACTTGTTTATTTTAGCTAACAAAATCCTTATTTTCGTAATTAATTATAAAAAATTCTTTTCGCTTATTTCTGAACGCCCTCAACTGCTTAATTGAACCTTTTTTCAAACCTTTCTAACTACAACAAATCGAAAAACAGTTTAAATTCAAAAATTCCGTTAAAATATTTAATTGTTATGAATATGAAATCTGATCATTTGTGTTACGGTTATTGTGGCAACAGCTTGTTATAACTCAATATTTATGAAATAAAGATCATCAATTCAATCAATTACTTTCAATGAGAAAAAAAAAATCGTAACTCTTACGTCAAACATTCAATTGGTCAGTACCTAATTCATTGGAATTTATTGAATGCGAAAACTGGCGAAAAAAAACTCCATTATCGGTAACCATTAATTTAAAACCAAATACTTCATTAGTTTCTTAACAACAAACAAATGTTTTGAGATGTTATTAAAGACATTTCAGTCAAGAGTCAGAAAAATTCTTTAAAGAATAAAAAATTTTATTCACATTCGATAAAGAAAAACACAACAATCGAATCCAAAAACACACAAAATATTTAAAATATTCGGATACAAAAATTAGTCTTCTTCTTCGTCGTCATCTTCGTCTTGGTCGTTTTCAAAGTCATCATCTTCAAAGCAGTCAGGTTCAAAACAATCATATTCATCGTCACTTGAGTCAGAGTCGGATAATTCGTTTTGCATTTGCATAGCTTCCAACTCTTGCCTTTCGAGTTCCCTCTCGGTTTGTTTTCTTACTCTTTCACGTCTTCGCTGATAATATGTACGTGGACGTCGTCTCGGCTTATTATAATCACTAAAATTATTAAAAGAAAGCTTAAAAAATCTGAAATGGGAGACATTAAGAAATGATTGTTGGTGAATTAAAAAGATGAATTGCATTATTAATTTTTTTTGTATGTAAATTTTCATTAAATGTTTTATTACTTTTCTTCATTGACCCAAAATTTGGGGATTATCATAATTGTTCTTCATGTCAAAGTTTATCATGTATCATTTATGTCAATTATTTAAATTTGTCAAAGTAAGAGTAAGAGAGGACATTCCGCATACATAAATTGCTTTGGAATACATTTAAAATATCATAATTGAGATATTCTACAGTTTGTTCTTCATTCAGAGTTTGCCAAATAATTTTTAAGAGTCTCTCCACTGCTCAAGCAAACATATCATCTTCGAGAGTTTCTTTACAATTGGAAAAGTTGAGATTCGAAGAATTATGTTGAGGGATAAGAAATAATTTTTCTAGCTGAACGATTTTAGCATTTCCACAATGGACTTCAAAGTCATAAAGGATAAATACAATTAAATATTTAGATAGCTAACAGTACAAAATGTTACACGTGATTCACCGGGAACTTCTTATCATTAAATATATAAAATTGTATTGAACATAAATTTCAGTATTAAAAGCATCGTATAGTGATTAAAGTTTTCTTTGAAATCTTTCTCTTTTAAGTTTCATCGCGAAATGCTATTTAAATAATTAAATAGATAGATAACACACATAAGTGCTTGTTGCTAAATATAGGAGAATAAAAGTCTGACGTTTCCATCATCATCATCATATAAATATCTAACTGAGAGAAGCTTGTGCAATTTCAATTTTAAATAACAATTGTGATGATCTTAACAGTTAAAAATAGGATTTTTAATTACGATTACATGTAATTAGCTAAACGTGTTTCTCAACAAACAACCAAAGGGCTGGACATTTCATTTTCACAATCAACTTTGGCGACTTTTTCTTCTCATACTTAATTAGAAAAAATTTACATTTAATCATAGAATTATTTCTAATTATCAAATTGATATCTAAGAAAAGCCTTTTTGTAATGTTAATCTTGCTCAAGTTCTTTTTGTATAAATAAAATTTTCTTTCTTAAACATATAAAAAAAACAAAACATTTCAAATAGAAAAAAAAAGAAGAGAATCTAATGTGTAATGTAAACTTAAATGGTTAATTAGTTGCGCTTGTTCATTCAGGTTTATATACGAAGTGTTCTTACTTGTGTATAAGTAGAATATGGTTTCTTTGATATCAATTTTTTTGTTTCTCAGTTTAATTTAGATTGAAAAGTGCTGGTTTTTGCATCATTCCCACATGATCATTTTCTTTCATTTTACGGTGTGAAAATACAATTAAAAAACATTTTTACACTTAAATTTGAGATTATTAGAACTTTTCTTTTTTGTTTCTGTAGGTTTTATGGCTATAAAAGATATTTCCCTTCATTTTGGCTTCATTCTTAGTAAATATTACTGATGTGTGTTGCGTTCATATATTTCTGATGGATTCACAATTCCAATGGCACCACTTCAACACTTCAGCTTATATCATCCATCTATGTTGCGTGTCAGAATGTTGAATTTGCATTACATATTTATTAGATATTATTATTACAATGCTTTTCGACTTTGTTATCGTGAAGATAATTAATAATTTATCGAATGAAGGAAAATAAAGAGTGTGATGTGTGTTGTGATTAATTAACGAAGTTCTTCTTTGTAAAATCATCGAAAGATTTCAATTTAAATGCACTGCCTGTTGAATTCTTTCACCATTCATTTGAACAATCGTCGATTTGTGATTCCAACAATTCAACGTTTGAATCGTACGGCTCATACTCATCGGTGTCATCAAATCTGTAAACACAATTAATATCGATGGAGAGAGAGAGAAAAAGAAAAAGAGAGAAAACATATAGATTATTGAATTAAAACAACATTTTGATCATTTTGAGATTAGCGGCATGTTTATTGCTGTTTGTGAGTGTGAGATTCCATATCTCTGGTATTTTTGCTTGTGCTGTTAGTTTCAGTTCACAACTGGTTAGTTGATCGAAATTAACGCAGATAAATTCTTATTAAAATTCAAGGTTACACAAAGACATGTTATGTTGTTATTCAAGGTGGTAATCGCGATAAAAAGCAAGACAAATATTCATCAACAAGTGACATCAGCTTCAAGCTTCTTCATTCTCACATTCTTCATATCAATTTATGTCAATATATGAATGCAAAATGAGTTTCAATTGAGATTGAAAAGGAGGGAAATTAGATTTAAGGAAGGAGAAGCAAGAAAAAAAATGATTAAGCAATGATTCAATTACGATGCTTTCAGTAAGTAAAGTGACATCATCAACGAAACATGCTTAAATAAGCACCCAAAAAAGAGCTTTAATAATTTTATATTGAACAATGTTATTGCAAAAGCTTTCAGCGAATTATTTTTTAATATTTTTTCTTTCATTTAGATAAACTTTGTTTAATTTTAATTTTTTTTCTTCAGATTCTTACCCGAATTCAGTGCGAATTTTGATATTTTTTGCGTAACAAAGTCATTTGCGTGTGTTGTTGGGCAGAAGGCAATAATTTTCATTTAATATCTTTCGAATCTTTTTTAATTGTTTGTTTTTTGAGTGTATTTGTTCATGATTGTGTTTGTTTATCGCATGTTTTGTGGAATGGGAAAAAGGACATTTTTGTATGAATTTTATGCACAAAAAAAAGAAAGAAAAGATTTTTAAATGCGATCCTCCCTTCACCAGCCAGATGGGGGATGAAAGAGAAAGATGAAAAAATGTTTTAATTAAAAAATAAATCAGCACAATGTAAAAAAAAATTAACATTCAGAACAATAGTTTTTCATTTCAAAATATGGAAACTTGCGGGGGTGGAAAATTGAAAACAAAACTTCATAACTAAAAATTGTCTTCTAAAAATTGCAGAACCAAAAAAGAGAAAAATTGAATTTGCAGAAACTTCAACTATCTGTGTGTGTGTAACTAATTCATGAATGTTGGCAGCGTGGCGTGGGTGATAAAGGGAAGAAAAGAAAAATACTATGGCATGAAATGAAGAATTGAAATGTAATTACCCAGTTCCATCGTTACTTTCTTCAGCAACCAACAACTCATATTCCTGAGCAGCATAACGATCCCAATCCGACAACTGCAAAATTTAATTTCCATTAGCAACGAAAAGAAAAATAACACAGAAATGATTTCTGAGACACTCCCAGACACTTTCTTACCTCTTCACCTTCCTTTTGAGCAAATGGATCACGCTGTTCATGTTCCATGTACTTTTCAAGATTAAAGAATGTGTCGAAGAATATCGGCGTCATTTTACAACGCTTCAGATCGGTTAGTGTTATGCAATCGCGTTTTATTGGCTTAATCATGTCGAGCATCTGTGAATGAAAGTTCAAGCAATCAATCAATAATTGGAAAAGGTTGTTTCAAATTGTGACAAGCGTCCTACCTGACACAAACAGTCTTCAAATGGTAAAGTTTCAATTCCCAACTGCTCCATTCGATGTTGTTGTTCTTCGTAAAAATATTCTAATTCGTACATCGAAAGAATTCCATCACCATCAATATCCATACAACGGAACCAATATTCAATAGCTGTCGGATGATTTTTATCTTCTTCCGCAAGAAGAAACCAAACAAAGTCAGTATAAGACATTCGCGATGAATTTTGAGCATTTTGTGAGTTTTGTCGTCCTCGTCCACGTGTTACACAACCCGAAAAGATTCTTTCAATCATACGCGATGAGAGAGCTAAGAAAATTAAATTATCAGCAACTTTTTCTTCTTCATTCCTCTCTTCATTTTTACTTACCATGATCGTTATGTCTTGCCAAATCTTGTTGATCGATAAACAAATCATGATCACGATCCAATTCCCAAAACTTACAATAAATAACATAAAAATGTTCATAGCTAAAATAAGCCATAATTTGATTGATGTCTTCTTCTTCTTCCAGCAGTTGTATCACTTCCATTAAATTCGATTTCCTAAGCTCACCAACTGTTATTCTACCCGACCAACTTCTATTTACACTATAAAATATTCTAGCAATGACTGTATGGACGTAACGCGAATGAAACTCAGCCGCTTCTTTAAGGAATGCAAGTCCTGGATGAGAGTCAACAACGTCTTGAATAAGCGGCGCTAAATCTTCTGGTAACATGTAAGGACGTGATTTATTGCCACGTGATATGATGTAAATAAAACGTGATGCAGCATCGTGACAAAACGAGGTCATTCTGAAGTACATAAGCGCAATCGCAAATAGAAGAAAGGAAAAAGGAAAATTGCTTGTTAAACCTTGAACTTTGTCATGTCATGATGATGACACTTACTGCCTCCAAAAATCGAGAAAGCGATTTCCATTTACACAACCTGTCTTGGTTAATTGCGTACACATGAACAATGGCACTCTCCAGTACAATGGCACTTGACATACAGTAACGACAATGTGAAATTTATCTCGAGGTATCTCATAGTTTTCGAATTGATTGAATACCAGCTCCAATCGTTGTACAGTTGTTTCGGTTGTGATGGCTGGTGGTGGTTTGCCGTTAGGAAAGTAAAACCTATTAAAAAAATTAACAAAAAAAACAGAAATAACGGTAGAATGACATCAAACGATTGTCGCTTTTAAACATTTCAGATCCTAAAACTTTAAATCTTCTTACTGCGGTATTGTGAAGTTTGTTGATTTTCTCAAATGCCTTTGCAAAGTTGAGTGTAGTGGTGGAAGAATTTTACTCGCCGGCTTAATCTGAAACCAAATTGAAATATATTTTTCAGATAATTTGCATTTGAAATGGTTGATTATCTGAAATTTTGCAGGCTTATTGTACCATTTAAAGTCGTTTCTTGACTTTTTTTACGCTTCAATCGTCAATCGAATGAAAAAGAAGGAATAAAAGTTTTTTTTGCATTAAGTTATTCGACAATGGGTTCAATTAATCTTCGCCCTCTTGTTATATGCTAACGAGAATATAAACGAATCGAAATTTGACTTTAATATAAATTGATGCACTTCGGAAGTCATTAACCTTCTTCAAACACAACAACTAAGCTGATGGTGGAACGAAACATAATTCGAGACATTTATTTACAATCTAAACATATTTGGGGAGTCTTCCTGCTGCTTGTTTTTCAATGACTTGTAAATATCTTGTTACTCATCACATTATTTGCTGTCATCATTTTGGGATGGATCCAAAAAAAAATCATGAAAACATTCCGAAAATTTTAAATTTCCAATAAAAGCAACAAAGTAAAGTCTGTAAACGGAAGCAGGCACTTAATCAAGGTCATATTTCACTTATATTGTCTCTCACATACACTCGCAGTGATATTGCGCTCGTAAATAAAATTTTATAGTATTCAAAGACCATGAAATATCGGAATTAATCTTCCATCATCATCTCTCCATCCAGTTGCGCTTTTTTTTCGGGTCTATGACTATGTTATTTGTGATGAAAGAGGCACGACAGGAAAACTGCTTTCAGCACAAAAACTTTCATTATGAAGAGCTGAATAATGAAGAAAAGACTCTTGCTGTTTAAACAAATCATTGATTTTCATTTCAAGGAGAATCTGGTTGAAGAAGTTCCCGTCGTCGTACGAACGTGAGAAGTTTATAAAAGAAAAATATGATGAAGGAAGATATGATGATGGAAATTATAGTTTGGTAAATCACCTATCATCAGCAATTTATTTACCCTCCCAACTCTCTCCGAAGGTGAAATTAAAGTGATTAGGAAATTTGATTCCTGATGAAAAATGCGCAACGAGGTAAATATTGGAAGTCGTTCAATAAAAAATGGGAAGAATTTATCTCAGTTCCGTTTTTTGTTAGAAGGGAAAGCCCAAAAATTATATTAAACTTAGCCTCGTCACACCGAAAATCACGACATGTTGTTGTTGTTTCTTTTTTCTGGCGTGGTAAATGAGTGATGATGAAAGATTTAAACACTCTCTCGGGTTGTTTACGGAAATAATCTTTAAGTGACGGAAATTAAAGTCAATTAAACTTCAAATTGGGGGGAATGACTGACTTTAAGTGTTGCATAATTATTTTAAATGAATGAAAGTTATTCATTGATAACTCGAGACCAATAAACAATCATCAAACGATTTAGGAAGTTAAACAAGAAATAAATTTTTGTCATCTTCAAAATATCTAATTTTTAAGAAAGTGATGGCGATTGACGTAGGCAATTAAATATAAATTTTGAGTGAAATAAACTCACCTGAATTTTAGGTTTCTCAGCAGGTTGTCGTATTGGTGCTTTTTCCGGACATTTCTCAAAAATCAATACACGTTCAGCGACAGAGCCACGTGATAAAAACGGTCGCACGGGACTTGGCACTGATTTCAATTCAAATTTCTTATCATCTGACTTTGAATCATGACGACTTGGTATTCGAGTTGTAGCAACGCGTGCGAAACTTGAAAATCCTTTCGACTGTTCTTCCTTGTGTGGTACATAAATGGGCGTATGATTAGGCTTTTGTGGGGGTGGCGTAGGCTGTGAAAGTGCGTCATCGTTTCGACTGTTCTCTTTCATAACTGTACTAATGCCATTGAGCTGCTGTTCAGCTTGCACTTTGTATTCATTTAAGGACGATTTTATCACTTCCGGAAGACATTCATTGTTCGACAATACCGTGCCGGTTTTGAGCGCATTTATTAATTTCTCTTCTTCACGTGACACTTCATCCATGACATCAATGTCAGGTGACTTCGATGATGACGTTGGTGGTGTCACCTTCTTATCAACTGGTGTCTTCATATCACTTTTATTATTTTGCACAATTTGTCGATGCTTCAATGGCCATGTGGGAACGTGATTGAGCAAATGCTCCGGTTTTACGGGAGTTTCAGGCTTTTGTCGCTTTGAACTCTTCTCGATGGTATCTTTTAGAACATCTGGCACATGATGCTGTTGCGATTGTTCATTCTTATTCAGATAATTTAAGTTATTATTATTATTATTGTTAGTTAGAGTACTATTAGTCTTATGGATAATATCTTGCTGTTGTGGTGACGAATATGATTTGGCATTTGATGAATATGATGGCGGATTTGCAACAGGTGATGGCGATCTTTCACCTAAATTTTCAAACTTTTTCAATGTGTATTTGATGGAAGTGCCGATGGGACTGTCGCTTCTTTGTGCGGCGAGTCTGGCTTTGTCTTCATTCACAAACGAATTCACCAGTTGCTTGAGATTACTGTTGGATAAATCCGGCGCTTTTGCGAGAATTTCCGGTGATAAAGGCGATGATGGCGAATGTCGATCGAGAATTGTACGTGATGATGTTGATGATTGTGGTGTGGTAGGTGATGATTTAGGGCTTAATGTTCGATTAAAACCGGTTGAATCAGTGTCTGGATGGCACTTGAGAATCTCAGTTGGTGCTAAACCTCTCGCTTTCCACTCTTGATAAATCGCTTCAGCATGATCTGAAATCTGTTTTGCAATCGTTTCAAGATCTTCAGCAGCTTCAAAATTTGATGATGCAGGTGATGATCCTCTTACATCCGTCGATGATGATGATTGCTTTGCTGTTGTTGTCATGATTGAAGCGTTTTGTTTTTCATAAGATTTTTTGATTTTTCGCGTGCAAAGTTTTTTGATTATTTTTTTTTGTGTTTTTGATTGTTTTCGATGAATCAAGAAAAGCAAATCAGAGATGTTTGATTATTAAAACAAAAAAAATTCATAAGTTTTCGTTTTTTGTCTTTCTTTGAAGCTTTTGCAGCTTTCTTTCTTTAGTATGATGGGCACACACAATGTAATTAAATAAAAATTAAAAACACAAAACAAAAGTTAAATGAAATGGAAAAATAATTGTTTAAGACGTTCAATTTGTTATTAGCGACAATATTTCTTCCTTTCTTTGGTGCGACATTTCCTCTTTTTTTGCAGTTTTACTTCAAGTTTTCTTTTTCTTTTCTATTTAACTTCACGATAATTAATTCACTGTGACATAGAGACACATACACACATAATTATTATTTCTCCATTTTCCTTTTTTCTTGCCGATATTAAAATATAAACTGTTCATGTGAAAATTAATGATAATTTCCGACTTTGTTTTTTTTAATACTTTTTTGTCTTTTGTTATGACGATGAAAATTTTTTTAACTTTTTTTTTGTTGTTGTTCTTTGTCTTTGTTCACAATTGCTTTTGGTGCTTCTTCATCATCATGTTTTGAATATTTAATTTCTTCTTTTTAGCACAACAGTCAACAACACACAGAATAATGATCCATATATGTATCAAAGGTCTTTTTCGAAGTTGACATCAATTTACATTTCTCTCCTCACTTGGCTCGGAAAAAATTTGGTACATTATGTCATGATCGTTTCAATTACTCTGATAACCATCTACTGTCGACAACGATGATGATGATGACGTGAGATTCCTTTACATTTATCTTTATTACTCTTTCTTTTTGTCTTTTATTAAATATTTGCGTTGGCATCGAAAGATTAAAGAGACAAACATTGAAAAGAAGAGAAGAGAAACACAAGAAAAAAATTATCAATTAAATGATCGTGAAACATGTAAGTATATTTAAGTTACACGGGTTAACATTTTCATCTTTCCATCTCACTTCAATTTATCGCCTCCACCAAAAAAACTTCAATTTATAAATTTTCTGTCTTTTTTCGGTAAAGAATCTTTAATGTATACATTCAACAAACGAAATGATTCTCAATTCAATAATTTTGCACATGTGTGTAGTTAAACAATTTGAGATTGTTTGTCTTTTAAATTTGTGCTATTTACAATTTCCCATCGCTTGTTAAGCTTTTAAACGATCAACTTCACTGATACCTTGACACATGACATATTAACCGAATGACCTCTTGAATAAATAGAATTAAAAATAGTGCAATGTAAATTAATTGAGTGATATATTATATTTAGAGACATCCAACAGTCTTGACCGCGTGCCGTGCCCAAAATAAACTCTGCTGCCATAAATAATTTTCTCGCTATAATCCTTGATCAATTCGTCACACGCTTTAAAAGAAGATTATACGTAAATTGTCGCTTATTTTGTATTTTGAGGATAAGTTAGTTGAGCTTTTTAGGTAAGTTTATTCATTAATCATTCATTCAACTAAAGCACAATCATGGGGCTGTCCGAAAAGCAGAAAATGGGAAAAATAAAACTCGTTAAAATTTTCTTTAAAATGATATTAAAATTCAAAACTGCGTAACAACTAAATGACTACGTTAGTGAATGCTGCGATGGATCATTATACTTTATATTTATAAACACTGTCTGCTTCTTTTTTATCTTATTTCGTTAAGCGCTTTATCGAGTTCACTCTGACACATCAACATTTGTCGATCGTTTGAGAGGAAAACCGACAGAAGAAAATCTTTCGCTCAAAAAGTGCATCATTTTCGTTTCAAAAATGTAAAACAGAAAAGACGACAAGTGCGGTTGTCATTCTAACTACGCGATTTTACACGAAATAAGAAACAATAAATAGACGTCTTGACAGCGTTCTATATTGAAAAAAAAAATAGCAAAGGCACGAAATGACACACAAAATAGTCGCCAGTCTAATCTTTTGCTTTGCTTTATAGTTTTCCACTGCGAGTTTATTTTTAAACTTCAAGATAATTAATGGGGGAAACCATTCATTTGTGACGTCAAAACAATGTTTCGTTATGTTCATTACTTTTATTTTATTTCTTTTTGATAAGAAATAAATTCTAGAAAATATTTTCGACTGTTTCTTTGTTAATTTGACACACTTCTTCAATGAGGGTTGAGTTGATTAACCCAAGTAGATTATCTTCAAGTAACTTTACTTTGATAATGTATGTTCAGCATTGAGGTGACGAAGTTCGTTTCAAACTAAACGCACATTACAAATGCAGTGTGAAAAAAGTGTTTTTATTTATTTTCAATGAGATCGACAGAATGGCAATGTGTTGAAAGCCATGACTGACTTTCAAATGCACTCAACTTTTATTTTTTCGGGCACAGTTTGTGGTCATGATGATGGAAAACATTTCTAATGCTTCATTTTTTATTCATTAGATATTCTTTCATATACTCATTCATTCGAGTTTAACCACTATAGTTGGGAAGTTATCAGCGGGAAGTGAATCGTAAAAATTGGAATTCCATAGCACAAATTGATTGTTGGTTGAATGTAAACACAAAAGAGAGAGATATAAAAGAGGAATATAAAAAAAACATGAAAACAACCGCGATAATTGATTCGTGATAAGAGACAACTCACTTAAGGAGATAATGCTGTGATAGTATAGCCTGAATAAGTGATTCATTTAATGGGAGAGCGAAGCGTTATGACAGACACTGTTCATGACTTAACCAAAGATCTTTTGACTTGCTTCAATAATTATTACAATTATGAAACTTTTTTTTTACTCAATTAATTTTTTTTTCTCCTTTCGATTTTATTTCTTTCAATTTCACTTTCGTCAATCTTTTAATTGCATCGTCAATGATTTCATAAAAACGACGATTAGTTTCGTAAAACGTTTGATGTTCCTTATTTCTTGTGCACTTAACAACGTATTCTCGATTCAATCACTTTTATTTAACAGATAATTCAGTTAATTTGTGCAATTTTATTTTAATGTTATTTTTCTTCGATTTCTCGCTTGCGCCACGAACAATTTAACCATCGAGAAAAAAAAGAAAAGAAAAGTTTTCACCCGAGAAAAATCAAGATTCAACATGAGAAAAATTCTTGTTCGCTTTTTATTTTTAGATTCAGTGAAATTCAAACTTTTTTTTCTTCATGTTCACTTCTTATTCATCAAAAAAAATTTTCATTTCGATTTGTGTCTCGAGACTGCGAGAGTTCACATAAATTTCCTTAATCATGAAATCTTTCCACGGGGGTTCATTACGAAATTACTAAATTTATACGAAATTTTAAATGATCAAAATGATTTGTAAGAGATTTTTCAGTTAATTGCGTTCACTAATTGCGGCACTCGCGACAAATGTCTTCACTCGACGACGGTCTTGCACAGTAAAAACTTTTTACTTTTCTTAACCGAACGAATGAAATTTTGAGAGTTTTTCTTCGCTTCATATACAAAGGAAAATATTTTTCCTCTCACACCGATCAAAGACATTTAGTTGAAATGTTGTTGTGGAAGAAATTTTCTCTCTTTCTTGTCAGTGACGAAAACCAAATTTTCTCATTCAGGAAATAGTGAACCAGATTCTTGATCTGTCGAATTCTCATCGTAATAAGTAAGTCACGTACATAAGCGAACGATCAACTCTAAGAATGAAAGAGAAACATTAACGTAAGCACAACGCTTTGTGTTGGTGTTTCTTGCTGCTTATTCAAAACTTTATTCATATGAAAGTTAACTTTTGTTCGTCGTCTATGCGACTTTTCCATCAAAATAATGCTTAGGCACGCGGCCTTTACTGTCGGCAATTCGCGTACATGAAAAACATTTTTTTCCCATTCCGTTCACTCCCAATTATTACAACACAACATCATAGCATTAGTGGGACTCTAAACGACAAATATTCTCTCTCTATCTCTCTCTTGTAAAAGCCGCAAATGATCGCGATCAGTTGGGTGTATGTATTATTAGATTTAATAATCATATTCACATAAGTAAAGCAAAAAACAATTTATATTTACGAAATTGTTTTGTGTTTGGAGGGATTGTAAGATGAGATGAAAAAACCAAAAGTTATCCGATCGGTTTTAATGGATTTTAGACTTTTTAGATAAATTACTCTTTTTTTGTCTTTACTTCTCATGATTGATGCTGTTATTGTATAAGAAATATATAACTAAACTGAACACAATATTTTGTTTAAAACGTGAAGGAAATAAAGGAAAACAAGAAAGTATCTGCAATCAAACTACTGCAACCGTTCTCTACCAGAATGAATAATGAATAAAAATAAAGGAGAAGAAAAAGAAAAGTTCAGAAAATCCATGTGCATTTTATGAACTAACGCATGCATGTTTGATTCATCAAAGAATAATTTACAGTGCATTTAATTAAATTTATTGCACTTGATAAAATTGTAAAATTAAACTCTTATTCTTGGGATGCGATAAAAAGTTTTCTTATTTCTCGCAAGTCGCGAATCGTGCATATTTAATGAAGAGAAGGAAATGAAATTTAAAAAGTAAGAAGACTAAAAACCGACACCAACATTTAAATGGCAAACATATTTAACTAACAAGATATGAAATCAATCAAAACGTCATCAACATTATTGTTATTATGATATCAGATTGCTAAAGTCGCATATTTATAAGGAAACAACAAGAAATTACTCTCAAGCTTATCAAGAAACTAAATTTATTGGGGGCGTTATGATTTTACTCATTTTTCACTTCAAAGTATAATTACGCGTGATAATTTTTGATATTTTATGGCATTGAAATCAATTAAAACTTGTCGGATCAGGTTTTTTTATCACATACACTTGTGATTATGATTTTGTTATTTTGATCACTATTGCTTTCGATTTCTCTTTGATATCAGAGCGACATATCGACAATATCACTTCCTCGTTTGGGCTCGACGCTTTGGAACAAAATAAATATTACGCGCTTATTTTTTTACTCGTTTTTAATTGCATTTCGTTATGCTTTATGCGCTAATAACGGTGCTTGTCAACGACGCTATTCTCGTTTTGCGCAACAAGCATACTACAACCAAAATCAAGCAGTTATCAGACTCAATGTCTCGGTTCCAATTAATACTTGATTCCAATGGTTCATGAATTTTTATGTTTTGTTTACAAAAATATTTCTTTCTTTTTTCTTAGTAGTAAATATTTTCTCGGGGCCACATGTTACTTCTTTTGAACTGCGTACCTTTTACATAAACTGATATTTTCACTTGCTCCATTTCAAGCGTTTAACATTGCTTGCTTTATGCATTTACTCAACATTGAAGGAGGGAAATAAAAAAAAAGTTCTTTGAAGTTCTTTACAAATATTTGAACTGTAATAAATCAAATAATTTCTGTATGAATATTCGCGAATAATTCAATCGTAACACGTGAATAACTTTCCGACTAATTAAACAGTTCGACACGGCGCTGAAAGTTTCACTCCAGCCAACTTCTGACGATCATCGTCAATAACTGAGAAAGGTATTTACTTTAAAAACTTCTCTGAACTTTGAATAGTTACTGAGCGGACACAATACGCCTTTAATATTTTCTCATATTCACAATTCTCGCAACTCGCTTGTTTTTTTTTTCTTTTTCTATTCAATGAGACGACGAAAACGAAAAAAAAAAATTTACTTCGCTCTACAAGTTCCGAACTAAACTCAGCTCAATATTTTTTCTTTCTTTCTTGAATGAATGAAAATATGAATTCTAACACAACTCAAAAATTTAATTTTTTTTACGTCGTCGATCGTTGTCTTTCAACATTTTTTCATTTTCTCGATTTTTATATATTTTTGAATCTATTCACTAGCACTATATTGGGTTTATAACATATGTAGATGTTTAGTACATTTATTTTATGTTTTTTCCTTCTCTTCTTTCTTCATTTTTCCAGATTTCTTGTATCGTCGTAAAGAAGCAGAAGAGAAGAAGAAATGAAGAGACTTACAACCTACGTGTTATGTGGAGTTTAATAAACATTCGGAAGAGTCAAGAAGCAGTCATATCTTCTTTCAGATTTAAAGTTGAAATACAGAAATATATTGTAATGTTTCTGTTGCCTTCGAGTGTCATCCTATGACTACACACGTGTCGCATCAACAAAAAAAATATATCAGCGACAAGACAGTTAAAAAAAGTGAAACTACTGTCAAATAATCAGCAAAAATTTGTGTCAATTGCATCTGTTTCAGAGATTGTTTTACTCGCTCTTTAAAACTTCGCTCCCTCGATGAAGCCAAGCGACAAAGTTTCATGATGGAGACATATTCGAAATAAGTTTTTTCTCATTCTGCATGGTGCGGAATGTGCCATTTTTAATATTTTTTACTTTTCGCTTTTACGAATTTCTTGTTGGCATTTGCATAAGAAATTTGAAATAGTAGGCAAAACACTTTTCTCAGTCGTTTCGAATTGCATTGCATTACGCTTATCGATCTATATATCTTTGAACTAAGAAACGCAATTGACTTCTAATAAGCAATTTAATAAAGTGCTTACACTCTCAATTAAGCGAGAATAATTGAACGTTTGTAGGCTTTGAATAGTGACGAGGAATGTGAGTCAAGTATGTTCAAGAAGTGATTGATTTTGTCTGTATAAATCATCAACTTCAAATCATCTGTTCGTGTCGTTTGAACATCCAAGAATAATGACAAAACGATAGCCTCAAGAAAAAAAGAAAGAATTTCTTTCACTCTGAGCTTCGAACGCTTAAAGGAAAATCCAATTTGCCTGAAACAATGGCGCTTGGTTGACTTGTTGTTATTTATTGGAAATAAATGTATTTCTCGCATGCTTTTTTATTTTGTTTTGATTTGTTTTTCTTTGCTACCAAATCACATTTAAATTCTCTTCATAAACTTTGAAAAGTCTTTCACGGCAAAAACCAAAAAAAATCAAATAAGAATTCATAAAATGATGACAATCGTAAATTAAACGAGCGGGAGAGAAATTTCAAACACAGTTTTCGAGTGAAAACATAATATTGGCAAATGGTCAAACCATTTGATGTTGAAATAAATTTGAATTAAATTATAAAAGGCTCAAATATTAGGATTTCTCTTTGGTTTTCTTTTCTATTCATTATGTGCAAAGATGGTAAATTGCGAACGATGGGAAGTGGAGTAAATGCGTGCAACAAGACGAAACAAGCATACGGTTAGTAAAAATAAACAGCAAGCTAATCAGGTTATTATTTGCGGTAATCTAATCCTACACATTCATCGTTAATTACCGAATATCACAATATAAAAAGATAAAACAAGCAGTAAAGCCATATATATTTATAATGCTTCAAAAGGAGAAGAGAGACAAAGCAACTTCAGGGACATTGTTTTGTGGGAACGTCATTTTTATGCTGCTGGTAGATCTAATGTGCAATATGCTGGAGAGAAAGAATTTAACCAGCTATTAACACATTCATCTATCATCACGAGTGTCACCTCGCCCACAATTTCAGTCCCAAAATAACAATAATAAAAAAATTTACCTTTTCTCGTCTGGATCAAAAAAAAAAAGAATCCAAGGACAAAAAATATTTTATTCTCAGCACTTTTCTTATGTTTATGCACAAACTGTCACGCTTATCATATCCGTTTTATTTTTACGAGTTTGTTTCATAACTTTGTCTTGATTGAATTCAATAGCAAACTATTTAAAAAACACTTTTTCTCTTGGACAATAATTTTCTATAAATTTTTATTCGCGGACTGCGTTCGGTCGAGCAAGCAAGCGTTTACGTTTGAAACCTTTCTAAGTCAATCGTTACGTCAAAGTTATTTTGTGACAACTCCGAACGTAAACAAGAATAAGTTCTTCGAAACGAAATTCAATTGAAATTAATTTTTCCCCTGGTTGCACGAATTATAGTTAGTGTTAAACATAACTTTCCTAAACTATTCAACCAGTAGACATTTGAAATGGACGAAAAAGCCGACAATCCAATTGCTGTGGTAAGAAAATTTGAGTATAATATTTTTTTAATTTTTAATTCATTTCACTCATTTAAAGTTTCTCAACTTTGGATATTTAAAATCTTTCTTGAATATTTTTCATTTTATAGGACTTAAATGAGCCAACAACACTAGATATGTTCAGCAGTGTATGTAGAATCTGCCTTCAGGATGGTCAACTTTCGTCGCTCTATGAGAAGCATGAAGGCGCGGAATTGTCTTATTCTGAAAAAATCATGCAAGTTACACACATAAATCTTGTAAGTTTATATTCAAATTTAACAAGTTTGAATTAAATAAATAAAAGTTTCGTATTAACAGGATAGAAAAAACGTGAATCTTCCTGAACAAATTTGTTCCTCTTGCATTAATGACCTGGAAGCAAGTTACCGTTTCAAAATGAATTGCGAATCATCTGATGCAATTCTGCAAACTTACTTACTACCTGTAAATATATCAGAAGTGTACACAGACGCTAGCGTTGATGAAGACGACATAATTAGTGAAGCTGAGTCAGAAACTGAAATGCCAGTGGATGAATCAGATTTGTACAATTATCAATCTCAAATGTATGATGAAAATGGGGAGATGATTGGTGAGGAGGACAATCTTGAAAATGCATTAGAAGTGAGTAATTTTATTAGATTATTTTGATGGAAATTAAATTGAAATCTTCTCTAAAGCAGGATGAGCTACACAAATCAAACACATCAGTTGATCTCGAAGTTAAACCAACAAAACCGAAGAAAGAAAGTACAAAAGCAAGAGCAGCTAGAATAAGACGAAATCAAATCGAAAAACAGCTTGAACAACCAAAAGTTCACATTTGTGAAATTTGCGGCAACAGTTACAAATATCGACACGCTCTTGAAGTTCACATGAGAAGGTAAAGAAATTCAACTTGAAATATTTTCCAGCTTTTAATAATTTTTTCCTAGGCATCGAGGAGACAAACCACATAAATGCGAGTATTGTGAACGATGTTTTGTCATTCGCTTTGAATTAAAACGTCACATGAGGTGAGAAATGAAAGTTAAAATAATTCATTTTCCTAATCAATTCTTATCAAACTCAGAACTCATACTGGACAAAAACCATATGGTTGTCGTTATTGCGAGAGAAAATTTTCTGATTTTGGAAGCAGAATAAAGCACGAAAGAAGTCACACTGGAGAACGTCCCTACATTTGTCAGGTAAATTTCTTCGAAACATTTTTCTTCCATTTTCTTACTTTTTTCCTTCTTTAGACTTGCGGCAAAACTTTCGCTTACAGTCACGTCTTATCTGGTCATATGTTAACACATACTGGAGAGAAACGACATCAATGTCAAACATGCGGTAAACGATTCACTAAAAGTCACCATCTGAAAAGTCATCTTAACACACACCTCAAAGCTCTCAATAAACAAGCTTCAATAGCACAAACATCATCACAAACTCAAGATCAAATCAAAACTGAACCAGCGATACAAATCCAGAATGATGAACATGACCTGATGAACGTTGTTCAATTAGGATTTCAAGTTATAAATTCGGAGAAATATTAAACAAAAACATTTCATCGTTTTCGATTGTATTTAATGACGATTAATAGAAATGACAAGTTTTTAGTTTCCGCTTACATAATAAAATTATGAGAGTAAATAGTTAAATTCTTTTTGTGAGATGCTACCTGTGGTTAATATTTTAATGTTAATATCTTAATTGTTAAGAAAGTCCTTGCAGTTTTATGAGATTTGTTTGTGCATTCTTTAAATTAGCGTCGAGAGACAAAGCGATTTTGTAATTTTTCTTCGCCAATTCCTTCTTTCCCCATCGATGATAAAGAACACCAAGATTAGCATAGAAAATTGACTTTTTCGGTTCAGCTTCAATGATTTGTTTGAAGATCGCTTCAGCTTCATTGAAACGTGAAAGTTTTCCAAATGTGTTGGCTCGTGAGAAAAGAATGTTCGCATCATTGGGCAGATAATTCAAAGCAATTTCAGAATATTTTAAAACATCGTCATGATTATTCAGTTGATTGTCGTAATAAGCGAGAATATTTGACCACGCTTTCTTATGATTTGGATTTATTGATATTGCACGTTTCCAACTTGAGATTGCTGATGAAAAGTTCTTTGTGTCGATGTATAAATTGCCTAAATTGTAGTAACAATTTGCGTAATTCTTTCGATATGACAATGCTTTGAAGTAACTTTCTTCTGCTTCCTGATGTTCTTTCAACACAGCTTGAACAATTCCAAGATTCATCCATGCTGTTGGGAATTCTTCAAGAATTCCAACAGCTCGTTTTAAGTGAAATTTCGCTTTTTCATATTCATGAAGCTCTCGATACAGATTTCCTAAATTCATGTGAGCTGACTCATAATTTGGATGGAGTTGAATTGCTTTTCTGTAAAATTTCAATGATGTTTCGATATCTTGAACTTCAGATGAGATTCTTGCAACATTATAATAAACTTTTGCGTTTTTCGGTACAACTTTAAGAGCTGAATAGAATAATTTGTGTTCATTTGTCCACTCCATTGCTCGATGATACGTTTTGAGCCCATGGAAAGCAAGGAAGATGAAGAAAATTGTATAAATAAAATATTTTTGTGATGAAAATTTTTTCAATAAATCTCTCAATCCGATGGCAATAAGAAGACAAAATCCGATGGAGGGAATATAAAGAATTCTTTCAGCTACCACGAATCCAACTTTAATTATTCCTGTAGCTGGCAAGAACGGTACAACCATAAGCGACAATGCAATGAGAATTTTTCTAAAACGAAAATTATTTAATTTTTCATGATTTTGAAAAGAAATTTTGATGAATTTTACTTACTTTCGCTTAAATCCTGCAAATACGATCGTCGCTAAGAAAACATGAAATATCACAATAAAGATAATCCTCGAATCGTTGAACTTATGAATCAAATCGATAGAATCAAAACTCCAATCAAAGCACAACCAATCAGGAACCAGGAGAAGATAAAAGTTAAGAGCATAAAGATAATTTTGCGTCAAAATTCTTGTCGTTGAATCATCAGCAAAAGCAATAGGATTGTCTTCTCTTCTAAAAGTCGGTGTTTCGAAATTTTGTATCTTTAAACGTGTTACGAGTATTACAAGAGTTAAAACTACTAATATTATTAATCTTAATACTAAAGCTTTTGGAAGAAATTGCTTGAGTTTTTTGAAGTTTCTTATGAAGTCTATCGTCGCAAGCATCGGCTGTTAATTGAATGGAATGTAAAAATTATATTATTATTTATTATTGAAAAGAAATTTTTTAAGATTCTTACCATTATTGTGATTGTATTCTCTTTGAAGAGAATACCTATTGCGGCCAATGCTCCAACACACAGCAGATAACAGACATGAGTTATGTTAAACGAGTTTGAGTCTGTAAATGTTTATTCTCCTCAAAATGTTTATTGATGAAATATCTCAAACTCACCTTTATAAAAGACATTAAAGTAAAGAATTCCGCTTAGCAGAAATATGAAGCATGCCATCAGATCTGATCGACTGACGATTCCGCTCACAGCTTCAACATGAATAGGATGAAGGGAAAATATCAAGACGGACAAGAAACGAAGTTTTCTATCAGCAATTATTGCTTTAAGAAAATGAAGCATCAAACAACAGTTGATTATGTGGATAACGAGATTCACTGTTTTCATCGATTGACTATTGAAGATACCTTCAAGATGATGTTGAATAGCAAATGTTAAAGTTGTCAATGGTCGATAACTTTTATGTGAATCTTTTGATGTCAAGTTGTTTCCCCAAAAATCATTTTGAAAAGCATTCTGAAGAAAGTGTACGACATGTTCTTAATTCAATATCGACTTTTTATTGATAAAACTTACTTTGATAGTGTTTTTTGAGAATTCGCTGTAAACATCTTTGTTTTTTAATATAGCCACTGAATCATCGAACACGAAGTCACCGAAAAGCGAATTATAATAGCAAATCAAATTAGTTAAAACTATCACTAAATATTTACACAATAAGTTCATGGCAATATAGCCAGATTTAAGAAAAACATAAAAACACGATCACAAAAATATTTTTCAATCATTTATGTTGGCCGAGTTGATAAGGAATTAAACTAAATTTTTAAAGAACGTCTTCGAATGATTTAAATTATTTCTTTCGTTAAATACTATTTCATTTTATTTTCAGAAATGTCTTTTAAAGTACGTTTAAACATGTCATTTATTTGAATTTCATTTAATTCACGGACTTACATTCTAAATTAATAAATAAGAGACAAAATTTCTTAATATTTTTTTAATATTTTCTTTTTTCAACTGTCTTCATTATAAAATTTAAATTAATCGTATTTACTTTCGCGACTAACTTCGTGAAGTTATCTGTAAAAAAATGCATTCTAAAGCTTAGATTAGTATTAAAAATTGATTCTTTGCGTGTTTTTTACTATTAACTTAGTGATATAATAATTATCATTAACATCCTCAAGCTCTCCGCCATTTCGATATTATGAAAGAAATCTTCTGAATTACTAAATAAGCTGAAAATTCACCAAAATTACGGCGAAAATTTTTACAACAATAAAAAAACAAAAAAAGAATTAAAAATATTCTCCAATCAAATTTGTTATCGCCGCCGTCAAATCAGAAATATTTATTTGATTTAGTGATGATGATAACCAACAAGCAATAGTAAAAAGCGATAAAAGAAAGAAATGTCTCATCGTCTAGCCGATTATTTCGTCATCGTAGGATTTGATCATGAAAGTGAGTGATGAATAAAAAAAAAGAGAAAAGAATTAATAATAGCTCAGCATTTTAATCAAAAATGCTGGTTCAAACGGCAATTGACCCTTACCAATAATGTATGGAATGTTAATGTTTATTCTATCTCTCTAAGGAAATGATCTACAACAAGGCAAGATACTTCAACGATTCCCAGAGAAGGATTGGCCGGATACGCCTTTCATCGAGGGAATGGAACTCGTAAGATCCACAAATCAATTTATGTGTATGCATAATTTAATGAATTTTCTTTTAGTTTTGCCAACCGCAAGGCTGGTCGCTTTCACTTCAACAAGAAGAGCCAAAGTACTTCATGTCAGTTCTCACGAATGTCGATGGAAATCACTATTATTGTGCCGTATTGTCCTTTAATGAGAAATTATCAATCACTCCAAGCAAACCTGTTGATGAAGAAGAAGAAAACTTAACATTAGGCAACAAGCCAATCTTAACAACACCAGCAGCAATCACACATCATAACATTATGTACGCTCCAAAGTGTTTAGTTCTTGTTTCACGCTTAGATTACTCGGAGACATTTAAAAATTGCCTTGGTACCATCTACACTGTTTACCTTGAAAGTCTTCCGTATTCTCTTGAAACTTTGATTGGAAATATTCTTGGATGCATTCAAATTCCTCCAGCTGGTGGACCTCAAGTTCGTTTCTCTATCGGTGCTGGTGATAAACAAGCTCTTCAGCCTCCACTATCAGCTACTTTACCAGGTAATTTTATTGAATATTTAATAGCATCAATTTTTAATGAATAAATAATTTCAGTTACCGGCAGCTGTGTGAGTTTGTTATTTAAACAGTTGGGAAAGAAGAACGTTTTGTTACTTTATTGTGCGGCAATGACAGAGCATAAGATTCTCTTCCACTCGACAAGTTATTCACGATTAACTGAAAGTTGCCGTGCATTAACAGCTTTAATGTATCCTCTTCGTTACACCCACACATATGTGCCAATCCTTCCGGCGACAATTCTTGAAATCCTTTCAACTCCAACACCTTTCATCATGGGCATTCATAGCAGCATGCAAAATGAAACCAATGATGTTGTAAGCATTTTCGACGATGATCTCATCATCATCATGATTTTAATTTATAATTTATTCATAGCTTGATGTCATCGTAGCTGATTTAGACGGCGGCTCTATTTACATTCCTGAATCTCTTATCGCACCAGTATCTCGACTTCCGCCAGCACTTTGGGAAGCAACAAATCATTCACTAACCATGGTGTTACAACCAGAATTATCAGAAGCTGACAATGCATTTCCTAATCATGGACGTGATAGCTATGAAAGTCGCAATCAATTGCTCGTCGACAAAGAAATTCGAGCGATTTTTATGAGAGTTTTTGCGCAATTAATGCAAGGGTGAGAAATTGAAAAATACTTTCGATTATTTATTTAAATTTCTTCTTCTTCTCTTTCAGTTATCGTTCATGTTTAACATTGATAAGAATAAATCCCAAGCCTGTTATTGAGTTCCACAAAGCCGCTTTTCTTGGATCTCGCGATCTTGCCGACACAGATTTCTTAGCTCGTGTTTTAGACAGCATGTTCTTCACAATGTTTGTGACGGAACGTGGACCACCATGGAGATCGTGGGATGCGTGGGATGAACTTTATACAGCAATGCCTGAATTACTCAAAACAGAAGTTCATGATCGTCGTCTTGTTCTAGTCCACATTAAAGAATTGGCACAGAAACTTTACATCAATGAAATGCCAAATCCACAAGTTTATCAACAAAAAGTTTTGATGCCACCTGAAGGATCATTTTCTCGAATTCATCAACCCGAATTTCCACTCATTCATTCACATCAAGTTCAAGCAATCATCAGTGAAGGAATCAATAAAAATGATCTTCAATCACGACTTCAATCATACAAAAGCAATCTCAAAATCATTCCAATTGGACCACATTTGCCGAGTTTCAATGATGGACGACCGACCGTTACACATACAGCAAGAAAGATGGAAGTTCTTAAGAATTGTGTCAGTTGCATCTTTGAGAATAAAATTGCTGATGCAAGGAAAGTTTTTCCAGCTGTTTTAAGGATTCTCAAACAACGAGACGATGCGAGATTATTTCTTTGTCGTGAATTGGCGAAAATCGTTCAAGGATCAAACAAGGCGACACTTGAACATCCGCAATTCGACCTCGTCATCAAACTTATGAATCGAGCACTTCAAGATGACTCCCCGAAATATCTTCACGACATTGCAGCATCGCTTCTGCCACTTTCAGTTTCATTTTGTCGTAAATTATGTCCCGGTGTCATTCAATTTGCTTATAGCTGCATTCAAGGCCATGTCATATGGAAAACTCAAACATTTTGGGAACAAGCTTTCTATCAAGAGATTCAAGCGAATATTAAGAACCTTTATGTCAATCGTCCAATTGATCGTAACAGTTACTTGATCAATGATTCCTTACACAACAATCTCAATTCACCTTACGATTTTCGTGCAGCACAAGAACAATCAGCGTTGGAAATTGCTGCTGAACAAATGATGCGATGGCCCTCAATGGACAACGAAAAGCAAAAAGATATGTCGAATTCCGAAGAGCAAATTCTTTACAGTCAAGCAGCTCATTATGCTAATCGAATGATTTCACTTTTGATTCCGCTTGATGTGCGTTCAACAACGAAAGTTAAGAAAGTTATTCGACATGTTGAAGATGATGCAAGCATATCAAACAGCGTTCTTGAGTCGAGAAGTGATCAATCAACTGATGGATTTGAAGATCGCGATGCAAGTGAAGTTGAGCAAGCTGTTGTGAGACAAGTTGAGAAGTTTATTGATAAAGTTTGTAATGAAGGTGGAGTGACGCCAGATCATATAAGGAAACTTCACGAAATCATTCCAGGACTTGTTGATATGCATTGTGAAACACTCGATATTGTTTATCGTGAATCGAAGAGAATTCCGCCAGTTCAAAAGCCAAAAATTCATATTCCAATGCTCTTAAGTGGCGAAGAAATCATCGGCGAAGCAATCAGAACAGTTTTGTTGTCAGATGGACGTGAAGAGACTTTAAGTCCATTGTTACCAGCTGAAGGTGCTTTGTTTTTAACAAATTATCGCGTCATTTTCAAAGGCTTACCTTGCGATTCATTAACATGTGAACACAACGTCATACGAACCTTCCCCGTCTCTTCATTGACCAAAGAAAAACGAATAAGTGGAATTTTATCAAACGAACAAGTTCTGCCTGATGGTCTTCAACTAAGATCATCAACATTTCAATTAATTAAAGTTGCATTTGATGAAGAAGTGACACAAGAAACGATCGAAGCATTTCGTAAAGCTTTAAATCGCATTCGACATCCTGACGATGAATTTGGACATTTTGCATTTGCAAATCACATCATGGCAATAAAACCACAAAATCAAAAAGCGAAAGAGAAGAATGCGACACTGAAAGGGTTCGCTAAGAAGACATTGTTGAGAACAGCAAGGAAGGCTGGATTTAAGCAGAAAAGTACGACGAAGCGAAAATACATTTTCAGTGCGACTAGTGACGTTGAAGCATTTTATGGAAGTTCAACTTTAGGACTTAACAACAACATTAATAACAATAACAATAATCATGAGAATAGTGACGATGACGATGATGGATCTGATGACAATGTCGAGTCACTTCCATTGCGTGTCACAGTTAAAGATGTTGAACGATTAAAGGAACGAAGTTTTGTTAAAGATTGGCAACGTCTCGGCTTAACATCGAATGGATTTCGAATAACATCAATAAATTGTAATTACAGTTTATGTCGCACATATCCAGCTATTTTGGTGTGTCCACGTGGAATCAGTGATGATCAATTAAAGACATTGGCGAAGACTTATAAGAATCAAAGAATTCCAGTTCCAACTTGGCGTCATCAAAATGGTGCAATTTTATTACGTGGCGCTGTGTCGTTAGCGAAAGGAGTGATGGGAATGTTGAAGTCGGGATCGACAAACACATCGATGGAAAGTCGTGGCGTTGACGGTCTTCAAGATCAAGATCGCTTCTTCTGTGCTATCATTCCTCATCATCATCAACAAATGCAATCACAATTCAGTCATGTTAATGTCATAAATTCATCTGAATCAAGTATGTCAATTGATTCACTGCTTGGACCACCAAAATCTCATTTGACATCATCGTCGTTAACGCCAATGAGTAATCGAAAAGGCGAAATGAGTAGCAATATGAGAATGATGGGAAATAATCAAAAGCCTAACAAATGGGAATCTTTGAAACGAAATGTTGGCGGTGTTGGTGGGTTAAGAGACATTCATCATCAATATGATGATCACTACACATTGCAACAACCAAGAGCTCGTGTTCCACTTTATTTCCTGGGCGAAAGATCGCAGTCAAAGTCAGTTAAACTTTCAGAACTTGGAGCTGAATATATTCCAGTGTATTACAATGATAATCGTCATTCGCGTGAAGCTTTTAAGAAACTTATGCGTGCATGTCTTCCATCGAATATAAACAATGAACCTGACCATACATTTGTTAAACTTATTGAACAATCTGAATGGCTTCAACAGATCAGAAGTTTGCTTCAACTTTCTGGTACGGTTGTTGATTTAATTGATCTTCATGAGGCGAGTGTTAATCTTGCATTTGAAGATGGATGGGACATAACATGTCAAGTGTCGTCACTTGCACAAATTTGCCTCGATCCTTATTATCGAACGATTGAAGGTTTTCGTGTGTTGATTGAGAAGGAATGGCTGGCATTTGGTCATCGTTTTGGCCATCGAAGTAATTTAAAGCCAAATAGCAGTTCATTTGCACCGATTTTCCTTCAATTTCTCGACGCTGTTCATCAAATTCTTCAACAATTTCCACTCTCATTCGAATTCAACGAATTCTACCTCAAATTTCTTGCTTATCATTCGGTGTCATGTCGATTTCGAACGTTTCTATTTGATTGTGAATTGGAGCGTGTCGAATTAGGAATAACGGCGGTTGAAGATAAACGAGGATCGTTAAACTCACATAAACACATGGTTGAGACAGGGACGGGCTCTGATGATGACAGCATTTATCCTGGTGGTCTTCGTAACAGCACTGTGCATCAACCGAAGCTTGGCGTGTCAATCTTCGATTATATTGAGCGACATCATGTTCGAACGCCAGTTTTTTACAACTTTAAGTACACAACAGATCCAAATCAACAAGTTTTAAGACCACAAAGTTCGATTTCAATGCTTGAAGTTTGGGATTATTACATTTATGAAGAATTGGCGCAAGGACCGTCTTATGATCTTGAGCTTGTTGGATCGGACAGCATTGATGAAGATTCAGAATATTCAGCGAATCAACAGAAGAGAAAATTTGTCACAATGGGTTACGACAACATTTCAAGATCAGATCCCGACGCGTTCACACAAATGCTTGATGAATTAAAACAAACCGAGAATGAACGTGGAATTTTACCACAGAAATGGAAGCAAGTTTGGGATAAACTTGAATTACCGCATTCTGATTCATTGACAAGACATTCGTCAGTTAGCAGTGCTTTGGTTCGTTCGCATGGTCGTTACATGCATAACATGTGAGTTGAAAATATTTTTAAACAATCAAAGCTTAACTATTTTTTTAATTAATTTCTTAGAACAACAATGGACATCATTCGAAGAGGACAATTAGCTGGTTATCAGGAATGTTTCTCGCATCCACATCGGTTTGAAAAGCACGCTTATACGACGCCAACGAATTGCAATTTATGTGGAAATATGTTGTGGGGGCCAGTCAAGAATGGAGTTCGTTGTATGGATTGTGGCAATTCTTATCATGAGAAATGTGCTGATAATGCGCCAAAGAACTGCACAAAATATAAGACAGTTGAAGGTCCACAAACGTTAATGCCGGGAAAGAATTTAAGTGACAAACAGGAGACTTGCAGCATTGCAAGCAACAATACGAATGATATTTATCGTGGTTTTGAGAGTAACATGCCGGAGAACAGAACACATGAAGGGTATGAAGGAAAAGATTCATAATTAATTTAATTTATTTTAACATTTGAAATCATTTCAGACATTTGTATAAACGTGGAGCATTGCTGAAGGGTTGGAAACAAAGATGGTTTGTTTTGGATTCGATTAAACATCAGCTACGTTACTATGACTCTGTTGAAGATTCAAACTGTAAAGGAGCTATCGGTAAGTTCTTTAATAATATGAAATGGCATGGAATTAATTTCTTTTTTTTCATTTAGATTTAGCAGAAGTTCAATCAGTTGGTCAAGCGCCACCCACACAAATGCATGGATCGAAACGAATCGATGAAAAAGCTTTCTTTGATGTAAGTTTCTTCACCTTTGAAGCGTTGGTTGTTTTATTGTTTATTTCCTTTTCAATTAACAGTTGAAGACAGCGAAACGAACGTACAATTTCTATGCCAGTGATTCGGGAAGTGCACAAGAGTGGATCGAGAAGATTCAAGCTTGCTTACAATAAATTTGAAAACACCAAAATGAAGAATTTAATTTTGTTATCCTCTGAATTTATCATCATCTTTAATTATTTAGATTAGTTGATGTTTCGTTGTTTGTTCGTACTTTTCCAACAGTTCTATTAACTGAGTTGAGATTTCGACCATTTAATTTTTGTATCAATCTCGTTACTATTATTAACTCAATGTTGTTGACTATTATGCAAACGAATTCCTGGCTAAACTTCCTTTATAATGATTCCAATATTTAATATTTTTGTCGATGGAAATCTTTAATTAACAGCAAAATAATGTTCCAGACATTAGTGAATTATTATCGCTGAAAATAAAAACATTTAACGACCTAATTATTATTATTTTCATTTGAAACATTCTTACAAACAGAAACAGCTTAAAATTTATTAAATTAACGAAAAGAAAAAAAAAACAGAAGCTTTATTGTTTAAAAATGTAAAAACTAAATAATTACATACAGAAATGATTATGATTTTAGTGAAAGTATCTAAAAGGCATTTATGACTAAAAGAATAAAGTTGTAGGAGGTGACGTTCTTAAAAGAAGATTTATCATAATAAATATTAATGAAAATCAAAAAGATGAGATTACAATGAAGAAGAAAGAAGATGTTCAAGCATCTCCAAGAGCTCAAAGTGAATCTAAATGTTAATAATAATATTAAAAATAATAATTAAACAAACTTTGTATTTAAAACTAAAATATATTTAAAGAAAGAAAAACATGAATGAAAATTGAAAAATAAAGAAAATGATATTAAATACATTTACAAAAGTTTTCTCATTCTTTCTATTCCACATTGTTTGACACGGCACTGACTAACAATGTCCAATTGTCTTATGTGTTATCTTATCACAAAGATGGTCGTGTTACAATCTTAAATCATCCATTTTATTGACTCATTAAAGTTTGTTTCTTTTTTTGTATAGATTTCAAATATAATTTTTCTTTTCTTTCATCTTTTTTTTGTTGTCATTTGTTGTTTGCTTATCATGAAAATGTATCTAAGGACAATTGTAACGAAGCTTCGTCATGTTTACAAGTAATCACTACAAAGAATTTTTAATTACAATTATAATTTGTATTTTTTTTCTTTGCCACATAGAATACATTTAGAAATTTTCATCTTAATTTGTTTTGATTTTTTTTCTTTTGTTTAATTTTTTTTCGATTCTATTCGTTAGATAATTCTTAAAAGGATTCAAATGTGATGTTTTGATTGAAGACTTGAGCGATGGAGATTAATCATTTTTTGTTTTAATTTTTTACTTTATTAAATGATCTAAGTACATTGCGTCATTTATAAATCTTTTCAACCATAAACGCTTTTCACTTAAGTCAGCTCACAACAACAACAACACACAAACTTGATTCGTTATTCGATAATATTTTTCTTTTCATCTCTCTTTTCATTAGATATAATTTTAATTTGTAACATTTGTTTTCTTTCTTTTATCGTCATCTTAAGATTTCATCATTATCTGAAACTTCAGAAGAGATCAACCTGACATACATATTTTTATAGTTCCGGATGATAAATCTTATCATTTCTTTTCTATCGTTTTAATTAATAAACAGAAACGAAGATAAAGATGAAGATAAAAAGAAAAAGAAGCTCTTTTTATTAATGTTGCAAATATTTAAATGTCATCAAGTCACGTCTGCTTATTTTCTTCCCTCATCTCGCTTTCTCTCTCATCTTTTCTTTGTCTTTAATTATTTAAACTTTTTGTTTGTATTAAAAACTAAACAAAATGAAAATAGAATAAAAATCAGAATTGTGAAGAATCTTATCTTAATCTTTATATTAAAAAAAGGAATTCTTATGTTATTAGCAGTCAATACATGATTTTAAATAATGCCAAAAAGTATGAACATCTTAAACTTAAAGCAATTTGAAGAAGAACAAGAAGATTTTGTGTGTTTATGCTTGTGTCGATTCTAAATTAAATGAAAAACGGAAGGGGGAAATAATTAAACACTAAGAAGCACTGTTACGCGGCAAATGACGCTTTAATCAGAGTTGAAAGCGTAAAGAAGAATCACATTTTTATTCCATTGCTATGAATGTGAGAGTGAGAGAAAGGAAAAATTTCATTAATGATTGGAAGATGAAAGAATAATCGATGGACTTACGTGATGGACTACGATTACCCGCAGCATCACCAGACCCGTTCAAACTATTAACCAGAGCATCACTGCTGTTGTTACGTATGGTGGTTGATAATTCTTCTGGATTATCTTGGGAATAGTTTAAGAAATCCCATATCAGAATTGTGTCATCGTGCGAGCTGCTAACAATTTGGAATTCATCAAACTGAAGTCGAAAGACTCGTCCGGTATGTTCCTTTAAATGAGAATTTAAGATGAATTGAGAAATATGTTTTAAAATGAAATTAAATTACTTACAGTTAATGTTTTGATGCATAATGAATTTGGCTGTGCTCTTGGATCCATAGCAGCAACTAAATCCCATACTTTAATCTTTCCATCATATGCTCCACTTACAATTCGCTTTGAATCAAAACGAATGCAACGAACCAATTCTTCGTGACCTTCAAGGACACGTAAACAAGCACCGCATTCAATATCCCAAAGACGAATCGAGTTGTCAGAACTGCCGCTGACAACAAGACGATCACGATATTGAAGACAAGCAATTCCACGTTTGTGGCCATTTAATGTCCTTATAAATTCACACGATGATGTGCTCCATACTTTAATTGTTCGGTCACCAGACGCTGATACAATATATTTCTCATCAAAGTCAACAACATTTACAGCCGCACGATGCCCCACAAGAACACGCCGTAATGTTATTTCTTTCGGTGATGTCATGTCCCAAACAGCAATCGATCGATCCTTAAATGTCATGAAAATTTATTAATTTATGATTATCAACCTTGAAAGAACTTCAAATTTCATACTTTAGAACATGTAACCATCATCCCATTATTAAACCGTAAATGTAAAACAGCTTCACAATGATGAATCAATGTGTTTGTCATTTCACCGGTTTTCACATCCCAAACTCGAACGGTTGAATCGCTGGAGCCACTGATGATAACTTTATCATCATATTGTAAACATAAAACGGATCCCGTATGTCCGGTGAGAATCTAAATTTGTTGATAATTAAAAAAAAAGTTAATTAAGATGGAAAAAATGACTTACCGTGTTACATTGAAGTGTATGACGATCCCAAATCTTAATTGTGTTATCACGTAAACCGGAAACAATTTTATTATCATCATATTGGAGACAATAAACACCCTTGGAATTTTCAGATCGACAATTTATTCGTTGTAAGTTGTGATTACCCGAACGCCAATTATTCTCAATTGTATCGATGTCCTAAATAAATTTATTGATAATTAAATATTGATAATGTGATGATGTTGATGTTTATACCTTCATGATGACAGGATAAAGTTGTCGATAAAATGAATGATTACGATATTCGCCAGGCCTTGGAACAAACAGGTACTTAATCCATTTCTTTCTCTCTGCCAAACCACGCCATAGCGAATCACTTCGTACTTTTCTTTCGATTAATTTCTTCCACAACATTCCCTCGGAAATCACTCGATTCCATTCTTTCGAGACTAATTCGGCAGCAAAAAGTGAGTCAGCATCCAAATAAGAGAGAATATTATCAGCCACGTGATCTAAGCCTTTCTTCGGTAACAGTGAGATGAAATCACGTTGCAACATTGGTTTGAGATAAGCATTAATGTGGCCATGTTGATAGTGACACATTTGCGATAAAAGATGCTCAACGAAATCAACTTGCTCATCGTCATTCCAATTGGAGAAGGTTGCTAGACATTTATCACGTTCCTTTTGATACTGTGTTGTTGGCTCCTTTTTACGAGCGGGATCATAAAGAATTGTTGAAGTAAACTAAACGGGGAAATAATATTGAAACATACTTCAGTGAATAATTCATTTGCATTTTCATTGCGAATTCAAGGGGTTAAAAAAACTTATTTAATTGTCAAGGTTTCGCATTGTGTTTCTACTTTTCTCTTTCCAAAGGACATTCGTCGAAACTCGGAAATAATTTTTCACCTTTTTTATGATTCATTACAATTCTTCACTCATTGTTTTTATTTTATGTTTAAAAAAAGAAAGAAATAAAAATATTTAACCACCCGCACAGAAGAGAAAATTGATACTTTGTTTATTATTTAATTAGTTTTTATTTTAGATGAGTTCACTACGTAGCAATGAAGTGGCACAAGGATAACAAGTTTTTCTCGATTTGTTTTCAATCGTTTCGTTGGAAAATTTCAAAGATATAACAAGCATTTTGAAATCAGGTCGTAACAAGAATCAAATAAGTAGAAATTTCTTTTTCTATCACCTAGAATGTGGTGAACGAATAAAGAAAGAAGAAAAATAAAATCAATAGAATCGTGATTTTTTGATGATGCGATTTATGGCATTGAATTGAAGTGTTTATGTTTTCCGTTTTGAGTAGAAATATCGTAAAGATGTTATAGTGCTATAAACACATTGCGTCTACTTGTTATTTCATGTTTCGTTCAATGAAATTCAGAGAAATTATTTTTATTTCTTGATTTTAAAATTTCAATCATAAAACATGCGTCCGAAACTTTTAATCGCGGAAATGTCTTTTGAATTATGAAATGAAGTTAAATCATTATTTTGCTTTCATAACCACTTGCGAGATTTTTAATGCTTTTAATTAATTCACATTTTCATCGTGTTGTGTTTTCACTTGACTGGATTACTTTGGAAGGGCACGTTCAAATATTTTGCGCTTTAATCTCATTCATTATTTTTCAAATGTTATTTAATGTTTATCTTTAAGTTCTGGATATTTGATAATTTCTCACATTAATATTTGTATATTTATTTCTTTATCACAAAAATATTTTCACGAAATTCAAGACGAAACTTTTGAAATTCGCCCTTTTCATCGCCATCATGATTTTTGATGACTTTCAAAATAACATTTGTTCCAATATTTTGTTGATTTTTAACACTTTTCTTATATTTTTCACATTACCTGTGGCTTAGGATCATCAACTATTTTGTCAGTCTCCATTTTCATCATATTTACAAATTATTTAGTGTCTTCGAAATGTTGAATCTTTGTTTTTTTTTCAAAAACTTTCACAAAATTTATTCAACTCAATATATTTTCAAGAATCTCTATTGGAACACAAGATAAACTGTAATACCGTGAGCAGCTTAAACTTATTTATTATAAAAACATCTAAAGACTTCCTTATTCACTAAAATAGAGGACAATTTAATAATTTCTTCTGAGAACGAGATATTCGCCCCTACCTTAGGTTCGAACAATTTTTTTAATGTTCGGACTAAACTTCAAACTAGTTCGACATGAAAAGAAGTACAACACCCCGCAGTATTATATTTTAAATTTAAAACGGTTAAATTTTTCATTCATATTCATTTATTACATTCACCTTTAAAATCTCAAGTTTTCTGTTTCTTTAGAGGTCGTTAAACAGTAATTAACACTTAAAGAAGTGAAAATCTAGAATTATCCAAAATAATCTGGTCATAAAATTAACAAAACATTTATTTGATAGATATGCAGTCAGTTAACATGTCCAAATTATAAATTTAATACTTTTATTCTTCAAAAAATATAAAGTTACCCGAGAAAAGAACCGCAGAATATTTTTAAGACTATGTAGGCAGAGTATAATAAAATGTTACTTTTAGCTTTTGGTCCATTGCATTTTGTAAAAACAACAAAAAAATTGACTTCAAAATGACATACATATCGTCTCATTTCATCTCAACGATTAATTTAATCTAAACCCATGGATTCAAGTTGAATCGAAATCACCGTTAACGTCAATATTAGTGTATTTATAATTAGCCTAATTCACTTCAAGCTTTTGCGTTTCTAATTCCATCTTAAAATATTCAATTGTTTTCTTTAAGCCTTCTTTCAAGCTAACACGAGGCTCCCAGCCCAGTACTTTCTTAGCTCTTGATATGTCCGGCCTCCTTCGCTGTGGGTCATCTTCTACTGCAGGCATTTCAAGAATGGGATTTTTAGAACCTATAATGTCACGAATAATCTCAGCAAATTCAAAAATTGTGTGCTCTTGAGGATTTCCAAGATTCACCGGTTGAGTATAGTTGGAGTTCATTAATGCTACTAATCCATCAACTAAATCACTAACATACTGGAAGCTTCTTGTTTGTTTTCCATTACCATAAACCGTTAATGGTTCGTTCCGCAGTGCTTGCAAAATGAAATTTCCGACAACTCGTCCATCGTTCATATGCATTCGTGGACCGTAAGTGTTAAATATTCGTGCAACTCTCACATTTACTTTCTCTTGTTTCGCGTATGCATAACTGAGAGTTTCAGCAACACGTTTTCCTTCATCGTAACATGCTCTTGGTCCGATAGGATTGACATGACCCCAATAAGTCTCTGGTTGCGGGTGGACATCGGGATCACCATAAACTTCACTTGTACTTGCGATGAGGATCTTTGCACCAACTCTTCGTGCAAGACCAAGCATATTAATCGTTCCTAGAGTATTTGTTTTGATAGTTTTTACAGGATTGTACATGTAGTGTATAGGACTTGCTGGTGACGCCAGATGATAAATCTCATCGACCTCAATGAATAATGGATTGACAATGTCATGATGAATGAGTTCAAAATTTACATGTCCTATCCAATCTGCAACATTATTTTTTCTTCCAGTGAAAAAGTTATCAGCCACGACCACTTCATGACCTTTCCTCATTAAATGGTCAACCAAGTGTGAACCAACAAAACCAGCACCGCCAGTAATCTGCAATTTAAAAAGTTTTTATTGTTATTACAACTACTGATTATACTTATATAAAATGTTTTAACTTACGAGGATTCTTTTACGATTCTGATAATTTAGAAACTTTACTTCATCATATTTCTTTGGTATTCTATTTTCAAGTTCCAAAATTCGGTCCTCTAATTTCCTTATTTTTAGTTGAGCATTTTCTAATTCATTTTCTTCTCTCTTCAATTTCATTGAACTTAAACCATACTCAGGTTCTACCACGTTTTCAATCCTATTAGAGTCATCAGCTGATAAGGATCTGTACAAGGAAAAAACTGTAACATCACGGAAATCAATTAATGATAAGGAATTTAACATCGTATCAAGAGAAAACTCACCCACAACGGTGGAAATTAAAATTATCAAAAAATGCTTCATTCGTCGTCTTAAGAACATTTGACAAGTCGCGAATCTGGCTCACCTACGACTAAATCATCACAAAGATGTTCAAAATTTTTCATTATTTTATTTACTTTTCGTTTGCACTTATTTCAATGTGAAGATGATAAAAAGTAAACTCAATCGTGTCCGCCTGTCATCTTGAATCGCTTTAAATCTTCTTGTTGGTTCATTTCAACTTGTCTTCTACATATATCTATTTGCGTCAATTAATCTCAAGAATCATTAACACTTATTGTCTGAGACCTATTAACCATTAAAACAATTGAATTTTAATTTTAAGAATGTATCATCGATCTTTATTCATTTGTTTAGTTATTTTTTTAAATTTCCTTCAAAATGAATTGAAATTTGCCTTAAAGATTTATTACAAAACACTTCTTAGCATTTTACTTCTTTTTCGGTTTCTTGGCATCACCACTGCTAGGCTTTGTTGGTGCTGGTTTTTTTGCTGGAGCCTTGGCTGGAGCAGCAGCAGCTTTCTTTGCAGGCTCGGGTGCTTTCTTAGCCTCAGCCTTCTTTTCAGGTGCTGCTGCAGCTTTCTTTGCTGGAGCTGGAGCTGGTTTTTTTGCTTCGGTCTTCTTAGCATCAGCCTTCTTTACTTCTGGTTTCTTTTCGACAGCTTTCTTTGCGTCTGTTGCCTTCTTTGCTGGTGCTGGAGCTTTCTTAGCATCAACAACCTTCTTGGCTGGTTCAGCTTTCTTAACTTCGGGTTTCTTGACCTCCTTCTTATCTTTGTCAGATGAGATTGAGCTCTTTGACTCACGAATTGATGCTGATCTGGTACGACGACGAAGTTTTTCATCACGTCTACGTTGTGCTAAGAGCTTAGCATATTCAGCTTCAGCTTCTTTGCGTGATTCAACACGCTTCTTCTTCAATGCTAAACGGTGTCTCTTACGCTATTGATGTGTGAATGAAAATATGTTTATGAATCAAATAATTAAAGTAAACATTTCAAACTTACTTGTAATACAACTGGTGTGACCAAGCGTTGGATTTTGGGTGCTTGGAAGCGTTGTTTCTTGCCTTCTTTCAATGGCAATGGTCGTTTGATAACGTACTTGCGAACATCATCTTCTTTTGTAAGATTGAAGAGTTTGCGAATGTGGCTAGCGCGTTTTGGACCGAGACGACGTGGAACGTTGATGTCAGTTAATCCAGGAACTTCCTGCTCACCTTTACGAATGACAATCAAGGCGAGAGCTGACAAATTTTGATCAACAATACATCCACGAACGGATTTTCGTTTACGTTCACCAGTTCGACGTGGACGATAGCAAGAATGTCCTTTCTTCAAAAGCAAACGAACACGAGCTAAAATGAAGAGCAAATTTTTTTCATCAGAAATTTTTGATTTGAAAGTTGAAATTTTGTATGAATTCAATGGGATTGGAATTGCCTTCAATAATTTGGGCATCCGATACGGGGAATAAATTCACTTTACTGTATCTGTTTTAATCGGGAAAGTGGCTGTAAACCACACACTTTCCCTCAAATGAACAGAAAATATTTTAATTTAATTTTTTTAACTTGTTTTTAACTTACTGTTAGTCAAAACACCCTGTTTCATGGGAAAACCTTGTTTATCGTTTCCACCAGCTACACGGAAGATGTAACCCTTCCATTCATCACCTAAATGATCAGCTTCAACTTCAGCGCCGATACGTTTATCATAGAACATACGCAATTTGTGGTCATCGACCACCTCAAATGTTTTTTGGGCTCCCGTAGAGGGATATGAGACGTTCAACTGAAAAAGATAATGAAACATTTTAATAAACCATTTAATGATAAGTTTTGTGTATAGTTTTGTGACATCATTTTGAATTTTTTGTAAACACATGGCATAAAAATAATTTTAAAAAATATTTCAAACTTGATTTTAATAGTTAAAATCCTGAGTTTGAGAGCTTTTTTTGAATTATTATTTAACATCATCATCTCATGTACAAGTAATCAACAAAATGAAATAACAAAACTCATTATTTCGTTGTGAAAATAATAAAATTTACCTTCATGGCTTACGATCGCCGCGGAACGAAAAAGGAAAAGAAATATCGAGGTTATTGCCAGTCGTATTTTAATTCTAGCAAATACTGGTCGGAGTATTTGAAATTCAGTTGTACGTTAAATTTTCAAATAATATCATGCTTATATTTTCCTTGAATCATTAAATTGTGTATTATTCTTTATGATTATGCTATAATAATTAATAAGATTTTATGTTCTTCTGTTTCAATATTAATTGTTATTGCTTAATTCATGAAAAATAAAAATTATTTAAATACACTCTAACTTCGACAGGGATGATGTTCGACGTTTCGAAAATATTTCCTGTCTCTTTCTTTTTTCTTCGAACTAGGTATGTAGCATGTCAAGTTTTTAATTTTAATTGTTTTTACCAGTCAATTACTACACATTCCGCTTAAAATTAAGTGCATCTTGCACCTAAGATGCTTTTATCCATCCACATATCTATAGAAATAACAAATATTAGTGAAAGGTTTAATAATTATTTAAATGATATTTTCCAGCAATGGCTCCGAAGTACGAACTTTGTGTTGGCCTAAACAAAGGCCAAAAAACAACTAAAATCATCCAAAAACAGTACCGCGGTGAACGCAAAGAGAAGGGAATCCGTCAAGCTCGTATGAAGAATGTAAGTAACAAACATATTACAAGCATTAACAGTTGAAATTATTAAAATTCAACTTCTAACCACAAAAGTATGATGAAAATACAACTAATCCATTCACAGACAGGAAATCAATGGACTTTAAAGCATCATTAGAGATTTCAATATTCTTTTGTTATCACGACTGATCTTTATTGTTCGATTTTCCCATGGTTAATGGTTGGCGCTGATTAAAACCTTATTTCATTTAATTTATAAATTCGTTGAGAAATGTGCAACTTATTGAAGTTCTTTTTACATTCTAGATTCAAACAAAGCACACAAAATTCATCCGCGATTTGGTGCGAGAAGTTGTTGGACATGCTCCCTATGAGAGGCGTACCATGGAATTGCTTAAAGTATCCAAGGATAAACGTGCATTGAAGTTCTTGAAACGTCGTTTAGGCACACACATCCGTGCTAAAAGAAAGCGTGAAGAACTTGGAAACATTTTGGCTCATATGCGTAAAGCTGCCGCACATGCTGCACATGCTAAATAAGAAAGAAAGATATCCGCTTAACATCATTCGGATGTTTCCTTAAATTTGAAATCATTCACAAGGAAAATAAACTTTGAAATCTTAACTAAAGAATTTATTGATATTTGTAAATTTATTTTTCAGTGTTTTTCCGTTTTGAAATATAATGTTTAACAATAGCGAAGTCGTTGATATCTTTAGAATCTTCTGTAGAGGCATCAGTGAAGAATTGGTAGGTTGGAGTCTCCATTTGCTTAGGACGTTCAACTTTCTTCAACTTCACATTAATGAGCGAATCGGTGTTCAAATCAATTTTATCAATTTCGTAAGAAACGACCATATTTGAATCTTCATCAGTCATTGAACACAAAGGCTCCGAAAGTGATTGTAAATTCTCAACTCGTTTAGTTTGTAATCTAAAATATCCGTCGGCATCTCGTTTGTAGATAAATCTTGAGTGGCCAGGTGCAAGACGATATGAATGAAGTCTCATGAGATGTCTGCTCAGTAAATATCCTCGTAGATATGTCTTCTTACAACAATGGCAAGCATAAATCTGAGGTTGACCGAAATGTTCTTTAGCGTCGTGTCGTTTCAAAGCCATTAAAGTTTTTGACGAATAATTGCACTGAAAAACTTCACATTTGTAGGGATTTTCAGTTCTATTCTTATGAACATTCGAATGTCCATCAAGATCTTGTTTTGTTTTTCCTTTATAATCACATTCATCACAAGCAAAAGGCCTCTCAGTGATGTGCCGATATTGAATATGTCGGGCGAGAACCGATTTCTTCTGACAACTTAAGCCACATAAGTTACATTGAAATTTATTTACATGAGAGCGAGAATGATCCTTCAATAGATTCTTCGTCGGATAGCACTTTAAACAGTCGTTGCATTGAAAGCTTCGTTCTGATGAAAGCAAAAAAGAAAAGTTGTAAGAATTTCACTTATTCAATCTTCACTTCAAAACTATTCTTACCGTTCAAAACTTGTCGTATGCAATGATTAATAAACATAGGCTTATTGATAAAAAGAGCTCCACAATTTCCACATCCAATCAACTTTTCTTTCGTATGTGTCTTCAAATGTCGTTTGAGTTCGAAAACATTTGGAACTTCTTTATTGCATTGACTCCATAAACATTTTACTTTGATTGAGCGCAGATTTGGTCGTCGGAATGAAGACGAAACAATTCCTGTTTCATATTCCTCTTTAATGTGACTATTTACATGCTCAAAGTATTCGATTATTGTTGGAAAATGTTCTGTACAATTATTCCAGTAACAAAAGTAATCTGCTGAAACTGATGGAATGATATTTCTAAGCTTAGAATCGCCTTGACAGTTTGGAATGGAAAGAATGTTTGTTAAGCCTAAGCCAAAAGTTTTTAAACGAGTATGATAAGCATGATAATCGAGATGACGTAAAAAATCAGTTCTATCTTCAGTTTCAAACTTGCAAAGATTCCATTGACATTTTAGTTGTGAATTCGCTGACAAAGAAGAAATATTTAATTGATTATTGAAATAATTTATGAAATTCCAAACTCACATAAAACCATCAAGTGATCGTGGACGTGGTTTACGTAACTCTTCTGATCAATGCTTTCAAAACAACATTTATCCCATTCACATTCTAAATTAAATCGTTTTCTTAAAAATGTGTCAGGACGTTTTTTCCTTTAAATACAAAACAAATCATGTTAGGTAATAAAATATTGCGTGGCAAAAACTTTCTTCGTTACTTACAATAAACTTCTCAATGGTTTCTGTAAATAAAATAATTTCATAAGACGTTTTCAGACGAATAAGGAATAGCTAAAAACTTACTTCAAAGATTTTTAAGTTACATTCAAGTTCATCAAATTGATCGTCCGAATCAATTTCTATTATCTCATTCCACAAATCATATTCCTTTGATTTTGGCGCGGATTGTGATTTTATCCATTTCTTAATGAAATTATCGCCTACGTCATTTGCAAACTTGAGTGTTGATTTGTTGTATGATTTTCTCACTACACCTGTTCCTTTCTTCTTTCTACGTGCCATTTTATTTTGACTTTTATGTTATTAAAAAGTTTCAAAATTTTTTGTAAACAAATTCGACCTGAAAACTTGCGATTCGTATGAAGTTTTATGCGATTCGTTAAAAGAAGTATTTTGCGAATCGCTGCTGACTAAGTTTACAAAATCGCAGTGACATAAATAACAATCGAACATGAATAAATAATTTCATTTATCTTCGCTTACAATGGATAACTCAAAAGTCTGTAAGCACAAAAATCATCAGAAAACAAACACTAATTCACAAAAGTCAAAACAAAGTATGTTTAAGCTAGTTTTCATTCACTTTTTATCGAAAACGAAATTCTCCATGTTTTTTTTCTTTTATTGTTTTCCAAAATTACAATTTTTTGATGAAGTAAATTCTAGTTCATAATTTTAATTTTTTTAAAGGCTCGCTCAAGTCAAAAGACTCGGGACTTAGTCCAGAACCAAGTTATGATAAATATCCAAGTGAAAGTGGTGAATTTTTGGTAAGTCTAAATCATCTAATGAATCATTGAACGATTTTTGCAAGTGAAAAAAAAATTAACAATAAGAAGATAAGATGGATTTGTGTGAACCGTGCCTAATTCTCTTACATGACACAAAATATATTTTTAAGCCCTGCTTAAACTTTCACTTTCCAACTTCGACTACAAGTTAAAGCGACCTTCAGCATCAAACATCATTTCCAAGTATTATTTTTTTCATCGGTTCCGCTCCCACCCACAATTTCACCCCCATTGTGAGAAAATTTTCCGATTGTGTGAGAGGAATAATAATGCCGTGTCGTCATTAAAAGTGCATTTTTGACGCAAGACTCATTTCGTGAGAGCGAGAAATTCCGATAGTCTTGATTTTTTTCTTCTCTACCTTCTGGTTGTGTATTTTCAAGCTCGTCAGTTCACATTTCATTTTATCCTAACAAAACATGCATGAAACATCACCGGGACAAGTTGAAAAACACGATTTAGCGATTAGAAGTGATAAGAAAAGTGAATTATGTAGTGCAAAAGCTAAAATAAATATTGACATGGAATTAAAAAGCGTAAAAATGGAAAATATTGAAAATAGTGAAGATGAATTAATTCAGAGGATTTATGACGATCCTTGTGAATTGATGGATGATGCTCCAATGTTCCATATGACCAGAAGTCGTAGTTGGTTGTGTTGTCCATCATCGGAAGCGTTTTGCATTCCAAAAACAACACAACCAAGCAATATTTTCTATAATCGCGCTCAAGACTATTCATTGGTCACAGAGGCACCAAGAATTCAATTTCACACAGTAGGTTGTCGTTTCAGCGTAGCAAATCATCAAGTGAATTCAATAACATTTGACATTTGCCGCCCTCCAACCGGGTTGGAGTTAAATTCGATTCATGACATCATCGGAGGCTTTAATATTTATTTATTTGCTTTTATTTTTATATCTTTTTCTTTCTCTTCTATTTTCAGATACAAGCGTTGAACAACGATATGATTGAGCTACGTGCTCGCTTACAAAAATCCGATCTAGAGAAGGAGGAGCTCAAAATGCAAATACGTGAGTTGTTCATTGAAAAGGACAACACACAACGGCATTTAGAAGCGATTAGTCAGGCGCACGAAAGTCGCATAACTGAGATGCATTGTGTTATTGTTGAACTCAATAAGAAGTTGAAGATGCAACAGGAGACAGCGATTATTGAGGAAACTGAACCAGAAGGAAGCGGTGAGTTGTGGTGATAAAATAAAAGTTCAAAATTTGAATATTTAAATTTTGTTTACTTCAAGTTTCAGAACTGAGTTTCCAAGAAGGTTCAGTCTATAATTCTGAACTGGAAACAGCGAACTACGATCAAAATGAAGACTCCGATATCGAACAGAAAGTGAAAGCACACATCATTGAACAAGATCATTTACAAAACCAGAAAATATTTTACGAGCAACATCAACAAAAGTCTAGTCCATCCTTACCAACACCGAATTACTCATCACAAATTCAGTGCATGCAAGAAGAAATTCTTCATCTTCGCGCCCAAATTGCTCTCCTTCAATCGGAGCTTGCATGTCGTGACTACACAAACGAAAAAGTGACAGAAGATGATGATTGTGATGATCAAAATTGCACCGATTGTAAGAATGATGAGAATGAAAACGACAAATCAAATTATACAAGCGATGACTTATGTGAAACTGCTGACATTTTTGATGTTGTCAATCAACAGCAACAACCACCATCGGCAGCATCAGCACAAGATCAACTTAATGAATTATCACGTTTATCAATTTCACAAAATTATCAGAAAGGAATTCGGTCACCAAAACATACGCAAGTCACAAATTTCAAGCAATCATTAAATAACTTTGAAGTTCCCGTTCCAAAAGTTGCTGAACGTGTTAAATTGAAGCGAACAATGGAAGATAACAGTCATCACATCACTGGAAATGATTTGACAAGTAAAGATGTGAGTAATTTGAATAAATTTTCTCCTTTCAAAAATTTTAATAAATTTTTTTATTTTAGATTTTCACAACCGAAGTTGCTGAACATTTAGTGTCGGAATTCATGCAACCAGAACGTGACACATCATCACCAGTTGGTCTTCAAAATGAAGTTTCACGTTTACAAAGACGACTTGAACATGTAAAACTACAAAATTCAGTATTATCACTCACATTAGCTGAGAGTAAACAGCATTGCAATCACCTTTACTTATTGTGTGGGAAATATGAGTCGAATGCAGTTGCGTTACAACAAGCATTGAATTGTAACGATCGTGCCATTGAAGCTTATGACGTCATGTTAGCATTGCTTGAAAGCAAGTAAGTTGACTTGAACACAATTTTCAATTATTCTTTATTCTAAATTCTTCTTTCATTTAGACTTGGCATGCTTGAAAATGTCGAATCAGCTGAAGAGAATCGAAAGGCTGTTGAACAAGTTGCTCATCTTCTCTTAGATCGTTTTAAGAATGAAAATAGTTTTCATGGGAAGTCATCAGCACCATGGCAAGATGCTGTTGTGATACTTCCTGACACTGAGAATGTTCCATGGACGGATGATCACGATCGAATATTACGCAATCAAGTATCGAAATTGAAGGGACAAAGATCGTTTATTCAGAATACTGTCGTGAATCTTGAGTCGCCTTTTAATTTCGATGATGGTGCGAGCAGTAAAACTGAAGGAAGTCCAACAAAAAGTCGCAGTCGCGCAAGACAGAAGTACATGGACATTGAGACAGCTGTGCTAATGCAAGAGTTGATGAGCTTGCGTGAAGATATGTGTGATTTGAAATATCAAAGCGAACAGTCGGAAAAGGAGAAGCTTCAAGCTTATGAGAAACTTAAATCGTTGCAGAGTGCACTCGTTCAACTTCAAAGTCAACTTAATGAGTCGGAGAATAAACCCAAAGATCGCTTCTCGTATTCTGAAGCTGAATACAATGCAAGTATTGAGCGTGAGCTGATGGAAGCTTTAGGACGTGAGTGTCGATTAAAAGCGAGATTACAAGGCTTGGCTGGATCTTTAGAGACAGCAACAAGAGCCACAAATTCAAGTACAAAGCAAGCAGTATCTGAGCTAAAGCAAAGCAATTCCTGAGTTTCTTCTTTTTCGTTCAAGAAAAAAATTTAGTCAAATCTTTTGGCCATTGAAATGTGAGTGACGTAAACAAAACAATCTTCAATTCTTAATCATTTTCATTGACGTCATTTCCATACACTCCCCTGAAATTCGACATTATTTTTTATCTACTCTAACTTAATTTTTTTTTTCATTTTGATACAATTTGCGATTATCTAAAGAAAAAAAAGTCGAAAAAATATTTTTTACTCTCGTAAAGATTAAAAATGAATTAAATCTAATTGATAAGTGAGCGAATTAATTGTGAGATATAAAACAATTAACTTTTTATTGCTAGAAAAAAAAAGAAAAATTGCCTTTTGATGGAGTTATTTAGAAAAACAAATGGAATGAAATATCAGCATTGTTGATGAGAACGTGAAACATAAAGTTGACTTAAAGCCAAAAATTATCAATTTATTATGCAAGATTAAAAGATATTGCTAATTAAATATTTTATGATGAATACTTACTTAACCCATTGAACGCTTCAATGAAGTTGTAGCATTTGAAACATAATCAAATTAATTATTAAAGCAAACAATTGCCTATGGATCACTTGCTTCATGTAACGCAAGCTACTAAGTAACTACATTTTGCCAGATTAAACGCGTATTTAAAATGATGTGAGAAAATAATTAAATTAATATCATATTGACAGAACGGCGACAGTTGAATATCTTGATAAATAATATCATTAAAGAAACCTTAAAAGCTGAATTGTGTTACAAAAATTTACTTAAATAATTCTAGTTATTGTTCAATGTTTATCCCGAATCGTGCCATTTTATGTTTAATCATTTATTGAGCTGCCGCATTATTTTGATTTTTACATAACAACATTTTCCTGTTAACATTTGCAATCAACTGATGAATAAAATGAATCAGAATACTTATCATTAAAGTTTATATAGTTTTTAACTTAATTTTTCATATATTTTCAGGAAGGACTTTGTCAGTTTATTTTAGAAATATTTTCTATTTTCTCTCCAATCATCTTTAAAATAATCTTTTCAATTCAAGGCCAAGTCGAAGAGTGAAATGACTTGTCTTTTTCTTCAACGACAACAAATTCATGAATGACTGTCGTAAACCTTGAAACCACAAAAAAAGGAAATTTTTATGTCATTTTTTTAGAATGTTTTGAATGCAAAATCAAAATCTTAATTTGTGTTCATTCTTTATCACTAAATAATTAATGATTTATAGAGACAGCAGAAAATAAGGCTGTGAGACTGAGGTCGAAACAATTAATGAATGAAAATATGTTATCAGTCAGTTTGAGAACTAAATCAAAACAGATCTAAGACTTACTCAATGATAAAAAACAAAAACAATTCAAAAATAATTTAAAACCAAATAAAAACATTCACACAAATTAATCATCGATACTGGCGAAAATCAATTCAAGTTATTAGAATGTTGTCTTATCGTCAACTTCCTATCAAGCCACTGGCGTTTCAATTGACTCAATTCTTGATTGAGATTTCGTAATTCAATGTCTAAAGTGGCCAAGTTAAATCACGTTTTTTTTATCACACACCCACTTTTTATGACCACAGTGATTGTTTTTCAGCAGAATCGGATAAGATGTGATTAAATGGCGCTTTGTGTTCGTTCAAGTAAGAGACAATGAATAAAACATTAGCTATCAAATTACTTGGAAATATTTATTCATTTCTACTAATACGTCTTGTTAAAAAAATAATCACAACAACTTCAAAGAAATATTTTTCTACCTCAACACCTTTCGAAATGTTTACAAGTCATCTTAACAAACTCATCATAATCACTAATTGAAACAGAAACTCACTGAAGTAAATACTTAAGTATGTAAATCTTTGACAAAAGAATATTTTTCACAGTAAATCTTTACTTTGACTCATTTTAAACGAGGTTGTTGATGCAGTAAGCAGTCGTTTATCTAAATAGAAGAATTTTTCAGGTAGTAACAGGTAATAAACATCAAATACTAACGTCAAATTAATTAAATAGTTTATGTAAAGTTGTTTATGAGTATTTGTCAGGCAAGGATCATTCCAACGATTAGAAGTCTTTAAATATTTCTTTCAGATAGCTTAAATATAAAATTAAGCAAAAAGTTTTGTTTATTCATCTACACAACGCATGGCAGTTGACTTATTGCCATCACTGAGAATTGATTTTGTATAATAATTTCAATTAAAACAGATTTCTCCTTCAGAACTGTTGTTTTTCTCTTTCAACTTGTCGATAAAAAAATATTTTGTAGACATAAAGAGTGAGAACATTGACCACCACAATGGTATCGTTTGCAAGTTTTAAGTTTCACTTCGCAGACACAAAATTTGAATCAGAAAAGATATTTATTTCCTCTTAATCGCGCAAACATTCACGCATTTTGTATCAAGTTTCAACAGATCTTTGTTTTATCGTTTAAAACTCCTAAAAATATCAGAATCTGAAATAGGAGCGACGAAAAATGTTTTGTTTTGACACTCAAATTTCGTGACAATTTCATTTTCATATATTCAACACAATAATAACAACAATAATAAATAAATAAAAAGAGAAAATTTCTCGTTATACATTTAGGCTAAGGGTTATCATTTTTTATTATTTTATTTTATTTAAAACTCTGTTTTGATTTCTTATCTCTGAGAGAATATCACAACAGAACATTCTGTTTTATTACTCAAAAATATTCACTTCGAGTCGGAAGCAAAGTTTTGCAAATTATTTGAATTTAATTAATATTCTGATCAAAGACCGAGAGACTCCTTTTGTATCGTGGCGCCTTCTTAAGAAGTTTTGAAGCGCCAGGGAAAATTAAGAAAAAGAATTTACACAAAACGTATGTATGGTGAAAACTAATCACATGCGTTGGTTGCAGTGTGTTGAAAAAAGTTTAGCTTAGTTTTTTTTTTTCAAAGCAGATCCACGATCTCAAGAATTGCGTTGGTGTTTGTTTCATATTCCTTCACACATTTTCCTCCGGTTAGCACTTTATTCTGGTCTCTCAATGTGTGTCTCTATATATTTATGTGTTAACGCAGAGAATTAGTGCTTCGTATGAATTGTAGAGCAGTCTTGTGCCAGTTGTTGTCGAATGAACACTTCTTGCAAAGCATACGATATCAGTTTATTTCTTCAGTTCCATTGATAAACTTCTTTTCTTTTTTTTTGGGAATTCGAAGTTGCCGCATTTTTGGATTTGATTTTCGTTAAAGTTATTTAGTAATTTACATAAATTATTTGTGACTCAGCAGACTATTGGACTCTTTGAGTTTTGTAAACGATAATTTCAAGTGAAAAAGGAATTAAAAAATTAACAAAGCAGAATTTAAAGTGATAAGAGAATAATAGGATTTGTCATCAGATAAATTCCTTTAAAGTGAGTGATTAGTTTTAATTTAATTTTATTATTTTTGTGTTGAAGGAATATTTTCGTGCAAAAAAAAATTCAAATTTCTACGACAACGTGATCAGCGATCACAGTCGAAAAGTAGAAACTTCTACTTCACTTTCATTGCTTTAAAAATAGCATAATCTTTCTTTGAGTCTCATCAGATTTTAGTAACACATAAACATTTAAATAAAACAGAGGAAAAATGTTTTGAGTTCTCATCGACACAACTTTTTCATGTCTTGCACAAAACTGAATTCTTCTTCTTCTTCCAAAGATCAGACACGTTTTTGGATTTGAAATTTTCTTAGTCAATCTGAAATAAAAATTTTGCGATCGTTAAAAACAAGCCAAAAAAAAAATAGAATTAAGAAAAGTGAATTTACTTTGTTTGTTGTCTTGAAAGATCTTGTTTAACAAAAGTTTTCTGCAATGTTTCTAAAATATTCAAGGACAATTCTTAAAATTTCTGTTCGATATTTTTGTTTAGCGCGGCATTTGTGTTTGCATACGAACAAGCTTTCGTGAAAAGGGCTTTGAACCGGAACTAAATTGATTAGAAAATGAGTAACAAAAAATAGATATTTGATTCAGTTTTCAAGAAGAAACTTAACTTACTTTTAAAATAGTCATCTGAGTAATCAAATACTCCCCTGTTGCAAGTAAAATTATATCATTTGTTGATCTGTTTAAACCCTGATCAGAACGCAGCTGTCATAGTGTCGGTGGCTTTTTTTCGTCATTCTGTGTTTGTTCGCAAACATAAAAATGTGGTAATTAATATCTCTCGCGCTTAATTTCATCAAATGAGAAGTAACATCAGCTTCTAAGCGGTAGCTAATTCAATTCAAACCCTTGCTGACCAATTAGTGGAAGTTGGCGTGGATAAAACAACGCCGCGTGTGCACGTAGGTCATGTGGATTAAATTTATTTCCTTGATCGGTTATTGTGATGAAAAATAACAATTTTATCACATGATATACTCTACGGATATGTTCATGTCATTAATCAGAGCCTTACTCATAATTTGTTCCAGACAGTATTGTTTTATAAAACGTAAACAAGATTAAGTAAAGGTTTTGCGTAAGCTAAACTGTGACAGGCCTCCTTCGTTTATCTTCTCTTCTCACACATTTGGCGACAGCACTATTTGAAAATGTCGCAGTAAGCAATTATATATTTTACATCCAAAACATTTCAAGAGAAAAATATTTTATGGCGTAAATCACTTTTCCAATCTAATCTATTTTTGTCTTATTCTGTTTACTTAAACTTATCAGTATGTAAACTAAAGATTAAGATTTAATAATAAGCAATTCATTTAACTTCATTTCATGACCTCAACAAGTCATGCTTGTATCCGCAATACATTCACGAGAAAACTTTTTTTAAAGAAAAAGAAAAAGAAAACTCGGGGGCTCGACGTCTTAGCGCTGAAAGACTACGCAAAGTTTATTGATGATAATCAACCACGACGTTTCTTAAAATAGATTTCTTATGTAACCGACTTGGCAAAGTTTAACTCGAAAACATTTTGCTAATACATTTTGTACGTCTGAATATGTACCGAGCTCGATTTGTACACGTTTAACTTTTTTATGACTTAAGAAGTCTTCCTAAGAAAATCAAAAGAGTTTTATGAACTTTCTTATTGCATTTTGAAAAATAAAAACTTCTTTCCTGTTAAGTGCGAGAAGATTTTCTTATTCTTTGAAGAAAAAACCATAAAAGGTAATGAAAAGAAAACCTGACACAATAACAGGAATGGTTACGTCTGATCTCGAGACACGGAAGAAAAAGAATCTTAAATAAGAAACTGTTGTTAATACCTTTCGCTTGCTCTTTAAACAACAAAAGAATTAAAAAACCCAAATTCGAAGAATTGTTCACATCCCATGAATGATGCTGAGCCGATGGTTCTCAAAGATCTTTTTTTTTGCGTAGTTAGTTTGAGAGTTCGAGATAGGAATGGAAAATTTTTATTGCACATTTGTAAGTTTTTCAATGAAATATTTGTTTGGTTTTTTGATGATGTTTTACGATTCATACATAAATACTATGTAGCAACATAAATTTTGATGTTTTGAATTGAAGTTTTATTGAATATTTTGTCATAAAATTATTTATGATGATAAGAAATGACAATGACGATTCACTCATTCTTAAAACCTTTCAAGTTTCTTCTTCTTCACGTGACTTATTAGCAGCAATAATTCACCATTGGTTTCCGTATTGATAATAAATGTCAACTTAACTTAAGAAGATATCTATCTGAGTCTATTTGATAAATGACGAAGGTATTCCTTCTCGTGGGCCTAGAATGCTTCTATTTCTTCATCTTTTTCTTTTCGGTATTTTTTTACTGCCTCAAAGTCTTTAAATAATCTTTTGTGTTTGGATTCTAACAAGGCAGTTCCTTTCTGGTACTTTTCCACTCATTTCTTGTTCTATCCTAGAACCGAACATAGCTTAATGTTGGGGGAGAACGCTAGAAATATCAACAGTCGTTACATTTTCCATGGGAACAACATTAACAGATAGAACGCCATGTGTTGTTACCGCGTCATTTCATTCTTTCATTCTTTCATTTGAATTATACAAAGTAACAACGTGAAGTGTGAAGTTTTTGAAGCTCATTTGCAAACCAATATTGAGTTGGTGTTGAGTCAAAATGAATGTTTAATGCGACTCAATTTCAATCTTTTTTTATATTTGTGAGCTTCTCATGTGCTTTTTGGAGAAAGGAAAAGTTTATCAGAAGAATTGAATAAAAAAGTAAACCTTAAGGGGAATTGAGAGCGAAAGTTTAAAGTTTTAAGGGAATCAATCAAAATTTTTAACTTTCTTTTTGGCCTCTCACTCACATCACTCGACTTGAAATTTGAGAGTAAGAAAAAGTTGAAACTTATCAAAAAATACGAAAAATCTTCAAAATTCAATGACTTTTAATCTTTTTTCTTCTTCCCTCAGATAAAGCTTTAATTAATATTTTGTGTACAAGCCACAGGCCAAGCCTTCGAAATAAATAAAGTAATTTTTTTTTAATGTATTTGCTTCGAATGTGAAGCCAAAAGAAAATTGCAAAAATTAAAAACTTTTTCATTGTTAAACTTGTCTTCACGTGGGAATGAAGAAGAAAGAAAGTATTGAAAAGAAATTGCAAAATCTTTTTAAAAATGTTGTCAAGTTATGGTGTTAGCCTTTAGACAAGAATTTATTGTTTATTGAGTCTTAGACAAAATGCATAAAGCAAAGAGAAAGAGAAGAAATTGTGGTTGAAAACTTCAAATAAATTCTTGGTTGTTAACCTCATCTGTTAAGTAACTTCATGGTCGATTCTCTTCTTATTTTCTTACGCAAACAATCTCGTGATGAATTTCGCAGAAAAAAACAATATAGAGGAGGCTCGTTTGTTGAATTCAAACCTGATTATCTACTTGTTGACTTTGTCGATGATCTTAAAAACTAATACCGCTTTATTTTCTCGTCTTTGCTATTAGGATGCTTTAATGACTTTCAAAATGAATAATTAGTTAACAGAACGATTGAAAACAAATTCTATAAATAAGTTACAAAAAAAAATCCCGCATTCCAGTTTGAGTTAAACGAATCACGAGTTCTGCAGAATTCTCTTTGTTTCCTTTTTAATCTAAGCATTAATCAGAATAGAATTAAATCTTCTAGAAATATGGTAAATAAATAAATAAATGTGTTGAGTTAACCATCATTGAAACCTACGACTTGTAGGTGAATAAAAAATTAATTTATGACTGACATGCGTTTTGTCCATTAAATAAAAACAGTAAAACGTCACGTGTTATTGCAAAAATGATCGTTCACATAATTTTATGTTTTATTTTGCAATCATAAAGACCATAAAGTGTCAATTTCTAGCAAATTTACGAGTCTCTAGATAAGAAAACATTTATTTCTAATATCTTCATGAACTGAATAGTTTCAGGAAGTTTTACATACTTAATTGACTACAAAAGAATGCAATCTAACATAAATTTCTTATCAAAATTGTAACAATTCTGAATCAGAATTTTCTTATCGACTTTGGACTTCGTTTGTCTTTACTCATATCGAACATAAAACTTAACACTGGAATGATAAAAACGAATTGATAAAAATATGTGTGACGAATTCCTAACGTTCAACTACATTGTAATTTCTTCCATTTAAAGGAAATTCATTAATGTGTTTCTAATCTTATCAAGAAATGAAACGAAGACTGACAATCACGTTAGATAGAAAACTTAGATTTGTTTTCATTTCAGTACTCATATAAAAAGGTGTTGATCGACTGCCGTAAAGATGCCACCACAAAATGCAGTTGAGATGGTTCCTTCAAAAAGTGACAACACGCCGAAGAATGGGAATATGAATAATAATAATAATAACAATAATAATGTCAAAGAATCGACACAACCAGAGCCCGTTGAACCGACACAAACTATGATCGTCATTCCACCTGATGGTGGCTTTGGTTGGATTGTCATGGTGAGTTCAATATTTCATTTCAAATTGATGACATTTAATTAAAAAAATTTATTAATTCGTCATAGCTTGCAAGTTTCTGCTGCAACATTATAGTCGATGGCATCGTTTTCAGCACTGGATTCTTCATTACACCAATTCAAGAACATATGAACTCAAGCAAAGCAACAATTGCTTTAGTTGGTTCACTTCTTGGTGGCTTTTATTTGATTGTGGGACCATTTGTGTCTGGTAATTTTCACATTCTTAATCTAATGTCATCTGAAAGTTTAACAATAATTTCATTTATTCATCAACAGCATTGTCAAATCGTTACGGATTTCGTAAAGTGACAATACTTGGATCATTGATCGCGGCTGCAGCATTTTTCCTCAGTTCTTTTGCTAGCACTCCAATCGAATTATATTTGTCTTATGGCGTAATGGGTGGCATTGGATTCTGTTTCATATATATGCCATCGGTGATAATTGTTGGATATTATTTTGAAAAATGGCGGCCATTGGCTACTGGTGTTGCTTTATGTGGATCTGGTATTGGAACGTTCATCATGGCACCGATCTCACAATATTTAATAAAAACTCTTCAATGGCAAGGAGCATTGAGAATTCAAGCTGTAATGGTGCTAGCATGTGGTGTCTTTGGATTAGCCTATCGCCCAATCAAGCCAACAGTTGTCGTTGATACAGAAGATGAAGAAAACAATCCAGAAGGAAAAAGTTTGGTGACTGACGGCATTTCTACACCCGCATTTATAAAGCCATTTGCCGATGGTCGTATATCATATTCGGTGCCGAATTCAAGTCACAACACATGGATGGGAACACCAAATAACACAAATTACCCAACAGCAGCTGAAATTTTCAAAGGAATTCCTGTAAATTCCGAACGTCGATCATCACAAACATCAGCTCAATTATCACAAGTTAATGTTGTGCCATCTGCTAAAAAGGAGAAACGATCAGGTCATGCAACACCGACTGAAGAATTCCCACATCCACCACCAGTTTTCTCAGCTCTTAATACACCACATGAATTGAAACCCGTTGGTGAAGTTGTTGAAGAAGGAGAAGAAAACGAAACACTTTTGGAAAAGAATGAAGTGAAAGCAATGATAATTGCCCAAGCTGCTGGTCGTCGTCATACAGTTTCAGGCAGAAGACCTGGCAGTGAAATTCAAGCAAACTCTCGTCAAAGTGACAGTCAAGCAAACTCACGTCGTGGAAGTCGTGCTGATGTTAGTCGTCCATTGTATCGTGATGACATTTTCTTCTCTGGCTCATTGGCAAAACTCCCACAATATCGCTCGCAAACTTCACTCGGCTATCACATGAGTGTCACTCACGTCCCAACTGTTAAAGATATTGAAGAAGAAGAAAATCAAGCTTCAAAATGCAAGATTTGCCCTGAAGCTGTTCGAAGAACTTTAGGCACAATGTTGGATGTTTCGCTTTTCAAAGAATTTTCTTTTGTTCTTTTGGCATGCAGTGGCTTTTTGACAATGATGGGATTCTTTGTGCCATTTATTTATATTGCTGAACGTGCAAGAATGGCTTCAATTGATGAGGATACTGCTGTGTTCTTAGTGTCAGCTATTGGTATATCAAATACAGTTGCTAGGATCTTGTGTGGATGGTTAAGTTCATTTGATGGAATAAGTGCACTTGCATTGAACAATATTTTTATCACTGCTGGTGGTATTGCAACAATGATAAGCGGATGGTTTATGCAAGTTCATTCTCAATATATTTACACACTTATTTTTGGTGTCACTTGTGCAGTCTTCTCAGCATTGCGTTCGATTATCGTGGTTGACCTACTTGGCTTGGAAAAATTGACAAACGCTTTTGGAATTTTGTTATTATTTCAAGGCATTGCTGCTGTAATTGGAAGTCCATTAGCTGGTGAGTTGAATCGATTTTTGAATAATAACAAAATATAAAAAATCTTTTCCTTCTCTTTAAAGGTTTTCTTTTTGATTTAACTAATTCATATGATCTTCCATTCTACGTTGCTGGTGGTTTGATGACGATCTCCGCTTTGTTAACTTATCCACTGAATTATGTTAAGAGATGGCAGCATAGCAAAGGAAAAGTTGCCATCGCCGCTTGAATGCATCGTGTATTAAATCAATTGGCATTTGACCAGATTTGGTGCTTTTTCTGCTGCTACAGGGTCCGCTTTAAGTACCAATATTTTTTTTTTCTTTTTGAAAAATTAGAATTATTTAGCATATCTAGGATTAGGACGACAGTTTTTCTTAGACAAATCATTTTTGAAATTATGTAAAAGAAAAAGAAATTTTTTGTACACGATATTTTACAATTTATTGATTGCCCTACATTTTGGGCAATTTACCTTTAAGAAGTATGAGAAAAGACTTTGAGAATTGCTTTTTTTAGGAAATTGAAAATTTAAAGGATTATAAAATTAGAAATTGAAACTTTAACTTATAAGGAATGAAGCACGTTAACTTTTTAAACGGCAAATTCTATTGATGTCTTCAGAAAGCATGGAATTAAAACTAGATTCATGTTTAAAAGATTGAAAACTATTTTCAACGATCGTCGATCATAGAATACAAAATTTCCTGTGATATCAACAAAAATATTTTTAATCATAATTTTAAGGTTTAGAAATTTTACTTTGTTGATATTTGGAAGTGGTTGGGGATTGAAGAAATCTCCGATAGTTATATTTGAAGAAATGAAATTTATCGTTGCAATGCATAATTTGATAGACTGATCCATTCGAATACCTCGTTGAAACGCGCTATAAAAGTTGATTTTCGATTAATTTGCTGTTTAAAATTTTAAATTAAAATTTTCTCCATTGAAGGTTTTAAAAATTAACTAAAATAGATTTTTTTGTTTTGCGACTTTACTTTATTTTCGGAAAAACCTAATTCATATTTTTATCATAATAATTTCAGATGTGTTGACTTAGAATTTTAATGACAGAGCTTTGAATCATATTGATAAGAAAGTTTCAAGAAATGTAACAAGAAGAAAAGGATTTCATAAGCGTTCAAAATATCGAATAAAAAGGAATAATAAGAGAACAAATTGAGAGAAACATTAATTTATTTGAATAGTTTTTCATTTCAGAATCAGATGTTCGATTATGAGTAAACTTCTAAATTTAACGTTGAAACCAAATTCAAATCTTTCGCTTCAATTCCATCTGAAAAGTGAGCAACATTGCCTCAGCACAACCTTCCAAACAAACCTGTCTGGTGTAAATATTTACGTTCACATTTTATCCCGAAAAATATTTCTGAAAAGACTAATTTTCATTAAAAAGTGAGAATGGTAGCAAAAGAGTTCCAAGCAGTAGTGTTAGCAGCTGGTCATGGTACTCGTTTTACTGATCTTTTAGGGAATCGTCCTAAATGCTTGTTACCTGTCGGGCCATTTCCTTTAATTTTTTATCCACTACAATTGCTTCAAAAATATGGATTTGAAGGTAAAATTTAATTTTTAATATCTTAATTACAAACCTGATTAATTTATATTCTATAGAAACATTCGTAATTGTTCTCGAATCACAAAAGAATGATATTGCACAGAGGATTGACAAGTTGCCGCTAAAGTTGAAGTTAAATTTCGTGACGATTTCATCAGATTCTGATTTTGGCACTGCAGATGCTCTTCGTTCAATTAGTGATAAGATTAGAACGGATGTTCTTTTGATCACTTGCGATATTGTCACGACAGTTGATTTCTTTCCTGTCCTTAATATGTTTAGAAAGAACGATGCGTCAATTGTTTCACTTTTCATCAATGGATCAGCTCCAGATTCATCAATTGTTGTTCCTGGACCAAAAGCAAAACATAAGCAAGAAAGAGATTTAGTTGGAATCAACTCAGAAAATGATCGTCTTCTGTTCCTTGCATCCACGAGTGATTTTGAAGACGTCATGACGTTGCCTGCTCATCTCCTTCGTTCACATGGAAAAATTTCAATTCATAGTGGATTAGTTGATGCTCACATTTATCTCGTTAAACGATGGGTTGTCGATTATCTTGCTGAAAGTGATCGGTTTTCAACAATCAAAGGAGAACTTCTTCCCTTCATCATCAAGAAACAAATGTCAAGACCGGCTCATACCAGCAAAATTGAAGGTCATCACACTTCAGAAGTTGGCTACGATTCTAATGACATTTTCTATCATATAAAACAAGATGAAATTGATAGAAAAGTTCTTGAAACAAATCTAAATAACTTTGGAAGACTCAAAACATCGCACGATTCTGAACTTATTCGATGTTTTGCATACATTGCTCCAGCATCATCAATTGGGATCAGAGTTAATACGATTCTAGGGTTTTGTACTGCTAATCGGAAGATTTTTGATATTTGGGAATCTTTATGTGGCAACATTCCGCTGGTGTCATCAAATGCCATCATCAAGTCAACTCAAATGACGAACTGTGCAGTTGCGGAAAACACAACTTTATCTGAGAAGACTTCAATTAAATCAACCGTGTTTGGAGTGAATTGTTTAGTAAATGAGAAGACAAGAATCAGTGACAGTTACATCATGAATAATGTTACAATCGAAGAAAGGTGAGAACTAAATTGTTAATAGTTTAAAATCATTCAAATGTTATTTTGTTTTAGAGTTGTAATCGAAAATTGCATCATTTGTGACAAAGCTGTTATTAAAAAAGGATCGATTTTGAAGAACTGTCTTGTTGGCTTCAATTTTACTGTTAATGAGGATACAGTTAAGGATAAAGTGCATTTAACTGGTGAAGGATTCATGGAAATTGAATAACTTGTTGATTAATTTGAATTTTTTGGAATAAAAAATTTAACGTCAAAATGAGATTTGAATTGTCTTTCAGTGAAACCTTTCGTTGTAATTTTTCTAGGATATCAACATCATCAAAAATAAACTTCGTAAAAGAACAATTTTTATTTAACTAGAACTATTAGAATGGCTGATTCAGATTCTGATGCATTTGAAAGTGCTGATGAGGAAATCGAAGATAAGAAACAAAAGAATGGTAAGAACATTTGAAATTGTGAAATTTTTTATTGTAAATGATAAATTTTTATAGTTGCTGTGACTAAGCCTGAAAAAGAAATAAAGATAGAAGATACCAAGGCCATAACTCCACCTGAAAAAACAACACCAATCAATCCTCCTGCTAATACATCAAATATTGCTGAGGAAAAACCATCGTCTGTTGAAAATGAAGCATCAAAACCAGAAAGTTTAGTTTCAAGTTGGCGAACTTGGGGTGCATTTAATGTAATCAGCAATGCGAGTAAAACAGTCGCCTCAATCACAACTCAAGTGTCACAATCAATTTCTACTGCCATTGACTCGATCAATATCCCCGAACCTGAAGAAATGGCAAAGTTGCATGCAGAACAGATGAAAGCAGCAAAAGAAGAAAGTTCTGTAAATGATGAGAAATCTACCGAAAACAATGAAGAATCAGGATTTAAACTCGACAGTCTACTATCAGGCGTAAGTCAAATAAGCTCGAAAGTTGTCGCCGGAGGATTGGATACATTGGAAGGTATTGGGAAGAAAACAATTAACATCCTTCAAGATACTGATCCAAATATAAAGAATAAAATTCGAAACATTAACGTCAACAATAAACCTAATCTCAGCGATCTCTTGCGAGAAGCAAAAGAACGAGAAGAACCAACAACGAATAATGAGAAACAGAAAATTATTTCGTTTGAACATTTGCTGGATGATTACAAAGGTTTGGTTTACCTTGAAGCTCTTGAAATTCTTTCAAATCAGTCAAAAATAAAAATCGAGCTTCTAATGAAACCTTTAACTGACGATATGTTGACAGATATGGAAGAAACTTTATCTGAAATTAAAGAGCTTTGTGAATTTGATTCAGAAAACCATGATGAGGACTTAAATGGAGAAAATTTAAGTTCAAAACTTGAAGCAGCCACAGCTGACTTAAATGTGAAATTAAATTTCCACGAAATTGTTGATCATTCAAAGGAAATTGAACATTGGTTTGAAGACAGCACCAACGACATGTCAACGATTACGATTTATGAAAAATCAATTAATGTGATGGCTAAAACTTGTGCACTTTCATTGAATAATTTCCAAAAGTTAGCTGAACTTCTTTTGTCACAAGACTATCGATCAACGGCTGATGAAACTGATGCGCTTACACAGTGAGTGTCAATGCTGAATTTCCATCACAATTTTATTTTAATTTGCTTGTAAATCTTTTCAGATTGGCCACAATTTACTGCTCGTTATTCAACTATTTCGCCACGAAATTCTCGCAAAAGCTGACAACTCAAAGTAACAACGACAATGAAACAAAGAAAATGTCAACAAACTTATTTCTGGAGGTAAATGAACAAAAATCAATTTTATTATCAATTTGTAATCATTTTAATGTTTCAGAGTTCAAACGCAACTTCATACGTTAAGAAAGCTTTTAATTTATTCATTCCCATTCTTCAAATTGGCGCGGTTTAACTGAAATGAATGCCAGCACTGTTGAAGCCATGAAGAACTCTCATAAAGTCGTCAATATCCATTGTACGTGCACGAAACTTATCAGCATCAAGACTTTCTAAAATTCCTTCAACTTTTGATTTAATGTCGAAATCCGTGGGCACATCCTTCAAATACATGTATTTAATGTTTTAACGTACATTCAATAAATTAATGAAATAAAATGTTTCTCACCAAATTATTTAAAGAACAATGAAGTTTGTAATTATGTTCGAGTGATGTCAACACCGTCGTTTGCTTAAAAGCAGCCGCCAATGTTTTGTTCTTGCGAAGAAAAGCTATTCTTGTTAATCCATCCCATTCAGTGAAATTAATTGGCGGTGGAGGATTCTTAGGTTCAAGTCGAACGACTGACGACTCAACTTTCGGTGGTGGCTTGAAATTATTTTTTCCAACTTTCATAAGTAAATCCACGCGAGCTAAAAGTTGTGTGTTGATGCTGAGACGACAATAAAGTTTATCACCTGGTTGTGCGACTAATCGTTGAGCAAATTCTCTTTGAAACATCAACACAGCACATCGAAATTGACGATGAAGTAGAAGTTTGAAGACAAGAGGCGATGAGATTTGATATGGAACGTTCGCAATGCAAAGATCGAAGAAAGGCAATTCGGGACTTTTAAGAAAATCTCCGATTAGGATTTGTAATTTTGATTGCATTGGTGTTCCTTGGACACGCTTCTGTAATTCTGCAACCATTCTTGGATCAATTTCACAGGCAATCACTTTCTTTGCTTTCTCGAGAATTTTTACTGGAAATTTATAAAATTATTAAAATTGTCTTTAACATTGAAGACGTTTGATTACCTGTCATGTTTCCAGTACCAGGTCCTATTTCTAGAACAACATCTGTAGGACGAATAGCTGACTTTTCAATCATAGAAGTGATCACCAGTGGATTTTTCAAAATATGTTGACCAAAATCCTTGTTGAAAACAATTCCTGTGAGTTAAACTTTATTTAACTTATTGTTCAACAGCATTAATAATTAGCTTACCTTGCTTTGCAACATCATTATGAATTCTTGACTTCTTTTCTGCTCTTACTTTAGGCATTTTGAATTAAATTAAAATTTTATTTCTAATGTTTTTATTTTCTACTATCGCATGTGTTGTGGGCAATATTTTAAAGTAGCGTAACATGTTTTTTAGTAAGTTCATAAATTTAGTCAAAATGGTACAAATTATTCATAATTGATGGCTACATTACCTCAGGAATAATGAACATTCTTCCTTTAATATAGAAACTTGAAAGATTTCTCTCAGAACAAGTTAAATTCAAGTGAATTTTTTCTCCAACACTTATAAACAAACCCCACAAAATGTAAATAAAAACTTTTCTAACCAAGAATCTTTTCTGAATAAAAATAAGCAGTGAAAATATTAATTAGAAATGGGAAGACCTAAAACTCTTAAAAAACCTAAAACTGAATTGGTTTTCGACAATAAAAAACGTGAAGAATTCTTGAAAGGATTTTCTAAACGCAAGCAGCAGAGGAAAAAGAAAGCTCAAGAAGAAATTGACAGAAAGCTGAAAGAAGAGCAGAAAAGGATAAAAAGTGAAGTAAGTTCAATTAATAAAATAGCATTTACTTGGTGGTTTTAATAATTTTTCTTCTAGACCAAGAACTTGAAGGACAAGTTTAAACAATCGTTCAAACCGATTGCAGAATTGGAGAAAGTCCTCAAAGACAGTGATGAAGATGACGACGAAAGCGGTGATGAAGTTGACAGATTTGAGACTGACGACGTAACAGTCACAATCAGCGCTATAAATCCTGATGATTTAGCAAAGAAGAATTTCATTGGATATCGAAAGGTAAAGGAAAGTGACAGTGAAGAGTCGGAGGAAGAAGATCCGGAAACGAACGAGACTTCAATTCCTGGCATGGAAGTTTCTGGTAAACCAGTGAGGAAAGTCAAAGACAAGAAGGATAAGGACTTTGAAAAGCTAACAGAGAAACTCAAATCAGCTAAAGATGTTAAGAAACTTGTAAGTTTATTCACAATTCTCCGATTTCCTTAATAAAATTAAAAATTCTTTCAGATAAAAGAGCAAGCAAAAACAGCCATGAAGAAGAGTAAAATCATCAAAATGCAAAACGAAAAGAATCACAAAAGAAATGTTAAATTATCACAAAGAAAGAAATTTCTTAAGGAAAAGAAATTGAGGAAACACAAGAAAATTCCGAAGCATAAAACAAAATAATTTTATAAGTTCTTTAATGAATAAAGTTAATTTTTTTACATACAATCTAGCATACATAAATGTTTAATATTTGAATTAAATAATCTTATTTTATTTATTTATTTACTCGATGACTGACTTTCTTCTTCCTCGTCGATAAGTTCAAATTCTTCTTCGAAAATTACTTTTGATTCGTCAAGTTCTTCTAGTTTTAATATTGTCGTTGAATCTTTGACATCATATTGAAATTCAACTGCTGGGTGATGTTTATGTAGATGTTTTCGTAAATGAATTTTCTGTGTGAAATGACGATTGCATTCATCACACCTGGAAAGAAAAAAATGTTTAAATTAAAAATGATTTAGAAATCATAAACAGTTAAACTTACCTAAACTTTTTAACAGGATCATGAATCAATTTGTGTTTTCCTAAATCAGATGAATTTGTAAAAGCTTTATCACAAACCTCGCAAATGTAATTCTTCTCTTGAGTATGCGAGCTAATCACAAAAACAAAGTTAATTTAAAGGTAAATTTCTTTTAATCAATTCTCACCGTATATGAATTTTAAGGGAGCTTGATTGACTGTATGCTTTGTTGCAATATTCACAAGCATAAGGTTTCTCTTTGGTATGTGTCCGAAGGTGAGCTTTATAATTTCCAGCTTGCACAAAAGATTTTTCACAATATTCACAGGAGAAAACCTTAACATTTGCATGCAATCTCAAGTGGTCGATAAGATTTGATCGTTTTTGAAACTTTTTGTTACAGACATTGCAGGCATGTTTACGATTCGGATCATCGAAGCCAGATTCGTCTTTCTTCTTAGGTGAGATCTTTTTCACTTCAAAAAGTTTAGTTGAGTCTGTTTTTGGCTTTAAAATTCGGGCTAAAAATGAAACTGCGTCGTTATCGTCTCCACCTCCGCCTCCACTTTGAATATTAACTTCTTCAATTTGGGAAATTTTGTCATCTTGACTGCATTCTTCATCTAATTCTTCAATTGTTTCGTACACAACAAACTCTTCATCTTCAAATTTCATGTTTTCATATATATCATTTTCTGATTTTTCAGCATCGCTGTAACCTTTTAATACTTTAGCGGATTCAAAGGCATCTTTTCGGAATTGGAAAGAAATTGTGAGTTTAGCAGCACAGTCGGAACTGAAATTAAAAGTTTTTACACATTTGAATTTGAAAATAATAAGAGTAAAACTTTAAAGCTTACCAAAGACGCTGGGGAAGCCCGTCATTTTTCAAAGCTTCCATTTCTGTGCAATCTTTAAATGCATCTCGATATTTTATAGTTAAGTCTGGAATATATTCATCAAATCCAACGCTTGTTGCTTTTGCTAAAAGTTGACGACAAACTCGACATCCGAGACTAAAATTTAACTGGCTCACTAATGTTTCCATTATTTTATAACAATTGCAATTCTTTAAAATAAATGTTTTTGTTGACAGTTAATGATGATGCTCAGTATGGGATCATTTCGCAAATAATGTAACTTGTTTTCATTTTGCAGTTTCTAATTTTTGTAAGTTTTTCATTTTGTTAAATTATTATGTTTTAATTTTAAGCTTAATTAATCGAAACATGTTCTGAGAATGAAAGAAAAGTAAAAGAGTATTGATGTGCACATAAAGTTACATAAATTTTAGATGATCCTCGAGTTGCTCAGAGTAATTTTGTCGTTCAGCTTAGTTTCACGCCCCGTATTCCTGTGTAAAAACTTCTAGCTAACAATTATTTAATTTTAAATAAGAAACCAATAGTTTTAAATATTTAAGATGGCACTTCCGGACGACCTGTGGCGTGAGTGTGCAGCGTGGCTTACTCGTTGCAAAATAATTCCAGCAGATCACAGGTTTTACAAAAAAATTCCAAAAGATTTTTTTTTTTCATATAGATATTAAATATCCCTGATGTGAAAATTTACATTGCGTTATTATTTTTTTTAATTTTAATGTGGTATCAGGGCAAACTGGACAAATTCAGAAATCAAGATACTGGCACTAACATTAAGAGATGGCGTACTATTGTGTAATTTAATTCACTTCCTTGATCCTTCAATGGAGCCTATAGAATTCAACAGACGTCCAAGAGATGCTCAGGTATTTGTTTTTGTTTTTAAGAAGAATTAAAAAAATATAAATAAACATTTTGGGCATGGATATAATTCCTAGGATGTCAATCTTTCATTGTACAAATAATTGTGATAATATTTTTTTGTTTCTTTACTTCCAGTTTCTTTGCTTACAAAACATCAGATTATTTTTGGATTGTTGCCGATCCAATTTTCAAATTCGCGAATCAGACCTTTTTGAAGCTCAAATGCTTTACGACCTCACACACTTTCATCGAGTTTTAATTACTTTATCGAAACTTTCACAATGTCGAAAAGCTCAGATCAACCACCCATCGATTGTGTAAGTCTTTTTGTTTTATTCATTTCCTTGTTGAGTTAATATTCAAATCGAATTATTTCTCTAACAGCGGATTCAGTGCTCAAATGATGCCCGCTGAACGAAGTATATCAGAGGAAGATATTTACAAAGACCTTCATACAACAGCTGCAACGTGAGTATTTTTTCTAATCATAACTCCCACATCTTTTCTCACTTTTACTCTTATTATCAATCAACAAAATCCTTTTGAACAAAAAACAAAATTCTTTCTCATCTGTCTGCAATCTTTTTCTTGTGTTCTTCTCTTAATTGAAAAACGAAAAAACTTATTGTAATAGTAACAATAACGGTGAAACTGAAAACGAAACCCCAAAATCATCAGAAGATGATGAAAATAACAGCGAAGAGTCATCCTCAAATGACATCAATCTCGTTGATTCATCAAATAATCAGTTGATTAAGTGGACGGCAGAAGATCTCGTTGCTATCGACGATAGTGAGGAGAAAATCTATGAGGATCTTTGTTACGTTACCATCTCGTCTACATTCCCTTCTGAGGTTTTTATCAATACTTTGTTATCTAATCTGTCCCCTTTCAACACTTCCCCAACCACTTCCAAGAAGACACGCAAAAACGATTTTTACGTGTGTTTGTTCAGTTGTTGCCCGGTATGCTTTGTGCTAGATATTTATAGAAAAAAAAGTAGCAAATTTTTCCTCTTAATCCTCAAAAATTATCTAATTCATTTTCTTTCCATCATTTTATTATCCTTTCAACTTATCAATTATCATTTTCACATCACTTTTTTGTCACAACAAAACGATGAGAATAAAAGCTCCATTAAGTATTGAAGAGTAGACAAGAACAAACAAATATTTTGTTTCTAAAAAAATTCCATTGAAACATGAATTGTGTCATCAGTTGAAATAATTTCCGTTTCTGCTTTTCGATTGATTGAATTGCTGAAGATCTTTTTTCATTTCCATCAATGAACATTAATTTTTTTTTTCTCTTTTTTTACTTGATTTATTCCTAAATTCTGTATTGTTCTTAATCACTCAAATTTCCCATAGCGCGCTTTCATTTATGAATACTTATAATGGACTTTTTTAATGTCAATATAAAAAAAGAAATGAAATCGATTTATCTTGTAACTTTTGTTTTGTTCGTTTAAAACAACATGTTGCGCCATAAAATGCGAGCATAATTTTCATTTTCATTCATCTTTTTTTTTCGGTATTTAATGGCACTTGTTTGTGCTTTGTTTGCCACATGAGAATTTCTTTTATAACGCAACATGTTGACGAATGCTCGAATATTAGTCTTCCTTTTACTGTAACATTTTATATTTATATTTATATTGATGGAAGTAGAAGACAAGAAATTTAATCCGTAACAAATGTGGAATGTTTAATGGCTCACGAGTCAGATAAACACTCATGTGAGAAGCTTCCTTCCATATCAAGGACGAATTGAACGCATGAAAGAAGAAACAAAACAAAAATAAATAATAAAAGGCCAAAGAAAGAACAATAAAACAAATTTTTGTTCTTTTTTCCATCATCTTTAAGCATGAAAAATTGCGTAGTCGTTCATGTTTTAGTCTTTTAAATTTAATTTTTCTTTTTCTTTTTTATGTAATGATGATTTTGTGATGATTATGTATGGAATGAAAAAAATAATTTGATTATCTCTAAATTGGCATAAACAAAAACACAAAAAAAAAAATAAAAATGTAACTCGTGCACCCAGTGCCAGTCAATCCGACAATGCAGCATTTCGATGTGATGATGAAGACAACACAAAAGAGGAAGAAGTGTATCAAGATTTATGTGCCATAGAGAGTAGTATAGCGAGAACTCGTGAGCAGGTATTTTGATTGCTACAAACAATATTTATTTTTGTCTTTTGCTTATTTGCATAGCTAATGAAGTTTTATAAATAAAAATTGTTAGAAACTTTTTTTTTGTTCTCTATCTTGGCGTGATCCAGAAATCTAAAAATATTTCCATAATGATGAACTTCAATTAAACTAATTGAGTTATACAAAAGGGAGTGAAAGTTAATTTAATATCTGTCACCTTTTTACAGTCATCAATTACCGCGAGTCTCGAACAAAGGGATTTTGTGATCAGGGAACTCGTCGAAACTGAAGCCAACTACCTCGATGTCTTAAATGCTTTAAAGTATAAATTTATGCAGCCGATGGAGAAGCTTCTCAAAGATGATATCAAAACAATGTTCCCCAGAATAAAGGTTCGTTCATGCTTGTCAATGTTTACTGTACAGTTAACGTTCTAAGTGTCAAAATTTCATTCTCAATCTTGAATTTTCAAAAAATTTGAATAATTTTCACAGAATAAAATTTTCTGTATCAACAATCAAAGTTTCGACTTGTCGAGAGTGCACTGTATAAGTTTCCGAAGTAGCAAGTAGATGAATAAACAAAATCCTTCTTTATGCAAAGCTTTGATGGATTTCGTATAAATTCTCGTGTACTTTCATCCGTTTAAATCCAAGCCTAAGACGATATTGTGGAGCTTTCTGAAACCTTAATGTTGTTCTTTAATGTTTTCTTTTGTTACAACAAAAAGCTTTATCAAACTCAATGAATAATCATTATTTTTTTATGAAAATTAACGAATGCTAAACAAACGAAAATGATTTGCAAGCAGTCAAGTTTTAGTACTTATTTTCTAAAAATAATTACTTTATTCGTTAACAGACGATGATGAATATTTAAATATTCTTCTGTATTTAAACTTTCTTATGAAAACTTTGAACTGTATTAAAAATCTTTGATGTCTGTGAATAACATTTTTCTTCTTGCTTTTCATGATGATAAAAAAAAATAGGAACTTGTTGACATTCACAAAAGCTTTCTTGAAAAACTCCGCGAGGCAACAAAATCTCATTCCAAAACCAAACTAAGCTCGGTCTTTATTGAATTTCGTGAAAAGTTTCTTATCTATGGTGATTACTGTTCCAAAATGACAGAGGCGACAGACACATTGAGAGATGTTTGTAAGAGAAGTGTTGCTGTTGAACAGTTGGTTGCTGTAAGTACTTTACTTGTCTTCTAATTTTAATATTAATTTATGAATCTAAAATAATCTTCTTAAAATGAACAGCAATGTCAAAAGGATCACAGTTGTGGGCGAGTTCAATTGCGTGATATTTTATCAGTGCCAATGCAAAGAATCTTAAAATATCATTTATTGTTAGATAAGTTAGTTCATGAAACATCACCAACGCATGACGACTATCGAGGTTTAGAAAGAGCTAAAGAAGCAATGGTTGATGTTGCTCAATACATTAATGAAGTGAAACGTGATTGCGAGCAATTGAATGTCATTAAGAAAGTTCGCGAATCAATAATTGATTTGAACTTACCAAATGGAAATGAATTATCGCAATATGGTCGTTTGCTGCTTGATGGCGACTTGAATATTAAAGCTCATGAGGATCAAAAGCACAAACATCGATACGCATTTATTTTCGAGAAAATTATGATTCTGGTGAAGAACTCAAACACTCGTATAGGTGAAGGACAATACACTTTCAGAGAAGCACACAATCTCGCTGATTATGTCATTGAAATGGGGCATTCTAGGAAGACTTTGGGACGTGACGCAAGGTTTAAGTATCAACTGCTTCTAGCGAGAAAGTCAAAGGAAGCAGCTTTTACTCTCTACATGAAGACAGATGTTGAACGTGAGAAATGGCGAAAAGCCATAAACGATGCAATTGAGATGATTGATCCACCAGCTTGTAAAAGTACTGACCATAAATTCGCTATGATTACATTCGAAAAGCCAACAGCATGCCGACATTGTTCCAAATTTCTGAAAGGTTTGATTCATCAAGGCTACAAATGTCGAGTTTGTGAAATTTGTGTTCACAAGGGTTGCATCTCATCGACAGGAAGATGTCGTCAAATTCAACCTCCACCAGTTTGTGATCGATATTTGTCAGAATTTAACTGGTTTGTTGGTACAATGGATCGTGAGAATGCAACAGCAAAGCTTGAGAACCGTCGGGTTGGAACATATTTGTTGAGATGTCGACCGCAAGGTGCTTCCGATTCTAAGGAAACTTTATACGCTTTAAGTTTAAAGTAAGTCATAATTTAATTAATTCTAAAATTAATTTCTAATCAAATGAAACTTTCACAAACAGAACCGATAACAGCGTCAAGCACATGAAAATCTATCAGAAAGTTGAAGACGGTCAAACGCATTATTTTCTATCAACGAGGCGATATTTTAGGACAATCGTTGAGTTGGTTTCATTTTATGAAAGAAACGATTTGGGTGAAAATTTTGCTGGGTAAGTAGTTGATGATTAAATATTTATAGAATTAATTAAGATTATAAATGATGAACGATGTTTATGTTTACAGCTTAAACCAATCACTTCAATGGACGTTCTATGAGAGAACAGCAACAGCTTTGTATGATTTTACGCCTCGAGAACCGAATCAATTGCCTCTTAAGAAAGGCTGTTTAATATGTAAGTTGGTCGTTTTAATTTATTCATAATAGCTTGTGCTAAATTAAATTAATTTTCCCTTTTTTCTTCCTTCGATAGATATCATAAGCAAAGAAGGTGACAGTCGGTGAGTTTGAAAATGTTTTTCTTTCATTAAAATGTTTCTAATAATTTTTGTTAATTAATTCCAGTGGTTGGTTAAAGGGTCGCTCAATGGATAGAGTAAGTTCACTTAAATTCTTTAATTTGAGAAAGTTTAATTCAATTTTCTCAACAGATTGGATTCTTTCCTAAAACCTTCGTTCAAGAGAACTCGTCAAACGACGAACTATGATTTATCGAAGAGTATTACTTGGTGTTCATTGAATCATCTTCATGTAAGTCCAGTGATAAGTAAAAGAAAGCAGAAATTGAAAGTGCAAACGAAACTTTTTTGCTTGTCTCGTAAGTGAGAAAAAACAACAAAATGAAAATCTGAAACGAAAAACGCTCACAAAATGAAGAAAAATGAAAATTAATTTGTGAAACCAAAGCAAAGAAAACAAAAAAAATGCTTAGGATATGAAAAGGATCTTATAACATTTATTAACCACCCAAAACACATCAGCAGCGTATGTAATTGTAGTAAGTAACGTTAATTAATTTAATTATGATTAATTAAAAATCTTTAAAGCACAAAAATTTAATTCAATTGCTCCAAATATCAAAACTGTTGTGTGCGAAGATCGCATTAAATTAAAAATGTTTTTTCGATGCTGATTCGGATCTTTTCTTTTGAAAGCACTGGAAAAAGTTTTGTCGATTTCAATCCGAGTCATCATCGCTTTATCATTGAAAACATTCCTTCATAGTTCATATCAACACCAAAAGTCGCTTAGAAAAATTTTTATTTAATAAATTTTCGTTCTTTTAACAAATTCACGTTTCGAGTAAATTTCGATTGATTTCCAATAAAAAGAAAATTATTTTAGCATTATTATTCATAAGAAAATGATGAAGAGAAACGAGTTTGTAACATTTTTCAATCCAGTCCAGTGAATCTCGTGTCTTGTAAAAACAAAAAACAAAGTCATGGCCTAATTAAATAAGGAGGAGGATTTTTAATTTCGTTTCGTATGAACAAGAGTGCAATTAAATTTAGTGAAAATGTCGGTAAAAGTTCTGAAGAATCCGAAAGTGATTTGGACATCTTCAACTTCACTATGTTCGTGACTGTTAGTTATCATTCGTAAATTATTTTCCATGTTATTAGAATTTCGATTATTGATATATCAAAAAAGAAATTAAAATTAAAATCTTTAACTATTTTTTATTAAAAATCTGAATATCATTCACATCCTTCCATCCCCGATAGATAGAAATAAGATTTTAAAAAAGCAGAAAAATATTTTGAAGAAAATTTATACGAAAATGTGAAAAGCTTTAAGAGAACTTTTTATGAACGAATTTTCCTTTGGAATGGAATTTTAATGGATTGTCAATTGATTTTTGGAAATGAAAACTTATAGCTTTGACTTTCTGCTTATATTTGAATGAATATAAGCGAATAATAAACGATTTATGACGAAATCCGCAAGTGTTGATCGCTGTCAGATCACGAATCTTATCTACTTATAATAATAATGAAAACATTTTCGAATAAAACTTTTGATTAAACTAAATCTGTATGGGACTTGCTCTCTTCGCGCCTCTTATCTCAATGTTATGACTCTAAGGAGCATTTAATGTGTCTAATGTAGTAAGCTTAAGCTTTAACTTATGAATGAACAAAATACAAACAAAATAATGAAAATGTAATGTGCCAACATACGAATATATCTGGATAAATAAAAATAATAAAATAAAGCATGAAAAACTTACACAAATTTTCTTTCTCTTGTAAATTTTCACAAATTAACTTCGACCTCTTTACTCGCTGACATCAATTTTCATAGCAATTGTTAAATAAAGATATAAAACAAAACACATAAAACCGCAAACATTTTATTATCATTTTCATTTTATTGCGTTTCTTTTTTTCTTCTTTACTTTTATTTCTACATTTATGCTTAAATCTTCCTCAATTTAAAAAGAAAGAGAAAATTTTCCTATTTATGATTAACAACAAAAGCAAAACAATGTTTATTTTGTGTATGACAGGCTGGGTTTGTTGGTAGTTAAAGAGAAAAACAATTAACGTTGAAACACGATTTGCAGCAACAGGGGAAATTGTGAACAGATATCACCCATGCAAAATCATAAAGTAAGACAATCTTCATTAATATTACTACAATTGTAAAATTCATTCATTCAAACATGCATTCATTTGTAAGTTCAGTCATTTACGCAACAAAAAGAAGCTGTTAAGTGTATTGTAAATAAATAATAATTAGAATAAATAACTAACGTTAACTACGCGGGGGTGAAGCCACGGAAGTCTTGATGTGCAACAGAGGATAGAAAGAAGCTGCGACAAAGTTGCAAAGTTTTTTTAATTTGTAAGTGTAAAAAGTTTTTCCATCTTTTTGTTTGTCTTCATTCGAATCACAATTGAGAATGTTTGCTTTGAGCAGACAGAAGCTGAGATAGTTTCTTTTGTTCTTCAATAATTATTAAATCTAAACTAAATTTATCGAATTTAGAAGAATTTTTCAGCTTCTTGTCTTAGACTTCGTTACATTCGAGATAAATTTGTTTGCAGTCAACACCACTGCGACCTTTGCGACCAGCTTCGTAGAGTGATTCGAATGTGTTTCCACTTTGACGTTCAAGTAGGAAACTTGTTGCATATGTGCCTAGTTGACAGAAGATGCTTTGACCACCAACATCTGTTGAACATTCTTCATTAGCTTCACAAAGATATCTTTGCATGCATTTGTCTCCTCTGCTTTGATATGTTCTGACGTAGCCTTTGATCATGCTGATTGAAGCCACAGCAGCGTCGCTCATCGAATCTTTCTTTCCCATTGATCTTGCGTTCAATGAACGATGCGAGAATGAAGTCTTCAAAGCGTCTAACAAGTTAACGACAATGCTAATGAACTGTAAAGAAACAATCGAAATATGTCTCGTTAAGCTTTAATATTCGATTGTGTGACGAATTTTCGTTTATATATACAAAATTACAAATTTTCTTCTTGTTAATGACATCACCAATGCTTGCTAAATTATGCTGCTTGCTTTTTTAGTGTTGGAAATAATTTTTATAAATTCTTTTCCTATTTTAATCGAAACTCACCTCGCCCGCTTGTTTGGCCATCGTGTTCACTTGTTCCGGATCTTTCGTACCAAACATTGTACTGAAAACTGCTGCAAGAACTCCCTGCAGTTGAAGAGAACAAAATAATATTTTCCAAGATTTGTGCAACTATTTTTAAAGAGCTTTTTTAATTTATTAAGGTGAAAGGGAGACTGTTCATCTAAGTTATGGAACTTTCGGGATTGATTTTCTTTTTGTACAGAAGTGAAAGCTTAGAATGCGTGAGTTTCTATGAATTTTGTTTATCTTTCTAGAAGCTTTCTTAACTCTAAGTTTTAAATGAATTTGCTGTTGAAATCTTCACGTCATTTGGATGTTCTAAATTAATCTAATCTAAATTAAGCTTATGTGACGTGATTCTTAAATATTCCCCTAGTGATCTTCTCTTTCCACCATACAAAAGAAGTTTTTGTTGTTCGTCGTATTTTCTTTCTTACCTGCATTGGTGAGTTGCCGTTATCGACTTTATCGATTCCATCGTTGTTTGCTCCACCGCCTAACAAAGCTGTAATGATTTTTAATCCGACTGATATGATGTTGGCCCATGGTGATGGTGCGAGGCCATTATCAATGTCATCAGATTTTGACGGCATGTTTTGGACTTGAGCACCGTTGAAAAACATTTGCATGACCATACCTAATTAATATGGATAGAAAGAAGAACCGTTAAAGCTTTGACGTTCCACTTCATTGCTTTCTAGTTTTTGTACACACTACCTAACATGTTGGACCAAGAGAATGCATTATCAGAAATCTGGTTCGTTTGAATGTCGTCGTCAATATCGTCCAATGCTACTTTCTTCAAGGCATTTGGCTTCTCAGCATATTTGCGAGAATTCTCAGGTGCTGGCGGTGCTCGTGGTAAAAATCTGCTTTGCGGATGTTGATAAGCTCCAACTTGTGGTTGTGAATGTTGTTGTGGGTAAGCGAAAGTCATCAGCAGACAATGACTGACGATAAGAGTAAACAGCGACCATCCCATGACTTGTCTTTGATTCGTCATTTTTTGAACTGCAAAGAAATAAATAAAATATGAAAACTTCCAACTCCATAACAAACTGCAAGTTCCTTCTCATCAAAAATAATTTAAAATTTTTCATTTGTTGCACATCGAAATCAATGGCGAGGCGACACAACACAATGACTCATTGTCTGCAAAACTATCAGTTTATTGTTCATCAACTTTTACTTAACTTAACTGTACATAAGAAATAAGTAATGTAATGACACTCAAGTGATATTCTGTTGTTGTCACAAAGTTTATTGTTTTGTAATAGTCACTGTTTCATTCATTCATTCAATCTTTTTATGATTTAAGTTTTCAGCAACTCAAGGAACAGTTAAATAACTTTTGTCGAATTCTCAAGATTATTCGACAAACAGTTTACAGCTTGAAACATGCTTCATAAGATCATCATCGCTGATGTCTTAATTTTCTTCTATTCACCGAAGAAGATTTCAAATTATTGATTGAATCATTTTATATCGAAAAAGAAGAGAAAATAAATTAAAAGTAGCGCTAAGTAAGTGAGAATCGTAGAATTATGATTTATGCTTAATCATTTCCACAATTTGCTATCATAAAGCGTAAGCCTAACATGTTTATTCTTTATGGGAAGAAAGAAGGAAAGAGATATAATAATTAAGCAATGTAAATTAACTAACGGATTATTTTGCACTGACTTTTGATTCCTACATTCCTGCACTAATTTGACAAACATGAACTGAACTTCTTAAAATATTTTCAAAGTGAAATTTCTATTCGTCATTGTCACGTTTGTGGCTTCTGTAGAATGCAAATGACCCAAATTCTATGTGAATGTGATGTTGTTTACACAAACAATTGTTTGATCGTGGGCCCACTTTCTAAATAACCTTCAAGATCATGATAATTAATCTAATTCGACTCACTCAGATTTAACTTATCTCAACATCGCTGATCTAATTATGAATTGGTGCTGATACTAATATCTAAGTAAACTGTTATAGTTTCTTACACATAACACTAAGCAATCACTGTTTTGCCATGCCGTTAGTTTAAGACAGGTATTTAAGTATGAACGGCGTCGGAACGTAATAAAATATCTTTGCTTTGCAATCTTAAAGATAAAGTGATTAGTTTAAAGTATTTACAAAGGAAAGAAGGTTTAGATAGTTCCAGGAAAGGAAAGACATTCGATAAATTGTCGAATTCCTTAAGTGATTCTCTTATTTTCACTTTAACCTGAATTCCAGTGAAACGATCGTTGAAGACTTTTTTTTTCACTTCCATTCTAATTGAATAAATGGGTCATGTAAACTTTAAGTGACTGAGAGAGTTATGTTAATGGTTGACTTCGAGAGTGAAGGAAGAAGGGAAAGAGAATTGAAGAATTTGGTTTTTGTCGAATGTTAGCGTGAAAGATCGGCTTTTGTGTCGCGTTTTGCATTCGTAATTCTGCTGATTGAAGGCGTCGATGAATCTTGAGAATTTAGGTTTCTGTGTTGCCGTTTATCGACAGGTTTGCTGGCCTTTCTTTAACACCGAGGTCATTGGCACGCAATCACTTTTCTCTTTCTTCCTTTTATTCATCACGTAAAATTTCTAATCACGTAAATATTGCGACTCGCGATTTGAAATGATCAGCTTTCAATCGAGACTTTAGAGTTCAAGTTTTCTTGTTCTTATTTCCTTTGTTGCGATCAATTGTCAATGATCAAAGTTGTAAATAATTAAATATGAGAAATTTAACATGCAAACGTAAGCGTGCGTGGTTTAAATAAGTATCTCTCGATAGTTGAAAAAGTTTCACTTTGTGCAAATAAAAACAGCAACCACAAGTCGTAATACTGCAATGTCTTTGAATGAAATTTCTTTTTCATTTCGTGGATCATCTCGAGGGTATTTTTTTTCTCAGAAATCGCATGAAGAAAGAAAAGATCTTTACGATCTCATAATTTTCTTTTCACTTTACAATTCGATTCATTTCGTTTTCTGCGATTTCATTGATTTGAAGATATTTATGATTAAGCTTGAAATTTGCGTATGCTACGCTTGATATCCGGCTTGATTGGAATATTTCGATTCACTTTTTTTCTTTCAAATAATTCTTTTTTACTTCTTAGATTCACTTCTTACCTTTTTGTATGAATAAATAAATTTATAAGAGAAAATAAATAATTTTTTGTTTGAATTTTCTTGAGCTTTTCTAGTTGTTATCACTTCAACCGACAACGAAGATCTGAAACCGTAATTACCTTGAACTTCTCTTTTATACATTGACCCACTTCCTACCTTCTTTCGTTTCTTTCGCTTCTCTTTCTCTGAGATTTCTTGTCTGGATATGTGTGGTGCTTTTGCCACTAACATTTCTTTCGACAACTGTTCATGGAAGCGATCAGTTGATAATTTTATTTTCTTTCATACAAACATTTACTTCTACTTAGGGAATCGTCGACATCCAGTGAATTGCGGGTGAGAGAAATCTCACGAGAATCTTCTTCCTTTTGGATTTTCTTTCCGTCCACGTTTATGGACCAATTTACACTTTCTAATTTTTAATCGTAGTTGGTGTGGAATGTTGAAATTTAATAATTGGGTAATTTTATTCTCTTTCTAACCCATGCGTACTCATTGCAATGTCATGAATTGAGTAAAGTGAAGTCATAATGACAAACAATTTTACATAATGAAACGTTAGCTTAACTTTTCTTGTCACTTGTCATCGTTTTTGTAATAAATTTGAATGGATCGTTGATCGCTTGAGCTTTTGCTTTATGTTTCGATATTCAAACAATTCTACGATTGTCTTAACATTCAAAACATTTTGAATCAAAACAAAAGCTTTAAACTATTGCGAAGTCAAGAAAAGAACAAAAATTTCTTCGTTATGTCATTGTTGTTACGGTTTCTCTTGAAAGTTTTGATGGATTAAGAATGTTTGCTATTCATTTAGAGTTATTCCCGTCGATCAACCTCATTGTGCACATAAATATCATGGAAATTGTTGTTAACCGTGATTAGTTATTGTCTTGTTACTTAATTAAACTCACTGAGAAAGTTTTCTTCTCTTCGCTCTTTTGCAAATTGCACAATTGATGTAACCGTTTCTTCAAGATTTTCCCACATGGTTTGATTATTAAAAGACGTTTCTCGTTATTTCTTTCATGCTGTGTTTAGAAATAAACTCAAGATCGGTGAATAATTTTTTGAGAACATTTTTAATTGGAATGTAACGGGGATGAAAATATTAAATTATGTTGATGACTCAAATGAATTTACCAGAATTGTTTCGAATGAAAACAAAAACAGCCGCAACTTTCTCTCATATAAACTTCGCATCATCCTTAAACGTGTTGGAACGTAAACAAAAGTTCCAACATGCATCATCATATGTTTCGAGAAAAATTTCGAATTATCGCGGAGCATCGAGAGAATAAGAAGCCTTCAGGTTGATTGAAAACCATTCTCTTTGTCGTTGAAGTGTTATAAAAGCCAACGAACAATCGACAACGGAAATTATCAATAAACAAAACATTTTTACTTAATGAAAGCACAAGTGAAATTTTATGCTGCTAATGTAAAGACATTGCGTCGCATCATGTCACGTCGTAAACGTCATGCTTGTTGAAATTGACTTTCGGTTTCGTTTTGCGTGCCGCCCATCGATTGTAAGTAAGTAAGTTGAAACAAGAAAACTTAAAACTAACTTTTTGAAAGGTTCATAAAAGGTTGAAAGCTCCACTACGAGTTGTAAGTCAGAAGCAAAGTGAATGCGTGACAATCAGTACAGAAAATTGCAAACCATCAACTTTGTTTTTTTGTTACTTTAAAGATGAAATTAAAATAAGAAAGACTTCACCTAAAAAAAAAGATAGCAAAGATTAGAAATTTCTGTCACGGTTGCTGATATTTTGAAAAACGATTTTCTGTTTGGTCAAATAATTATAACAAATTTTACTTCCAATTTTACGTCTCAACTAAATAATTATTCCATTTACTTAACAAATATTGATTTCGGCCATTTCATTTTGTTATTTTCTAAGAAAAATATGGAATAGCCAAACAGTGCATCGTGACACAGATTTTCGTGCTCTATTAAATTCACATTTTGATGACTACGAAGCTAGAACGACGTTGACTTGTTAATTAATGTGATGAAGAGAAGAAAAAATAGTTTTATGAGAGAGTTTTACTTTTAAAATCATGTTTAGAAGACAAAGGTAGAAAATAGAGCAATTTTCACAATTTTAATTAATCTTTTTTTGTTGTCATTTAAAATTTGAAGTTCAAAAATGTCAAGAGCGAGTGATCATGAAAGTTTCTTGTTTCTGCATATTACATTCTTTATTATTTATTCATTCATGAATGCAGACATTTAAATTATGAGAAACATAAACCTATCATTGTCAAGTTGTCCGATATTTATCATTTTTTTGTTAATTTTCTTTTTCTCAAAGTTCATTGACCTCAAATGAGTAACGTTGAAATTTCATTTTAATTCCTCTTAAATGTATAAAATTATGATTTTTATTACTAAATCTAATTAAACTAATTAAGCTTAACAAGTTGAAAGTTAAATAAAATAAATAAATTAATGAAAAGTAATTAAATTAATTAGATTTTCAAAAAATTTTGCAAGTTTTGTAAATATCTTCACAATCAACACCATTATTGACAAAATCTTCATAAGACGGAATAAATTTGAAGAAAACATCTAAACGATTTTCATCCACATTCTTCTCGATTTCTACTTCAATCTTTTCGCCAACGATTCTGTTATTCACCGCTTTTTGCATGCTCCAAATGAAAGGCTTCAGCTTACATAATAACAGCAAGATGCAATCCGTGTCAGGCGTTTTGTATTCCATTTCTTCTACCATTGAAATGATTCGATTAGGTAACTCGTGATCGCGGACATCCTGGAACATCAGTGAATCATTTAAAAGCAAATATTTCCAAAATTATTAAAAAGTGAAAGCTTTTTGGGAAAGAAAACATTTGTAGGGTTCCAGATTGAAAGCTTTGAAGCTTCAAACACATAAATAAGTTGAATTTAACTTACTGAAAGCAAATTGGAAACCTGTTCGTTTTTCAACATCCATTCCATGGGGTCTTCTGACAACAATCTTGCTGTCTCTTTTTCTTCTTCTTCCCCATCATCTTCTTCATCATACTTCTTAGTTTTCCTCGAAGCATTATTATTCACCTTCGGATTCATCAATAAATTGCCAAGCTTTCAATCAGTGTAAAGGAGAATGTAAAAGCACATCAGAAAGTCAATTGATTAATTTTCAAATTCAATTGATTTGGAAATAAATTGTACATCAAATTAATTACTAAATTCTTGCTTTATTTATCGTGATCTATCAATCTAAATATGTATACAAAAATATTACACAATAACAGTATGTAAAAGATCTTTTATTATTAACAACATGCTTGCAAAATGCCTCCTTAAAGTAAAAGATCAAATGATCATAAGAAATCAGTCAATGATTTCAAATTATCTTCCACCATAGTCCAACCTTTCAAAACGAACTTGTCAAAACCATTTCTAAATGCGCTTTTATTTACATTTTTCAAGCATAATTTATGATTATAAATGGATATCTACAATTTGAATAACTAACAACGGCAAATGGGGGGTCGGAGTGGATCGAAGCGGCTGAACAAACTAATAAGGTTCGGCGATCGGTAATAAAATTAATGGCATCATTTGTTTAAACAATAATTAATTGTGTTAGAAAAGTGTTTAACAATCAATAGAGAATCATTTTTAAGGAGCTGCATGTGGTGTAGAAAAAGTGTTAAAATTCAATTTTAAAAACTAATTTAAGACCACACGTTTCTCATGGAGCGAGGCAAACATTTGTTTTCGTGCATAAATTCTCTCGTGAGAAGAAACAAAAAATGATTGCTGAATGTTGCTTCATAAAATTACGCAATTGCTTTTAAACTACAAATTTGATCTAAGTTTACAGTTTTTCTTGTTTCTGTCTTCTTCATGGGTAAAGAATAAAGAAAAATGATTTTTTTACATATGAATTAAAGAATTTCGTTTCTGTAGTACCTGTGGAATTGTTTTAAGTTTTTTACAAGATTTTTTCTAGTTCTGAATTCTGTTTTGGGGCTGTTAGTAGCTCAATGAATTAAGACTAAATTTAGTATGATTAGGAAAATGTTTAATTATTCTACACAAGGTGTCATACCGAAACGACAACTTGGAAGATATGAAGGTTTATTTAATTGCGGTATTTTCACATGTGGTGTGTATTTATCTTCAGTGAATTTATTTTTGATGAGATTTATGATCCTTTGCCACTCCCAAGAGGTTGACAATAAAAAGCTCATAACGTTTGACGCGCTTTCTCTTACCATCTGCGCCATGAATATTATTCCGTTCATTGCAACTGCACTGAGCTTTGAACCGTCCAAGCCTAGAACTTTCAAGAAACGACTCATGAATGAACCTTCAGTCAGAAATTGAAATTCTTCTTCTCCATGATCTGGTGGTCCAATCAAGATTGTGTCTTGACGTATTCCATTTGGATGTTTATTGAATTTCGTCGGTGCAAACGATTGGGAGACCAAGTCAGCAACATTGTTGGAGATACCTGGTGGAGATCGGATGTAATTGGATTGAATTGAAGATGACATCTTTTGGTCACTTTTACCAAGAATCTTCAATCCATTGTTAAGATGATCAACCAGTGAATTTCGAATTGTGGATGATTTTATTTCCATGATAAAAGGAAAACTCAAAGCAAAGATCAGAAGAATTTTCCTACACATTTTCTCACAATTTTCAAAGTAAAACACAAAGTTTAAGATAGACGACTGTTTCTTTTCAAGTTCAACAGCAAAATGAGTTGTTTAACTGTAGAATTGTTGAATGTCTTCTACCAAATATCATGCACCAGAGCATTCTTTCTCTTCAGCGAAGACGATGAGCTCAACTGTTGAAGAAATAACTTAAATGCGATATAAATTCGATACCGTTTTGTGACAATAGCGTGAAAATCTTTTCCACGTCTCGCTAATTTTTTACAAACGTCGAAGAGAATTTTTCTTCCGATTTCAATGATTAATTTTTCACATGAACGCTATTAAGTTGTCATAAATATATTTTCCTAGCTAAGCTTTCAGGTTATTGTGTTCATTTCATCAATGAATTAAATAAACAATTTGTGGGGTGCAAAATGTTTCTTTCTTTTGTTCAATTGTGTTTTAGCAAGTAAAATGTTGACAAATGACGATCAGTAAAAATTTCGTTGTCATAAATTGATTATGACGCTTAATTTTTAGCAAGTTTCATAATCAAAATGAATTAGACTTGCAAATAAGAACGAAGAATGATATTTGTAATGTGAGTAAATATTTATTATTCGAGTTTATGAAAGTGCGTGATTTTTGTGAATTTTGTTGAAAACGAACTTCTGGATTAAACTAATTTAGTTTGTTTCTCATAAGAAAATCTTATCTCAATTCACAAGAATTTTATTACAACACAAATATTTAATCATCCTAAAGTTTATTGCTCTATATAAAAACTTTGTTGTAAGATCAAATAAAGCGTGTCAAGATCGTAATCATGAGAAAATATTTACTTAAGTCAAAATGATTTCCAAGTGGTCACTACAAACATTAAAAATTGTTTAGTTAGAGAAAATTTCCTTCCTTCTCCGTTGATCCTTGATCGCGTTAACCTTCTCGCATTCGTGAAGATCTAGAGAATCGAGACTCGAAAGCCACACAACACAGCAGTTCTTAATTTCATAAATGAAATTTAATATGGTTTTTATTCAATATTTATTTCATTTTATTGTGATATTTATGAAGACACGCGTTCGGCTGGCACACAATTTATTTTAATATGGTGAGAATTAGTATTTTAAAACCAATAAAAATTTAAATTTTTAAGTCATTAANACACAAAAGTTAAAAATGAAAATATCAAAAAAAATCTTCAGTCGATTTCTGGATGAGATTTAAAGCATTCGGAGCATGTGAAGCAAATCAAATCGAGCAGTACGCAGTGTTGACTTACCGAGATCCAAATGATCCACAACGAGACTTGCACGCGTATCCTCAAAATAATTTTCCTGCCTATGATAGTTCATACGGGGATGGAAGTGTAAGAAATTACATGTCAGTTTATTAATTAATTTTATTTTACTTGTTTTTACAACAGATTATAAATTTCCCAAACACAACATGCGGTAATCCAAGTGATAATGAATTCTGTATAAGTGACCTTTCGTCATATGTAACAGATGCAAGTGTAACAGTTGATCCTCCTCAGGAAACATTCTTTCTTGGCTTTACCAATGTGGGACAAAGTCTATCAGTAATTTATAAAAAAAATTCGTACGGAAACATGTACACAAGTGAGTATTTGTACAAGATTCTTAAAGTAACTTTGATAAGAAATGAAATATTATTTCAATAAGATATAGGTGGAGACCTTGTAACTGTGGGAGCGATCAACAACATTACATTCTCATTTCCAACGTTCCCATTATTGACTCAACGAGAAATGATTGGACATACTACTTTTTGTGATAAAAATAATCTTCCCGAATCATGCACATCGCAGAAAATTTGCACATGCACACATCGATTGAAAATTTCGCTGAACAGATATGTCGAGATGGTCATCGTTGACGAAACTACTTGTAAACTTTAAATTTATTTTATCAATTTACAGTTTTAAATTTGAAATTATATACAACAGCAATTGCTTTGTACAGTCACCCTTTCCATATTCATGGAATTTCATTTTATGTCTTAGAAATGGGTCAACATCCTGATAAGATTCCAATGACCGTTGAACTTGCGAAGACAATGAATTTAGGTAGAAACATGACATCTCCACAAGCAACCAGACAATATCCTCTGAAAGATACAATTTCTATTCCATCGAGAGGCTTTGTTAGAATAAGATTTAAAGCCACCAACCCTGGATTTTGGTTTATGCATTGTCATTATGGTAATGATTATTATTTTATTAATTTCATTAAATCCCCTCCATTTTACTAATTTAGAATCGCACATGGCAACGGGAATGAATCTCGTACTACAAGTTGGCGAAACACATCAAATGCTAGAAATTCCTGAAAATTTCCCCAAATGTGGAAATTATGAATCAGGATTTTTGCAGTCAGAAGCTCAAAGTTTTCGTGAAGAATGCATAAACATTTCTTAAAAGTTCTTTAACCAAAGGAAGATATTTTTATAATTATTATGCAATTTTTTTCAGGAATTTTAGTTTAGTTAGAACTAATAATAAATTGGAAAACATCATTCAGTAAATATTTTAAGATTAAAATGTTCAATTTAAGGTGAATTTATGTTGGTCGTTAAGTTATAATCATAACTCAAGATTTGCAAGAGTGAATTCTCGAACTGAATTGGAGAATATGTTTAAGTGAATGTGATCAAAGGTCATGCGGTATTAGCAATCATAATAAATATATTAAATATTTGACTTGGAGATCATTATTAATAAAGGAAATTGAAGGAAACTTTATGGGTTTATTGTTCTGTCAGATAAAAGTGACGTGAAAGATTCTCTTCCAAATCTAATTGGCTTTATCTACTCAAATTCCAAGTAAATTAATTAGCACATTCAAATTCAAATAAGTTTATGATCTTTAAATTGGATTGAATATCTGTTTCCATTTCTCAACCTTGGTGGGATTTTCGCAGTGTTACCGAGATCAGCATGACGCCTCAAAATGAGAGTTAAACAACAACATCGAACGAGTTCTCTTATGTAGTTTTAAATCCAATAATTCTTCATCTGACTACATGCTTCGGCAGACGGAAAACATCGAGTGGAGATATTTACAAAAAGAATTCCTTCTTTCTTTTCTTGTTGCCTTCCCTGATCCTCGCATTCGTAAAGATCTAGAGAATCGAGACTCGAAAGCCACACAACACAGCAGTTCTTAATTTCATAAATGAAATTTAATATGGTTTTTATTCAATATTTATTTCATTTTATTGTGATATTTATGAAGACACGCGTTCGGCTGGCACACAATTTATTTTAATATGGTGAGAATTAGTATTTTAAAACCAATAAAAATTTAAATTTTTAAGTCATTAAGTAAATAAATCGCAGCAGAAACAATAAATCTGAACGGTTTTCGATTGAGATGAAAATGAATTATGAGATCTGGCCATAACAAGATTGAATGGATTAAAACGATTATAACGAGAGATTTAATCGGAACATGTGTTTTGATTTCAAACATAAGTTCAGGGTGGTTGGGTAACGTTTGTAATGTCAGTCACAAATATTTATTAATAAGAATTCATTCGAAAGACGTAAATTATTTTTTTCCTTAAAACTTGTGCCTTCCATGTAAGTTCTATCAATTTTAATTAAATCAAAAAAATCCTCCGCACCAAAGCAATTCTTCAAAATTATTCAAAACTGAAAAGGAAAACACACAAGAAATCTAGCAAAATAGAATTATTATTTATGTTTTCTTACACTAAAGGCATCACAAACATTCATTAGCATCTTATCCAATAAATTTAAAGAAGACATGATTTATTGACCCAGGTTAGGAGTTTTATTCATTAAATTATGCATTGGAATAGACGAGCCAACACATACAGTAGGAAAGAAACGAATGCTTATTGATTTGATTTAAATATTTGATCATTTCCATCTTTGGTTACTGATTTATTACTTTTTATATACCTGGAGTGAAAGCATTGCCTCGCTATTTATTTAACGATTGACTTGGAAATTATTTGGCTAAGCGGAATTCATAACGACAAAGACCACCAGGATCCTCCTGGCTAATAAAGTTCTAGCTTTTTAGCTACACATATCAATTTAATTTATCTGATTTGTCATGCACAAATTTATTTTGTTCTAATCGTTGCATCACAAGATTAATTTGTGAGGTTCAAATTTAATGTGATTTTCTTTAGAAGAAGTTTTTATTGCGATGTTTCTTTTAAGAAAATTGTCATTTCGAGAATCACCTACAATCGAAAAAGTGAGGTCAGGTGAATATTTACATCTTTCAGCCGATAAAATAAGATAAGATAGAAATTAATGGAACAATTCCAGACCCAAACTAGATAGTGTTTAAGTGCAAAAAGTTCTCAACACTATCTATCTGCTCCTCAAATACCTAAGTGGCTTTATTTACACTTGCTGACAGAATTAATGTCCTGACTCAGTTTTATTCAATCAAGCGCACATTTAAGCAAATTTGGCCTATGATATATACCAGTACTTTTTTATTGTTTGTTCAAGTCTGAATTTTAACATTTTATCTAATGCATCATGATGAATTTACACTTCATATTTCCACGAAAAGCATTGTAAATTAACAAAATCGTGAAATAGTGATAAGATATTCATGAATGATTTATTCAGAGATGTTTACATTAATCCCCATGCGTGGCCATGAAGAGTTTTTCTGCAGAATTTTGTTTAAAACTAAATATTTGAAGATATCACATTTGAAACTGTTGACAAATTTGATACACAAATATATAAAATCATGAAAATCTCGAAAACATTCAGTCTTGTTCGGTCCTTTCTTCAAAAAGGATGATAAAAATAGTTTCAGCTTTGGCTTTTTTAAGCATAATTAGTGCACAGCCACTATACAATGACACTATAGATGTCACAAAAAATCTTGGAGAGCTTTGCGATAGGCCATGTAGTAATAAATATCGAATTTGTTATTTTAAATTCACATTGGAAAATTATGCGACAATGGGACCGTAAGTAAAGTTGGCTTTTTAAATAAATGAAAAATTAAATCCAGTCAATGGTTAGAGCTTGTGGATCATGTGGGAGTTTCACTGGTAATATCAGCGACTGCTTCAATGATCAATGTGTAACTGCCGATGGAGTTGAACGTGGAGTTTTAACAATTAATCGACAAATTCCTGGGCCATCAATCAACGTCTGTTATGGTGATACGCTGATCGTTGATGTTGAAAACATGATGATGGGCTATGACACGACAATTCATTGGCATGGTATTGAACAGAGAACTATTCCTTGGATGGATGGAGTTCCAATGATAACCCAATGTCCAATAGGCTCCGGAAATACTTTTCGTTATGAGGTTAGTACTGATAGACTTGGAACCTACATGTATTATGCATATTCCGCTCATCAAAAAGCAAACGGAATTTACGGTGGACTCGTAGTTCGCCCGAAAAGCGAAAAACGAAAATCCTTGTATGATGTTGATTCGAGAGATTATCTAATCGTACTTTCTGATTGGATGCATGAATTAGCAGAAATGTAAGATAATTGAACTTATGAAAATACATTTAATTTAATTCTGAATGAAAAGGTACGTTCCTGGCTTGAGAACCCATCAACCTGGATTGCAACCAACAAATTTATTAATCAATGGAAAAGGAACAACACGTGATGTATGTAAGACTTATTTCTAATGAAAATGAAAATTTAATTCCTCTACAATATTTTTAAACAGTTGGGAACAAGAAAATCGACCACTAGAACTCCATTGGCAGTTTTCTATGTCCAAAGAAATAGTCGTTATAGATTCAGATTGGTGAATGCAATGAGCTTTGTGTGTCCAGTGTTATTGGAGATTGAAGGACATAAAATGACTGTTATTACGAGTGACTATGGTGAATTGCAACCTATTACAGTAACCCAACTTGTTTCTAACGCTGGAGAGCGTTTTGAGTTTGTTCTCAATGCGGATCAATTAGGAGGTGAATTCTTTATGAAATGTTAAAACATTATAGAATTATTTGAGATAAAATGAAATTATTCAGTTGACTATTGGATGAGATTCAGAGCACTTGGATCATGCGAAGCTAATCAAATTGAGCAGTACGCAGTGTTGAGTTACCGAGATCCAAATGACCCACAACGAGACTTGCATGCGTATCCTCAGAGAACTTTTCCTCTTTATGATAGTTCCTATGGCGATGGAAGTGTAAGTAAAACTTTTGCTACAATTTGTTATATTATTTGTTTCTTTTAATATTTCTTATAAGATGTTAAATTTTCCGAAAACAACTTGCGGTGATCCCAGTGACAATGAATATTGCATAAGCGATCTTTATGCATATGATCAAGGAGCATATCTATGGCTTACTGAAACCCCGCCCACTTATAAATTTATTCTTGGTATCAAAAATTTAGCTCAAAGTCCTTCTGTGGTTTTTAAAGAGAATACATATGGGAACATGTTCACAAGTAAATATTTGCTTAAACTTTTTAATGTGATTTTGATAAGAATGATAACATTTAAATTAGATTTACGTGATGACGTCATGACTGTAGGAGCGATCAACAACATTTCATTCACATTTCAGCCTTTTCCGATATTGACTCAAGGAGAAATGATTGAGAATGAAAATGATGTTTTCTGTAATGAAAATAATATTCCTGAAAGATGTGAATCGCAAGAAATTTGTGATTGCACACATCGATTGAAAATTCGAACACATGAATATGTTGAAATGATCATCGTTGACGAAACTGGTTGCGAATCTTAATTTTAATTTCTAAATGTATTTGATAATTTTGTAATATTTATTACAGATAATGATTTAATTAATCACCCTTTCCACATACATGGAAACCCATTTGCTGTCGTAGAAATGGGTCAACATCCTGATAATATTCCAATGACCGTTGAACTTGCGAAGACAATGGAATTTGGTGACAGCATGTTACCAGCACCAACACCAAGATCATTTCCTCTCAGAGACACGGTTTCTATTCCATCAAAAGGTTTTGTCAGATTAAGATTACGGCCAAGTAAACTGGGATTTTGGATGATGCGTTTTGTAGAAGGTAAGAAAATTTACATTTTAAAATTATTTCTATTCTAATTCATTGGATTATTTTTATTTAAAATATTTAGAATGGTACATGGCAAGGGGAATGAATCTTTTAATTCAAGTTGGGGAGACCAAAGATTTCTACCAAAAGCCCGAGGACTTTCCAAGGTGTCAAAATTATAAGCCAGGTTTATTACAATCACAAGCTGAAAGGTTTCGTCCGGAAAACATAATTTTTTAAAAAATCTAAAACTATAAATTGGCATTTAATGGAACCACAGGCAGAACCGTTTCGTGAAAATTGCATGATCATTTCTTAAAAATATTGAGTATAAATTGTACTAAAATTTATACCATTATTCAAACAAATAAAATACTGTTTATTAGCAAGAAAAAATGTCATTTCTGTTTGCTGTAGACTCTCGATAGAACAATGGTTGAAAATATCGTTCGTATCCCCGAGAAACCAAAATTTTCATGCGGCTGCCATATGACTGCCTCTTGCAAAGCTAAATGTCAAGGCAATTTATTTATATGGCTGATTAGAGACGTACACGTAAATTTTGGTTTCCCGGGATCATATCATTTCAAGCATGTGTAACAGGTTGCAGCAAATTTATTATGTTCTAATCGTTGCAAGTTTAATTTAAAAGGTTCAAGTTCAATGTAATTTTTTAAGAAAAAAGTTTTTATTTTGATGTTTTTAAGAAAATTGCTCAACTTTAAATACAATTTCATATAAAGTGAAAATGAGGTCATGTTTACATCTTTCACCTTATTAAATAAGATAAGATAGAAAGATAATGGAACAATTCTAGACCGTAACTAGACGGTGTTTAAGTGCGAAAAAGTTCTCAACACTGATGATTATCTGATCTATTTGCTCCTCAAATACCTAAGTGACTTTATTTATATTTGCTGACAGATTAAATATTCTGATTCAGTTTTATAATGAACGAGAGAATCTCGGAAATTTTTAGTCTTTTTCAGCTGTTCATTGACAAAATATGATTAAAATATTTTTAGTGCCAGCTATTTTAAGTGTTATTAGTGCACAATCACTTTACAATGATTCAATAGATATTACCAATAATCCTGGAGAACTTTGCGATAGAACATGTGGGAGTGCAGATTATCGACGAATTTGTTATTTTAAATTCACATTGGAAAATTATGCAACAATGGGACCGTAAGAAAAATTAAATTGATGAAATGTTAGTGAAAAATATTATTAAATGAATTGTCAGAGCGTGTAAAACATGTGGAAGCGTCGCTGGTAAACTCAGTGATTGTTTCAATGATCAATGCGTTACTACTGATGGAGTTGAACGTGCAGTTTTGACCATTAATCGTCAACTTCCTAGTCCATCGATTTTCGTCTGTGAAAGGGATTTGGTCGTGATTGATGTTGTAAATATGATGATGGGTTATGAGACGACAATTCACTGGCATGGCTTCCATCAGAAGGATTATCCTTGGATGGATGGAGTTCCAATGATAACACAATGTCCGATAAATTCAGGAAATACTTTTCGTTATAAGTTTTGGGCTTCTGAATCTGGAACTCATTGGTATCATAGCCATTCGGGTCATCAAAAATCAAACGGAATTTTTGGTGGAATCGTTGTTAGAAAACATGTAGAGCGTCATGCATCCTTGTATGATGACGATTCGTCAAGTAATTTAATCGTTCTTTCGGATTGGAAACATGAATTGGCAGAAACGTAAGTTCATCAAAATTATAAATGCGCATAGAAAGCACTAATTTGATTGGATATAAAAAGGCACTTTCCTGGCTTACGAACTCAAAGTGGCGGCTTGCAACCGGCAAATTTATTAGTCAATGGTAAAGGAACAACGCGTCACGTGAGTCAATAAATAGAAAATTATGTTTTTTTATCGCTAAATATTTTCAAATAGTTAGATGCAAGAAAATCAACCACCGGAACTCCACTGGCTGTTTACTACGTCCAAAAGAATCGACGATATAGATTCAGATTGGTGAATGCCGGTGGCTTAACTTGTCCCGTATTGTTGGAGATTGAAGGACATAAAATGACTGTTATTGCGAGCGATTCTAATGACTTGCAACCAACTACAGTGTCTCAACTTGTTTCCAATGCTGGAGAGCGTTTTGATTTTGTTGTGAATGCAAATCAATCTGGAGGTGAGATCGTTTAATTAAAGTTTCTAAATATCTATTAAACATTAACACAAAAGTTAAAAATGAAAATATCAAAAAAATTCTTCAGTTGACTATTGGATGAGATTCAGAGCACTTGGATCATGCGAAGCTAATCAAATTGAGCAGTACGCAGTGTTGACTTACCGAGATCCAAATGATCCACAACGAGACTTGCGCGCGTATCCTCAAAATAATTTTCCTGCCTATGATAGTTCATACGGGGATGGAAGTGTAAGAAATTACATGTTAGTTTATTAATTAATTTTATTTTATTTGTTTT